AGAAGGCGAAGCACTGATGCTTTGGTGGTTACGGCCGTTTGGGCCTATGGAGAGTCTGGCGTGTGAGGCGCAGCGCGAGCAATCTTTGGCGATTATTATTTATTTGGGCCGTTTGGGCCGTGATGGGCCGTTGGGCCGTGAATTTAGCCTTATCCTCGTTTGGAGGTATGGCAGGATGGAGCGTGGCGCTGGCGACGATCGTCATCGTCTTATCGCCGTCGGACCGTTGGGGTCGCGGTATTAACGGAGAGTAACTATAATGCATTGGTATATACTGAGGTCTTCGACGTGGACGGAAGAACAGGAACTTCGAATGGTCTAAGCGGCCGTGGAGACGGTTAAGAACTTACTTACTCTTTGATTGCCAACAGTTTTATCGATTTAATTGCGCCAGAGTAAGGCGGAACCTGGTACTGTACAACATTCGTCTATCTGGACGAGTGCTCTTTCGACTTCCCAGTTGTAAGGCTACTATGCCTTCAAGAGTTTTGGAATCTACTTCGCCGCTACGCAGCATTTTCCCTCAGTACTGATCAGCCAATACGTACGGCCTGTGTATAGGCGTCAAGCAGGTTGCAAATAATTTATCTTAACTCCGTTAGACAGTACATACACCGTCAGCGAATAAAATGTCTGGACTGAAACGCAAACCGGGTGACATTTTTCACAGCGTGACATCGTCCTTCGCGGGTGCAAAGAGGCATGAGCCGACTACGGGCTCAGAACCTAGGCTTTCAAACACTCTAGGTACTAGTACTCCTCGCGACACAAGCAGCGTTGCGGCAACGCACAAGCATCAGCGCCTGCAGATCTCGGCGTCGGCGGTGACAGAACAGGAGGAATCTGGTCCTGTTGCCAGGCGCGCTTTTGCATACCCTTTTAAGACACTGGTTCTTGGCAAGGAGCGCACTACACCAGCCCCGCTTGCATCGTCGGCAACGATTCCATCCTCGCAAGTGCGGGACCGGGACAAGATCTCTGTAGCGCCTCAGAAGGCGGCGACCTTAGCGGGCAATGCGGGGCCATCTGGTTCCAAAGCTGCAGTTGCCAGTGAGCGGGCGGCGGCATCCGGTGCAAGTCAGGTGGAGGCACGCATGAACGCGGCTGCGGCTGTATCCAGCAGCGGAGCAGGTGCGCAGGGCTTGGAGGACTTGGCAGGAGAGTACGAAGGGCCGGCGCACCCGCGTGGCAACCAGCCACCGCTCATGCGCGGACGGTTGAAGGCCAAGGAAGCGTTTTGGCGATCTATCGTGCGATCCAAGCTTGTGCTATCTTTTATCATCTTCGGCTTTTCTCTCAAATGGCTGCCACATGTGGGGCCACCGTCTAGCATTATGCTGCCAAACCACCAGTCAGCTTTCCAGCACGAGTCTTTCGTGGACTCGGCTATTGAAGAACTCGTGGCAACGGGGGCCGCTAGGCAGGTCGACCACCAGCCGCACTGTGTACTACCGCTGGGTGTGGTGCCGAAGAAGGGGTCGGATAAGTTCAGGCTCATCTTTGATGCACGCTACGTCAACGAGCATCTGTATGTGCCGAGCTTCAAGTATGAGGCGTTAAGCCACTTGTCGGAAGTCCTTGAACCAAATGACTATATGTTTACTGTTGATTTGAAGTCGGGGTACCACCACATCGACATGCATCCCGATGCGTGGGAGTATCTCGGGTTCCATTGGAAGGGCAAGTTTTACTACTTTGTTCAACTGCCGTTTGGTTTGTCCCCTGCGTGTTGGGTGTTTACTAAGGTTACACGGGAGCTGCAGCAGCATTGGCGCTCTCAGGGCCATCGGTGTTCATGTTATATTGACGACAGCATCCACGCACATAGGGACAAGGAGAAACTCCTTGCCTGGCGGGAGCAGGTGCTGGCAGATTTGGATGCTGCGGGATTCTTAGTTAGCGAGTCTAAATGTTCCCTTGAGCCAGAGCAGCGGAAGGTGTACCTGGGCGCCCTCGTGGACACAGTGCAAGGGTCGTTGTTCGTTCCAGAAGGCAAACGGGATGCCATAAAAGCTGCCATGCGAGGGGCACTCAACGTGTTTCACAGCGGGGGCAAGTTCCGGGTTCGTGACTTGGCATCAATTTCCGGAACGCTTCAATCAATGTCTTACTCGTTTGGCACTATCTCCAACCTCATGACGAGGCGCATGGCCGCTTGGGTGGCGAGTGAGATAGCCTTAGGTCATACGTACAATCACCACAGGTTACTGAACGCCGAGGTGGCGGGAGAATTGGAGTTCTGGTTACATTGCTTTGAACAATTTGATGGGTTTAAGCCCTTGTGGAGGCCTCCTCACATCCACTCGATTATTATTCATACAGATGCCGCCGGCCGGTCTGATTACTCATACGGCGGCTGGGGAGGTTGGACGCGTTCGGTCAGTGGCAACCTTGCAATTGCATCTGGGAAATGGGATTTTGAAACCGTCGGGCGGTCATCCACCTATCTCGAGTTACTGGGTGCCCTTAATGTGCTTAAGAGCCTTAACCGAGACGGTGGTCTCGTTGGGCAACGGGTCCTGCTGCGCACGGACAGCCAACCAATGCGTGATATCCTCGATAAAGGTGGCTCAGTGGTAGCGGCTATCCAGGACGTCTGTATGCCGTTTATGTGGTACTGTATTGAGAACAGCATTGACTTACTTGTGGAATGGGTACCACGGGAGTTGAACCAGTTTGCTGACAATCTCTCTAAGAGGCAGGACTCGTGCGATTGGAAGCTGAACCCGCGAATCTTTAATGGCTTGGCCGCAAAGTGGGGTGTACAGGGCCGTTTCGCTGTGGATCTGTTCGCATCGGATACCAACCGCCAGCTCGAGCCGTACTACAGTTACCACCACACCCCGACGTGCGCTGGTGTCAATGCTTTTGCGTACCGCTGGCCTGTTGCACCGGATGTGGCTTGGTGCAACCCACCATTTGCAGTCATTGGGAGGGTGTTGGCCCATGCCGCGGCATGCAAGGCGCGCATGTGCCTAGTGGTGCCTTTCTGGCCGAGGGCGGCATGGTGGCCGCGTATTATTGCCGATAAATCGACATTCCAATGGTTTGTGCACGCGGTGCAAGTGCTGGAGCAGGCAACGGACTTGTTCCTGAGCGGCTCAATGTGCGCACTTGTTCCCCAGCAAACTCCGGCTTGGAGAACTATGGCACTGCTGTGGATTTTGGCACTGCAAACACCGGAAGGCCGATTCAGGTTCCTGACTTGTAATGCACCTGTGTTCGATTGGCTCGCAGATGCGGCAACGGTTTCGCTCATCCAGGCTAGCTTGGGCGACTTGCAGGGTCACCCTCGCCTAGCGGAGTCTGTGCAGCTAATAGCATCTATGGGACGGGCCTCAAAGGCCGCAAACACATGGAAAGCGTACGACCCCAGCTGGAAGCGGTTCCTGGATTACTGCAGAGAGTTGCGGGTAGACCCGTTCGCATGCAGCTTGGGCATCGTAGCCTGTTTCCTAGCAGAAGTCTACCAAGCAGCAGCCAAGAGGGGTGTGGGACCCCAGGCAGTCGAGCGGGCCAGCGCAGCGATCTCAGCACACTATGAGATTGCAGGCCTACGGTCACCGTGCCTCACGCCACTGTGCGGGGTCATCAGGGAAACAGCCAGACGGACCCTGGTAGGCAAGCGCTATGTGCGAGAAGACATTACTTGGGAGGAGGTGAAACAAGTGCTTGACTACCACTTTGCAGCCAGCTCAGTGCCTCTGTGGACGCGCATGATCCTGACGGGCGTGGTGCTGTGCTTCACGGCATTGCTGCGCTACAACGACTTGTCGCACGTGCTCGTGCACGAACGGCTGCTGCGCATCTACCCAGGCGATCACATGGAGATTTTCCTGTGGTGCAGCAAGACGGACCAGCGCGCTGAGGGCACCACCGTCACAGTGGGTGCAACGGGTGGGCCGTACTGCCCGGTGCGCATGGTCAGCGATTTGCTCGCAGCCGGACAGTACAAGCGGCAGCCAGCGCAGGCCGTCTCGCAGACCGGCCGTGTAGTGGAGACGGAGGATGTAGGGCCGCTGATGCGCCGTGTCATCAAGGGGGAAAACGGAGTGCAGAAGCTGGAGCAGGTCACGGCGCCGCTGGACAAGCCCATCCCGCCCCTGCCTGATGCAGCCGTGCGGCAGGCGGTAAATGACCTTTTCCAAGCAGCGGGTATCAGCAAGCGGATTCGCTTGCATGCCTTCCGGGCCGCCGGCGCCTCGGCCGCCGTCAACGCGGGGGCCGAGAGGGAGTCGGTCCAAAACCTCGGCCGCTGGCGCAGCGCGGACGTGATGCAGCGGCATTATATTAAGGAGAGCACGCAGAAGAAGCGGGCCCTTACCGCACGCATTGTCGGCGCGACCCAAGGTTAAGAGCACTGTGGTCCTTTCAAGTTCTGGGTGCTGTCAGCACAATCGGCCACTAGTGCATCTTAAACATGGGTTGGGGCGTCGGGATGTGTGGGTTAGGGTAGGGTTCTTGGCGTGGAGGCGACGTACGGCTGGTTGGCTTCGGCTTACATTATCTGCTGTAACGCATCACGGCAGCTAAAGCAAGAAGATGCCACTTCTGTAAGGAAGTATGACTGAAGAAGTAGGTTTCTTGCTAGCTGCCGTGGTGCGTGGAAGCAGATGGCGCGCTTGCATGGGTGTACGACAGCGATGGCAAATCGACCCAGCCTATCAGGGCTGTCCACGCGTTTGTGCTTTTAACTGCCGTTGTGATTGATAGTATCGGGTGGCCATCCCTCTGCCGGGATTGTGGCCGCCTAGGTCCCACCCACCCGCCCGAGGTCGCGCCTAGCGAGTGGGGGTTTGCTTGCGTTTCGTCTTTAGTAGGACAACCAGTTTGGGGAGCTACTTGGACGCCGGTCTCTCAATTAAGGGGGTCAATCGGCAATCGAGGTGCAACACTGGGTGCTGTCAGCACAATCGGCCACTAGTGCATCTTAAACATGGGTTGGGGCGTCGGGATGTGTGGGTTAGGGTAGGGTTCTTGGCGTGGAGGCGACGTACGGCTGGTTGGCTTCGGCTTACATTATCTGCTGTAACGCATCACGGCAGCTAAAGCAAGAAACACCCTTCACGCCTTCCATGAAGACATCTTGGATACCGGTACTAAATAAACGCCGGCTGGCTTCCCAGCCATGTGCGCTGTCCGAGCAAGCGTTCAATGGACCAACCGGTGTGGACCAGGTGTGTGGCCCATCATATATTATTATGCCCAAACCCCTGACATGCCCGTTTGCTACGGATACATTACGTCGTACTAGTTGTTGTGGACGCTCTTACCATGACAAACTTCAGGACAGCTAGGTTTGACGTGTAAGGCCCACATACCCGACATCTCATCCGACCATGCATGCGAAGTGCTCGCTTCGAGTCCCCTTGTCGTACAGCTCGTCAGTTCCTTCCTCTTTACCTTCCAGTCCAAGCCACATCAGCAGCCTGCCCTCCAACCCAAACTACCGATGCATTCAGCAGCGCATGCATAGGCCCGAGTGCAAGCGCTTATTAAGCCATCCAATAACGACGGGTTTGACCCTCGGGTGTCCTATCGAGACAAAGGCAACTAGATGAGATGATGACCAATATTTCAAACCCGTTCAGGATGTTTGCCGCTTACGTAACGCACTTAACTTAAAACTAACTCAAGGCGAGGCATCGTTACCACCGCCCGCCGCCCCCGCACTTGCAAAGGGCTCGGAAGTCCAGCCAACGCCACACGAGAAGACGCCAACCACTCGCGCTTCAAAAATCCAGAACGACGACGTAATTCTGTAGTACAGTTTTTAACCCGAGCAAACACCGAGCATCAGAAGGTAAGGACATGCCTCATGTTACGCAAAGGATAAAGGTGAAGGAAGATGCCGGGGCGCCTGTCACGCGCCAACGGACACAAAATCCATACATGTAACCGCTTATTGCGACGTCACCCCTGCGTCGCCCGTTTTAGCCAGCTTGGCAACGTGCCCACCGGCAATGTCTGCTTCCGCCTCAGCTTCAGACGCAGCAGATGTCTCGGCCTGCAGGGGAAGCGAAAGCAACAGAAGTAGGGACACAGTCGGAAACTCACCAGGAACCCAGCGGCACCCAGCTTACGTCATCAACCCGCCCAGTCCCGCCCAACCAGCTCAGCAATCGCCCACCCATGACAGCATATGCATTCAACAACCGACCCGGACATCCCGTGGTAACCACCCACCCTGCGCTTCGCACACGGCTGCAGTAGCGGTGCCGGCGCCGGCTGCTCCACCTCCGCTGCAGCGATGACAGTGGAGGGCGTGATGGCGTTCTTCCGAAGGTTGGCCCACGTCTCCAGCGCGTGCATGGTGCGACTGCAGCAGTGCGGGAGGGGGGGGGATGTGTGTGTGGGGTTGGCCGCAATGCATTCCGGGGGGGGGATGCAGCAGAAGCCGCACACAGGGCACCAAGGAAGTCATAATCGGCAAGCCGCTGTCTCTGCGCCTTGTCGGCACTTTCGGGTTGTGGGGCCATAAGCCTCCAAGAGTAAATGTAGGTCGGGGCAAATGGCCAGCAACCAAACCAGCTCCCAGGCCTCTATCACAGGCAAGCCATGCCGGGCCGTGGCACACAATGATGCCACACCGGCGCCGTACAGCCAAACGCCCCACCTGCAGGACCTGCCATGCACCTCTTCAGCAGCCAACCCACTCACCCCACGAGCGGCTCCGCATGCTTGCCCGCCGCAAACGCCCCCTCTCCCCGCTCCGCAACGTACGTCAGCGACGATGCCTCCGAAGCAGACGTCGCTGCGCCCCGGGCCGCCCCCAACGGCACCCTTGCCGCCGCGCCCTCCTCCACGCCCGCAGCACCCGCTGTCCCCATCCCTGGAGCAAAAGCAACAGCGGTAGTGGCCGCACCCTCCGACTCCGCTGCATGCGGCCTCGCTGCTGCGACGTCACCCTGGAGAGCGCGGGCCGCCGCCTCAGCTGAGGGCACTACCATGTCAACGCCGGCATCGCCACCGGCACCAGCAGCATGAGCAGCAGCAGCCGTAGAAGGAGCTCCAGGCCGCAAGGCGGCTAGCTGCTGCTGAGGTGCGGGCGCCATCTGCGTCGTGAGCACCACCAGCTGCTCTGCTCGCTTGGCCAGACGACTCATGATGGTGGTTGAGGAGAAGGGCTGGGGGGGGGTGCGGTGCAGCAGAAAAGGGAAGGGAGGAGTGAGGAAGGAAGAGCGGAAGGAAAGGGTAGGTGGGGCAGGTGTTGAGGGACTGGCGGAAGAAGGCCATGATGGACTCGCGACGCCTACATGCCACGCCTACCCTGAACTCAACCGGCGGGACGGGTACCAGCCTCCAAACCCACACCACCAGACACCTGCCTGCTGCAGCACATTGGCAAGGTACGGCGCGCGCAGCAACACGCCTGAGCGCTTGTCGTGTTTCTTCAGGATTTTGACAACCGCCGCGTAGTTCAGCAGGCTCCAGTGCAGCAGCAGCACCATCTCCCCGTGGAACTGAACCAGCCGGGCTTTTATTTCATGCAAATGGTCGTGGCGGTGGTGGTGATGGTGCTGGTGATGCGGCGGCTGTTGCTGTAACCGTTGCTGCTCGTCCACTGGGGCTTCCTGAGCCGCGCCTCCTTCCCCTAGTTCCAAGCCGCTGGCTTCAGCAGCTGCTGCTGCTGGAGTGTCCGTGTCCACGTCTTGTTGCGCCCCCACAGCACCCGCAGCTCCCGCTGCTGCTGCTGCTTCCCTTGCGGTGGCTGGCTCCAGACCACAACACGGCGCTACCAGCACTGCCTCCGCCACGTCTCCCTGGGCCTGCTGCTGATGCTGATGCGGTGGCGGTGGCTGCTGCTGTTGGGGTCGCTGCGGGGCGGGGTGCCGGGCCGTTGCCGCCGTAGCTGCCGGTGCGTCCTCAGTGTCCGAAAAGGTTCCGTTCACCAGGCCGGGCGGCAGCTGCAGTCCTAGGGCCGCTGCCGCAGCCGCCACCTCATCACATAGCGCCTGGTCAGGGTAAGGGCAAGGGTAAGGGTAAGGGCAAGTAAGGTGGGGATTTGGACGAGCAGCTCAGTCGCAGAGGCTTAGAAGGCAATCATTGGAGGAGTTATGTTTGAGGAGTAACTATAGCTGCTCCCATGCAGCGTCCGTAGGTGTAACAGCGAACAGCCTGGTAGCATAGCGAGGCATTGCAGGCTTCCTGTGGTTCACATACACCCAACCCCGTTCCCGCAGCCCTAGGACCCCTTCCAAGGGCACCATGCGGGACCCACCTGAAGCCGAATGACCGCCTCCTCCTCCTTCTCTATGAAGTAGCGGTTGAAGCGCGCAAGATCCTGGGCGTTAGGAAGCAATTGAATGGAATGAGAGGAGGGAATGGAAGCACGCGGGCATGGTACAGCACCACATATCGGTAGCACCACAACCCGGTGCGCATCGGCATTGCATGGCGCCTCCCATCCCACGCACCAGCTCTTTTCAAGAAAAAACTAGCCCGCATGACGCACGCCTAGTGTACCCGCAGGGTCGCCACCTCAGTACCGTTCCCACGCCCCTAGTACCCGCACCGTCCCCACCTCCGTCACCTCCACTGCCCCCGTCCCCCACCTCGTTCAGTGTGGTAATGAAGGCCTGTTCCTCGGGCGACAGCACAGCCATGGATGCCATGGGAGCCTGGAGGGAGCAGCAAAGAAGAAGGGGCGCGGGGTTTGAAGGAATGAGGGGCGGAATCTTGTGTCAGCAGCCGAGCCCAGCAGGCCTTGGAATCCCTAACACGCCAAGCCTATGCAACGCCCATGCACATGCAAGAGCCGTGGCATGGGCGCAGGAACGTACCCCGGTGCTGACGCTGCCGGCGGTGCTGGCGTCAAAGGACGTGCTCGTGTGCTTCTCGGCCCCAGCCGCCGCGTCTTCACAAGTCCAAGTCCAACACAGGGAGGGAACACGCAGGACAAGGGGTTAAGGGAGTGATGAGCGGTGACCTCAGCTGCCATGAGGCTGCTGTGGTGGTGTCGTGTGTCACAGCATACCGGTATAACTCACCAGCGTTCACTGGTATGGCCTTGATCTGCTTCTTGAGCTCCTTGTAGCGCAGGAAGAGGTCGCGCATGTCGGCCGGCATGTTTTCCGAGCTAACTTTGAGGACTTTGCCGAACTGCGTGCATCCGCAGACGTCGTACCAGAGGGGACGTCGTAGAACAGGGGAGGGGTTCAGAATGTTATGCAGAGAAGGGACAGCACCATAGTCGGCTGCAAGGCGGAGCGTTCAGCTATTCACCAGGGCATAAACCGGCGCGCGCGCCATGTGCTGTCTCATACAGCATGGTCTAGCGGGTGAAAAGCTAGTGCGATGCTCTTGAGACACCCGCCAAACCCATCAACCAACCCAACAAACCCACCTTCATCTTTCCTGGCTGTACGTAAGAAGCCGCAATAATGATACAAGTAAGGGTCCTGAAACCGAAGACGGTCAGGCACTTCTTTCCCGCATCCGCAATGCCAAATTGTCTTTGTGCCCTGCGCTGGCGAGCGGAAAGGATGGCAGAGAGGGCAGAGCGGCAGACATATACTAATCACGTCCATGGACACAGCGCTTTTACTTGCTCAACAACACATAGCCGTAAGCGAGGACAAATCCTGGAATAGGACAGCCTGTTCGCAAACGGCACCGGTACATTGTCGACTGGTGAGCTGTGCCATTCCCTATCAAGCAGACAACGATAGGGACGTTTGCAGCAAAATAAGGCTTCCATACGCACCGCTTTAATAGTTAAAGCACGAGTTGTAACACCCTCGACACAATGGCAGCGCCCGGGACCGCGCCGCGCGTAGTTGAACGCCTGCTTCCACAAACTGCTAACCCTGACAAGTGTAAGAGGTTACTCTATTCCTGCCCGCACTATCTGCGTAATGGCCTTCGAGCAGCCCGTCAAGGGTTAGGGCCCAACGGAGTACTAACAGAATGACAACTATGATTCAGTGACTTTGTGGCTACTGAGGCGTATTTGCCAGCGCAGGTGTGCCAAGATGCTCGGCATGTGCTTTACAGACAACGCATGTACGGCCTCATAAAAGGAATCTTCTTCGGCGACCAAGATTCTTGCGCCTTAGGTGCCGCGTTCTTCAGGCGAGCAGCTCAGAGGTATAATGGTGTAACAGTTACAGACAAACACTCCTCTAACGGATTTTGCGCCGCCTGGTCCCATGGTTCCGGAGGTCAAACCAACTACTTGGCAAATAAACATATGAAGAAGAGAAGTTGATGGGATGTAATGGGGGCACGTTGTTTTTGCTGACAAGTTAGGCCACGCTTCTGCTTACCCAATACGTTTTGACGTGCAACAAATTGGTATTAGCAAATTAGCTTCCCAGTTAAGCACTGCAATAGTCCAGTTGAGATGTGCATAGTGGTCTACATTGCAATAGTATACTGCGATTTATGGTGCCAACAAGGTAAACGTTTACCATCCCCGTCCTTCCCGGCTTCCCCGTCGCCTGTTAACGTCTGTGGTGTCCGCGCCGGCAGAATATCCCTCATGAGCTCCTTGGCAAGGAACGGACGAGCAGCACTGACGCCACGACCACCCCACCCGTTTACAAGTAACAATGGGGCCCTTTGGCTTTTATCCTGTTAATCAGCCGTGTTAAGCTCTACAACCGAACGTAATCAAATGTGCACACCATTATACGGATCGATCCCTTTCTGAAACGCTACAAGCGGCAAGCATTCAACGTGTTCGTCCTCGTACAACGAACGGTACGAAAATACGGCAAATCAACAAGTTTGATGACGCCAACGTGACCTGGGGAGCAAGTTACGAGGAACTGCCAATCGTCCTGAGTGCTGTTATTTCATACCTGCAAAGCAGAAGGCCCTGCCTTTGCCTACATTAACCCTCATCAACCAAGATGCTAGCTCATATTGGCCCTCCAGCAAAGTCGTCATTTAGGGGGAACCCCAACTCCTGTAAGCAACATCGCATCAACTGCAAGGCGAAGAAGTTGTTTGACAAACTAGTAATTCCGTACCGTATCAACTCTCCTGCAATGCTGGCCAGGGCTGCACAAATGACAGCTGCAGGGCAAACAACCGCTTTAGGGCTGCATGCAATTGGCTGATGCCTCTAGCCCAGCCGAAACTCCTACCTAGTGCTATTGCACGCGATGCCTAACAAGGCAAGCTGTCCACATTGCAACATTGAGCTATTCAAGAGGCAGCAACAAACCACGGGGCTTAGAGCTCTCCAAAACACAAGCAGTTATACGTTGTGCTTGAGTCAACAGGGACAAGCAACAAAACCTCATAATCAGCCTCCCCTGCAGCATCCATGCCAACACAACAGGGACAAAAGCACCAAAACAATATCATAAAACATCCTGACATCCTGACAGGTGTCAACGCTCAGGTCTTATCATCAACCCCTCAAACACAACAAGAGATCAACGGTACACCAACCAACCACATCCAAGGCCTTTCCTACAGCCCTGCAACACCACCCCCTCACACCGTCTCCTCACTCCCATCCACTCTTCACGCCCCACCGGCGCCCCCCAAGCCGCCGCCCAAGCCTGATAGCGTATGACTCAGCACCTGCTGCAGCTCCGGGTCGAGACCTTGCAACGCTTCCAGCAAGGTGGAGGCAACCGGAGGGTTGGCGGCTGGGGCGGCAGCAGCTGGGGCGGCAGCAATAGCGGTGGCAGCAGCTGGGGCAGAGGCGGCAGCAGCGGCTGGAGCAGCAGCAGCGGCAGCGCCCTTCGCTACCCCCTGCTGAACTCCCCCGACCGCCGCAGTCACCACACCCCGTGGAACCTCCCAATCCATATCATGGTCGCCCTCATCGGTGGGCTCCCCATCATCCTCCACCTCATACAACCTCCCCTCGGGCGCAGGCTGCAGCGGCGGCTGGTGCTGCAACGCCCCCGGCTGCGCCTCCAAGCCAGAACGCAGGGACTGCTCCTGCTGCTGCAGGGGTTGCTCCTGCTGCTGCTGGGGCAACATCCATGAGTCAAGCGCCTGCATGACACCACAAGCAGAAGAAACACCGCCCAGCACCGGTAGCGCCGGCGGTGTCACTGCCACAGACCCCACCATCATCAGTGCAGCAGTGCTGGCTGGGGCCGTGCCGCTCCCTTCAACACTGTCACCGTGCTGTGGTGGTGGCGGCAGCGACGCTGCGGGCGAGTGGCTGTTGTGGATTAAGGCAGGTACGACGGCCGACATGGGCTGCGGGAGCTGATTGGGGAGGGAAGACATGGAGGTGGGTGCAAGCGGCGCAGCAGCAGCAGTAGCAGCAGTAGCAGCAGTAGCAGCAGTAGCAGTAGCAGAAGCAGAAGCGTCGGAGGGAAGAGGCGGTACGCTTCCGGTTCCAGTTGTGGCTGCAGTCGCAGTTGCAGGCAGCACCCCACTTGCGGCCGGCATGGGAGCTGCCGCGAGCCTGGCACCGGGTGGCAGCAAACCCTGCGGGGGCGGCGTGCAGAGAAGGCATGACAGGCTATTAGTATCCGTACGCAGTTTCTTTAACTGTCGTTGCTTTTGTTTGGCATACCGGTATCTTGACCGAGGACATAATTTGAGGACATCAGCAGCTTCTCGTCGAGCCCTCGTAAGAGTCGTACCGCACACCGCCTCCTCAAGCACACGAATCCCTGCAACCTTGGTTCCTCCAGCCTCACCAACCCATGTTACGGTATGCATGTTACCCCAACCCGCCCACCCACCTGATGCAGCGCGCTGACCGGCACCTGCAGCAGCACATAAGGCTCTCCCGCCACCGGTGGGGCGAACGGAAGCACCCCGGTAGGCGGCAGGTGCAGGAGCGTCGCAGCAGCAGTCAGCCCGCTCGTCATGGAGGCAGCGCCCGCAGTGCCCGCCGCGCCCGCAGTCGCCGCCGAAGCGGTGCCGCCGTGGCTGCCGCTCTCGCGCCACTCGACGGAGTTCGAGCGACTGCGGTACGGCTCGGAGGCGGTGGCGGTGGCGGCGCGGCTGTCCAACTGCGCGCTGTCGTTGTGGGAGCGACGTTCTCGGGAGGCAGCGGTGGCGTCTGCAGGCGACCTTGACCTTGACCGCGACCTCCGTTTGTGTGGCGAGTGAGACCGACGGGCGGATGAGCGCTGCGGCGACCGCGGCCGGCGACCCCCGCCTTCAGTGCCCCTTGGGGAACCGGTGCCCTTCCGCCTCGCGTCACTCTCCTTGTCTCTGCTGCTGCTGCGGTAACGCGCGTCCCTGTCCCGCTCCCTGTCCCGCTCCTTATCGCGATACTGGTTGTTGTTGTCCCTGCTGTCACCGGGCCGCTCCCGCTCCCGGTCACGCTCCCGCCCATGCTCCCGATGCTTTTCCCTCTCACGGTCACGGTCACGGTCACGGTCACGGTCACGGTCACGGTCACGGTCACGGTCACGGTCACGGTCACGGTCACGGTCACGGTCACGGTCACGGTCACGGTCGCGAGTGCCCCCCTCAACGGTGCTCGGAGAAGTCAGCCCCGGCCGCAAGTCGCTTGCCGGGCCCTGCGGCCGCTGCCTGTCCCCTTCCCTGTCTTTCTCCCGCCCCTGCTCCTTCTCTCTTTCTCGGTTCCGTTCCCTTTCTCTTTCCGCTCGATAACGTTCCCCATCGCGGTCGCGGTCGCCGTAACGGTCAGCGGCGCGCGACACCTTCGATTTGACGTCAACGCCGCCGCCGCCGCCGCGCTCACCGCGATCCCGACGCGCCGCCGCCGCCGTTGGAGACCGCGGCCGAGGAGGAGAACGTGTACGGGAACGTGACCGGCTGTGCCTGCCGCTGCTGCCATGCTGACGGTCCCTGCCGTCGCCTCGTCCAACGACACCCTGGCCGCCTACGCTGGGGCCTCCGCCTCCGCCGGACCCCTTGTCATGACCCTCACGGGACCCTCTGTCTTCGGAGCTACCTCCGCCACTGCTACCGCCGGGGCGGCCTCTATGCGGCGCGCCCGCCGCACCCGGTTGCCCCTCCCTGGCCCGTCCACCTGCATGCTCTGGCTCCGGCTTCGGCTGCGGCTTCCCACTCGCCACGTCCCGGGAGGGTTCGGGAGGCCCCGCTGGGGCGCCGCCTTCCCGTGCTTGCTGCTGCTGCTGGGGAGCTTGTTGCCGGTTGGGGTAAACAGGGCGGAGATGAAGAGGCAGCACTGTGCCTGCGCCGCCGCTACCGCCGCGGCCGGCACCGCTGCCGCCACGGCCTGGGGCTGCGGCCTGATCTCCAGGTGCAGCGTGCCTGGGCGGCGGCGGCGGCAGTAGGACTTCAGGAGACGGCATGGGCCGTTGGACGGCAGCGGCGGGTGCCAGGTAACCTGACGGAGGTGGTGGTCCGGGCAGCGGTGGCAGCCCCGGCAGAGCCGCATTGCTTGATTGAGGCGGCGTGTGCTCGGATGCGGTAGCAGCAGCAGCCGACGGCGGCGGCGGCGGTGGTGCTACCATGTCCTGCTGCTGCGGTGGGGCCTGCTCCGGCCGTTCCTGCCACTGCTCTTCCTCTGCACGAGTGGGTGAGTACAGCACTGAAATCGGCAGGGGCCGTGTGGGAGAGTAGAGGCCGCCTCCAAGCCAGGGCTGTGTTAGCAAGTCCTCTGCTGGTTCAGGCTGCGGCGGCGGTGGAGGCGGTGGAGGTGCGGCAGTGCCGTCCGCGGCCTTCGTTGCCGTTACCACGGGACCCGCGGGGGCCAAAGCTACTGCGCCAGCGCCGCTCGTCAGTGGGAGTCCTTCCGGCCCACCTGGCCCCGCATGAGCGCGACGGACCCGTGGGTCAATTGGGACATACCCCACGCCTCGTTGCGGACCGGCGGCTGAGGGCACCGGTGGAGGGTGTACGGAAGCCGCCTGGCGATGTCCCAACGCAGCCGCGGCGCCGCCTCCTGCAGCAGCAGCATGGGAGCCTCCTGCGGCCGGAAGACTGGTTCTCATGGGCGCCGGCCGAGGCGGCAACCTCACGACTCCGGCTGCTGAAGCGCTGCCAATGCCTCCGCTGGTGATGCTGGGTGTGATCTTCCTTGCTGCGGTGTCATGGGCCATGTGCGAAGGCTGAGTGGGAAATGAGGGAGGGCGTTGTGCTGGGGGGGCCTCAGGCGGTCCCCGGGGGTGGGTGCCGGCGGAGGATGGAGGTGCAGTGACATGCGGCGGCGGCGGGGGTGGAAACGGCGGTTGCGGTTCAACGTCGGCGTCCGAGTGAGTGATTGTCATCTACAGGGTACGGCAAGGTGTGTCATGGGATTAGTACCGGGTGGTAGAAAGGCGGTCAGGGTTAGAGGGACTCATGTGCGTGAGCGAACAAGAAGGGAGACATGCAGGGCTGCAAGGCCTCTTAAGGTGCATACACGCAAAGAAAGTGTTCAAAGCAGGTCGTACCTGAAAACCGTACATGTAGGACGCCTGCGAGGCAATCCAAAGGAAGGAGGCCGGGGCACGTTGTTAGGGAGGGAAGGCAACGAGTGCAGGCGGTTGGGCTGCGATTGCGTGTACGCCTCAGTAGTCATGTCGGGACTTTTTCAACCCCGGAATGAACAGAATCCGGCAAGTCAAATGCATGCAAGCTACCCCGGGCAACAACACTAACAAGGAAGGACCCACAGAGCACTGTAAACCCTCCTGACGCAACACATACAGGCAACCAACACCCTCCGTCTATGAAATGCCGAATGCTAACCATCCAGCATGACTCGGATCGCTTATAACGTACCTTCAACAGTCGCGGTCCTTCGTACCGCAGCCGTGCTTCCAGCCTTTGCGCGTCGCCAGCTCGCGGGAAGGTCAACGAGGCCACCCGGCGACCCGGCGTGTAGTCCACTTTCAGCAGCGGCCTGCAGGGGTGCGTGAACACCGGAATAGAGCGACCTTTACACAGCATAAACATCATGGACAACGTTCAGACAGGCTTATCCTTGTTCCACTGTCATCCGTTGCAATCTACGGGTACGTCGCCTTGCTCCATTGCTATGAGGCCTATGAGGCATATGGCATGCCAGCTAGCAAGGCTGCAAGAGCACCACAGGCCATGAGCCGCCGACCCAGCTAGCATTCCAGCCTAGCATGCTAGTGGCTAGCATACCAGCTAGCATGCCCCCTAGCATGCCAGCCTAGCATGCTAGTGGCTAGCATGCCAGCTAGCAAGCGCACCTGGCAGCAGGGTCGGCGGTGAAGCCCTCAACCAGCGCCTCAAAGGTGCTCTCAGTCGGCATAGCGACTCCCTGGGGCAGCGGGTGCAACACAGCCGGGGTACAACGGGCATGACCACTTGCAACGTTGCAAGAAGCAATGTTCTGCACCACACTACAAATTGGGGGAGTCGCAGCCCCTCAAACACACACCCCCCCCAACCGCAAGCGCCGGGCCAGTGTCCGCCGTGCAGCGCGGTTGGTCCATCACGCAATCAAAGTATGAAGTAGCAGTCACGTGTGCAGAGGCATGCTTGACAGCGCGCACGCGCACGGAAGCTACCGGTACCTTGCCGAACCAGATGTTCAGTCGGTTGCCGCCGCCTCGACCCCGTTGCGGCTCCTGCTGCTGCTGCTTGTGCGCAGGTCGGGGCACACCCGGCGCCAGCCCTCCTGCTCCTGGAGGGACACCGGGACCAGACCCCATGACAGCAGCAGCACCACCGCCACCACTAGCCCTCCCGGCCGCAGTAGCCGCCGCCGCCGGCTGCCGAGCCGCCGCCGGCTGCCGAGCCGTCACGGACCTTAGATCTACCAACGCCGTTGGATTAAAACCGCCGCCGCCGCTGACGGTGCCAGCGCGCGGACGCGCCGTTGGCACCGCCGTTCCGCTGCCCCCGGCAGCGGTGCTAGCGCCATCCCCCGTTCCTGCTGCTGTGCTGCTCCGGCCGGTAAGGTTAACCAGGCGACGTAACGGCTGCTCCAGTGCGCCTAAATCCAGCCCATCGTCGACTGAGGTCTTGGCTGCGGCTGGCCGTGACGTCAACGCTGCCGCCGCCGTCACAGGAGGACCGCCGTCGGGGCCTGGTACGGCAGCCTGTCGGGCCGAGATGCCGGCGGCGGCCGCCGAGCCGCTTGGAAGTGGCTTGACTGCTGCGCCGTCACCTGGAAGCAGGAGACCGCCCTTCCTACCAGTTGCTTGGGTGATTGCTTGGGTGGCTGCTCCTTCCCCATCTGCCTTCCCTGCTCCTGTACGCAGCTTAGCCTCCTGGCTGCTGCTCTGTTGCCGAGCCTGGGGCTGCAGCTTGTCCTGGTGTTGCTTGGGTTTCGGCGGAAGCGGCAGCGCTGCTGCGGGTTGCGGGTGCTGCAGACCTTGCCGCGGGGGCGGTGCTGCAGCTGCAGCGGTGCCCGACAGCGGCGGGGGGTTCCATGCGTCTGCTGTCTTGAGGGTTGAGGTGCACAGCCGGCACAGCTGGCCGTGCTGTGCTAGGTGGCTCTGCGCGTAACACAGCTCACGTGCCCTGCATACGTTTGTCACATACTTACTGCGTTAGTCACATACGAGCAGTACATTAAAGTAGTCACATACGCAGTAGCGTCAGCACGGAGAGAGTTCATGCGGGGTGGTATGAGCAGGTTGCAAGCTCGCGCGCTACATGCGGGAAGAGGTGCACGAAGTTCATGAAGGAAAGGCCGCCGCTGGTACGGTCCTCAAACCTACCCAGGTCTCAACCACACATGCTCGCTGCACATGCAAGCAACTCCTGTGGCCCCCTTGCAGCCCCATACATAACCTACCTCATATCGAACCATGCAGTATCCAGGCAGCACACGTTCAGCACCCCAACAAACACTCATCTTTCCCAGCCGCTACCTCCCCCACCTCACCCCACCTCACCTCAGCAGCGCCGCTCGCTTCAGCGTCCCGCTGCGGTGGGCAGCCGGCTGGCTGGCCGCTGCCAGCGGGTCCTGCGCTAGCTGCCGAAGGAACTGTACGACACCCCGAAACCCGCCCGTAGCCAGCTTGCCGCCCCAGTACGGGTGCTTGCCTTGTCGTACGGCAGCGGCCGCCCCGGGAGCAATGTGCCAGTGCGGTGCGGCAGCGGCGAGTGCTGGCTGGGGGTCAGGACGGCTTGGAGCCGTGGGGGCAGCGGCAGCGGCGGAGGTAATGTCGTGGGGTGCGGCTGAGGGAGCTAGTTCTGGAGCTGTGACCACCGCCACTGTTCCAGGAGCGGCAGCAGCAGTACCGGCAGCAGCAGGAGCAGCCGCATGGGGAGCGCTGCCGGGAGGACCGTCGGTACTGGCGCCGGCATCAGGGGTAGAATCAGGGACAGCAGCGGCAGCAGCAGCGGCGCCGACGGGTTTTCCTGCCCTTGCCGCCGCCGCAGCAGCAGCCGCAGCTGCCACGGCCTCCTCCGTCGCCACACGCAGGGCTGACCTAGCAGCTTTTTCAGCCTGCGCCTGCGCGACGGGAACGCCTGTGACCTCCCCAGCCACTGGAGTCGGCTGCCGCGGCGGCAACGATGGCGGCGGTTTCGTGGGTGGCGGCACCAGCCATCGGCTGCGAAGGGAGCTGCTACCGGAGCTTCCCCTGCTTCCTGGCTGCTGCTGCTGTGGTGGGGGAGGAGGGGTTCCGGTCCGCATGGGAAGCTGCTGCTGGGATATGGTGGTGGTGGTTTCGAAACCTGAGGGACCGGGCTGCTTGTGGTGACCTGCCTCCGTTTGAGCAGCATCAGCAGCGCCCTTGCTTGGCACAGCAGCAGCAGGAGCGGCAGCAGGAGCGGCGGCAGCAGCAGCACTGCCGGTATCAGTAAGTGTCGTAGCGTGTGCAGGAGCAGGGGTGCTCATTGCCTGGGCAGAGATCGGCTCCTCCGCTCCGGCCTCCTCTGTCATGGTTGATGTCGCTTCTGCAGGTGCTGCTGCAGGTGCTGCTGCGGCTGTTAGCGCTAGGGTTCCTGCCGTCTCTTCTCCTTCAACTCCAACAGGCGCCTCAGCCGAAGCAGCCGCGGTCCCTGTAACCCCGGCTTCAACGCCCGCTCCCGCCGGGAGGACAAGCAGCTCAGAGACCTCGCCGCCCACTGCTGCCTGGTCGGCTGCGGCTTGCTCCAAGGTGTCAGCCGCAGGCTCCCTTGCATCCTGCTCCTCTGCACTGATTCCTGCTCCCTCCGCCTCCCTCCTTATTACCGTCTGCTGCCCTTCTGCTGCAAGCTCTGCAGTGCCCGCCAGCCCAGCAGACCCCTCAGCTCCGTCTGCTTCGGCTGCTGCCCCCTCATCCTCCTCCTCCTCCTCAGCTGGTATGAGCGCGTACACCTCTAATGCCTCCTCGGATTCCGCTGGCATCGGCGCCTCTGCTTCTGCTGCCGCCTCCGTCACTTCTGCCTTAGCCGCCGCAACCTCTGCTGCTTCAAACGGTGCTTCTGTCCCTCCCGCTTCCCCCGATGCAGACGGTTCCCCCCCTGCCTGTGCCGCGGTCTCCTGTTCTGGAATGGCAAGTGCCGCCGCTTCCGCAGTGAGGAGCGCAGCCCCTACCTCCGATGTCGTAGGTACCTCCGCACCCGCTGCTGCTGCTGCTGCTGCTGCTAGTACCTCCGCTGCGACCGCTGCCGGCGCCTTAGCCATCGCGGCCACCAAGGCCTCCGCCTCAGACGTCGCTGCCACCAATGCTTCCGCCCCTGCAGCCATCTCCTCCATGTCCATCCCTGCTGCCGCTACTGCCCCCGCCTCCCCTGCCCCAGCCCAAGCAGCCTCTTGTTCCCCGGTGGGTGCCGCTACCTCCGAAGCCGTTGGGAGTTCCGTTGCGTGTACCTCCTCCGCCTCCCCAGCAACTGAGACATCGGCATCCGCCGCTTCCGCAGATGCCTCAGCCTCACCTGCCGCTGGGGCTTCCTCCACCGCCTCCCCGGCCGCTGAGCCGTCTGCTGCCACCGCTGCCTCTTCCGTTTCGGCTGCCTCTGCCGCCTCAACCGCCTCATCGTGCGCTGCTGCTGCTGTCGGCACCTCCGCTGCGACCGGCACTGCTGCCTCGACCTTCTCCGCTGCTGCTGCTGCGGCGGCGAAGGCGAAGGCCGCTTCCGCACCCGCCGCCGCTTCCGGTGTCTCCGCCACCTGCATTGCGTTGGAGCCAAGCATCTGCTCGACAGCTGGGGCTGGGCCCCCCTCCTCGGCAGCTGCCGCTGCTCCCCGCACTTCCTCTGCGGCTGGGGCCTCCGCCAACCCTGTCAACGCTGATGCTCCCGCCTCCAGGGCTTCCTCTGTCGCTTCCATCGCATCCGCACTACGGGTTGCTGCCGCTGGGGCCTCCTCATGCACCATCGCCGGAGCTCCCTCATCATCATCATCCCCCGCCTCCGCTGCTGCTGCTGGGCCTTCCGCTGAGGCCGCAGCTGCCGTCATGTCTGCTGAGAGCACCTCCGCCTCCGCTGCTGCTGCTGAAGGTGCCTGCGCTGCTGGGGGCGCCTCCGCTGCCGGGCTGCTCTCCCTGATGACACCAGCGCTGACGTAGACGCCTGGGCCGGCCAAACCCAGACTCCTCCGAGCCCCGGACTTGCTCCCTCTGGCAAAGCGTGCAATGGTCGTCATATCTCCACCATCACCTTCCTCCCCCTCCAGCTCCGGCCCTGCCAACACCTCCCTCTCTGCATTACCGCTGCGTTCATGCTTGGTGGCGGCAGCAGCAGGCCCCTTGCCGTCCGCAGCCGCGGTGGTGGGCTTGTCGCCGGGAACGGAAACCGTAACATGACGGCGCTTCTTCTTCTTCTTCTTACGCACATCCGGCTGCGTCTCTGGCTGCTGAACTGCACTGCGGTGGGGCCCGGCTGCCGTACTGGGCCCTACGGCGGCGGCGGTGGAAGGGCCGGCCAACATTTGAGGCAGTGCAGGAGTAGGCAATGTTGGTGGTGCGGCTATCGCATCCGTACTACGTGTTGCTGGGACCCCGTCATGCATCTCCGCCGGAGCTGCCCCCTCCTCCGCCTCTGCTGCTGCCTCTGCTGCTGCTGCTGAGGGCGCCTCCGCTGCTGCCTCCGCCTCCACTGCTGAGGGTGACTCCGCTGCGGCGTCAGGGAGCCCCTCGCCACGGAAGGCTTCCTCGCCTTGGGCAGCCGCGTCAGGCGCTACCAGTGGTGGCGCCTCTTGCAGCGGCTCCGTCCCACCGCCACCCCTGTCCTGCTCGTGCTGCTCTTCGTCCTGCGCAGCTACTGCCGGGCTGCTCTCCCTGATGACGCCAGCACTGACATAAACGCCTCCTGGGGCGGCCGCACCCAGACTCCTCCGAGACCCGGACTTGCTCCCTTTGGCAAGGCGGGCGATGGTCGTCACATCACCATCATTACCTTCCTCCTCCTTCTCCTCTTCCGGCCTTGCCACCGCTTCCCTCTCCGCATGACCGCTGCGTTGAATCTTGGTGGCGGCAGCAGCAGCAGCAACGGTGCCGTCTGCAGCCCCGGTGGTAGACGCCTCACCGGGAAGGGAGGGCGGAACATGGCGTCGTTTCTTTTTCTTCTTCTTACGCACGTCCGGCTGCGTCCCTGGCTGTTGTACAGCACTGCAGTGAGGTCCGGCTGCCGTACTGGGCCCTACGGCGGCGGCGGCGGAAGGGCCGGCCAACATTTGGGGCAGCGCAGGAGTAGGCGAGGTTCGTGGTTCGGCTATCGCATCCGTACTACGTGTTGCTGGGACCCCGTCATGCATCTCCGTCGGAGCTCCTTCCTCCTCCGCCTCCGCTTCTGTTGCTGAGAGCGCCTCTGCCTTCGCTGCTGCCTCCGCTGCTGACGGTGCCTCCGCTGCTGCCTCCGCCTCCGCTGCTGCCTCCTCTGCTGCTGCAGGTGGTGCCTGCTCTGCGGCGTAAGGGAGCCCTTCGCCACGGGAGGCTTCTTCGCCTCGGAAGGCTTCTTCGCCTTGAGCAGCCGCGTCAGACGCTGCCAACGGTGACGCCTCTTGCAGCGGCTCCGGCCCACAGCCACCCCTGTCCCGCTGCTCCTCCGGCATTCCGCCGACACCCCTGTCCTGCTCATGCTGCTCCTCTTCCTGCACAGCTTCTGCCGGGCTGCTCTCCCTGATCACACCCGCGCTGACGTAAACGCCTCCTGGGGCGGCCGCATGCAGCCGCCGAGCCGAGCCCCTGGCAAAGCGTGCAATGGTCGTCACATCACCATCATCACCTTCCTCCTCCTTCGCTTCCGGTCTCGTCACCGCTTCCCTCTCCGCATTGCTGGTGCGTTGAACCTTGGTGGCGGCAGCAGCAGCAGTAGGCCCCTTGCCGTCCGCAGCCGCGGTGGTGGGCGCCTCGCCGGGAACGGAAAACTGAACACGGCGGCGTTTCTTCACCTCCTTCTTCCCATGCACATCCTGCTGCGCCCCTGGCTGTCGTACTATCGGTATCTCGGATGCACGGCGGCGGACAGACCCCGCTGCCGTACTGGGGCCGGCGGCGGCGGCGGCGGAGGGGCCGCCAGCCGCCCCTTGGACAGGCAGCACGGGAGCGGGCAGGGATGGTGGTGCGGCCGGGTTTGGCGGCCGGTGGTCTCTGTAGCTGAGCAGGATGTCGCCCAGAGGGGAGTCCTGTTCGGATGGGGTTAAGGAACGGGACGTGATGAAAACCAGTGGCGGAAAAAGAATATCCAATGGGGATATGAACCAGTGAGTGGGGACCTGCCAGGGGAGCTTATACAAGGTATGCGCCATGGACTGCCATGCAGCACGCAAAAGTTGTTGCTACTGCGTGTTTGACAATCCAACAACAGGAGGTACGGCAGGCAGGCCCCCCGGCCCTCGGGCGGCATGCTGCATTAGGAACGGCGGTGCTGGCGGCACTCACCTGCTCAACACTGCACGCGTCACGTGCCGCTGTACGAAGCCATGCTACAACCGGCCACAGGGACGGTTGCGGCTCCGGCATTTGAACCTCCGCAGCCTCTGCTGCTGCCGTTGCTGCTGCTGGTGCCGCTGCTGCCGCGGACGTTTCAGCTTCCGCTGGAAGGTCCATCGCTCTTGCCCCCGCATGTCCTGATGCTGCTGCTGCTGCTGCCCCTGTTCCCGCATCCTCGCCAGTGGCTGGGGTCGTTTCCCGCCCGCCCGAGACCGCTGCAGCTGCTTTACCTTCCGCCTCACAAAGCGCCCTCCCTGCCGCAGCCGCTGCAGCCGCAACCCAGCCAACGTCCTCCATCACAGCCGCCGCTGCCTCTCCCACAGAACCTCCAGCGGGCTGAGCTGCCACATGCCGCGATGCAAGCTCCCTTGCTTGCCGCGCCAACTCATAATTGCCACTGCCAGCTGCAACGGGACCGCCCGCCCCGCCCGCCGCGCCTCCGCCTCCACACCTCCCGTCTCGCAAGCCGAGCGGCCCGATCAGCGGCTGTCCGCCTTCCACAACACCCATGGCGACGGTCGTAACGCCGTCATCATCAGCACCCTCCTCCGCCGTCGCCTCCGCAACGACCTCCTCACGCCCTGCGCCGCTGCCGTCACGGTCGCAAGGGCGTATCCCACCCGCCAACAATGCGTCCTGTTCGTCGCGGCGGCTGTCTCCGGCCCTCAACGCCCCAACATCCAGCTGCTGCTGCTGCAACCCTGGCTTTAGACCGCCGGAAGCTGCGGCCGCGACATCCGGCGCCGTTCCTAGCTCACTCTGCAACGGTGGCAACGCCAGTGTCAGCGGCCGCAACAGCGGTGCCGCAGCAGGCCCTGTGAAGGCGAGCGTCCGCGGTGCCGTTGCCGCCGGTACCTTTTTAACCTCTTTGCGAGGCTGAGGTACGGCCCCTTGGCGCCATTGCTGCTGCCGGCTGCCAGCGCTCCGTCGGCGGTCCCGCTCCTCAGCCGCCGCAGCAGCAGCAGCGGTAGACAGACCGCCGCTGGTTGCTGCGAGCAGCTCGCTTGGAAGCGGTGCCGTCACACGGCGACGTTTCTTAGCCGGTTCCGGGGCAGCAGCAAGGTCTTGCTGGGGAGCTGCAGTCGTACGGCAAGCGGTAGGGGGTACGGCTGCCATACTGGGGCCGGCGGCGGCAGCGGCGGAGAGGCCGCCAGCCGCCCCTAGGACAGGCAGCACGGGAGCGGGCAGGGATGGTGGTGCGGCCGGGTTTGGCGGCCGGTGGTCTCTGTAGCTGAGCAGGATGTCGCCTAGGGGGGAGTCCTGTTGGGTTTCAGGGTCGTGGCGAGGGGGGCGGAACGCGGAAGGTCGGCTTGCGATGGTGCGTTGCCCCATGCAATGCAATGCAGCGGTATACCGCCTTACTGATGACATGTAGCAAAAGAAATGCGCCTTTCGGCGACCCATGCGCCCTTTTGCATCTCCGACAACCCATGGCGCATCCGCTAGCTTTTGCCGCAGCTGCTAGGGTGCTAGGATGCTAGGATGCTGTGCTAAGCAAGAGCTCACTCACTGGATCAACACGGCATGCGTCGCGAGCGGCCGTCCTTAACCACGCTATAACAGAATGTAGGGGGTGCTCCGGCTCCGGCTCCGGCCCCTGCACCCGGCGGCCGCCTTCACCAGGAGCCGCCTCTTCAGCAGATGCCCCGTGAGCTGCATGAGGCTGAACCTGAGGCTGGGCGCGCTCCAACCTCGGCACCGATGTCAAGCCGCCCCCGTCGGCGTCGACATCCATGTCCGCAGTAGCAGCAGGGGCTGCTTGCGCTGCTGTAAGCACATCCATCCGCGCTGCTGCTGCTGCTGCTTCATGGGCTGTATCGAACTCGGTCGGCTCCATGCGCTCCTTTCCAACACGGGAGGGCCCGTCCGCTGCAGGTATTGGCTTCTCCGGTGCGGTTCCGCCAGCCCCGGGTCCCAGCACCCCTGCCGCCCTATCCAGACTGCCGCCCGCAGCCGCCGCCGCCTCTGCTGCTGCTGCCGCCGCTTCCGCTTTAGCAGAAGCTGTTGCTGTTGCTGGCGGTGGCGGTGATGCTTGCTGGGCCGCGCCGCTGCCGCCGGCTGCATGTGGTGTCAGGAAGTCCAGGCGATCCCGCCCCAGGGACGCTGCCCGGCTGCACACCAGCCGGCACCATGCCGGGTCCTGCGCATCCTGTGCATGCAAGGAATACGTAGAATGACGCGACTGACGCGAAGGTCAAACACGGTGAGTCTGAGTCCATGCGCCACAGTGGGGCACACGAACGCTATGGCATGCGTCTAACTACGATATGGGACGATCCCACCCCAGGTTCGAGGGTCTTCCCGGCGCCAAGTACGTGCCCCGGCGCGTCTGGATAAACTGCCAGCAGCCGGCTCACCTTCAAGGACCCCCCCGGACTCCGTGCTGCTGCCCTCAGGCTGCGCAGCGCTGCCTGGCTGGACACAGCTGCACAGTCCGCGGCAGTAGCAGGGTCTAAGGGAGGCAGCAGTGCCCGGTTACGCAGGTCGGCTGGCCAGGTACGTATGTCAGCCAGGTCCAGGTGCTTATGGGTCCCCGACAGGCGCTGCTGCAGCAGTCGCCGCATTTGGTCGATGGCTCGGAGCATGGGCTGCAGTTGCAGATACGGTAGGTGTTTGGGATCGAGGCACCTTGTTCAACCAGTTGCTATGAAATTGGACAACATGGGAGCATGAGGACACGATTGTAGCAGCGACTGGATATGCCAGGCAAGTGTCTGTGCGGCGCGTGCGGAGCGGCATTAAAAACGTTAAAAGCACGATGGGGACGCATAGCTTGCACTATTCAAAAGGCTAGAACCTAGCTTTCATTGTTGCAAGCGTGGAACGCAAAGCACGCAGAGAGAGCGGGTGAGATGGCTCGCTTACTTTGCGATTTTTGCCAGTATTAGGCACGACCAGCGCAGAAAGCTCATCCTCATTAACCACTCGCACAACCGTTGACGTATCGCAGGTGGAAAATTCGGGGATTGTAGTGGCAGCGAGGTATCGCAAGAGGATGGTGCCCCTCCCAAGGGCCGCCCCAAGCTCCGCTCGCACCTCCAAAGGTGCATGGCTTAAATCTGCTACTTGTGCAGGCCAGAAATATCCAAGCCTTTGGGGAACACCGCAAACAAGGTCCCCAACACAGTAAAGGGGCTCAGCCATGTATCCCTAAATAATACTTCGATTATCATCCATGCTTGGTACTTGCTTGATTTTAGAATGCCATGTCCTCCAGGTGGTTAGGGCCGCTTCAATCTGTCAAGTGTACAACAGCATATCAGTTAGAGCTAGGGTAGTTCTTAGGGCCCACTCAACCTGGCCGTCCCAAGGAACTGAAGTATCGTGGTCCGTTAAGGCGTCATGGTGCTAGAGCAGGGCTAGCAAAATGTTCGGTGACTCATGACTGCCCAGCTACCCGTGTACCGGTACCAGAATGCAAGTATACCGGCACAATCACTGAACTGACAAATTGCGGTGGAGCACCCTGACGTGTTCAGGGATTGCATGGAAACTGCTCGATTGAACGCTAAGCATTTGCAGTCTGAGGACGGAGGCACTAGGGGCGTGCAGCTACTAACCAAGGCACTGGGGTCGAGCAAGCGCACAACGGTTACAGTAACGGCTAATGTTGCAATATGCAAAGCTAACACGTGCGGGTGCGTCCTCTCCTGGTGTTGATACAGGTCACTCGGCTAGAAAGCTATAACAAGGCTCTTTCCCAAAACAGGATAAACAAGAACCGTACGACCTGCACCGCGCCGTTCCGATATACACACAACACACATATCCAGCACACACCCTTAAGCAATCTCCAACCAGCAAGCCCAATTATAGGCACAACCCCTACAGCTCTTCTATTAGAAAACAATTGTGCGTTTAGGGTACACATAGGGGTTGGGCAACCTCAGGTTGCTTGGCGGACCCCAATTCAGCCTCAACACGCCTCACACACCGCTCACGTACGCTCTCCGAATATAGCGAGGTCTAGTCTCCAATGAACGAGGTCCGTTTGCGGGCTGGTGAGGACACGCCTATGGAATAGCGTGTACAGCGCAACCACGGCTGCATGCAGCGGTGATGTCCAACATGCGTAAAGCCACTGTGAACGGCATTACGATGCGGTGCGCAAACCCTCCAACCGCAAACCCCTTGAAATTAGACATATGCACAGCGCCCGGGAGTTTAAATTCTTGGAGCATAGCACCAACCCAGAGCCGCCAAATGCACATCAAAACTTTTGGCTGCCGCGCCGAAAGTGTCGCGCGGCCTGAGCAAGGCCAAAAAGTGCGCCGTAACCAATAAAACACGCCCAAAACGAATGAACGTCACGGCTTCTTGGCATGCCCCATGTTGGGCAAACCGTCCATCTTCGTGAAAAGAAAGGTTGAAAAAAATCGAAGGGACGACACGGAGGTGGGCCCTTCACATCGTCTTGCTTCATAACCCACTGTAACACCGTGTACACGTGACTAAACCATAACGTGCGTCAAGAGTAAACGCCAATACGACAGGAACGTCCCACACCGCACCCAAAGAAGAACACGCAGCACAGTCCCGCAGAATGGGTCGGGTGTAGAATTCTGCTACTTGCTGCAACATTGAGCATGGCACAAGCGAGACGCTTAGCGATTGGACAAGGACCCACGCAACATTACGACCCGGCAAACGTGGAACACAACTGCAAATCAACAGCCCAACGGCGTCGCCGAACCCGCTTGGTGGCAAGGAAAAATCCAAGCAGCGGCTGCAGCCAGGTAGGGTTAATGTTCCTCTAATTCGTCGACCACCAGGGGTACACACGGCGCAGACAGGAACACATCTGTGTTGTAGCGGAGGGGCGGCTATTAGCTGCGCACGACCCCGTTGGCCCAACGGCCACCGCACACAATTTATGTGCATTCCCGAGCACCTTGCAATCTTGCAAACGAGGAAAAAATGCCTTCAAAGATTTCGTCGTCTTGATAATCTCCCAGAGCTCCGCAAAATTTGTTAGCACGCCGTACAGCAAAGCAGCAACAACAACAGCAACACCTATAATCGCAATATGCCAGACTACTCATGACAGCGGCCAACCGTTGCGGTACCTGATAAGGTCATCTGTCATTGCCCTTGAAGCGGATTCTTGGCCGACGGGTCTTGAATTCCATCAGTGTGTTGTGAAGCGTACGCCTTTCTCCTCAGCTTCCCGCGTCCAAAGCATAACCCCGTAGAGTAAGCCATAACGACTGATCTTGCAGCCATTCGATAAAACCAAATGTGTGGTGTATTATTGGCCGAATCACAAGTAGCACTTCACCACTATATGTTGTGGGATCTACAAAAGAACCGTCCGTCTACATTATAACCCACATCGGTGTACCCCTGGCCTGGGCAGCAACCCCTTGCCTTTCATGCCCTGTGATACTGTTGCAAAACGCAGACACGTTACATGCCAAAGCCAGGCTGGGCAAAGGCGCCCATGGCGGCCTGGTCAGCCAGCAGGTCATGGAATCCAGGGCCGCCGTGCATGCCTGGCGCACCGCACATGGTCATGGCGCCAGCGCTACCGTTGTTAGCAGCCTGAGTCTGGGCCGCGGCAGCCATCAACAGCTGGCGGCGACGGGCCTCCTGAACCAGGGCAGGCTCCTCCGCAATGGGCCCGATACCCGGGCTGCATGGCGATCGGGACAGCAGACCGTCAGGCATGAAGGCACCCTGGGGCTGACGAAGGGTGGGTTTCAGCATGTCGAAATGCGCGGCTGCCGCTGCTCCGTCGCTGTCCCGACACAAGCCCGGGTGCTGGCCGGCCGCCAGGTGCAGACTCAGCTCCAGCTCGCTGCTGCGGTAGCTCTCAAAGCTGCTGCGGCTCACCTCGTGGCTGAAGTAGCTGCTGGAGGTTGCGGCGGCGCTGAGGGCGCTAGCAGCCGTATGCCCAGACATGGTGGAGGACAGCGATGCATCCGCAGGCGGCGAGCCGTTCGATGGGGGCGGCTCCGTCTGGGAGCGTGGCGACGAGGGGGTCACCGCAGCCGAGGGAACCACGACGTCGCTGGGCAGGGGAGCGCTGCGTGCGGGCGCCAGGGCCAGGGTGCCTGGGCTCTGCATGCCCAGTGAGCTGCCGGCCGTCATGCCGGTTCCAGAGGAGCGCAGGGATGCCGGCAGAGAGCCGACATGGCCCGAAGGGGCGCCAGGGCCCTCCAGGGAGTGCGGGAGCGGGTGCTGCTGCTGCACTGACGGAGACATGCCAAAGGATGCCGTGGCTGGTGCAAACTCCTCCAGGCTTGATGGGGCCGGGCGGCCGATTGGCATGGGGGCGGAAGCCGGCGGACCCTGGCTTTGTGCGCCGACGTAAGGGGGCAGCGGGCCCATGGGCGGGAACTGGTGTTGCTGCTGGTGGTGATGGTGCTGCTGCTGATGTAGCATGGCCAAGGCAGCGTGCAGCTCGTGTTGGTCAGGTAGGCCATGTGCTGCGGCGTTGCGTTCATGGCTTTGCTGCTGTTGCTGCTGCAGCAGGTGCTCAAGCAGTGCCTGAGCGTGTGCCGCCTGCTGGCTCTGCTGCTGCTGCTGAGCCATCGCGGCCGCCGCCGCAGCCGCTTGCTGCTGCTGCTGTTGCTGCAGCAGAAGCAGGGTTGCCGCGGCTTGCTGAGCTGCGTTGTTGGCCAGCACCTGCTGCACGGTTTGCTGGACGATGGCATCGAGCAGACCGGGCGTCGCGCCAGAGCCCATGGGGAGCGCGTGTTGGGGGCCCGCAGCAGCAGCACCACCGCCACCAAGGCGCATCTGGGACATCATGGCGCCGACCAGGTTGTCCACCGAATACTGTTGCGGCACTTGTTGCGAAAGCGCGCCCAGGCCTTGAGTGCTGGCCAGCACCGTTTGCAGTTGTTGGAGCATCTGTGCATGGAAAGCGACAAGGCAAGCGAACGTAAGTCAGAACTACTAACCCAGGGTGAGAATTACAACGGGCGGAAGGTGTTTTGATAAAGTAGCAGTCGCTAAGGCGCATCCTAAGAACTGGCACCATGTTATTGCATGGCGAGGGGCACATAAAAACTAACTCGCTAGGACCAACCTGCATCTGCTGAAGCTCCGCCGCCAGGCCGCGGGACGCTGTCCGTTGCAGGGTAGCAGCGGCTTTCCGGGCTTGCTGCTGCTGCTGCGTGCGGAGGGCCTCGACAAGGGCCTCGTTGCCGCATGAAGCAGCATTGGGGACGGAGGCACCAGCCGGCTTGGCTGCGTTGCGGCTGGGCTCTGACTTGGCAGGTCGGAAGGGGTCAAGGTCGAAGCCAGCATCGGCACCGGCCGCGATGTCCGAAGGCAGCAACTTCACGTTGGAGACGCGCAGCTCGTCGAGGGTATGTGCAAAGAAGCACACCTTCCGCTTGCAGCCGATCCCGTCGTTGCATAGCTGCGTGCGATACCTACATAAAAATAAGAAATAAGTTTATTGCTTTAGCAGCCTGTAGATTAAGGCCTGGTTAGCAGGCGGCTATGAAGTTCGGTGGTCAACAAACTTTTTTCAACAAACAAATTGATAGCGCTAAGCTCCCGGTGCTAACCTGCTTGGGTGCATCCAGTACTCGAAGACGTTGTGCGCATAGGGGCAGGCGTCGCCTCTCTGACACTGCATGTCAAAAAAGGAAGGCGCAAGCAGGCACCGACGACTCCGCTCAGCACCTTACAGAGGTAGGAAACGGAACGTGTAGATTGCTTGCCAAACTTAACAGAGGAAAGCGCGCGACAGTAACGTGATAAGGCAATGTCCACGTCGGATAGGGCCGAGTACTTGCTTTTTTCATATCAGGGCAGGCGACGCCGGTATAGGTGAAGACACGAGGATCCCTCCGCTTGGCCTTCTCCCCAGGATGGGCAAAAGGGCAGACGGTCCAGTCGTGGACATAGCGCTTGCTGCAAGGAAGGACCTGCGAGCGCATCCAAGTTTGTTTAGCCCTTGTCCAAGCCTCGTGTCAGCCAAAAAACGCACCTTAAAGCAATACATGCGAAACTCATCGGTCTTGTAGAGTGGCGAGTCCTCTGCCGGCTGCTCGGTGGCCGGGTAGGGGACCTGGTGACATTATGTTCGAAGTAAGAAAGAGAGGCCTAGTAACTCTGCAAAATGCGCAGGGCTAACGGCCAGCAGTAGTATGCGAATGGTAAAATGCCAAGGTAGGGACCTAACACACGGGGCTCAGGGCGGCTTTACCTTTGGGCCCTCAAATGTTGAAGGCGGCTCGGGCGGAAGCATAGCTACTATTGGCATCGCCAGTAAATAAACTGTGGGTAGATATCTATAGGCAGGAATTGGTCGCCACTTACTTTACTCTTGAAGAGGTGGGACACCCCGCCCACGTGTAAAGCGACGTACGACATTGCTAGCTCGTCAAGATGATCCTGCCCGCCAATTGACCGCGCCTCCAAAAAAAGTCCACATCCTTAAAGCCAACGACTGGCTTTAAGCCCACCGTGCCCTGATTTCTTATGGCGCAATCGATTACTGTAGGGTTATATGAGTTGTTGATACAGTCATGCATTGCTTATTGTCGCCTGCTCCTCCGCCGTTATGTTGTGCTATGGAGCCGGTCACAAAGCAACGGTCGGTTACGCTTTACCTCTGTCGCGAATCGTCCTGCTCAGCCCTTACATGTTCCTACCCTGCTCCCCTACCGGTGGCTTCCAGCCCTTGCAACTCCCATTGTGGGTTGGCCTATGCTAACAGTTCCTAATGCATCACTGTAAACACGCGCTCTTTGGGACAAAAAGGATGGTAGGTAGCCCGAACCCTGGAGCGCTCAGGGGGATACATATATACATTGGAAGAAGCTATCGTAGCGCTATGTCGTAGTTTGGGCTCCGTTGATAGCAGGCCCTGCTTGCAATTGCCTTGGTTCGGCAATCGCAAGGGGTGCAACGAGCGACCTGAGGCGACCCAGGGTTCACCTTGCGACCTTCTTTTCGCTTCGTCGCGTCCACATGCAGCGCTTCTCGCATGTCCTCTATCGACCCTCGTACAGGCCAAGATGCTGAGCCTCCAGTGGCCACACCTATGCTTGCTAATGGCAGACTAAGTTGCAACCATGCACCCTTATACTTGCCGACTCTTAAATCCCACCCTAGGCAGCCAGGAAAGAACTGCATGTACTGGGTGGAAAAGGGAAAAATATGTGGACCGGTCTAGGTGTACCCTGTACCGTATCCTATGCACAAAGATAAAGCGCGGCAGTGTACAGCGCCTATGACGCATCAGCCGTAAAATGCTCCTCGTTAAACAGCGGTTTCGCCTGGCAACTGTGAAGTCAGCTAGTAAGTATGATGCCGGTATGCAATTTCTGATTTCTTTGCCAACCGCAACTGCTATGCAATGAGCGAAGCCGACGTAGCGTTTGTGCTCCGTCACGTAGCTCGCGAAGTCCTCAAAACATCCGCCAAACACGGCGCAGCCCTTGTCGACCGCGTCTGCTTAGCTGGGAGCCTAGGCCGTGGCACCTATGCAGTAAAAAGCGACTTTCCAGGTATCGTGGCCTTCCTGAACGTCGATGTCCAGTTCGGGCTTTACGAGTTGCCCGAGGCCTTGGAAGCCATCGCGTCGGCGCTGCGTTCGGGCCTTGTGCTCCATGGCTGGGATTGGGACCTCAAGATCTACAATGCCGAGTGCCGCGGCGGTCTATGGGCGGCGCTGAGCTGCAAGCGCCGCGGCAGCGACGGTCATCGCGCTGCTGAAGCCCTTCTGGAGGGGGATGCTGACACCACTACCACGCCAGCTGCGGCGGTTGCTGCTGGAGGGCAGCCCGACGATGACGTCAGCGAGGTGGTTGTGCAGCTCTTCATTGCTGAGAACATGAGCCGGAGCGTGGCACCAGCTGAACAGCAGCCTCCTACTGGTACCCAGAGCGGCGGCAGTGTTACAACTGGGGAGAGCCATGAGGTGGCCGCCACCCCAGCCGGCGACTTGGAACTCCAAACCAGACCAGACCAAACCTGGCTGGGACCCGTGGACGAGGACAAGGCGCGCGAGCAGCAGCGCAACCTGCTGGATATGGCTGAACGCCGTGCACACCGGGAAGCACGCCGGGGTGGCAGGGAGCATGTGGCAGAATGGGCCACCAAGCTGAGCCACGGCGTGGCAGAAGCACAGCAGCTCTTCTGGTCATGGCAGCCCACCCTAGCGCTGCAGGCAGGACGTGCCGCACATGGCATCTGGCGGGGCGTCCTGGAGGCGCAGCAGGAACGGGGCCGAGCAGGAGGTGCGGCGGGCGCGTCGTACGGCAGCGGCGGGGCCGGTGCGGGGGGGCTTGTGGATGAAGGGGGTAAGCTGCGGGCTGTGGACGACGTCATGCTGCACCTGCTGGACGTGGTGGCCCTGTACGCGTGCAGCGAGGTGCTGGGTGAGCCCGGCAGGGCAGTTGGCGAGCAGGAGGGGCGGCAGGGGTCTCAGCAGCAGCAGCACGCGGTGATGCAGCGGCTGTTCGAGATCCTGGCTAAGGAGTACTGGGCAGGCGGTCTCAGGATCGAGATTTCTGGAGGGTTACTGGGCTCAGAGCCCGCAAGCGCGGATGCTTCCGGTGCCGGTGGTGGCAGCAGTGAGAGGGTAGATACCGGTGCGGCGGGTGGAGGAGAGCCGGGGCTTGTGGTCCTCAACCCCTGCTTTCCGGTGCAGGACCTGTTTGCGGCTGCATGTGCAACGCTGTGCAGCGTGGGGGAGACCCGTGCACGCGAACAGCTGATGCGTGAGCTGGCAGGCGCGGCACTGCAAGTTGTTAGGCATGGCTAGAGTGACGTGTGTATCGACGCGGGGTTAAGAGGTCTTCACTGTTGCAGGTCTGTTGAAGGCGTCGGGGGCAGACGCTTAACGGCAGCGTGGGCTAAGGTGTTGCGACAATGGAACTGAAAACGGCATGCTGCTATCTCCAAGTACCTTACCCAGACAGGAGATTCCTGCCGAAGCAAATAGGGGTTACAAAGCGTGATGACGTGTAACGGTTGCTGGGATGTTGTCTTACCCACCGAGCAGATGTTCGATTAACGCGCAGATTGTCACCTGTGCTTATGACCGTTATGAGGTACGATATGTACGGTTAAGAAGATGACAAAAATAGCCTCCGGAGCACTGCACTGGAGGCTAGGATTCCTTCCTTCCACAAAATGAAAAAGGCTCACCTGCAAGCACAGCAAAACAGCCTGCCAGCTTTCCGGCAAGACACTGCTACTGGAGCCACTCGCGCTAACAGCACTTGGCCTTGGACTCACCTCACCTCGCACCTACTTCCACACCTAGTTTACACCACACAGTACACCGCAAACCAGCGACTGAAACAGGACTAACAAGACTTCGGCGCAAAAACGAAACACGGAAAGATCCCCTACTGGACCCAAACAATCCCGCCATCTACACTATAAAAGAATCACAGGAGACGCTGCACCTCAGGGCGTGCCATGACCACAGGCCCCCCTTCACTCCGCGGTCTCGTCCGCCGCCAGCTCGCTGTCAGCCGGCTCGGTTGCCGCAACAGGCTCCCCAGCAAACTGCCGGCCCATGGTGCGCCACATGTCTGCTGATGCCTGCAGGAGCTGCGCCTGCACGCCCGCGAAGTGCGCCATCATTTGGTGGAAGTCCTGCGGAACAGCGGGAAGAAGGCAGGGTGTACGCATGGTAGCAAGGCGCCCGAATCGGCATCGTAGCGCTTGGGTACTAACCTGATACGGAATGCAGTCTTGTGCAATACCAAAAAAAGCAAGAGGGCGTGGTAGCCCAGCAGCGGTTGCTAACGCCCATGCACCCCCAATCCACCTTCCTCTACCCTCCTCCACCTTCCTATTTCCCTCCCACGCGCACCTGCTCTCGCGCCAGGTGCAGCCTGCGCAGGTCCTCCATGTTGCGCGACTTGATGAGCTGGTACTGCTCGCGGCACACCTTGAGCTGCTCCTCAAGCCGGTCAACGCTGTTGGTCAACGTGTACGCGCGCCGGTCACCGCGGCCGACGATGGCGCCCTGGAGGGAAGCCAATGATGCACACCGTCAACGTCACTGCGGGAAGACCCTTTAACGGCAATAAAGGGACTTCATGGCCGCGGCCCCGTATGGTTCAGCATGCAGCGCGGAATGGAAAAGCAGCTAGCCGGTGTTCCCACCATAACTTCCACACGCCGAAGCTTAAGTAACCGCCCCCGAGCGCTTGCACCCACCCGGCCGTTGCCTCCCTTGTTGAGCTCGGCGTGCTTGGCCGCCAGGTCCGCCTCCAGGTCGTGGATCTGCTCCAGGCACTTCTCCCGCTCCTCCAGCGCCGCCACTGCCTCCGGCATGATGATGTAGTAGTCGTGCAGCGCCACCTGCGGACAAACAGCATAGCCGAAGGGAGGATTAGGACTAACCGGTACTTGGTCTTTAGAGGGCGCGCAGAGGCTGGAGACCAGAGGTCTCCGCCCCGAGCCGCGCGGAGCAGCGTGCAGGCAGAGCTTGCTTTCAGCTGTCCGGTAGTGCATTTGTGCAACAGCCAGTGGCCCCACCTAAGCATGAGCAATCCCAACAAAACAAGCACCGCATCACCCCTCATGGGTCCTGGCCTTACCAGGCTTGCCGCCGTCTTCACCGACGCCGTCTTCCACACCGCGTGCTGCCGGGCGCTAGCGTAGCTGAGCTGCTTGCAGTCCGCGGCACGCTTGCTGGCGCTGTAGCCGGCCTCCGTGTAGGTACCGCTGTGCGCCCGCAACGTCTCCTCCCACTGCGGGTGGGACCCAGACTCCCAGTCAGTCCAAGAGGTCAAGGTCGCCAGTTGTAACAGAGCTGAGGACATAAAACCACCGGCCATGGGATTATTGCGCTGAGCATGGAATCACGGGGAACCATAAGCTCACTCCCAAAACAGCACGGACCTCAAGCTTGCACGTAAACCTGCATGACCATAACCGCTTCGCACACGCACAGCTGTACCTTGCTGAGCATGCCCATGTTCCTCCCTAGCTCGAAGAGGTCGCCGGCCAGCGACTCCATGTGGCTGCACATGACGCGGGCCGACTCACAGGACAGCTGCAGCAGCCGCTCCAAGTCGCGCAAGAGCTCCTTGGCCTGGCCGGGTTGGTTCGCAGGGTAAGAGGTTTGCACAGGGTCCGTGAAGCTGGTCATTGGAACACCAAAAGAACTACCCACACGCAGCGGCGCACTTGTTGCTTTCAGGCGACGTCCCATGCGGTAGCAACGTAGCCGGCAGCAAGCACGTTCCGTTTACGCGACAGTCCCTTTTAGGCCCCACAACACTCCTCTTCCCTTCCCACTGGGAGCCACTCACATGTCGCAGCTGCTGCTCATCCTCGTCCAGCTCGCGCTTGCTGCCGGGCAGCAGCACGCTGTGCTTGACCCAAGCCACCAGGTTGCTCAGCTGCGCAGCCGCCTTGGCCGCCGAGCCGCTACCGCTGGACTGCACCAGCGCACCCAGAGAGCCCTCGTGCGCCTCGGGGGTGCCTGGAGGGCGGATGCATGCATGCAGTGTTGGTGCTAGATGGTAGCGGCATAGAGATATGGCGGGGAAGGGCAACAAGCTCATATGCAGTCGCTGCCGGGCGGCAGTCCTGACGGAGCCAGGATGACACAAGGGTGCTGTTGAATGCGCGACACGCTTGACATGTCTGAGGGTCTTCTTGCCCAGCTGTAGCCGTCACGTGCTGCAAATTGATAGGCTGCTTGCGACCCGGCCCTTTCTTACTTCCTATGGTTTGCAGCAGCGCGATCCAGGCCGGGTTGTACTGCAGCTCCCCCGGCTGCAGCAGGAACAGCTTGAGCGCCTCGGAGTCACGCAGCGCTGGGTGCTGCACGATACCGCGCAGGAACGCCTGCAGACATAGGTACCCAAACACATGTCTCAACCGCCGAAGCATACATAACCATTTCCACGGAGCTAGGATGTACCCATGCGGCGGAGGGGTCCTGCCGCATTCACTGCGTCACTGTACGGCATCTACAGTCAAGTACCTGCAGGTCCGCGCGACGCAGCCGCAGGAAGTCCTCGTGCGCCAGCTTGGCGTCAATGAAGGACTTCTCTGGCAGCGGCGGGATGATGTACCCGCGGTACTGCGCCTTGACGAGCTTGTGAAGCGCCTGCAAGGAGTGTTGGAGCCGGGTGTGGTTGGCTGGCTAGTTGATAAGGGTAAGGATGGCAGGACAGGACTCCTCTAAGGTTAGGATTGGCTGAGACATTGTGCTGGGTTGCCGGGTTGCTGCAAATGCAGACTTTCTTAAACCCCCTGCCATCGTGTACCCCATCTGGTCCAAGGGCCATGCCGGCTAGCCAGCCTACGGCATAGGTCTTGCTGAGCAGGCTGCTTGTCTGATGCTGTAAACTCACGTCGAACTCCGAGAACCGCCGCCGAACCTCCAACCCGTCAGAACGCAGGCTCGGCAGGCTGCTCTCTGTCCGTATCATGTACGTAAAGTACGTTGTCCGCATACCAAGCTTATTCGTCGTCTCGTTTCGTTCAGGTTCCCGAATCCAGACGCGTACTGGAGGAACCTCGTCTGCGGGCCGTGTAGCGGCAGGCGTGCTGCTGGTGCTCGGCCCTTCTGCGCCTGCGCCGTCGTACAGGGAGGAGCCGCCAGCGCCCTGATCGCTCTGGACCTCAGCATGACCTAAAGTGGGAGCGCGTATGGCAATCGGAGGGAAGGCAGCTGCCTTGGGTAACCTGGCCGAGACCGCTTTGGCTAGACACTGCAGAATGGCGACAGCTGCAAGGGATTTCAACGGCAACTGGTCCGCTGCTCACCTTGGGAGCTTATCTGCGCTTCTGGTTGCACAAGTAAGTTACCGTGTCCATATCCGACCTGAATTTCTTCGGGTGACAACGGTATCTCTGCGTCAGGTGCAGCGGTGTTGCTGCGAAGAAGGGAAGTTTGGGCTGTTGCTGCCGGACTCGATGATCCAAGAAGGTCCAAGTCGATGGATTGGGCAACCGAATCCGGTGCTCCCCGAGACCCTGCCCCAAAGACGTCTAGCGGATGCCTTCCTCCCGCGTTGGCCCCAGCCGCTGATACACCTTGTCCGTCGAAAATGTTCAAAGTTTGTCCTACTAAACCTCCAAGTTCATCTAGCGGATCTTGCGCTGGACCGGCGAGAGGCCCCAGTTGATCGGCCATGTGAATTTGCTGTAGTCACTTCCGGCTTAAGCTGTCATAGTAAGTCCACGCGAGGATTATTAATGCATGTAGCACGTTTAGCTGTATTAACTGGACAACGCTTGCAGGGCTTTACGCGCGAAATGCACGATGCTGCTCCCCGATCGTTGTCGTTCCTGTGTAGCTCCCTTCACACCTAAGTACTTACCGTATCCCAAACAGTAACAAAGGTCAAATTCTTTACGTTATTTTGCATAACTGTTTGCTAGCTTGAAGCAACTCGACCCTCGCCTTCCCAGCCTGAGTCCTTCCATTTTACTATACCAACATGTGGCCGCTGCGAAGCGGTAGTTCGGCTAATGCGCAAGCAACACCAGCGCCTGGGGTGAGGGTTGGTAGACAGGCAGTTAGGAGAAGCCATTTGGACTTGACCATTGCTGGCTGGCTCCTGCTCGCAGCTCTTCCAAGACGTGCCGACAATGCCTAGCACGTCATCAAACATGCAAGCATCGCCTCCTCCAACAATTGGGGCTTCAAGTGCAGCCCAGCAGCACAGCATCATCCCTGAGGAGTATACCCTTGACGAACCCGTGTGGAAAACCATCTGGCGAGATATCGTCACAATTGCACGCAACCTACGGTCCGTGCTCGTACCCGTCAACTGGAAGTTCCATGGGCAAGCGCAGGCGCTGCGGAACTGGGACCTTTGGGGCCCGCTGGTCAGTGGGGTACTTCCAGCCAGCTGTCCTGTCATCCCTTAGCGCACACCGAAGCTGATGACGCATACCCCACCACCTTCGCAGATCTTTATGCTGGTGCTGGCGATCGTGCTGTCCGCGGGGAAGAACGGCGACCCACAAACCGTGTTTGCGGTGAGTTATGCAGAGATGCGGACCCTCCGTGGCGCCCACCTGTGCATGTCTCTCCCTCCCCAAACACACGGCTGCCCTCCCCCTCTCGGCCTGCTTAACACGTCCTTCCTCAATTCCTGCACCGTGGCTGCCTCGTAGATGGTGTTTGCGGAGGTGGCGTTGGGCGCCATCGTGCTTACCATCAACGTGATCCTGCTAGGAGGGGAGCTCGTGTTCTTCCAGGCTGTTTGTCTCCTCGGGTACTGCCTCTTCCCCCTGGTCGTAGCTGCCATCGTCTGCGCCGCCGTTTCAAACAAGGTACAGCACACACCGTCGCTGCCCCCATTTTCTTTGCCCGGCTGCCTATGCTGTTGCCGCTCCCACCAATCAGCTGCTTGCCGGCCCTTGACGCACACCTGGGCCGGCTAAGTAGCAAAGTAGCATGTCCGAAGTGCCTACCTGCCAATGCTCCCCACGTTGCCTCGGCTGCAGTTGGTGCGGTGCCTCGTGACGTTGGGATGCCTACTATGGGCGTCAGCGGCAACCGTTCCCTTCATCGGCAATGCTGTTCCCCAAGGGTGAGTCCGTCACTCGGCCTCGCTACCCTTACCCCGAAACGGAGGCTCCCTCCCAAGCGGAGGACAGCCATAGCGCTTTCGTCCAGACACGGAAGCATTGCGTGTGCTGCTGCCTGCCCTTTACAAGATTACAACTATAGGCCAGCGCAAAACAGCTTCGATCTCCTGTTATTCAACCTCACGTATCCTCAGTTAGCAACTCCGCGCCGCATGTTCACTCGCTTTCTTAGGTGCAACTGCACACCCGCGTGTTGCATGCACGCAGGCGCAAGGCCCTGGCGGTCTACCCCGTCATGCTGCTGTATGTGTCGCTGGCGTGGCTGTCGCTGGTCAAGTCGTAAGGGACTATCTGGCTCTCAAGCAGCGCTGGGGAGCAAGTGGGTGGGCCGCGGCTGCAACGCCGCACCTATTCATCGTTTGACCAGCGGCATAGCCAGGATGGGGCGCTGTGCTTTAGGGGCAATCAGTGCTTTTGGGTGCGCTGTTGGTTGGGTAAAGAGGGCATTACTTGGTTACTTGGTAGGCTGTTGGTTGTCATGGTTACAGGTTACAGACCTCGGGCACTGAGGCGCCGGGTACGGCCACGTGTTGAAGCTGTAACCGCCAGACGAGCAGGGAGTTGGTGGGTCGCAGCGGCGCCGGCGGAAGCGCAGCGGAGGGCTGCCCCGCGGCCGTGGAGGCTGCGCCGCTTGGACTGCCGTTGCTGTTGTGTTCGTCCTCCCCTGGGTCGGCATAGCGGCGGTGGCCTGCAACATGTGCATGTCGTATAGGTGATAGGAGGCTTGTAGTGGATGGGAAGGGCACTAGGATGTTGAAAACGGTTTGCTGCGTCCCTTTGGGCGCCATGCAAGGCATGATAAAGACAGTGTTAGCGGTACAGTTGGCCAGCCAGCGAAGACTTTGGATCTCAATTTAGCTACGGTGGCTATTGGATATTGGATCATACCGGTAACCTGTGAAGTCCTTGGCAGGGGCTGGTGGCCCGAGTGGGCCAGGGCCCTATGCATGCACGCACCTGAAGCTGTGGCCAGCAGGTCGAGGCTGGGGTGGAAGGTGACTCCGTTGACCGTGTCCGCCGCCACTGTCTGTTGGTCCACCTGGCTGCCGCTTTGCAGGTCGAACACCTGGTTTGGGGCGGGGAAGCATGGCAGTAAGGTTGTAGCTTGCAGAGGAGCATGACATTCGAATTGCAGGGCCCAGGAATGGTAACTGGATGCTTACGCCGGCACCTTTCGGATCCATGAAATTCGAAATCCAAGATAAAGCACTGGGCCTCCCGCCTTCCCTTTCATCGATGCACCGATCTATGCGCACTCACCTCCACCGTGCCGTTGCACCCGCCCGTGATGAGGTGCTTGCCGCAGGGCTCGATGTCGAACTGGATGCGCTGGTTGGTGCGCGCGGTGTCGCGCTGCAGCGTGTACAGCGCCTCGTAGGTGTTGCGCACGTCCCAGCAGAACATCTGGTCGTCCTGCCGCGCGCCCGTGTACAGGTAGTTGCCGTCTGGGGAAAACATGACCTGCGCGGAAGCAGCAGCATGCGTTCGCAGGGACATTGGGGCCATCATGAAGAGGAACCGGTAGGTAGAGGAGGAGAGACTCAACCCAGTAGCACGCCCCAGTCCGAATTGCCGAGGTTATGATAGGAAAAGATAAACGCGAGGGCTCCTATAGGCATTGCCGCAAAGTCCCCGGGTTTGAACGAGGATTCAAGGTTACAACATGGAGGTCGTTCGTCATGCTCGTACAACGGTGCCGTACCTGCGTCAGGCCGCCACGGTTGCCTGTGAGCAGCAGCAGCAGCTCGTACGTGCGTGCGTCGTACACGCCAAGTGCCCCTGTGTACGTCCCAGCGGCGAACACGTCCCCAGCCGGGCTGAATGCCATGCAGGACACGATACCTGCGGGGATAAAGGGGAGAGGAAGGGGTTCAGGAGCTCCCAGGGCGGAGACGTTCTGCTCAAGCAAGCAAGTGAAGAAAAGGTGGGAAGCTGCACATTCGGTTACCGCATGGGGGCCTACAACTGAGTTGCCTGGAAGAAGAGCTGAATGGGGATGTACGGAATGCAACGGAAGCACCACCTTGCATGCACTCCTAAACCACTACGAGATAACAAAGAACGAGAGCCAGCCGCTGGGCGGTCCAAAAGGCCGTTGCCCTTACCCCGCCCCCGACCTAGCGTACACCCCAATGCAACAGTAACCGTATTGGTAACAAGCGCACCCCCCCCCCCCATGCAAGCAGCGCAGCCTACCCGCGATGCTCTCCTGTTGCTTCCTCTTGTGCGTCACAATGCGCTTGTAGTCCCTGCCCGGCCGGCTCACGTCGAACACGTACATGCTCTTGTTATACCCGCCCAGCAGCTTCGCGCCGTCAGGACTAAACGCCAGGGAATACGCCGCTGTGGGTTCGTCCGCGTCGTTATACCCGCGGTACGAACATCGGATGTCTCCCGTACACGCGTCCCAGAGGTGAATGGGCTGGCCTCGTGAGGAGGAAGCGAAGCAGCATGACACCGGGTCTGCGGCGTTCATTCTAGAGAACCAGCAGTAATCGTACACGGTCTCCCCAGGTTGCATGCGCAGCGCCGGCACCAGATTGTCCGCTGCTACCCCCGCTGCTGAGGCGGAGGCGGAGGTGAGTGTGTGGTCGGCAACGCCCCCGACGCCGCCGACGTCATCGTCGCCGCCGCCAGGTTCCATTGGGGAGGGCGGTAATGACGTGGAGGCGGCCGCAGCGGTCGGCAGCAAGTCATTGTCGTACAAGCGTGGTGCGGTGTGGACGTCCCTCGGAAGGTCGTACAGCCGTAGCCTGGGCGGGGCAAAACATGAGCAGTGGCAGCGGCGCAGTTGGGGGCTTGAGACAAGTGGAGGGACGGCGGGTGCGCGCTCGGCACATCATCCCAGGCAGGGCTGCTCACAGGCCACGCATGGACCGGGTATGACGGCGTGAGGTGCTCAAGCACTGTAGCTGTTTAGAGGTACAATACCGGCAGCACTATGGAACTGCTGCCGTAGCAAAGGAGGGCGCCTTTGAGCAAGGTGCTCTGCAATGCTGCTGCTCGGCAGGCGTACCAGTTATCATCGCTGGCAGTGAGCAGGCATGCGCCGTCGGGCGACCATTTTACGCCTTTGAGGAAATTGCTGTTGGGACAACTGGCGGCGGTGCCTGCAGGGAGCCGGAAAGCGACAGGGAGAAGGAAGCAAGTTGCCAACTTGGATGATGGCACAGGCAAACACAGCTCCTGAGGAGCCAGGAGGAATTCTGAACGGGCACGGAAGGCTGACGCCGTCCTGTGTCCCTGTCAGGCAAGCCGGCCTTGACCCACGCAGAATCATGTAAAGTCGCTGCAACGAGACACCCAACACAGCGGCTCGGATCTGATGCTTCCGCCCTTCGCTGGCTTCTCCCAGCAGCCCATCACGGCACCCACTACCCGCCCCTCATGTCTCCCGTATGCCTGTCGTCACCAAGCCCTGCTGGCTGCCCTCTCACTTGCATACTCCTGCGTCACGCGGTACAGGGGCTGCGGCTCCTGCGGGAAGACGAAGTGTGTGTACCAGGCGGGCGCTTCGGGCTGCTGGACGGAGGTCGCCGCCGCGTCGTCCATCCCTTCGTCATGGTACCCTGCATCCTCGTCGGGTATTGCGCTAGGGAGCTCGGCGTCTATTTGGTATTCAACGTCCTCCATCTCTGTAACGCTTAAAGTGTAGGTAGGGATAAGCACCGGCGTTCGTCGCTCGTGAATGGGGCAACCTGGCAACAGGTTCAATGCCTAAGCGCCGCGCTAAGGCAGTGTGATCGACACAAGAAGTATTCGGTGGCAGTACCAATTCGTAGCGGTAAACAAGCTGTCCGCGGGGGGCGGACTTCGTGTCCATACGGGAGAGCGTACGGCACAAACCGACTTCGCTTGCGGGGCGCTTGCACCCAGGATTTGAACGCCCTAAAGCCGCAAGCCCATGTTCGGCGCAACGCATAAAAGCGTCGCTTCCTCTCTTTTCTGTTGTTTCTTTTGCTTACTGGAATTCAGGTCCTGGGTGGTTATCTTTCTTTATGCAGCTTAGGCACGTTAGATCTTAATTAAGGCCAATCGCAGGCCCACCGGGGCTGCATTTGGTCCGAATGTCGGGGAGTTTTGGAGTCGCAGCTGTCAGGGCAGCCTGGTCCAGCGGACTGAATATTGATAGCACAGATCCCGTCAGCATTCAAGAGGCTATTGATCAGCTTGATCAATTCCAAAACCAGGTCTGCATTGCGGATGCTCAGTTCAAGCCCCGAATGCTCGGCTTCATGGCTCATCGTTAACCCCGCACGACACTATGCCGCTTACCGCCGTCGTGGCATCTAAACGAAATGCAGGTCCGAGTTCAGCTGTTCTATCTGCTTCAACGCCTAGCGACTCAGCCAGGAGAGGGTCTTGATGATGCACTTGGGCAGATAGCGGCCAATGCGGAGAAGGTCATCGCTGAGAGCCCGGAAGCGAGCATTCTTCCCCACATCGCCACATACCGGTGAGCTGACAGCTATACCCGTAATCGCCATGGAAGACGAGGACTGGGTGACCTGAAAGGCCACTGCGGTTTCCGAGAACGTACGCGCCTCCTACTCCCTACCTTGCTCCCTTTCATTTCGGTGTTTGCCTGCCTGCCTGCCCGCCATCCCTGCCTGCCCTCCCGTAGTGACATCGTGCAACGCATTCAGCAGCTGGGTTCGGAGATCAGCCGCAAGCACGCGGAGGAGGATGTGCAGCGGCAGGTGGCGGAGTTCGAGGAGCGGCTGCGGGCAGGTGAAGGGGCAGGGGATTGGCCAGTGCCTGCTGTTGCCATCTTGCGTTCCTATCAGGTTGGGATGGTGGCAGTGATACCAGACCCTGTCCGAACAACGTGATCATGAAAGGGGTTGCGCGGTATGGATAATGGATTGTTATTGGCTATCCCTCTCTCGCATTACGCCGTACTCCACAGCCTGAGTACCGAATGACCTCTTTCCGCATCCCTCGCGTCGCCTCGCCGCACCATCCCATGGCCCCTTGTCCCTCTCCCTGCCTCCCTCCCTCCTTCCCTGCCTCCCTCCCTGCCTCCCCGCTTCGCCTGGCAGGCAGCCTCGCGGATGCCGCCTACTGCTGCGTGCGACTGGCCAAGATGGCTGAGGACGCGGAGGAGGAGCTGGCAGCGCAGGAGGCACGACAACAGCAGCAGCAGGAACAGCAGGGGCGGCAGCTGAAAAGCAGCAACGACAGCGGAGGAGGCGAGGCGGGTGGCGGGCAGGGTGGTGCGGAGGCAGCTACTGCCGGGGGTGCTGTTGCTCCGCGCGTGACGGCGGAGGCTGTGGCGCTGCTGCAGGAAACGGCGGAGCGGTGCGGGGCTAGGCTGCGGGAGGTGAGGCGTGTTGCAGGGGCTGGCAACGAGCATCATGTGTCTTGTTTAGGCAGGGGCCAGGTTACCCCGTAACATGCTCCAGCACCCATCTTCCTTCTCTTCTTTCCCACGCCCCGCTGTCCGCCGCGGCCCGCCGTCCACCGCTTTCCTCCCTCCCCCCAGCTGGTTGACGCCTGCTGCGCGGAGGCTGTGTCGCTGCAGGTGGGGCCGCAGGGGGGCACACTGCTGGTGCGCTCGCTGCTCAGGGTGGCGGGGGGCAGCGGTGGCAGCGGCAGCAACAGCAGCAGCGGTGGTGGCCCCAGCCAAGGTGGCGGCCCCAGCGGCGACGGCGGTGTGCGGGTGTCTGAGCTGTTCAGTGCGCTGCAGCTGCTGGGGCTGCAGGAGCAGTACTGGGGGCGCATGACGGGTGCGTGACGTCGTGACGCCGACGGTGGTGTTTGCGGCTGCTGAGGGGTTGGGGAGCATGTAGAGGCCAGGGCAGGGTCTGGGACGCGGGCTGGAAAGACTAGGATTCGAAAGACGGTGTGGCGTTGGAAGGTAAAGAGACTGTGGCGTTCAGCTGCAGCAAGGGTGCCTCGCGCTCCTGCCTGGTTCATCTCCGTACATCCCCAACTCCGCTCTCCCAACCCTTCTCCTTCCTTCCTTCCCTCCCCCAGCCCGGCTGGTGGGCGGTGCCCTAGAAGCCATGCTAGCCGCGCCCTGCCGTGTCACCGTCACCCCCGCACCGCAGCCCGGCGCACCCGCCACCCTCACATGGAAACCCGTGCAGCCGCCAGCAACAACAACAACTGCAGCAGCAACTGCAGCAGCTGCTGCTGGTGGCAGCGGTGGTGGTAGCAGCAGCAGCGGTGGTGGCGCCCCGTGTGATCCGGAGCACTGCTGCCAGCACCTGCTGCGGCTGCTGGCCACATGGCTCATGGAGTTCGATGAGGGCCTGATGGAGGTGAGGGTCGATGGGGGCACTGGTAGTTCCGGGCACTGTTGTTGATTGCGTACGGTATGCTCATGAGACTGTTTGCCAGGCTGTCCCAGATCTAGGGCCTATTCGCTATCACCCCCGATCAGCTTAATACAGGCCTGTACGACGGACCTTTCGTACCGGCCTTACCCGCACTACATGATAATAAAAATAGCCCGGTATGGTTGGTTTCCTCCTGTGCCACCGCACCCCCCCCAGGTGTTGGGTGCGCCGCTGTGGCGTGCCGCCGCCGACTGCTACATCGCGCGAGTGGCGCGTCCCTTCATCTCCGCCAACCCCGAGGACGTGGAGGGGTGCGAGGCGCTGGTGGCGGCGGCGACTGACCTGGAGGCCATGGCGGAGAACCTCAACTTCGCCAGCGGGGAGGGTGAGAGGGCCTGAGAGGAAGGGGGGCGGGAGAAGGGGAGGAGCTGCTGCTGGGGTGAGGAGGTGATTTGGGGGGGGACGCGGAGGGAAGGAGGGTCAGTGAGGGGTCCTCAGCCAACCTTCTGGAGAACGTTAAGACGAGGGAGGACGCCGTCTTGCTCGATCCCGCCATCAGACCGAGGTCTGCCTGCCGCCACCCACCTTTGTAACTTCATTCATATTTCATAACCACCGCTTCTCTCTTACCTCGCTCCCCTTCCTTACCCCCCCAGAGCCCTACCTCGCTCCCGCGGTGGAGGCGCTAGCCCGTCACGCGCTGTCCAGCCGGCAGGAGCTCTACCTGCAGCGGGCGCGGGGGCTGCTGCTGCCACTCCAGGGGGGGCCCGGAGCGGGGGCGGGGGGCATGCGGGGGACACCGCAGGCGGCTGCTCAGGCGTCGGCTTCCGGAGCTGCAGGCGGGCAGCAGCAGCAGCAACAGGGGCAGCAGGCGCAGGGCGTGGGGGGAGATGCCGGTTGGGAGGCGGTGGTGGTTGGGGGCGAGGTGCCGGTGGATGAGGAGTACATGCGCAGGCTGGCAGCAGGGGAGCTGCAGGTGCGGGTGGGGGGCGGGAGGGCGAGAGAGCGGGGCGAAAAGGGCTGGAAAACAAGAGGAGGTGCTCTGTCCATGTAGACTCTGCCAGCCATGTTCTGATACGCCCATGCTCGCATGCCCAACTGTCCCGCCCTGTGCTAGCCAACCCAGTCAGGGCACCACCACGTCTTTCCTGAGCAACTGAGCATCACCATCACCCACCTCTCCCCCTCTCCCTCTCCCTCTCTGCCTCTTCCCCTCAGGAATGGGAGGTGGCGGACCCGCCCACCGGCTGCCGTACCGACGGTCCGCTGCTGCCCGCCTGCGGCCGCTACCAGATCAGCCGCCGTACCGCCCAGCTGACTCAGCTTCTCCGGGAGCTGCTAGATGACGCATGCGGAGGCAGCCGAGCCGTCTGCAGGGCCCTACGCGCCGCCCTCTCCAGCATCACCCTCATGGCTCGCACCCTGCCGCCCTTGGCTGCTACTGCTGCTGCCACCACCTCGACCGCCTCCTCCTCCTCTTCTGCAGGAGCAGGAGCAGGAGGGGCAGCAGCGTCGTCGCCGCAGCGGTTGGTTGACGTGTCGGCGGTTCCGCAGTTGGGCCTGATGGCGGTTAACGACCTGCGTCACTTGGCGGATGAGCTGCTGCTACTGGCGGCAGCGTATGGGCCGCGCTTAGCTGCGGCTGCGGGCGAGGAGGAGGCGGAAGCGACGGCGGGGATGCTGGCGGATGCGCTGCAGCTGCGGGCGGCGGCGCGGGCAGCCATGCGGGAGCAGGTATGGTGTCGTACGACTTTTTGGTAGGTTTGTACGACAACGAATTGGGAATGTACGACGTTTGTGTAACCTGCGAATGTCGTTGACCTTTCAAACCCTTCCCTCCCCTTTTAATGCAATCCCCTTTGTTTCTGGCGTGCATGCAGCTGCGGGTGCAGTACGGCAGTCTGGATGAGATCCTGGCAGGACTGGAGGGGCTGCGGCAGCTGGGCTTCGCAGATGCCAAGGTGCGGCTGGTCGGCACTCTGCTGCGTTGTACCTTTAGGCGGCAATGATACGCGTCCTCTAATACTTTGAACTTGTGACGTACCACGTACGGGTATGTGCCCCCACCTTCAACCTGCTCCCCCAGGTGTTGATGCGGCAGCGGCGGGTGGTGCAGCAGCTGCTCCACTCGCTCGGCCGGCTGGGGCGGGCGGCGTGCGAGGTGCTGCGCCCCGAGGAGGCGGTGGGGCTGGCGGCAGCAGCTCTGGAGCACACGGCGGAGCAGCTGGTGGCGGCGGTGATGGCAAAGAGGTGCGTGATGTGGAGGAGAATGAAGAGGGGTGAGGAAAGGGTGAGCTGGCAGTGTCTGAAGCGGGGCGTGTGGGGTACCGGTAGGGGACGTCGTGGCGGTTGTACGGGTCGTGGTAGGGTCGTGGTGCTGGACACTGGGGCGTTCCTTCTCACTTGCATGACAAGTCCCCCTTACCTCAATTGCTTAACACGTTGCATCTCTACCACCCTTCTCTACCTCCTCCCTTGCCCAGTGACATGAGCCGGGACGAGTGCGGGGAGGTGGCGGCGCTGCTGGGGCCGCTTGCGGAGGGGGCGGTGCAGGCGTGGCTGGCGGCGGCGCGGGCGGCCGGAGCTGACATGTCCGGGGTGCCGCTACACGTGGTGCGTTGCGGGTGCAGGGAGAGGATGTGCAGGGAGGGAAGAAAAAGAAATGAGATGTGAAGCTCAGTACCATGTAGTGACTCATGCAGTAAGCGCACTAGCAGACTGTACTCTAGGAACACGCAACCCAGGGAGGGAGAGGATGTGGCTGGGTGATTGTCCGACGGCGGCATTGCGTTTTGTTCAAGGTGGAGCCTCTGGAATTGTTCGGATATGCTTTGGGTTATGCGGCCTACAGCCGGCCTTGTTTACCGACATGCTCGCCCATGTGCAGGTGGAGAGCGCGATCACCGCTCGTGCGCACCAGCTCTGCAAGCTGCGTTGTGTGGTTCGGGTGCTATCAAGCGACTCAATTGGTGCTATCAGCACTGCGTGGGATCACGGCGACCTGGCGGCAATGACGCCATCGGAACTGGAACATCTACTGCTTGCTATCAGCGAGGATTCGCCGAGTCGAAGAGCTTTGCTTCAGAAATTGCGGTAGCTGTAAGGATTATAGAGCAAGTGGTAATTAACTGTCGAGGCCGGTGTAACTGTCATCCAGGCCAGTGCGTTGGATATTCACGGTTGAGATGCCAGATGCCGGCAACCTGCGCATAGGTTTGTTGCTTTCCCTCCGAGTGACAAACATCTACGTAAACAAAACAAGCTGGGTATAATTCTGCCGACCAACAGCCTCAACCATGCCATCGTTTCTGGGAGCAAGGAGGCGGTATAACCTAACGTGGCAGCAAAGGGCAACCGGCGTTGCACTCGCAACTTTTGTGCTAATCCTCGCACCGACGTTTAGCTTTCTAGTAGAGTTCGACGACGACAGTGTCCGGTTGCAACACTGGAGCCCGCTGCAAACGGTCGCTGTCGGCCTCTTAAAAACAAATAATGAATGGGCTTCCTATGTCAAGTACATTCTTCTACCTGGGACGTTCTTCCAGTCAGCAATAGAAACTCTGGACTCGTGCTTCATCAACCCCAGCACAACAAGTACATGCGACTGGAATTCAATTACAAACTATGAAAAGATGCTTCAACGGGCCAGTTACGAAGACAAGGTGCGTAATAGGTAGAAACGGTAGGAACAACTGTTCTGGCGCTCTGCTTCTCGTCTTGGATACCTAAGGAACTCTATATTTGCTGACGCAGGTAGACGTTTTCGTACAGAAAATGGGTGAATACCGGCAGTTTGTCCAGGCAGCGGCTGCCGCGGCTACCGTGTTCTCAATTACATCCATGGTACTGGACGGCACGTTTGGTCTAATTGTTGGCTATGCTGGTCTTGCGTATATGACTAGCAAGGCAGGGTGCAGCGTGATGGGAGTTAACAACCTCTGCGTCGCGATTATGGTAGGGATCTACATAATGATGGCGAGGGACACGGCTCCACCATTACCTAAGCCTGTACCCAGTAAGCAAGTAACAAAAACTAAGGTTCTATAGGCTTAGAGCGAAAGCCAAGACAAGATGGTTGTTAGAGCCAGGCCATTGGAAAGGGTTGTGCTTGCTGGCAGCAGAGATCTTTGTGCAACGGAGCGTAGGGTACTCGTCTTGGTGCAACCTGTATTCCGCATATGGCGTTGACGCGAGTAATCATGGTTGCGGTCGTGCTGAGATGTGTAATGCCGTGCAGCATGCCGATGGAATTGTAACATGACAACCTTGTGTTTGTTGCAATACATGAAATATTAGATTGGTACAATGGCGTTCTTTACTTCACGTAGACGGGCCCGACCGGCAACCCCGGTACAGTACCTGTGCGGCCTTTGCTTTGCGATGTTTGTGCTCTTCCAGACTCCGTTATTCACCATGCCTCTTGAGCGCGATGGACGAGTAGCTGACATACCGCTAAGTGCTGCGGAGGTGGCGGCCATCGGGGTGCTTGCGTACAATGAAGATTACGTGTCTGCCACACAGCTTGTGCTTTTGCCGGGCGCTTGGTGGAAGTTGGCTTCCAGGCAGATCTTTGCCTGCGTGTCTGGGAGCGAATCGTGTGCGCCAGCTCGCCTTTTAGACGCCCAAGGTACGCATGGGTACCGGCATGGTGAGAACCACCATGTGCCTCCCAAGCGCCCCCTTTGCTGGATTGCTAGCTATTTGCTTTTATTTTGTAATCAGCAAATAGGTAGCGAGGCCATATGGTTGACAGTTATCGGCAAAGGTAGTTCTCGTACGACAGCCGAACTCATGGTCACACACTGCCACACATGCCAAAGTTCACTCACGGCATTCACCATTCCTCAACTGCAAGTCAGAGAATGTGTAAGGGCACAGACATGTCCACGGGCAAACGCCCTTACTTCACCTCCTTCCCCTGCATTCATGACGCTGGAATCTTGGCTCCTTGACCCACAGTTCTCCAACAGGCCTGTGACAAGAGGCCCCTCGTTGAGCCATACTTTAAAGCGGCCGGCCCTGCGGCGGGGAGCCTGGCCTTGTCCAGCGGCATGCTGCTCGCGTGTGCTGTTGCTATGCCAGTGGTGGGTAGCTAGTCTGCTTGAGAAGCTGGCCAGTCACATCTGTCGTGATGCCCTGCCCCGTGGTGCTTCCCAAATCTCCAATGCATCATATGCATGACCCCAGTTTCCGGTACCCACATATGCGCATTTCGCAGGTGCCTGACCTCTTGGTCTCACTGGTGGCGCTGGCGTTGTTCGTCTGGTCTGTGTTTCAAAGCGCCTGCTCCCCGCTGCCAACCATCCTGTTCATGGGGCTGCTCTGCGTGACGGCCGTGTTTGGAAAGGAAGGGCAGGCGGCAGGAACTGCTGCAGGTGCGAGGGCGCCCGGTGCAGGAGCAGCTGGGGCCAAGCGTACGGAGGGAGCAGCCAAACAGCCGGGGAGCCGTGCTGAGGGGCGGGGCAAAGAGGGCAAGTCCCCGGCGCAGCGCAAGAAGCGTTCGAGCTGACTTGCATGACATGTAACAGAGGACTTCACGCTGTACATTCCAACATGGCACTAACATCCCGCAGTACGGGCTATGCCTGCATGTCCACGCGCACATGCAAAACCCCAAAACGTGCGCCCGCCTTTCCAGACCTAATTGCAGCCACAGTCCGTCACCGGTAAGACCAACTCAGCCGAGTGCATTGCGTGTGCGCCGGCGAGTAAGCAAACGCGTTAGCGCATGGCTCAGCAAACCCATAGGCCCGAAGAAGAAGCAGAGCAGCACCGAGTGGACTGTTGCTGTACCCGTGCGTATACCATCCAGAGCCACCTCCCTGTAGGCAAGGTCGGCAAAAACAGGGCAGGGCACACACCTGTGTGAGCACGGGCGCTTTCCAATAGACCTGTAGCGATGCGCAGCTTACCCGCCCAAGCATTTACCGCTCCTAGCAAACCAGCATCCTACAGAGCAGTCGCCGAAACCTCCATCCCAAAGTGGTACGTTTGTGTGCCCCCCCTACAGCTGTCACCCCACCTGGCCATCAGCACATCCAGCGTCAGTAAGTGCAGCCAGGCCGCCAACATTACAAGCGGCTCCGAAAACATCGCCGCTAGCGGACTAAGGTCCAGACCCGCAATGGATCCAGTTGCGGTGGCCGTACATGCAGCTGCCGCCATGTCAGCCAGCGTTGATGCCAGCGTGCCCGTCTGCCAAGCTGCGAAGATTGACGCAGTGAAGAGCAGCGAGAGGCCAATGTAGAGCGCTGGGGAGGTCAGCAGTGAGGAGCGGGTCTGGGAGGGTGGTGGCAGGGGCGCGGGGACAAGTTGGGGAAGACCTCACATGGGCGGACAGGTGGACAGGCAGGCAAAAGGGAAGCACCCGAGGAACTGGAGACGGGGTCGGGACGGCTGTGCCATGTCAACTGTCCTCTCCACAAAACGTAAGCCATAATTCCAAGCCAAGGCATGGCGGCTTTGCGCAATTCATGGCCCATCCATCAACCATGCCCACGAGCCCAGCGTCACAGCCTTTCGTAGGTCGGAACCCCAGAACCCCAAGATGACGTACACACGGCATCTGTATATCGGTATCGCTCTAACCCACCAGCTTTGACCTTGGGAAGAACGCAAGCAAGGTGTACACAACAACCATCAAAGCTGAGCTAGCGACAAACAGCGCCCCTGCAGGCGTCCCCAGCACTGCTGCTCTAGGGGCACAGCCGGCAGCAGCTGTGATAGCGGTAGCGGTGGTGGCAGTGCTGCCCGACGCAGACACAGTGGTGATTGATTGGCGGCCGCGTTCCATGCCGGCGCTGGCATTGAGGCAGTTCTGAGGAGTATTGGAACCTGTAAGCCTGCCGCCAGCGATAGCGGTGGCTGCTGTTGCTGCATCAGCGGCGGTGCAAAGGAGGCCAGGGTTGTTGTGTGAGCCAGGCGTGTGAACCAGGGGACCAGGCTTGTTATGTGTGTCTGATGATGATTAAGCCGTTGAGGCGGTAGTGGCACTGCAGGAGAATGCTGCCTTAGCATGTATGCACCAACTTCCACGCACGCACTGCCGGGAAGGCCCAAGGTGTCGAAATCGGATGAAGGGGAGTACACGCGCGTAAAATGGCATTTGTGTCCTTTAAAAGGAGCTCGCGGTGCCTAGTGATTCGACGGATGGGACAAGAATGTCAGGACAGAGGAGTCCTGACTCCCATGTGTATTGGCTATTCCGGATGGTGCCCACGAAGCCGAACGTAACGACCAGAATACTGAGCCTTAGGGTTTCCCACACATCAGCGCACCTGTCCTCTGGGATCCTCGGCTTATAGAAAAATAACGGCAAGTATATGCCGGGCTCGCCGCGACCGGCCGGTTCATTGTCCGGGTGGTTGATGCAAGGGACATTGCTCAGTTGGTGCCTTTAATAGGATGTTCACCTCAGCGAAAGGCAAGAGTAACAATAATCAATGGCACGATTGAGATAGGCCGTGGTATCCTAAAGGCGAAATTCCAAAGGGTGCAGTTTCCAGTTACTCGTATGGGGAAGGAAGTGAATTAGGATGAACGGCGCGCTCATTCACCGGAGCTGTGATAGTGGCAAATTGGTCACCATCCCAGCAAGAAGGCCCTCCCGCTGCGTCCCCCAGATGTGATCCCCCTGGAGTCTTCCTCAAAGTCCAAGCAAACCAGCACCTTTCTGGGAGATTTATACCAATATCTCTTTAATTAAGACCACCGGAATTCATTTATATCGTGACGTCCAACGCGAGGTGGCTGACCGTTGACGCATGTTGTGCATCGTTTCAAGCAACAGTCAATTGAGATATAGATCCACTTACCAGATAACGTTTTACGCCTACATATCATCATTTGCGCGGGATAACTCAAACAATACTAGATGTGACGTTAGGTGCACGACGGCTCAGCTCGATGTCAGGAGTACGACATCTTCCGAAGATGCGCATGCCTCATGGCTCACGTGATCATTAACCATCAACGAGGGCACGGTTCCAGGTCTAGCACAAGTGGCAAAGTTGTCCCTCCCAAAAGCAGGTCTGGCATTCGCCCACTTGGTACTATTCCATATCGTAGAATACGTTGCGTAATGAGTTCACAGGGGGGTAACATGTCCAAGCGGTAAACCTCACCACCTCAGCACAGCACAGCAAGTCTCCCTTTTCAGGGGTCCAAACGGAAGTCATACAGCAGCATCTTTTCAGGGGTCCAAACGGAAGTCACACAGCAGCATCTAACGTCGCAATGCCTCGGTTGTATGTGAATTTGTGCACGTTAGGTCAGATCGTCAGAACACCAGGTGCTAGCTAGCTCTCATTTCTGTCGCGGCTCTCCCATGCTATGCGGCGGTGAGGTACGCACATGCACACGAATAGCAGACATGGGATCTTCAGCAGACCCGCTCCCATAAGACCCGCCGCTGCCGACGCCAAGCGAGCTCATGCCAGCGCCGGTCTGCAGCCCCAGCTTCATAGCGCTGTCGAAGAGCGATACAGAGCTTGTAGTGGCGCCGGCCGGGGTGAAGGGCCCACCTGGCGCTGGCGTGGATCCCAGGCCGACCATGTGACGCGACACGGAGGGGCTGGCCCCCACGGACGGCGCGATGGAGTAGGGCGCGCCAATGGCCGGGTAAGTCAGCCCCGTGTACGGCCTGCAACCACGCGGGGAACGGTCGCAAGAACACCGGGATTAGGGACATCGTGGCGCATTGCTGCCCAACACGGCTCATTACCCCAGCTTGTTAGCTGTATGCGGCGTGCTTGCAGCCTACCTACCTACCTTACATAGGACGCAGGTGCGGCCGCCCGCTGGGCTTCAGCTGCTCCCGCCATGCTGACGTTGGGCTCGCTGCCCGCCCCGCTGGTGGGCCTTATCAGCGCCCCGATGCGACCGGTGGTCCTGGGTGCCATGTTGCTCATGATGGCCTCCAGCCGCTGCTGCTCCAGCTGTGCAGCCAGCCGCGTCTTCTCGTCCGTGACCCGCTGCAGGTGCTCCTGGGTGCTCTCCAGCGCCCGCCGCAGGCTGCGCACGTCCTCGGTTGCTGCAGGGCCAGCGGTCGGAAAGGGGCATATGCAGGAATACATTAGTTGTTCTGCACACGACTGCCGGTATTAAGGCGCAAACCAACGGCGTATCTGTTGTAATCTTTGCAAGGACGTGCAACACACCCAGCTGGCCTACCTTGCACGTGCGAGTTGCGCAGCGAGTTGGCCTGGTCCTGCAGGTTGTCCCGCTCGCTGATGAGCTTCTGCAACTGCTTGGACACGTGGTCCGAGTCCACCAGGCGGGCTCGGGCCTCCACCAGCTGCCGCTGCATGTCATCCACCTGCGGTTGTGCGGTGGACGCACAGGGTTCGGGACAGGGTTTGGACCAGAGGTTTGGAACAGGGCGCTAAGGTTGACAAGACGGACAGTGACGGACGGTAAGGTTGAAGATGGGATCAGACGCAAGTTAGGGCAAGCGGTGAAAGCAGTCTTCACGAGCTCACGCTCACAGAGGTACATGACAGCTGGACTGCCCACCTTCTGCTGTGCCTCCGAGCGCTCCAGCCGCATGGCCTCCACGTCAGCCACCAGTCGGGCGCCCTGGTCGGTGGCCTCCCGCAGCCGCGCCTCCAGGCGGTCCACAGCCTCCTTGGCATTGGCCTGAGACACACGCAGGCAGGCAGGGGAGCAGAACGGTGACGAGCGGCGACAGCGACGAAATGGAGAGTACTGAATACGGTAGCAGCCGCATTGCCAATGATGGACAGTTGGCATAGTTGTGTCCGCATGCATGCAGCTTGAGGGATGAGGATGCCACAGGGACAGCCAGCATGCACAACGTCGGCCTGCCTACCTTTGCCAGCTTCTCCGCGTCCTCTGCCGCCTGCGCACGTGCCATGAGCTCCTGCGCCTTGAGTCGCGCCTCGCTGTCCGCCAGCACCATCTGCCCGGTCAGCGTCGAGATGCGCGCGTTGGCGTCCGTCAGGGCCTTCTCCATGCCTGCCAGCCGACCCGTGAGCGTCTCCAGCTGCCCCTGGGCGTCCTGCAGGAGGACATCCATGGCGCAAAAAGGTGGGGTAGCAAAAGTACGGCTGTCTCCGTTAAAAGGAAAGCCCCCGGTTACAGAGGCACAGCAGCCATGCTTGCAGCAGCCTTGTTAGGTATGACACGTCTCTGCCAGGGCTGCACTTGCCTGCAGCTGGGACTCCAGCAGGCGAATGCGCCCGGTGGCTCCGTTCGCCTCCGCGCTGGCAGACTGCGCTTCGGAGCGCAGTCGTGACAGCTCGTTGGCGCGTGACTCGTTCTCCGCGTACATCTCCTTGAGCTGGGCCTCCTGCTGTGCGGCGGTGTCCTGGAGAGGATGAGCAGGGCATAAGGGATTCACGATTCAGGTGTTCTCAGTACGGTAGAAACAGTGTGATACGGTATGTGCCGCAGATGCGATGCTGATGCTGATACCGATGGTACCGGTAGCGGCTCGGCTGAATCTGCAGCGTGCGCCGAGTACTAATAGCTGCATTAGGACATGTGGTGGCCTAGCCTACCTTCCAGGTGTCACGTGACTTGGACAGCACCGCAACCTCCTCCTGCAGCGTAGCAACCGTCTGGCGCGCCTCAGACAGGGACGCCTGCAGCGACGCCACGGCGGACTCGCTGCTGGCGAGCTGCTGCTGCGCGTTGCACCTGAGGGCAGCACGCACGGCAGGACAGGAAAGAATCATCATGTAGGCTCAGAATTCAGAACCCATCAGCGGCTAAGAAAGCCGACCAGCACCCAACTGATGTACGCATGGAAGACGGGCTGTACAATTCAACCATGTCGTACGAAGCTCCGCGAAAGCCCGAAGCACGGCCAAAACGCGGTAACGCGCACCTGTTGCGCTGCTCGTCCCGGAGCTCTGCGTCCAGCCCCGACAAGCGCGAGGTGAGGTCCTCCACGCTGCGCTGCGCCTCCGCCAGCCGCGTCTTTGTGGCGCTCAGCTGGCCGCTCATCTCTTCGGCCATGCTGGCGTTGTTGCGAAGCGTACCTAGCTCGCCATGCAGCTTGGTAACCTGAAGACACACGGAACACGGCAACGAAGACAGATCCTCCTTCAGGCGATGGGAGTTAATGCATTAGGCATATCGGTATCATTGTACGCATCAGCCAACGCGTTGCCGAGGGATGGAAGCAAAGCAGCAAAAGATTAAAAATTGATTCAAGCACGATCTCTTACATTCAACACAGGCCCTTCCCATTCAACACAGGCCCTTCCCAGTGACCACCTAACTCCTAGCAGATCCCTTTAGACAGGCCTTACCTGGGCTCGCACCGTCGCCAGGCTCTTGAGGAGCCGCTCCTGGCATACGGCTTCTCCCCAGTCCAGGCTAACCTCCGAGTCCGGGCTTCCGTGCATGCCCCTTCCAGGAGACCTCGGCGACGACAGGGGCGAGGACATGGGGAAGAACGACACGCCCATGGGCGTCTGGGGTGAGTTGGACGCGCCCGACGCGCAGACCACCTTGATGGTGCGAACCTCGGACCAGATCAGGTTCAGCAGTTGGTCCCGAGCGTGGGCCTGCATGCGTGCAGTGGTACGGTAACCATGGCAGGAATGTTTAGGTGAGTGGCTGCCTTGGCCGGAGCAAGTGAAAGCAGATCCAGACCGTGCTTCCTAACATCATACCTTCAGTCGCAGCAAGTCCCGCTCCTGCCTGTCCTCGCCCTGTATCGTGCTGAACGTCGACAGCTGCCGCTGCAGGTTGTCACGCTCCGATGCAAGCGCCGAAATTCGAGCGTCACGCTCGGAGACGGCATCATGGAAGCGCGCCTCCTCTTCCTCAAGCACCTGCGTGGTGCAGGCCCGGAGCATGGTCGCATTCTCGTATAGGGTTGACGACAAGGCTCCGTGAAAGCTACCATACTCATCATTCCAATGCATTGCTTTGTCTGACCTCGAGCCCAACCCCGCAACTCTATGGAATGCTTGCTACCGGTACGTCGACAACCCCTTCCGCCCTGCGCCTCCTAACAGCGCACCCAGCCCGTCGTCCTTCACGCGAGTAGACACAACTATGCGCGTCACCCCGCCGCACCTGGCGCAGACGTGACTCGCCGTCTGCTACCGCAGCTGCGATACGCGCATCCCGCTCGGCCAGGACGCCGTGCACCTTGGCATCCGCATCCATGATGGCGGCATGCAGGCGCGACTCGCGCTCCGCAACCTGCATCTGCATCCTTGCGTCCCACTCCTCCTTCAGCGTTTGCACCTTCCTGTCGTGCTCGGCAGCCGCAGAGCGCAGACGCTCCTCCCGGTCAGTCAGTTGCGCCTGAAGACAGCAAGGGAACGCAGCAAGGAAACACAGCGGTGCATGTTGAAGAAGCTCGCAGGGATCATAGCAAGGGGCTTAGGGACAGGACAAGGTAATGTTTGCTTGATTCTGGTCTGGCGCAGCACCTGCAATGTGGCCTCTCGCTCTGCCGCCTGAGTTGTGAGGGCCTTGTGTGCCGTCGTGAGATCCTCCAGCTGCCGGTGCAGACGCTGGCACTCCAGGTTCGCCTCCTGTTTTGCATGGAGACACCGGGACACGACAAGGTGCGGTGTCGCACGAGTTAGAACAGGCCACTGGCAGCACCCCGCACGAAAGAGCAGCACCTTCTCCACGACCCCCATCCATAAAGCACAGGAACCTCGCCTCTCGGCCTTCCAGGTAAGGCCCGCTTTCGGCTTCATGGCATCACAAGACATGCGCACATGCGGGTCACGCCTCACCGTGAGCGCCTGGTCCATGAGCGCGATGCTGCGGCGGCTTTCCTCCAGCTCGCTCATGTGCGCCGCCTTGAGCTGCTGGTGCGCCGCCAGGCTGGTGGCCAGCTCGCTGGTGCGGGACACCTGGGACTCCAGGCTGGCCACTCGCTCGCGCGCATGCTCAAGTGCCTGAGGAGCAAGAACGAGAGAAAGAGAAAGAACGGGCAGGCGCGGTGTGTAAAGAAGGCGAGGGCAGGACAGGCCAAACAGTGTACCTGCATGCCACACGATTGGATATGGTTGTCATGGGTTGTGAAGCTGAAGAAGCACATCACGTGGCAGAGCAGGTAGCGACTTCCAAACGGCATGGGTGAACGCAGCTCCGGCGGCGGTGACAGCAGCTCACCTGGCTTTGCCGCTCAGCTTCGTTGACATTCCTCTTCATGATGCTCACGAGCGCCTGCAGCACCGGCCGCCAGCGCCGTGCGGGCGCCACGGCCCCGCCCTCCGGCACACCGAACAGCGAGTCGGCGCGCTCGGCTCGCAGCTGGCGCCACACGGCGTTCACCTGGACCTCCAGGTCACGGTCCAGCTCTGTGGGCAAAGCAGCAGAAAGGGAAACGGGGTGCATGAGGAGCAAAGCGTAAAGGAATAAGGATCGGGCTGAAGAGCATTGGCTCTTTGCAGTATGAGCTCGGGGAAATTATGCATCATTTCGTCTGTCTACTCTTGTTTGCGCCAGCCAGGAGTTAAGGAAAGGATTGACTATGTGTCTGCTTGGTTTTGCCTCGCACGCACCTCGCAGCAGGGACTCCATCTCCTGCATGTCGATGTGTGCAGTGCTCTCACGCCGCACCGCGTCCTCAGCCGCCTGCTGCGCCGTACGCAGCTCTTGCTTGAGGCTCTCAACCTGCGGGACGAGCGACATGAGTCGCAAGGAGAATGGGCGGACAGCACGTCACCGGAAAATTCGATCCTGCAAACATGCGCCCTTCTTTCCACCAGTTTAGCCTTCTTAACCCTGCCACCCGCGTCCTCCTCCCGTCTGTGCACCTGTGCTCGCGCTCCGCTCAACTCAATCTTCATGCCCTCCGCGGCAGAGATAGCAGATCGCAGGTCGCTTTCTGCCTTGGACGAGGCCACCCGCGCGTCCATCTCCAGCTTCGCCCGCTGCGTGGCGGCCGCCTCCAGCTCCAGGCTCAGCTGCTCCGCACGCTCATCGGACCGCCACTTGGCATCCTGAGGTGCGTGCGCACATACGTGACATGTCGGCCCGCAGTTGGCACATGATGAAATAAGGTGCCATTGGAAGCCCTGGTTACCGTGACATGTCGCATGGGATCCACTTTGGAACACATGCCCAAGTAGCTTCCTCTGACTGGTGGTTAAGCCGGCCCTTGCCAGCACAGCCTGGCTCACTCGCTCACATGCTGGTACGCGATACCACCACATGCCGTACCTGCAGTTTGTTGCGCTCGGCTCGCACGGTTTCCAACGCGTTGTTCATGTCCTTGACCTGCACCGCCAGCGCCGCCGCCTGCTGCAGCGCGCTGCTCTCCGCGCTGCGGCTGTTCTCCACCTGCACACGCAGCTGCTGCAGCGCCGTCTCGGCCGCCCGGCGGGCCACCTGCTCAGCCTCCAGCAGCTCGGCAGCGTCCATCGCCTGAGAGCGCAGCCGCGAGGTCTCCTCACCCAGGTTGCGGACCTGTAGGGGATAAGAGACAGGAGTGAGAAAGGAGAAAGAGCAATACCGGGATTACCGGTATTAGCGATAAAGTCTACATGCGCATTGCACGGATGAAATAACCGTAACTCCTAGAGGTATGTGCTTCCACGACTACACAACGCAACCGCAGCAGCCAGTACGCAAAGATACACTTTAGAGCGCAGCAGGGGGCCAACATCAATAAACAACGCCATCAGCAGGCCGTATTGCCACCGCCGTTCCCGCCCACCTGGCCCTGCAGTTTCTCAGACAGCTCGTGGTTCTGGCGCTGCAGACGATCGCGGTCCTGCCGCATGGCATCTGCTGCAGCCCTTGCGTCCGCCAGCTGTTCCTCCAGGGAGGCCTGCTCCGACCTCACCGCACTCAGCCGGTCCTGCAGCGCCCGCACCTGGGCCTCCAGCATGCTGGACTCAGCCTGTACGGCATCACGTGGGCAAGGGCAGGCCAAGGAGCCGACAAAGTGGTAAACACCAAAGGAAGCAGGAAAAGAGCCAGGAAACAGGAGCAGGTCCTCTTGGATGCTAAAGCAACTGAGTACAGGCTACAGACATGCGGGTGCGACAGGTATGTGCCCCGCCACTCCCGCCTCCTCTCAAAAGCAGCTAAAAAGCAGCAGCATTACCTGGATGTCCAGCACGCTGCTCTGCTGGTCCTCCAGCTGCTGCACACGGCGGTTCAGCAGCTGCCTCGCATTCTCGCTGGTCTCCAGCTGCTTGCGCATGCTCTCCACCTGGCTACGCGCCTCGGACAGGGCCGCGGAGGCATTCGCCTCCAGCAGCTCGCTGGCGGAGCGGTTGGCGGCCTCCTTGTGGGAAGCCTCGGCCTGAAGGGAGGCATGGGAGTGAACGATGGGAGGGAGACAGGGAAGGGCGAGGACTAGCTGAGCTTGGGGTTCGGACTAGCCCACAGCGCATGTAGCAGTTCCCAGTAAACGGCCCTGCATCCTCTGCTCCGGTTGAGGTTTCCAGCTGGGCAGGATATGGCAACATGCCTCTCAGCCATTGTGCGCACCTTCAGCCGTGCCGTCTCCCGCCTCTCAGCCTCCAGTTCCGCCCTCAGCTGCTCCACCTGCCGCCCCAACACATCCAGTGCTGCATTAAATCCGCTCCTTTCGCCGTCGCGGCTAGTACCCCCGCCACCGCCGCCTGCAGCACCCGACGGCCCAGCACTGTTGAGTGCGCTTGCACCGGGGCTGTTTTGGCCGCTCATGCGCGACTGCTGCGACTCAACCCGGTCCAGCCGCAGACCCTGCTGGGAGGCGGAGCCTTCTCCAAGCTGCAACGAGGCCAGCAGCTCCGTCAGCGGTCCCCCCTTGGCTTGTTGCTGCTGCGACTGCTGCTGCTGCAGCGAGGTAACCGATGACCGGTGCTGTTGCTGGTATGAGGAGGACTGGCTCACACCGACGACTCGTGAGCTGCCGCCTGTAAGGAAGGGCTGGGGCAGCGATGACTGCTGTTGTTGTTGCTGCTGCTGGTCCGCGTTCGTTGGCCTCGGGGTAGATACGGAATCGCGTGGGGTTGCTGCGGGCGTCGCGTCCAAAAGCGACCGTGGCAGAGACGCCGAGCCTCCGTTTGCTGCGCCGGCTGCTGCTGGTGCAGTCGAGTTAAGGCCGCCGTTCCTAGGCACGGAGGAAGAGCGTGCGAGCGAGGGAGCGCCGGAGCCCGCAGCTGTGAGGTAGCGCGCATCCAAGGAAGCTGCATCGTCATAGCTGGGGCTGAACCTGCGACAATGACGCCCATGCAAACACACATGGGAAAGGCGAAGATTTCAGGCAGCAAGGACAGACTACACACGGTCGCAAAAGACGCGAAGGGTTGACTAAAGCAGCGTTACAGCTCAATTGCGGGCGGTCCTCACCGTCCAGAGCCTTGTCCTCGCACGGAGCTGGCAGCTGACGGCGACGCGCGGACCTGGATGGGGCTGCCAAACCGCACCCGCTCCCTCTCGCGTTCCTGCATCTGCCGCTCCCGCTCCTGACGCTCGCGCTGCGCCTGTGCTGTGCGCTGCAGGGAGTGCATCAGCTCCTGCTGCGCCGCTGCGGCGGTCAACCCCGCTGCGGCGGAGCTGTCCGTGCTGTCCCAGGTCGCAGTGACGAGGAGGCCATCAGACCTGGGCCCCGAGCGGAGCCGGTTGACGTAACTGAGCGTGGCCAACGTGTCAGCGGCGGCCTACATTTTACGATGGAAGTTTGGATAAGCAGAGGTTTAATAACAGTGGAAACCTGCCAGGTCAAGTGGTCGCGGTGTTTGGCACCCTGCCCGATGACGTGTAAACATATGCCTGCGCTTCTGTGAAGGCTTTAAGCATGTACGGTACCCCCCTCGCAGCGCACCTCTGAGCCCGGCGCCACCGTCGCAATGACCAGTATGCTGCCCGCCATGTCCAGACAGCCCTTCAGCCACCGCGTCAGGGGTGAGTCCCGCCACGGGACATGCGTGCGGCCCCGCGCCGGCGACTCCTGATTGCGCGCTGAGCCCAAGCCGCTGCTGGTCCCTGCCCTCAGGGCTGTGATGACAGCTGTCAGGCTAGCGTACGCTAGCGACAGCGAGCGTGCGAGGCCGCCGTCGACAGCGGCAGGATAGCCCATCAGGTCCTGCGTTGCGTAAACAGGAGGTTGTGGGACTGCAGTCAACACGGGGAAGGACACTGACCCCAACGCGTATGTAATGGTCGCGGTATCGCTCAGTGAAAGCGGCGCGCTTGCTGTCAACCACAGGGGTAGTGGCTGTGCCCAGCGGGAAGTTGCCCTGACCCAGCCTGGTCCCTAACATGTACAGCAACAGGCATGCGCAGGCCATAGGAGTGACAAGCTGGCAAAAGACTGCTCACCTTGGCCTCCGGTGCAGCCAGTTCGACAAAGGTCAGGTTGGTCGCCAGCTGCTCGCCGCTCGCAGCGAAGCCCGTGAGCTGGATGTTTAGCATGGAGTGAGCGGACGTGGGCATGGCCCGACCGGAGCGGTTGGTGCTGCTGCCTGATGCATTCGCTGAAGCGCTGGCGAACACTGTTGTCCGGGTCATCCGGCCTTGGCGCAGCACCTGCGCTTGGAGGGCAGTTGGGAGGCGCCACTTCATGGCTTGCAGCTCCATGCATGCTCCGTTGCAGTATAACCGCATGCATGCGCTGTGTGAAAGTATGCTGAGCGTGCACCCAAACGCAAAGCATGCATCGAGTACGCCCCGCAAGCTTGTGATATTACATGCATGGACCCTGACGGAAAGGGTGCACTCCAGGTGGCCACAGTCACCAATGTGTTACCAAAGCAACCCCGGCGTGCGCTGTACCGTACCTCGTAGATGTCCTCAGACGATTCCACCTGCAGCACACGTCGTACGCTTAGTCCCGTGAGAGCGGTTGCTTTTGAGGGATGGGTGTACGGCCTTGGCGTACACTGGCAAGTTCCCGGCTCATGGGTCCGGCTGCAGGGTTTACCTGGTAGTGCAGCAACCGTGCTAGCGCCCCGGTGGCTGATGCTTCCTTTAGCGACGTGGGCGGTGACCCAGGTGCCAGCAAATCCACCATCAAGGCCTCCACGCCCGCCGAAAGCGCTGAGGGTGGCACCATGCAAGGACAGCAGGACGGGAGGGGTGCACTTCACGTGGAACGGAGCAGGGTTGTCCGCAAGCCACGCCCGGCATACTGTTTTGCATGCAGGCAACCAAGGCTTCCCCCTTACCACAGTATGTGATGTAGAGCTTATAGCGGTGCTTTGGCACAACCGCCAGGTTCTTACAAATTGCTTGCAAGGCTCGCGGAATGGCACCTTCGGTCCGGTTTGCGGACGAGCCACCCTGCAATTATAACGTCATGAACACAGTGAAAGTAGCCGGAGTTAACACGGTTGCCCCTTGTTGTCTGGTCTTCCCGTTGACCTACGATGCTGCCACGGGGCCCTCGGAAAGTGAACGCACCTCGAGAGTGTAGCTTTTACCCGTAGAGCTAGCGCCATAGACGAGGATTGCTGAGGACGATCCTTGCAGAAAGTTATTAACTTGCGGCAAAATGCATTCGTTGAAGGTGCCCTCTTGACTAGCTCCTTCTTCGACAACGTAGTCAAATGCAAACTGGCCATACTAAAGACGGCAGAGGTAGAAGCTGTCAGCTTAGTCAGGAAAGGTTCTGGCATTTTGACCTAGCGTTCGCACCTGGCCCTTGATGGACAAAGGCGGACCACCCGAGCGGGCAGCCGGCCTAATACGCACGGCAGCCCTAACGTCAGTCATGTTTTGAATTGGGTCAATTGGCGAAAACAATGCTGGTGAGGCGTCTTTGGTTCCGGCTGCACGGCCACGCGTACATTTTAGCTATCACACCACAGGAGAGGCAAGAACGTAAAGTCAATAGGTCCATGTACTGTCAGGGCTACTCAAGCTCCAGCGGGGCGGCCAGGTTTCCTTGTGGCCGGTTTGTACTGCAGCAATCGTCCGTTGGTTGGGTGTTGCGACTTGCGAGCTTGGTTGAACGCCCATCACTGGTGACATTTGTCCCAGCCATCCATGGAAGAGGAGTCTATATGCTTTTATCCCTCATTTCCCGTTCATGTATCTTGCGTTGATGTTGCACGCCTGTATGGCAAGCCGCTGTTCTCAAACGTATGCGCTCCTTCGAACTTCATAACCTGGGGCCTTTGCCTTGTGACATTATGTGCCAAGCAAAAACTCCTCTTTTGGATGCTGGCCTTGATCTCCAATCGCATTCCGGCCCGACATGGGCGGGCCCGTTGCAACGTCAAGAGCCCGCAGCACTTTTGCATTACCAGAGACTCCTAAAAGCCATAACTCCAGGGCCGTCATGCGCTGCTAATGGTCAATCCTCTGCATCATGTTGGTGCCCTTGGACCCTAAGCCTTGGTGCACCTAGCTTCATCCCTTATCCAAGCCCTGTGTGCTCTCAACCACGCAGGCAGTACAGACCCCATTGTCGTAAGGCGTAAGCCGCTATAAGGTCCCAAAGCACGCTGTGTCCATACCTGAACACTTAGCACGCGTGTATTCACGTCTTGGCGCCTCTCCTATACTTCGGCCACCTGACAAACCCATTTCAGCCTCTAGCACTTCCAATTTCGCCCTGCTTCCTGCCTCACCTCCCGCACCACCCCTCCCCTTTCCAGCGCTCCTGCTACCATCCTGCACCTCGAACCGCTATGCTTTCTCTTAACCCTCCGCCCCTCCTCACCCCGCCCTTCACTGAAGTCACTCCCAGCTCCCCGAGCTCATCCCAACATCCTTCCCGCCCACTCACTTAGCCCCTCCCATACTCGCATTACCTTCGCGCCACACCCTAACCAAAACCTCCGTAACCGCACCACCTCCCATGGCCTCCTGCACCATGCGCACCAGCTCAGCTGCATTGGCCGCCTCATCCCACGACCGAGCCTTCCGCAGCGCCCGCACCGCAGTGCCCGCCAGCCGCACCGGAGCCGCCAAGATGCTGCCCACCGCCGCCGCCACCTGCTCCGCCGGCGCCTCAAGGTCGACCAGGAACACCTCGCCATCGCCGCCGCGGAGGAGATCCGTCGCGCCCACGGCGCCGTCGCCGTCGTGGACGACAGAGGGTGCACCCTGTAGGGATTCACATGGTTATGTTAGGTAGGGCTGTGCGGGGAGTGTGAGGGGGTGCGCGCGTGTGTGGGCGCCGCACGGGGCATAAGAGGACCATGACTGTGCCGTGTTTACTGCTTCCTGGGAAAGCGTACTTGCGGTCTCTTACAGCTGCTGCACTTCGCATAGACAGGCATGTCTCCCCGACGCATGCTGGTAGGTGCTAGGTGGGTAGGTAGGAAGGCAAAGGAGCCTACCACCGCACACCTGCGACGCCGCCTCCACAATTGTCATGCCGTACGCGTCGTAGGTCGACGGGTGGAAGTTGAGTCGTGTCTGGCGGTACAGCTGCGCAAGCTCCGCGGGCCCAACAAAGCGCTCCAGGATGACACTGGTGGGCGCGGCGGCGCGCAGCCGAGCCTTGAGGGCCTGTGTGGGGGCGGGCGGGAGAGGATATGACACACGGCTTATGGGGGTCCTGGCATGTATGGGTGATGGCGGCATCCAAATGGCACGTGCTGTGCTGTGATACCCCGCCACTTTTTTCCCCGATGTGGACTAGAGTGTCACATCAAGCGCAGCACGGCAGGCTGCAATGGCTGGCTGGAGAGGGCTGCTGCTGCTGCTTACGCACCACGGTGGTGCATTTCAAGTCTATGAATACATGCATGGACGGACGATTGCATGCATGCATGGGTGCAAGGGTGAATACATGCGTGCATGGATGCATGGACGAATGCATGCATGCATCCATGCATGGACGATGCAGGCATTCCTGGATGCAAGGACTAAGGCAGGCATGCAGGCATAGACGAGGTCCATGCATGCACAAGTGCATGCGCACATGGCCTGCCCAAGCACCGTAGAACGCCTTAAGGCCCCAGCCCACGCCCCCTTCTGCCCTACCTGCGCATACTCATCGTTCGCCACACCCAGCAGCAGCGGTGTGAGTCCGAACCTCTCCAGCAGCCCCTGCCCTGCAAGCGCCTCCACGGCTGCCACGAACCGCTCCGGCTCCTTCTCTGGGCTTAGCCGCACCACGCATGACAGGTAGGGCCGCGAGGCCACAAACGCCGCCGCCTGCGCCTCCACCTCCGCTTCTGCTGCATCACAACTGCCCTCCTGCGACACCTGCTGTTGGTTCTGCTGCTGCGCCTCCTCCTGGTTGACACTTTTGTTGTCCAGCAGGATGGTTGCCAGGCGAGCCAGGTCGGCTGGTGGTTGCAACTGCCGTACATCCTCACGGAGAGCGGGAAGCAACACCTGCAAGAAAGGTAAGAGGTGGAGACAACCAGCAAGCAGGCGTGCACGTTGACGCTAGGCAGCGTACGGCTTACATGGCCACCTAGGCCGAAGCGCCAGTTGCCTGGCCGCAAGCAGACGCCGCCACACCTACAGTACCCCAGTACCCTCACAGCCAACCCGAGCCCCGACTTCCTCTTAACCGCACCCGTTACCTTCGGCAACGGCATCAACAGCCCTGCGTCGCCAGCCAGCCCAACACCGGACGCCCCTTCCCCATCCGCACACTGCTGTTGCCGCTCCTCCTCATTCCCTTGTGCACCGTTCTGAGCTGCAATGCTGCTGGCCCTGCCCGCCCCCTCCGCACGATAATTACCCCGCCCCCTCCCCGCCACCTGGGTGGCTAGGTAGTGTGCGTCGCTGCGGCTGAGTGCCACCGTGAGGATTGATTCTGACATGGCAGCAGCCTCCATGCTGGGTAGCCGGAGGGCCGGGAGATTTGGGATTGAGCGGGAATCGGATAGGGATTGGGGACTCAGGACATGGCGACAGATGTGAAAGAGGTAGCGAAGGGGAGGAAGGGAGCAAGGACAGCAGCATCAGCAGCAACTTCAGCGTCCCTGTGACAGTACTGCGCCCGCTGCTGCCACTGCCTCGGCAGCCAGCAAAAGCGACAAGGCACAGCAGCGGCCTCACCTGCGAATGAGTTCAAGGTCCTCTCCGACTGCCGTACGAGTGAACACGCGGTAGTTGAGGTACACGTACGGCGCGCCTCCGCAGTACGGCAAGAGGTTCCGTACAGCCTGCAGCGCGCTCCAGTCTACTGCTAAGACCACCTGAGGGGCGAAGGCGCGTACCGCCTCCGAAACCGCCCCGTCTAGGACCCCCGCTGCGAACTCACGCCAGGGCGCACCAGCATCCAATCGATGCCATGAGCTGACCGGAACCTGCCGGGCATGTGCAGGTAGTGGTAGTGGGGTGAGCAAAAATGAGGTACGACGTCGTGTAATATAATGTGTCCTGGGGTTGGCAAGACGTTGTCGACCGCGCGGAGGAGGTCAGAGGGGCAAGAGTACATCCATGGGGCATCGAAGTAGCTGCCTGCCGGAAGCTACGAGGCTAGACTGCTAATGACATAGGCATGCCAGCAGGTTATGAGTAGCCAGCATCATTTAGCTGCACGCTAACCGGTTGCAATGGCTACCTAAAGTTAACGAAATGCCCACACCCGGAACCCGCGCTGGTGTACCTCGACAATTTTAAGGACCCCGTAATCCTCCGTGGGTTTTGCAGCATGGACTGGCTGTGCGCTCACGACGAATAGCTTGTGGCCTGCTGCTGTCAATGCGCGCACCTGAGGCGCAACATGTGCATCATGGATGGGTCATCGACAAGCTTTGAGGCGCATTTTTCGTCCATGCGAAAATTAAACCTGCGCAGTAGCGTAGACACCATTGCCACTGAATGTTCCAGCCCTGAATTCGAGAGTCAAAAACAGGATTCGCAATGCTTGCACGTGTGGTGCTAGCAATTCGCCTTCAATCATGGCCCTCGGAAACTAATTACAGGACGGGGTTTCTTAGGCGACAAATAGCAGATACTTTAGGCCATGTAACAGAGGACACTTCTACCGGTATCACTTGGTTCGCAGGGTACCAGCCTGGCTAATCCTAGCTAGCTAACTAAGTAACACAACAAAATAGCTTAAGCAAAGCTTTAAAAGCCATAGGCTACGGAAGTGCTGTACAAATTGTCCCGGGGGTCATCTCCTCATCGGGAGTCACTTCTTCGGACCTTAAACCACCTCGTTGATAATGCAGAAAGCGGAAGTCGCGCTCAATCAGCATCTATTATCATATAGCAATGTACCTATCTAGCCTTGCTTTACTCCGCAACGTTTTCCTTCGTCCCGTCGTCATGACTACTCACGCGTCCGCCAGAACCCTCGCCGCCCGCGCCCTCCTTCCGCACGCCGCAAAGCTCACCTCAAACAACTCTCACTCCTTCTTCTCTTTCTACACAGCCGCAGTTCCGATTCCCAGCTCCTCGCTATCTCGGCCCAAGCCGCCTCGCGCTGCTGCTCCTCCTCGCTCCCTCGTCACGACCACCTGCATGCCAAACGCTGGAGAGTCGGGCTTGTCCGGCAAGCGCCCTAAGTGCATCCCCATGGGCTTTATCGTGGAATCCCATGAGGGCCTTCCAGCGCCCCGACCCACCATCATCCTGGATAAGCTGCCACCAGGTGCCCTAGAACACCTGCAACGCAGCGACCCCAACAACCTCAACCGTCGTGCCAGCGAAGATGACGAGGTCGATGATATCAGCGACATCCACCGCGGTAACACCGCTGGTGGCGGCGGCGGCGGCGGTGGCGGCGGCGGCGATAGGATGGATTCCATGCTAGAGGACCCCCAGATGCAGGCCGCCGCAGCAGCCAACGCGCCGGAAGAGGCAGCGGAGCGGGCTGATGAGTACATATCGGAATCTGCTGGAGAGGAGAGCGGCGAGGAGGGTGGTGGCGCGGGTGCAGGGGCAGCGGCCAGCCCGGGTGAGATGGGGGGCGGCAGCGGGGATGTTGAGGGCGGCGAGGAGCGGCGGGCGGTGAGGGGGCAGTCGGGGCGCGGCCGCCCGTCGTGCCGCATGAACATTCTGGTTGATATCCCCGTGGACTAGGGAGGAGGACGGAGGGCCGGACGAGGAGGCGTTGTGGGGAGCGAGGCTGATGTAAGGTGTTTGGAGAGGAGGTTTAGCGGTTGCAATCGGGAGGGCCGGCGGCCGCTTGCAACTTGTAGTGACATGAGGCACATGACACATCCGCTGAAGGTACAATATAAATGCGTGAATGCATGGGAGTGTAGAGGTTATGAACGTTGAGGAACGAGGGCGGATTGCCAAGGTTGCCAGCCATTCTGGCATTGCTGTGTGGTGTAGGTAGCGACCACCATCACATTTCATCTGGAGTACAGCAGTGAGGGGGGAGCCACGGGATTGTACCACTGAGGTTTGAACGTTGGAAGGCTGACCCGTTGAAGCGTTGTTGGTATCGTCGTTGCTTGTTGGGAAGACGACCGTAAACCATAAACTTGCAGCAGTGGCAGGCTGTGGACAGGATTGACGCGTGTAAAAGAGATCTCGGTACATTATGACTCCCGCCTTGCCTGCTTGTTCAGCCGGGCGCACACCCCGTAGCGCTCGCCATTCGTGTTGACATCCTGGCCGACGGAATCAGCACATGGTACCATCGCAGGTTGCCCAACACGCATCCATACAGTCCATCCTGATCAGCCTGTCAGCGATGCTATACACAGCACAGTGCCACAACACGCACCGTATATACCTGTCAGCTCCTGCATGCCCATGCGCCCAACCACCATATGCAGCCATCCCCCACCCGTCTACAAAGACACATCACCTCACGAACCCTAAAAGCCTTCAACACCGCTTCACGACTCGTCCAAGAAACCCCACAACGCCTCCGCCACTGCACCCAGCGACCGCCCGCCTGCTGCCGACCCCAGCCCCTCAACACCAGCAGCAGCAGCAGCAGCAGCACCGACCCCGCATGGCCCCTCACACGCACCCATGTCCACATCCCCATCCGCATCCCCTCCGTCACCCCACACCCGCCCCAGCATCACCTCCGCCTCCTCATGCAACAGGCAGTAGCACATCGCGCAGTACGACAGCGCCCATCCACTGCGTCCTGCCGTGCAGCCTCCGAAACCCACACTCTGCCCCTCCACCTCCCCACTAGTCCCCTTCGCACCGCCGCTACCGCCGAAGAAGCCCCGCCGTAAAGGCCAAGCGCTGCTCGTATCCACATACCGCCGGTACGCCGCCCAGAAGTGCCGCATCGCGCCCACATCGCCCTTCAAGCACGAGGCCAGGACAGGCAACATGTCGTACAACGGGTCGCCATGGCCCGAGTCGGAGAAGTCGAGCAGTCGCACACTCAGTCGCGTATGAGGCGCCGTGGCTGCGACCTCCTGGCTGAGCCTGCCGTTATCGTTGGAAGGCTGGGGCTGAAGCTGAGGCTGCTGTGGAATGAAGTCCACAACGACATTACTGGAGGTGATGTCCCCATGCAGCAGCAGCGGAGGAGCGAACCCATGACCGCCATCCTCACCCTCCTCCGCCTCCCTGGTACCAGTCATCCCACCAGCATCCACCTCCACCTCCACTCGCCGCGGCGCAAAGCCCAGCAGCAGCGCCGGGTCTGCTGGCAGGTAGCCGGGCAGCTGCGCCCGGGCCCAGCCGGGCAGGGACTCCCAGGCAGGAAGCTCCCGAAGCACGCAGCGCTGCCGCCAGCGGAGGTGCTGCACGAAGGGCCACCAGCGGCTGCTGCGCGGCACCTCGCACAGCCATGTGTGACGGCCGTGCGGTGCGTGCTGAGGGTCCTCGACGGCATCTGCAGCAGCGCTGAGGCTGCTGCTGCCGTTGCAGCTGGGCACAGCGGTCGGGGTGGTGGTGGCTGCAGCGGCGGCCGCAGGAGTAGCCCTCCCTGGAGCCGTCTCCTGTTGCTCCTCCTTCAGCTGCCGCCACTCGCCCCCCGGGTCGCTCACGCAGCCCAGACCCGATACCCAGATGCGTCCTTCGCGGTCGTGCCACACGCCTCGGGTCTGCAGTAGCTGCCCCCACGCTTCAATGCTAAATCCACGTGCCAGCGTGGCCGTACCCACCCTTTCCTCCTCGTCCTCCTTGGGGCCGACTGATGTTGCCGCGGACGCCGCTGCATGCATGCGGCCCACCAGATCCCCGAGCGCCTCTGCAACCGCTGCTAGCTGGCACTGTTGCTGCTGCTGTTGCCGCTGCTGTTGCTGAGAGCCCGGCTGCGCCTCTAGAAGCTCATACAGCATGTGGGTGCCCTGCGGCGTGAAGACAGGCAGGTAGGTGGGTTAGGTTGGGTTGGGAACGCAAGCATGTAGGTGCCGGAAGGTAGGTCGCTTCTTACTCCGCCAGCTGACACATGAAACATGGACGCCCAGCAAACACACCTGCATCTGATCCTCCACCACATACACCAGCTGGGTTGCCTTCTTCTTCTTTTCCGCCTCCTCCTGCGGCTCCTGGTACTCCCGAAAGCGCACCGACACGACCCCACAGGCATGGGCCCGCGGCAGCTGAGCAGCCAGCGCGGGTGCACCGCAGCTCGGGTGGACATGGCTCAGCAGCAGACGCGGTGCGGAGGCCTCCAGGGCGCACATCAGCGACCGGAGAGCGGGCTCCTGGTGAGCACGGCAAAGGGCGGAAAGTCAAGGGACGTGTGCGACTGTGGCATGTGGAGCTTGTAACGTCCTGGACCTTTTGCTCTAACTGTCAATTTTTGTTCTTCTCACCCCTCCTGGTAACGTTGTAAGGTAAAGGAGTGCAATAGTGCTAATGCATCTGTAACCTGCAGAACGTCAGCATGCAGAAGCAGCAAGGATTTGGAATTCACTGCAACATCCCCCCCACCCTACCTCATGTAAGAAAATCTTAACCGCCAAGCTGCCGTACAGGAACACCAGTGCGTCCGCCCCCACCATCGGAATCAGCTCCAGGCTGCTGCCGGGCTCCGGCGGTAGCAGGCTGTTGTTGACACTGCTGCCGTTGCTCCCGCTGCTGCCGTTGCTGTCACTGCCGCCGTTAGTACCGCCGCAGCTGCTGCTGTCCTGTTCAAGCTCGCGGAGTTGCTGGGCGATGGTGCGGAGGATGGCTCCCCAGGTGTCCGCATGCAGGTACTTGGACAGGCACTCCTGTGCAGGCAGGCATGGGGGGAGCATGGGGAAGAAGCATGCGCGGGCACATTCTTGCCAGCCCAGCCCATGGATGACCAGTTGCAAGGCACAAAAGAGGCCCGAAGCAACCATGATGCCCTCATTCCTATAAGATGAAAAGTCTTCCTGGTACGTAGCCCTCAAACACCAACTCCTCACCCCTCTCTCCCCCACAGAGTCCCACAGAGTCCACGTTGCCACCTACCTCCACCCCGGGCCGGGTGCCCGGCTCCAGCTCCCACAGCCGCCGCAGCCAGCGCCCCAGCGGCCGGGTGCGCCGCCACGCCGCCACCTCCTCACACGCCAGATCCCCACCACCCGCAGCACTACCATCCCCACCGCCCTCCGCACACGCACCATCACCATCCCCACCGCCCTCCACAACAGCCGCTACAGCCGTATCCATCATAGCTACGTCTTCTGCTGCGCCGCCGCAGACATCCACCTTGTCCCCAATCCGCCTGGCATCCACTCCCTGCACCTCACATGGCCCTGCCTTCTTCTCCCCCTCATCACCACCCTCTCCACTCCCTTCTCCATCACTCTCCTCCCCCTCCGCACCCTCCTCCTCCCCAGCCAGATGCGGATAGCTCCCCGCCCACACCGCCACCTCCTTCTCCGTGTCATAGTACCCCAGCGGCCGGCCATGGTAGGCCGCGGAGCCCTCAGCCATGTGTCGTACCACTCGCGCCAGGTTGGCCCCGCTCACGTGGTTCTGCGTGACCGCCACCGCGGTGTCCAGATTGAGCACGCAGTGCCACCAACCGCCCGGCACGAACACGACGTCGCCTGGACGGGATGAGGATGTGTGTGAGCGTTAACAGGACTGGCATGTTGACAACTAATGATATGGTGTTGAGGGAAAGCTGACGCAACTGCTTGGTGTATTAACGGAATCGGCAGCGAGTCGGAACATATCGTGACTAAATTTCTGGCTTATGTGCGAGTGCTAAGAAAACAGGCTGACGTGCGCCTGTACGGCACATGGCATGTGGCATGCATGATACAGGAATGAGGGTAAGGGGCGACACATGAGGTAGGTGTGCTGGGAGCAACGCACAGGGGCACACGCGTCCCGACCCCCCTCCCCCCCCCCCCACCCGGCTGCTGCAGGATCTCAATGGGCCTTCTGTCGGGCGGTAGGCCCGGGTACACCTCCAGGAACCACTGCAGCGAGGTGAGGGAGTCCTCCGCGGGGTGCACCTCCTCGCCGTCGCCGTCCAGCAGCACTCCGGGGGGAGGCATGTGGGGAGGGTACAGCGCCCAGCGCTTGCGGCCTGGGGGCAGGGAGGGAAGAAGGAAGAAGGTTGGGAAGAAAAAGGAAAGTTCACAATGCGTAAGAAGTAAAAATGCAAACCAGACGACAGGAAGAAGGTTGGGAGAGAGGAGGGGGGAGTGAGGAGGTGATGGGAGGGAAGAAGGAAGCGGGGTAAGGAAGCCCCGCACGGCTGCGATGGCAGGGCGCTGGAAAAGGCCCGGAGCGTCAAGGCATGTGTGCCGCATCCACGCACAACCAACTACTCTTGCTCACGACAGGAGAAGAAAGCGAAAAACGGTACCCCTTCTAGCGGGCGCCGCAACTCTTTACCACCACCCACCAGCCACCACCCAGCACCTCTCCACCACCCAGCCTCCCCCCACCACCCAGCACCTCACCTGATAGCAGCGCGTTCCAAGCAGTGGTCAGGCTGGGGTCCACATGCCAGGAGGCGCCCGCACGTGCGGGTCCCAGCACCAGCCAGCGGTAGGGCGGCCGCCCGGCTCCCAGGGTCTCCAGGTAGTCGGTTGTGAACACGTGGGGAACGTCGTACAGTTGCCTCATGCCCGGAGCCGCCTCCACAAAGCCCGCATCGAAGACGTACAGCGGCTCCTCATCAGACTGCCACGGTGGGGCGCGGGGGTAAACATACGGTGGATAAACTGAGCCGTGACAGAGACTGATTGTGGGGCGCGGGCAGGGAGGAGGGAAGAGGGGAGCAGTGTGTGGAAGCCCCAAGGCTGCGCACGACAGGAACCATCTCAGCAACGCCAGCCATACCGAGGAGGTAGGTACGGCACAACGCCACCCTCTTCCTCAGAAGCGCCACCACCTCTACCGGTACCCCTGCGTCCTCAGCCCGTGGCCCACCTCCCACACCGTCCGGTGCGAATGCCCCCACCCAACGCCCCCGCCCTGCACCGCCCCCGCCCTGCACCGCCCCCGCCACGCACCGCCCCCGCCCTGCACCGCCCCCGCCCTGCACCGCCCCCGCCCTGCACCGCCCCCGCCACGCACCTGTCTGGCCATGTAGTCCACGTACGCGGGCAGCGTCATGAGCGCCCGTCCGCCGTGCGGCTTAGACACCTTGAAGCGCGAGGAGGGGAAGGCGGCGCACAGGGAGGGGAGCGACCAGGAGGCAGCTGCGCGGAGTGGGTGGGTGTGTGTGGGGGGAAGAAGAATACCCAATGTGTGAGGGAGAGGGCGGGGGAGGGTGGCAGAGGGAGAGGGATGCTGCGCTTGAGGAGGAGGAGGTGGAAGGTTGGAGGAGGAGACGGCGGGAGGAGTGTGCAACCCAGGCCCGTAAGAAGTAGCTGGGCCCCTAGCAGGCGACCTGACGCTTCTGTTGCATGCTCCGTTGCCTGAGTTACGGCCATTAGACGGCCCTATGCTCCCTTCCGTTGGCCTATTGCGGAACGTGTATCCCTATTAATCTCTACCGTTTTGTCCAAACACGCTGCATATCGGTCGCTTGCCAGTCCTCACCCTTCCCTCAATCTGCTCCCTCCCCTCCCAGCGGCGCCCCCCTCCCGCCACATCGCCTGACCTGGCCAGTCCGCCATTAGCCCCTCCAGCAGCACCGGCATGCAGGGGCTGTCGTACAGCTGCGAAAACTGCTGCGGGCTCATGCGGGTTGCGTTAACCCGGGCGACGGAGGGGGCGCCCGGGGGCGGCAGGAAGGAGGAGAGGTCCGCATGGCAGCGATACCTGGGGCGGCAGGCAGGAACCCCGGGGGATGCAGGAAGGAACGAGGGGAGGAATGTTTTGGGGTTGGTTTGGGGTTGCGATGGCTCGTACTCTCAAGGCAGAAGAGACACCCGCAGCGAGCTGGCAAAGCCGAGAACCCTAGGAAAGATGTACAGCGATTACTCCGCTTCTATGAGCCGATGCATGCCGGCAGCGTCAGCTTCACGCAGGGCGTCTGCAGGTACGCACTACAGCCGCGGATGACTGACCAGCGGCGGTACAGGAAGGGCGAGTGCAGGCCAGGCAGAGGTGGCAGGGGGCGGGCAGCAGCCTCCACGGCCGCTGGGGGGACAGGCTTGGCGGTGTAGGCGGCGAGCGCGGTCTGGCGCCAGTTGGCCTGAAGAGACATCAGCAGGAAGCAGGGAGTGCCGGGGTTTGGAATGGAGCGTGTGGTCAAGTGGTTCTCAGGCATGCTGAGCCAACCGGGCCTTGCGAGGGCAATAGGATGGTGCGCGCGTGCTACGTGTTTGCAGGCGCGTTACGATTGGTATTTGGCAATGGTGCACGCGTCCGCGTCTGCTTACTCGCCTTGTACTCGACGAGGCCCTCTTGCAACTTTAGGCAGAGGCTGAGCCATAGCGGCTCTTCGCATGCGAATACGCGGAGTAGGCGACTACAACACCCCAAACACACTACGTCCTCCAGATCCAGCAAATATGAAATGTAAGAAATTAGGTGATCATGCAGGACGGCTAGAGATCCGAGGCCCTGCTGCCGGAGTTGCGCATCCGTGTTTACGAAGGACGCCGCTTCCATCCTCGCAGGTGGATGAAGCAATTAATTGCTATTCAATTGCAACACTATTTGCTGCAAACTATTCTAGTTTGCGTATTGGCATGCGGTGCACAAAGTTGGCGTGTACATACAAGCCTCGCGTGCAAGTCCATTTACACAACCAAAAAGGAATAATCTGTCATTCGCAATGATGAGCGTGCACAAGCCAAGCTGCACGCATCAAAGAAAGCCGACATTGCCGTTAGCGGTTGAAGCTGTACGTGTACCGCTCTACGATGCTGGGAAATGGTGGAAATCGCTGATGCACCAACTAGCGTGGAGTGTCGCAGCCGTCTGTGGAGCTCTTGCCTCCCTTGGCACCTTTTGCATCTTGGTGGGGGAAGGGGCTGGTGACTGCACTTGTTGAGCGCATGTCGGTGGCGTCGATGCTAAGCTTTAGGTCATTAGCAACTTCTGTAGCTTCGATTTAAGTTTCTGTTGCAGCATTTGCTTAGCACTACCTGTTGTCATGAGCGGAGCTGCTGATTGCTAGCTGTGCCAATGCAGTACAATTAGCCTTCTTGCGTCTTTAGCCAGGATCCGACTTTGCCCTGCCTGCATTTATACTACGCAAATTGCCCAGCGGCTGCATGTGCTGAATGGTGCTACTTTGCGTACCGTTTTCAGTTGTCCCCCTCTACGACAAAGGAAGCTGCAGGAAGGTGTCAGCTCGCTTGAGCGACTGAGGCTGCGAATCACGTAACGGTACCCGTTGCAGCACCGACATTTCAGTTGTTGTCCCTAGGAAAAACAAGGGACAACACGCCTGGGCCAAAGCCAAGAGACAGCACACACGTTAACTGCCAGCAGTTGTTGCCAGCTAGGCGAACCCAACCCCTGCGCCAACCCGTGCTGATTCAGGGAAGCCAATTTGAGACTTTTCCGGAAGTTGGCGGATAATAACCTGCTGTGACTCCTCCAAATCCGGGCAGAACCAGCAGAAACCAGGGCACCAAGTTGGTTTTTCAGGAAAGACCCAACAGGCCCCACATGTACTGCTCCTGCTCCTTTCCTGCCTTTAACTCGTCCCACTTCCAGTAAGGCACGCCCACCACGTTCCCCGCCCCAAACACCCGCTCCAGCTGCCTGTCCCGCAGCTGGGTGGAGCCATCCTTGGTGCGCGTGTGTGGGTGGTTGGCCAGGAAGTGCCATGGCCCGTCCACCTCCACCACCACCCGCCTCCCTCCCGCCAGCTCCACTACCACGTCCACCCGGCAGCACAGCGCCTCCACCGGGTGCTCGGGGAGGATGGCCAGGATGGGGCTGCTGGGGTCGCTGCTGGAAGCGGGGCTGAGGGGGCTGTCCTGGCCAGCGGTTGACTGCAGCTGCTTGAGGACACGGACCGCAGCCTGCTGCAGCTTGGAGGTGGTGGGGTCCCTCTCAGCTGCAGTTCGCATTGCCTGCAGCAGAGAGCCCTGCCCGCAAGCACCCCCAGCTAGGATTAGCTCCAGCTTCTTAGCACCGTTACGTGGCCTGACCCCGCCCCCGCCGCTGCCGTTGCTCATGTGCTGCAGCTCTAGTTGCACCTGCCACAGCTGAGTCAGCTGTTCTCGTAGAAATCCTGCACCCCCCTCTTGTGGCTCCCACCTCCGCACCACCTCCCTCAGCAGCCCCTCCACCAGGCCGATGTGGCGGGACAGCACGTCAGGGCCTATCACTGCAAGCGCCCACAAGCTGTTGGTAAGGTCCTGGTTGGTGGGCCCCTTCCCTCCCTTCTCCCCCTGCTGCTCCCCCAGCCTCTCCCCCAGAGCATCCACCAGCCGCTGATCGTACAGGCCCAGAGTGGCCAGGGACCATAGCAGGTTGGCACAACCCTGGGAACTAGCGCGGGGAAGCCCGTCCCTTGATGCAGCCTCCATGAAGGAGTCTGCAGGCTTGTGCCGCACCAGTGCTAGGGCATACCACAGGTTCGCCCAGTCCTGTGGGCTTGCCCCTTGCATGGCGCCTGGGGCACTGGCTGCTCCGACAACTGCCTCATACCAGGCCTGGTCGCTGTAACCCATCTTGGCCAGGGCCCAGGCAGTGTTGCTGAGGTCCTGAGGCTTGAAGCCAACCAATTGCCGGCGCCTGCACTCTGCTGCCAAGGCCTGCACTAGCGCCTCCTTGCCATTTGGCCACAGCCGTGTCAGGGCCCACAGGATGTTGGACAGACTCTGAGGAGCGAACCGTCTGGGCTGACTATGCAGGCGGTGCAGCACCTCTGCACACAGCTGCTTCACACTCGAGGTGTATTGGGGTCCCGTGCACCCCATCACAGCCAGTGCATACAACGAGTTGGCAAGATGTTGGTCATCAGCCAGCTGGCCACTGGATGCAAGTGCAGCCGCCAGGGAGTGGAGGAGGTCGAGGTCGGAGAGACCCAGCTTGGCACACCCCAGCAGCATGTTGGACAGCTCTTGCGGCTTGAAGCTCTCATGGTTGCCATGGCTGCCATCTTGACTCCTGCTATAATGCTGCTGCCATCGTGCGAGTACCCTAACCCCCAAGCGCTGCAGGTCCTGCTCCCGGGGCTTATAGCCGCAGTCTTCAGCCAGCTCACCCAGCGCATACAGCGAGTTGGCCAGCTCCTGGCATTTGGCATCAGGCAGCTGTACCAGACAGGCGGTCAGGTGGTGCAGCAGGGGGTCGTGGCGGCGCTGCAACCGGGCACACGCCAGCAGGATGTTGGAGCAGGCCTGGGAGTAAAGTTCTGAAAGCCGCATTTGCTCAAGGCATGCAGTGCTTGCTTGCAGGGCTCCTCCAGCAAGAGCTACGAGGTGCTTGGGAGCAACTGATACTGACCACCACAGGTTGCTGTGGTCCTGTGCGTTAGCCCGCTGCATCAGCTCCCCGCCATCCCGCCCCAGCCGCTCCAGCAGTGCTGCTGCCAGCTGCCCCTCCCAGAAGCCCAGCTTGGCACAGGCATACAGCGGTCCCACACACGAGAATGCGTCCCTCAGTCCCGGCACCAGTGGCAGGTAGGCGGCTGCCAGGGTGGTGAGGGCGCGGGGCAGTACCGGAGTGTCGGCGCCAGGGCGGGAGCCGAGCTGCGGGGCAGAGGGGTGAGGGCAGAGGGGTGAGGGCAGAGGGGTGAGGGCAGAGGGGCAAGGGACTGATGGCTGTTAGCATGGGATTTGTTGAGTTTGTGCAACAGGGTTCCCTTGCTGTACAAGCATGTAGGTCTTCATACCTTGGCAAGGAAGGAGAACGCAGCACGAAGGGTTCCTAGGTCTCGAGCTGTAACCCAGGCTTGCGTGTTGTCCTCAATAACGGCCACGAGGGTGGGCAGGTCAGTGATGTCACGGAGATCAACAGCCCGGCCATCCCCAGCAAGGGTACCGCGGCCACGGCCACGGCCACCGCGGCCGGGCCCCCTGCCTCTGCCTCCAGATGGCTCCCCGCGGCCACCACTGCCATGTCGGGGCCCCTCCCGTGCAGCGCCAACCAGCAGTGCGAGGTCTGGTAGGGAAGGTGCGGGGCGAGTCGGGGCTACACAACAGGGCCCTCTGGTGCGGTAGCCTTGAAAAGCGGCAGGGGACCAGCATCTCGAGCTTGCAAGTCCTCGGCGCCAGCACCCAGCAGTGTGAGCCCTGGTCAGGCCGAACTCTCCACACAGCAAAGACATCACAAGAAGGTAAAGTTTTTACTAGTCCTTGCGCTAGCCGTAGCACTAGATCACGTGATTGCCGAGCACTTGTGTGACAAAATGCAACCCGCTTGCCCGGTGCAAGTGTAGAATGGAGTTGTCATTACCGCAATGCACACTTCTATTACATATATTTGACTAGAACTTTAGACACTACTGGCTGGAATTGCTTCATGTCCATGGTTCGTAAGATTACCGGGTACGGTACACATGACCGGAAATCCCAAAATTAAGCTATTTCTCTGTCCTCTTTCCGAATCCACAACAATCAAATAGTCCTAATGTATTAATGTGCGCATGAATTAATCTACCTGCGATGCGGGTCTTGTGGATCCAGCAGCGGATACGTCGTACTTTCCTTAAGCTCCCCGTCAAAACTTCTCATGCAAGACGACGGACCCCTTCAAGCGGTGCGCCGTCAACCGCATCCCCATCTGCACTCTGGTGAGCAACTTCGGTAAGGGACACCACTGCAGGACATGCTGACACCCTAGTCGCCTGGGCTCTGCGTGCAGTGTAAGGCCCATTGTATGCATGGGGGAGCATCAGGATTGCGACGGATCCCACCTTCCAGGTATTACACCGTTCCAGCTCTGCTTGACGAGTGCTGCTTCACCTATTCCTGGACCCGGTTTCATAACGCGCAGACCGACCCCTCCCGAAAGCAGAGGCATCACAACCAAGGAAAGCTAGCCGCGGCACTAGATCACGTGGTTGCTGAACACTTGCGCTACAATTTGGAACCCAATTGCACAGTGCAATTTAATGAGGTATTGCCATTACAGTGCTGCATACTTTTTTTTCATACAGTAACCGATCAAAGCTTTAAACGTCTGGCCGGATTTGAGTCGTCTTTATGGTTCGCTCAAAAGCTAAGATTACCTGAACTCCTGAAATTCCCATCTTAACTATTTTATCTTTCAGGATACACAACAACCAAAATAACCCTTACGTTTAAATGTGCGCAAGAAGTTATCTACCTGCGATGCGAATCCTGTGGATCCAGCAGCGGATACGTCGTACTTTCCTTAAGCTCCCCCAGGACTTCTCATGGACACCAGGACTTCTCATGGAAGACGACGGATTCCCGCATACGATGCGCCATCAGCCGCATCCCCAACAGCAATCCGGCGAGATCCTTAAGTAAGGGGCACCACTACAGGACACGCTGACACCCCAGTTGCCACTCCTGGAGAATTGCATGCATGCATGCGCCGTGGAAGACCCATTGCATGCATGTGGGAGGATCAGGATTGGGACGGATCCCGCCTTCCAGTTAGTACACCGTTCCAGCTCTGTTTGGTGAATGCTGCTTCACCTATCCCCGGAGCCGGTTTCATAATCGAATGTACAACACCCAACGTGACGTCAGCCAACATCATGAAACAGCCACGGAACAGACGTTCCCCTCACAACATGTCGGACTTGGTGTCACTCCAGCTGACAGCTGTGGACAGCCGTCGGTGCGCCTGTCGACCGCAAGTTCGTTTCCCTATAGACAGTTTCCCCGAAATCCTTGGCCTGCCTGGCCAGCATCCATCCTTTTAGGACGATGGTGGTATTCGTCCCACTTCTGTGAACCTCCATCCCTGGCTCATATCGCACAACCTCCAACCGCCTGCTAGTGTACAGCGCAAAACCTTCATCCTACAACTATGACCACACCCATTCCAACACGCATATTTACACGTTCCTGCACCTGTCTGCACCCTCAGCTGTTTCACCCATGGCTCGGCACACCCTAATGCTGCGGCTGCTGCAGTGGCTTCGGCCCATTAAGCATAGCGAAGCCCCCCTGCGGCTGCTCCTGCTGCCGCTGCTCCTGCAGAAAGCCCTGCGGGTACCTGCCCTCCCTGTCGGGGCGCGGCATGTCGTACAGCTCGGAGGCTCGTGCGTAGGTGAATCCGCCGCATCGCGCCACGGGTGCTAGTCGGGTCAGGTCCACCACCAGTTTGCCTGAGGGGCTGCGGGCGGCCACTGCGGAGGAGATGTGGTAGGCCAGCACCTGGCCGATCACAATGGAGGTGCTCACGGCGCCAGAGCTGATAGGGGCGGAGGCAGGGGCAGGAGGAATGGGCAGAAGGAGAACCAGAAGTGAGGGGTGGGTTGGGGTCGGGTACAGACGTGTGGAGGCGCGTGGGGTGCACAAGTGCAGCGTGCAGTAGGAGGCGTCGCGGAGCCGTAATGAACACATGTTGACATGTAGTGAAAGGGATATTGCAAGGTACCGGCAATGCATGTAAAGTGAAGGCAGAGAAAGGCAAGTCGAGGTAGGTCTGGCCGCGGCCCCCCTCCCACGTCCTCCCCGTCGTCACTCACGCGTCATGCACGTGATGTATGTGTCGCAGCTTGCACTCCATGTGCACGGCGGACTCGGCAACACGGGGCGGCCGCACCTGCGGACAATGACACGGGTCAACTACCGGTATGTGCGCGGCCCAGTCTGCAACGCATCGTATCGTACAGTGGTGCGCTGTCGTACCTTGGTGGAGGGCAGTGGTGTAAGGCCCGCCAGCCTCATCTCGTCCACCCCGGGCGGGTAGTCCCCGCAGGTGTGGTTGGCGGCCTCAATGAACCACTCGCTGATGATGTTAACCACGAACTCACTGGACGGGGGCAGGGTGAGAGGGGTTACTGTGAAAGGCGATAGGGGGAACACAGGTGGGGGAGAAGAGCGGTGGCAGGTGGGAGGAGGTGATGAGCGCGACCTTTGTAAGCAGGGCGACTGGTGTGGCTGAGGTTGCGGACTGCAGAGCAGCCCTACCCGGTGAGCTCGATGTTGTGCAGCGTGTCCTTCTTTCCATCCGGCCGGCCCGGCGAGTGGCACAGCCCGATAGCCACTGTTGGGGGATTGAAGCCTGCGTGGCCAAGCAGGTACGGGTTCGCGTGCGGAATCGCCAGGACCAGGCCAACATACATCTCGTGTACCTACTTTCAAGCCTTACATATAGTTCTAGATGCACGCAAGCCAATGGAAGACAGTGTCCTTCCAACCGGATCCTTACCCATTGCGTTGAAAAAGCTGTATGGCGAAAGGTTAACAGTCCCATCAGCATCAACAGTTGAAACGAAAGCGATAGGGCGGGGAACCACAGCCGAAATGACGAGCGGGTATAGCTCGCTACTCGGGGTGACATCCGCATCAACCGCAAGAAAGTTTGTAGCATCAGGCAGCGGGCACGGCTGAGAGTCTCCAGGTCGCCAGCCTGGATGAGGATGAGGCACATGCTTGGCTGGATTCCATGAAGACTGGCTCGTCGGGTTGACGTGGTCCGACGAATGCTTTACGTTGTTTGTCCCTTTCCTACGCTGGCCTCGCACAAAGCGTACCAAAATTTCCCTAATGCCAAGGGCTGATGCAGCCCCAAGTGCTAGGGCCCCCGCAAAAGCAGCCATGCTCTTACAGGGCTTGCTCGTCGGCAAGTGCAAGGAACAAACGACCGATTGAAAGCGGCACCTGTGCGCGTAAAGGTATGGAAGCGTTGCAACCATACGACAAACACTATAAAGGCTGATTATTTTGGAAGTAAGCTGCGCAAGTCCGAAGATGAAGCGTCGTACAACGGCTAGCAGTCCCGAAGATGTTAATGCGGGCAAGCGTGGACACAATGCGTAAGGAGTAGCTTGGTTTCCGTTCAATTCCGTAATTCTTCTTCGCTTAACCTAATTATCTACACCCGGCCTCCGTGCATGCCCTCCGCAAGCCGGAGCATCCGTCCCCCAACCGCCGCGCAGAGCTTAACCAGATAGCTGCAGTCAGCCAACGGCACAGCATCGCAGAACCCTCCCTGCAAGGCTTCCCTCTGCACCTACATCCTGCACACGTAGCCATGCCTCAAACTTCGCAGAGGATACCTGTCCTTGTGTATCCCCCCAAACCCCCAACCACTCCATGAATGCCACTTTACGGCATCAGGAACATCCCAGGGAACAAGCGGTGGCTTAAGGCCTCTGTGGGCGCCACTCCCGGCACCAGGCTTGCATCCTGCCCCTGACCCTGCTCCAAAGCCGTTTAGAGCGCTGACCTGATGCCCTTTGGCGAGCGCATTAGCGTCCCCTAAGCCTCAGTCCTCCGTCCGTAGTGGTTCCAAGATTAATCAACTCGCTTACTCTGGTAAGCACCACGTTAGGAAGGTGGTTAGGAAGCGAGGATTACAATAGAGGACAAACCAGTCATGATCGTTCGCCTATCTACCACCATGCGCATCTAGCTACTTCAAAGAAAGAGTGACCTTACCCTTTATCATTCGATAGGTATTAAGATATACTCCTTATTGTCATTTACTTAATTGTTGTATATTCGTGTCGACTTCTAAGGCCCGCAGCTGAAATGCTTTTCTAGGCCGTAACATGGGCTGCGGAACATCACGCTCTACAGTCACGACTGGCCCAGTGAGTACCCGCATGATACAAAACCTAGTACTTAATGTGTTGCAACTAAGGATGCCGTTCAACGGCCCGGCTATACGTTGCATGTTTGGTCGTCGCCTTGTCGCCTAGCTTAAATGTTAGCTTTAGCATCCAGGGACTCCTTCTATCAACTCATAGTGGGCATGATCGCGGCCCCATGCCTTAGTACGTCATATATGGTCCCCCCACCGTACCTGCCCCTTCTGTGCATGCCCCCTCCTTATGCGTCCCCTTCCCTCTGGTTCGCCTAACACTGTGCTCACTGTGTCCTCCGAAGCTGGTCATGTCTAATGAGGCGCTGTCCCACTCCTTCCCTCTGCATGCATCTAACAAGACAAACACTGCGGTTGACCCCCACCCAAAGTGCCATGCCGTCGGCACCGAAGCAGCATCTGCACCGGAGCATGGAGACCAGGCCAGCTGCCCCCCACTCGGGTGCCGCTCATCCGGCAGCCCCCTAACCGGTGGCCCCGGCGAAGCCACGGGACCCCTGGAAGCGGGACGCAGCCAGGCAATCGACAGCACCCTCAATGCCTTGAGCTTTCCGCCACCGCCTCGCCCTCCTCCTCCACACCCACCGCACCCTCCGGCACCAGAACTGCAGCCTCCGGCGCCATTGACCCCTTCATTGGAGCCCTCGCCCTTGCCGCAGCTATCACTGGGAGGTGTAACCTCAGCAGCGCCGCAGCCACCACAGGTGCTGAGCGGCATCCTGCAGCAGCAGCAGCAGCAGCAGCAGGCCAGAACCGATAATGGCATTGGCAGCGTTGCCGCCGCCGTTGTTCATCATGACGAGAAGCCGGGTGGCAGCAGTCCTAAGGCTCCGGCTGGGGTCGAGGCACCGGCTGTGCAGGCCGGCGGTGGTGGAGCGGCGCTGCCGCCCAGCCCCGGAGGAGGTCAGCTGCTGCCTCCAGCAGCATCGATGCCATCAACGACTCCGCTGAGAGGTGCGTACTTGGAGCACACCTGGTGCGTGTGTTGGTGCGTGCATGAAGCACAACAAGCCGCGGGGCGGGGTCAGCGAGGTGGATGGAGCAGGGCGGGGTCAGCGGAGTTGTGTGCATGCCTGCCTGGTGCGTGTACATGCACCCACACCCGCACCACGCTAATGTTACTGGAGCTATGCTCCCCTCTGCTGCTCCCGAAACGCGCGTATCTCCTTTTCTCCTTGTGAAGCCCAACTTGGCAATACAGTACACCGGTATTATACTTGATTTGCTGTGGCGGCGCTGTGACGCATGCAACGCGTGTCTCCCCCAACAGACAGCGACCCGCTGGCCGTGGTGCGAATGGGGATCAGTCTGCGCGGCCTGCGCAAGCTGCGCTCGCAGGTAGGTGCGCGGGTGATCGCATTGAGCATGCATATGTGATCACGCCGCCTCTGCTTCAAGATTGACCGCCTGGATTGGATTGGGCCTTACACACTATTGCAGATTGGGCCTTGCACACTATTGGTGGAGCTGCTGCTCGCGACAGCACACGGCTCAGTGTAGCGGCGTGCACCTGCACCCGCTGCACAACGGAAAACAAAGACGCCCGCGGGCGTAGTATGCATATGTGATCACAGGCGGTCAATCTTGAAGCAGAGGCGGCGTGCCGTGCTGGTCGCGATTGCGTGACATGCAGGTGTCGTGTCCGGGTGGCTTGATGGAATTCAACTTGCCGGCCCATTACTTGCCGTGCCAAGAGCTCAAGCCAACAGGGGCCTGCATGCCTGCCTGCCTCCCTGCCTATCTGCCTGGCTTTCTTGTGCGCAGGTTCGCGAGTTTCTGGGTCCCGAGCGCTACGCGCTCGCCAGCACTGCCGACGTGAACAGCCAGTGGGTGCAGGCGGTCACGGCGGCGCTGCAGTGCCGCCTAGTGGAGCTGCCGGGGCTAGTGGAGCCAGAGGACCTTGGGGTGCCCATGTACTTCGTCAGGTGTGGATGCGGGAAAAAGGAATTCCAATGTGTGGGTGCGGGGGGGGGGGGTTTGAACATAAGGAAACTGCCTATGAACTGTTTGACGACGCTTCTCCATGCGTTGGTTGCTAATTGGACCACCCGCCCCACCCGAAATAGTAAAAGCCGGGGGATGCGGGGGGGGGGGACGGTGGGGGGGCGTAGGACCGTGTTGCCGCTTTCTTGCTGTCACTTTCGCTCGTGCAGCTTGTCAGGCGGGTTGCATGCGAATCGCGCTGAGTCCAGCTGAGTGCACGGCGACCAATTCCGCGAGGAACCGCGTACTGTGCCGCCTCACATGCGGCCCTACGCCCCGCGTTCTCGCGGCTAGTGGCTGCAACCAAGGCTGCAATGTCCTCCTCCTCCTGATACGCCACAGCCACAGCCAGTTAAGGCCCACGCGACACCCGGCCTCCTTGCCCCCTCCCCGCACAGCCATGCCTGGAAGAACAGCTTCGACCTGCTGATCCGTGGGGTGGAGGAATTCCTCGAAAGCGCCTCTGAGGACACGCGCGTGTGGGTCGACATAGCGGCCGTGAACCAGGTGTGTGGGGGGGCGGGCAGCCGGGCGGGCCTTTGGTGGGCCGTCGCAAAGGCTTGAGGCAAGTTCTGCACTCTGCGCCCGTATGACGTGCTCCCTTCAATCCCTTCACAATCCCGGACGCCGGCCCCCACTCTCTTGCTTCACTCCTGTGCCACTGTGCCACTCCCTGACCCACCCTTCTCCACAATCCTTACCCTCCATCCCCCCAACCTTCCTCCCTTCCCCCTCCCCCCCGGCCTCCGCAGCACCCGACGCCCTTCCAGCAAGCCGACGTGGCCGCCTTCAAGGCCGTGGTGCGCGCCTCCTCTGGCGGCACCCTCGTGGTGCTGGACCTCACGCGCTGCAACCCCGCCACACGCGCCTGGTGCGTGTACGAGTGGGCCGCCACCCTGGGCGCTCACGGTCCCGACGGGCTGCACATGGCGATCAGCGCAGCTGACCGGGCCACCCTGGTGAGCAGCCTGGACGTGGAGGCCGCCGAGTGCTTTGTAGCTGCAGACAAGGAAGCCATCCTGGCAGATGTAGTGGCGCAGCATGGGTCGACGGCGGCGTTTAATGACATGCTGAAGCTGCAGCTGCTGCTGCAGCCGCTGTCGTACAGAGTGGATCTGGAGCGGCTGCTGGGGGGAGAAGGAGGTGCTGGGAGGGCTGGGCGGCTGGTAGGCGGGGTTGGAGGAAGGGGTGGAGATGGTGGAGGGAGCAGCAGTGGGAATGGTGGCAAAGTGGAATGGGATCTTGGAGCAGTGCGCGAGTGGCTGGCAGTGCCGTCGGCAGCGCCGGACGGAGGGATGGGCAGCATCGAGGGTGAGGGTGGCGACGGCAGCGGCGGTGGCGGCGGCGATGAAGCTGGTGTGATCCCCACTCGAGCACTGTGTTTGGTGGCGGGTGCGGGCGAGGGCAAGTCGACGGCGGCAGCGGCAATTGTCCGAGAGCTGCAGGCCATGACGGAGGCTTCGGGCTCAGCAACGACTGCATCGGCAATCGCGTCGGCACCGCAGCAGGCGGCAGTGGCAGGGGCGACGGACGAAGCAGCTGACACCCGGGAGGTGCCGGCGAGTAGCGAGCTGCTGCTAGAAACCGCCGGCATGGCAGACGCAGGAGGGGTAAGGGAGCGGGGCCAGGAGAGCTGTACCGGCGGGAGCTGGCAACACGCGATGGCAGCGGCGGCTTTCCATTTCGTCAAGTACAGCGATGCTCGGCGGCTGGAGCCTGTGCGGATTATCAAGAGCCTAGCTTTCCAGTTGGCCATGAGGTGGGGTTGCGCGATGGGGTTGGGGACTGGGTTGCGGTGGCTCGGCAGCAGTGCGGGTGCGGTTTCTATGTGAGTAGGGGTCCTGGTTTCCCATCGGGGTCGCAAAGAGCTATCGTTGATGAGCGGTCGCCATCAGTGAGGCGCGGTACCATCCTCAACGCAACAACCCTTCCCCCCAAACGTAGGCTGCCAGAGCTGAGGCCCCACCTGTACGCCGTGGACGTGGCAAAGATGGCCGTCACGGCAGATGTGGAGCAGGCTTACAAGCAATTCCTGGAAGGACCGCTGCTGGCTGCTGCTGCTGGTGGTGATGCTGCTGCCTCCAGTGACACGGCGCCTAGAAGTGCAGATCCAGCCACCACACCGCTGCTGTCACCGCCTCAGCTGGCTGAGCTACCGCCGGCAGCTTGCATGCAAGCAACCTGCCGACAGCGGCAGCAGCAGCAACAACGACGGCAGGTGGTGCTGCTGATTGACGCCGTAGATGAGGCGGATCCCCCTCGGACCGAGGAGCCGCAGACGGCGGCGGCAGCAGCAGCGGCCTCGCCGCCTGCTGACCCAGTGTCTTCCACTGGTGAAGTAAAGGCACACGGACATGTCACTGATGCTGCCGCTGCCGTACAGCCCCGGTATAACGGCAACGGAGCCGAGGCTGCGCCGCCGCCACCAGCGCCGCCAACAGTGGACGTGTGCGGCAACCGGGTCTTCCAATTGATCTCACGCCAGCTGAAGCACCTGCCCCGCCACGTGCGCTTCATCTTTACCTGTCGCCCGGACGGCATGGGCGGAGGCATTGCGGAGGCGCTGGAGAGGACCTTCAGAGCGCACGGCGGCGTGTCGTTCATGACACTGCAGGACTTGAAGCATTGCAACGTTGTCGATGCTGGTAGCAGTGAAGGTGTGGGCGGGAATGGAGCTTGCACTGCTGCAGTTAGAAACACCGGACAGCAGCTGCCACAGCAGGAGTGCTGGCGTGCGCAGGAGCCGCAGGAGCAGCAGTACCGTAGTGGTGGCATGGGTGGAAGCGACACCTCGGTTGGCGGCGGCGTGTTGGTCTACCACGCCGTCGCAAGCGCTTGCCCAGCAACCGCACCCCTGCCTCCCCTTTCCCGGCCTCCACAGTTTGAAGACCTGCACCGGGCCTACGCACACGTGTTTGCGGCCGCACTAGGCAGCCTAGAGGCAGCAACCACAACCAGAACTGCCACCGCCGTTGCTGCATGTAGCAACGGCGGCGGCAGCGCTGCCTTACCAGCGCTGGAGCCACTGCTGCCCTCGCCGCAGCCGGTCACCCAACCCAGACACCCTTTCTCACCGCCATCAATCCATCCTACAGATGCAGCCGCAGACACAATGCAGACCCAGCCACAGCCAACCGCCGCCCTCAGCGCCACCACGCGCAGCCTGCTGGCAGTGCTCCTGGCGGCGCAAGAGCCGCTGTCGCAATCCATGCTGCACTCCATGGGCTTTGCCGGCTCGGCCCTGGAGCAGCTCCCTGGCTTCCCCACCCTCTTCTACGTCAACGAGCATCATGCCTACCTACTGCACCAGAGCCTGGCAGGCTGGCTTTCAGACCCCGCCGCATCCGGCCCCTTCGCGGTCTGCGTGGAACAAGGGCATGCGTTGCTGGCGGCTCAGCTGCTGTCGGTGGTGTGCCCTCCAGGCGGCAGCAATAATAGAGGCGTCAGTAACAGCAACAGCAGCAAAGTAGACGGCAGCAATGAAGGTGCTGTCGTTATTGGCGCTGATGACGGTGACGGTGGCAATAGCAGCGTCGTTAGCATCGGCAACGGCGTCAGCAGCATCAGTGGTTCCGCCGCTTACGCGCTCAAGTACCTTGTACGGCACCTGGTGGCCTGCGGTGATAACGCCGCCCTGGAACGCCTCCTCCGTAGCTTTGATTTCGTGGCTGCGGCTTTCCAGCTGGGCCACGGAGGCGGCCTGATTCATGATCTCATCCGTGCCCCGGAACCCACCGTGACACCCGCCGTCGCAGACACGCTTCGGTGGCTGCTCTCAAGCCAGCATGAGCTTGTTCAGGCAACGAGCGTCGAGGACGTCGTGGCGACTGCGCTGCGTTGCCCACCCGGTACGGCAGTATTCCGGCTGGCGCAAGCGCGCGTTAATGCGATGGCAGCGGCGAGGGTGGCAGGGATGGCGGCGGCGGAAGGGGTGCAGCAGCGGCGTTGTTGGCATGCGTGGTGGCTTGCTCATGCGCTGGTGGCGCCGCAGACTTGGGCGGCAAAGCGATCCCTGTTTCAGGTGGGCGACTGTGGGTAGGGTCTTAGGGATTTAAGATTCGAAGTAGGATTTCTGTTATTCCAAATGAGTGAGGGTTTCTCAAGTACCCGTCGTCCGTACGCCAGGGTTTTTACGAACCCCCTACGAACCCCCTATGAACACAAAACACCGTCGTACTGGCTCCTCCTAATGAGGGAAGTGGGACGTTGAAACGACCCCCTTGATCGCAGGTCACTTGCTGGCCCTGAGACAAGCGCCACTCTAACGTTCAAGCCCTGCGTTCTGTGCTCCCCTCCCACCCACAGTTAGTTGTTTCCTCTTTACCCCCCCCCCCCACACACACACACACCGCACCCTACACGCCGTCCCCAGGGTCACAGCAGCTTGGTCTTCTGCGTGGCGTGGAGCCCCGACGGTCGCACCCTGGCCAGCTGCAGCCACGACAAGTCCGTGAGGCTGTGGGACGCCGGCAGCGGCGAATGCATCGCAGCACTGGAGGTAGGCGCCAGGGCGGGGTTCGGGTTGGCTCGTAGGTTCCGTACGGGGACGATGATGATCGGGTGACGATGATGGGCACCTAATGGCCCCCACTGCCCTGCCCTGCCCACCGCTGCTCATGTGCACTAGGGGCACGAGGGGGACGTGCTGGGCGTGGCTTGGCGGCCCGACGGCTGGGCGCTGGCGAGCGGCGGCGCTGACGGCGCCGTACGGCTGTGGGATGCGGCCAGCGGCGAGTGCGCTGCAGCACTCCAGGTGCGGCGGGGGAGAGGGAACTTGAGGCTGGGCTGGGGCTGGGGGTCCAGCCTTACTTGTTCAAGGAGTAGCCTAGCGTTGGGGGCTGCAGAAGCGGCGTAGGACTTGGAACATGTGGAGAAGTGGGACATTAATTTGCGAGCATAGCGTAGCATGTCCTGATTAGTAGACAGCCAGGTGCAACGGCGGTGGGAGAATGCTTCCATGACCTACCCGCGGCTTGTAGTCCTTCCGGTCATCACCCTGCAGCTGCAAACTTGCATGGCAACGGTGCATTTGTGTCGGCGGACTGCTGCAGGGTCACACGGGCCCAGTCAACTGTGTGGCGTGGCGCCCCCGAGGCCCGCCCTTGCTTGCGAGCGGGGGCGATGACAAGACCGTGCGTTTGTGGTCTGGGGTTGGGGCGGCGCTGCAGTGTACAAGCATTCTGCAGGTATATACGCTTCCGTTACCGTGTTGCCTGTGTTGTCCGTGTGTTGTTACTGTTAAGGTCTGAAAGTCCATACTAGATAGGTGCTAACTTATAACGCACTACTGGCCTGGGTGTGTATGCGATAGCCTGCAAAGTCGACTTGGTCTCATCCCTGACGTGCTGTTAGCATGTGTTCGCTGACGTGCTGTTAGCATGTGTTCGCCCTCCACAAATGTTGGAGGCAGCGCTTTTCCAGGTCCCGCAATTTGCCGTTGCCTGTTTTTTCATCCCAGATTTCGCAGCTTATCCTCGCCAATTCTCCACTTCCCACTGCACAGGGCCACGCCGACTTCGTCAAGGCCCTGGCTTGGAGCCCCGACAGTAGCAGCCTAGCCAGCTTGGGTGGAAACCAGGCGGTGCTGCTGTGGAGCGACCCGTGGGTCAGTGGCGGCCAACCCACGGCCACCTTGCAGGTAGTTGGGGCTTGGGGGATAGCCAGAATTGCATGTGCATGTCCTCCGGTATTAACTCTTCTGGTACGGATCCTCAAGCATTTCAGACCCCACCTCATGCTGCCACCCTTTCGGCCCGCCTCTTCTATGTTCTATGTGTGTCATGCTAATACATACGGCACATGACCTCTTCCTGTCTCGGCGTGCATTCTTTGCCAGCTGCCTGGTGACGAGGCACCTAGGAGTCTCTACACCGGATTTGGGCTGCCAGACTACATGATTGCGCGACTGGGAGTGGCGTGGAGCCCCGACGGCCGCATTCTGGCCAGCTGCAGCAGCGACGGCGTCCGGCTGTGGGATAAGGCGCGCAGCAGGTGCATGACGGTGATTAAGGCGAGTGCATGTCTTCGGCAGGCTGGAAAAAGTGGAAAGGCGAAATAGGGAATAATATAATGACAAGAGCGCGTGACGGAAAAGACCGGGCTCCCTCTAGTTGTCTCAGGTGTGTGTTGCTTGCTTGCAGGCATTCAGAATAAGGGATCCGGTCGCTGTGGATGGTTAGAGCCCCATGACCCGCAAACTTCCGTATAAGTGCATGTGAGCTTCGGACATACACACTGGCAAGCACAGTACGTTCCTCTTCGCGGCCAGTTATTTTAACACACTGGCAAGCGCTCCCCATAAAAGGCCTTCGCCCATTACATTCGCTCGCCCCTTCGCACCGTGGCCCTGCATTGCATAGGCCATCGGCTTCACCCCTCCTAACAGCGTGGCGTGGAGCCCGGACGGCCGCACCCTCGCCACCGGCCATAGTGACAACACCGAGACTGTGCAGCTGTGGAACGTCCGGCTGGACATTCCAGGCGGGGAGCCGTGCGCCACATCAACGGTGGGAGGACTGCTCGAGCACCGGTAGTCAGCAAGCAAGATGACACACATGCAGCGGAAGCACATCCTGTGTGGTTGCACGAGCTGTATTATATGCCGCTGAACTGCCTGAGTGGCTGAAATCATGGCCATTTATTAGGTAATATTAGGTTGGAAACACATAAATGTACCTTCAAGCCCATCCATTGACTTCTCGGTCTTCCCTTGCATGCTCCAACACCTCCGATCACACAGGGTAGCTTTAACGCTGAAATGGCTCTTGGCGTCGCGTGGCGACCGAGTGGCAAGCTGCTTGCTAGCTGCGGCGGCAAGACCTTCGAGCTCTGGGACCCCGCATCCGTAGCGGCCGCTACTGCTGCTGCTGCTAACAGTCATGGTTGCAGTAGCGGTGGTCAGCTAACCGGGCAACATCAGCCTCTGGTGGGTCATGTCCATGGCTGGGTCTGCCTTAGCCGCTTGCAGCTGGCGTATGCATGCCAGCGTTTCCGGCTGCTTCCGCAATTGCACGGGATGCATGCTGCAGTACACGGCAGAGCGCTTATCTTAGAGCGCAAAATACTATTCGACCATGTTATGTCGCCTCCTCCAAACCGCCTTTCTGCCTCACCCTGGTCGAACCTCGATGATGTCGCAGGCTACTAGCAGTGCAGGTGGCGGTGGCGGCCACACGAACGCGGTGCACGCAGTGGCTTGGAGCCCCGTGGACAGCCGCTTGCTAGCCAGCGCCTCTAGCGACAAGACTGTTCGGATCTGGTCAGACGGCGTGTGTACGGCCATCCTGAAGGTGGGAAGCCGCAATCATGCGGATATGCATTCGGCACTGCTGCATGGGTACTGACGGGACATTAAATACTTAAGCGTGCGCCAGACTCGTACGCTCAAGGCCTTGCAATACCAGTAATCTTGTTGCATGGGTACGTTTGCCAATGTTGCCTCCTGAGCAATAGTGTGTTAAAGTTCTTGGCTTTTCACGAACTGCTGCTGCCGTACTGGGCCAGGGCCACACACATGCTGTCAACTGCGTGGCTTGGAGCCCCGACGGCAGACAGCTAGCTAGCGGCAGCGACGACCAAACTGTACGGCTATGGAGCACGGATAGCGGCACTTGCCTGGCCACTTGGGAGGTACGGAAATAACACGCACGCAAGCTAGCAAGCAAGCTGGTTACCCGTTCTGCGCTTACCTGGCTGCGCACTTTTATTCTTCCCAGCACCGGCATGCATGTTCTGTGGTGCTGCCTTTCACGTGCACCTTCCTCCGCAGAGTCCGGACAGGATTGTGGTGAGCTCCGTGGCTTGGAGGCCCGACGGGAGCATGCTTGCGAGCGGCAGCTGGAGCGGCGCCATCCAGCTGCGGGAGGTCCCTAGCGGCAGCTGCGTGGCCCAGCTGAAGGTGAGGTGCGCGCAGGCGTCGTGCTTAGCTGACGGGGTCCGAATCGTAGAGGTTTGATTGCGGATGGCAACAAATTTATGCACCGGAGGCTTACCGGTACTTCTCATCTGTCGGCAACCTCTTGACGCACCTTGCCAGCACTGTCCTGCTTTATTTCCCGTGGAACCGCAATGCGCAACAGGGCCACTCGGAGTGGGTCGTCAGCTTATCGTGGAGTCCGGATGGCGGACGTCTGGCCAGCAGCAGTAACGACGCCGGCGTGCGGCTCTGGCAAGTGGCGAGTGGAGCGTGCTCCGCCGTTCTCCAGGTGCGCGGTTACCTTCCCGTGAATGGTGCGATAGGGACGTGCATGTCACTACCGTACACTGTGCGATAGCAAGTACGAAGGACCCGGTAACACAAGATGCGCGATGCATGTTCCGTTGCGCGTCCATGTTCGTCACAACAAGCATAGCACAGTAAGCGGAACAGCAATGATGGGAAAGCAAGGGACCGGCATGAGCCCAACATTCTGCAGCCGCCCTCGTCTCCTCTCCCCGGCCACCCTACATGCAAAGCATGCAATGTGCCATGTGGCCCACCAACGTACCCCACGCTCCCCACGCTCCCCGGCCCCACGCGGCCCTCCTGGACCAGCAGGGCCACACCGATTGGGTGCCTGCTGTGGCCTGGCGCCCCGGTGGAGGTGCAGTCGCCACCGCCAGCCTGGACCGCAGCGTGAAGATCTGGGACCCCGACACGGGGGAGTGCACCGCCACGCTGCAGGTGGGGGCTGGTGGGCTGTGTATGTGTGCTGCACTGCACTGCTGGCAGCGGAGAGCACTGCAGGGGCGGGCGGGGACAGCAGCCGCGCTGCGGGTGTGCGGGTGCGGGTTGTGTCGGTCGAGTAGCAGGATATGGGTGGTCAGGGTTCCCTAAGGACCAGTCTAGCCCCCGTTCTCTCGTAGGGTTGTTGTTTCATTTAGTGCCGGCTGTTCGCCATCAATAGGACGTTAGAAGCCTTGCCTCAGACGCTGCTTCCGATCTGCCGTACCATACAGCTGTCAGGCTTGGTGTCACACACAAGGAGTTAAGGTTTCAGGACAATGGCTTCCCTTACTTTGCTCGTTCACGCTTGGACGCAGCAGGGCCACGGCGGCGGCCTCACGGGTGTGGCATGGAGCCCGGACGGCGCCTGCCTGGCCTGCAGTGGAGCTGACATGGCTGTTCGGGTGTGGGATGTCGCCAGCGGAGTGTGCCTCACAACTATCCATGTGAGTATCTGGTGCACTGTGACTGAATGGCAGGGTTGGGTTCATTACCCGTGTTCCCCGGAAACCAGTGTAAGGACCATTCATTCAGGTACTACAGGGAGACTTGCGTATCAAAGGACGTGTGTGTAGTTGAGCGGAAACAAGAGCAAGCAGTTGGGATAGGTTCCCTACAGGCAGGCTGCGAGCTGCGTCATGCACGCAGCTTGGGTCCACACTACTCCTCAGTTAGGAAGGCTGCTCGGCCCTTGCTAGGGCATGTAAGAGGCAGGTTGCATGGGTGACATCATTACCTACCCTCCGTTGATGGGGCAGTCCTGCAACCAATGCAAAGGTTAGGATTGTTACACGCCCTTGTACTTCTACCGCTCGGCCTCAACGTACCGCTGACTGATTATTGCCGTTACCGCTTGCTGCTGGTTGCTACTACCGGTAACTGCTGTTCAGGGACATGCACGAGAGGTGAACTGCATTGCCTGGAGCCCGGACGGCTCGTCCATAGCGAGTGGCAGCAAAGACAACACGGTACGGGTGCTGGTGGCGGCAGCGGATGACAGCTGACCAGCAGCCGTCGTATTGTAGACAGCCGCTAGTGCGGGGAGACGAGAGCGTCAAGCAGCAGCAGTCCGGTCCGGCGCCTCATTGCGTATGAGGGAGAAGCCTGGCCGCCCTGTCGTACCGTGCGGTACTGCTTGAAAGCCGTACAGTGCCTTTTGATGCCTTTTTCCTTGTGATATTTGGCATTTTGCATCGCTTCTTGGCAAGGTTGTAAAAGCAGCAATGGCGTGTAAGGGAGCTGTAGCTGGCCTGGTGTGAATCCTGCTTGGCACATGACTTTAGAGAGTAGCTTGGTCTACAGCAAGTTATGCAACGCCGTGTCCGTTCTTCGCTTACCAGAGTACACATCCACAGCCTGCCTCCATGCACGTCCTCCGCAACACGCCAAAGCATTCGTCCCCCAACCGCCGCACAAAGCCCAACCATATAGCTGCGGTCAGCCAACAGCAATTGCACAGCAACGGGGAGCCAACCCTGCAATGGTTTCCTTCCTTTGCATCTACATCCTGCACATGTAGCCATGCCTAACCAGTTTTGCCCCAGAACCCTAGCAATACATGCCTACCGGTATCCCCCAAAGCCCCCAACCATGCGTCCTACGGATGCCATTCTACGGCATCAGGAACACCCCTGGGAACAAGCGGTCGCATAAGGCCTCTGTGGGCGCCACTCCCGACATCAGGCTTGCGTCCTGCCCCTGACCCTGCTCCGAAGCCGTGTACAGCCTCCGGCCTCCGGGGGCCGCCCGCAGTACAAGCCAGGCGTCACGTGCCGTACGAACAACCAACTCCGCGTCGTCGTCACAGGAGGAAGGGGAGGAGAAGCCAAGGGAGGGGGGTGCTTGGGTGCTCGAGGTGGCTGGTGGCATGGCTGTGGTGGAGTTTGGGTTGGGGGGAGCGTTGCTACCGGAGGGCGCCTCGTCGCCTGTAGGTGGGTCACGAGTGAGGGGGTAAGAAACGAGAAGGCAAAGAGGGCTGGGGAACAAGGTACGCGGTACACGCAGGGCTGACTGCGGTGCCATGGTAAGTCCATTAGCGTCACCCAAGCCTTATCCCTCCGTCCGGTATTGATTTCAAGCATTAGTCGGCGTAGCAAGATACATGAATAAACGCACCAGTGCTGGTGCCAGCAGCGCCCGCCGCCGCCGCCGCCCCCTGCTGCTCCAGCTGCTGCTGGCCCTGCTGCTGCCTGAGCAGCCGCTGCTGCTGCTGCCGCTGCCGCTGTGCACCCTCCCACTCGTCCATCTTGTTGCGGAGGTGTCCCATGTGCCGCAGCACCCCCGCGGAGAGGGTGAGCACCTTCTTAGGCGGTGTGAACCTGAGGGAAGGGAAGGGAAGGGGTTGAGGTATCGGTAGGCGATCACTAATATCCTCTACCAGAGCGTGAGATTGTCACGTGCACGGCATTCAAATGAGGGTACTCCGTTGTCCGAGTGATCTCACACTCCCCATATCGACTGCTGCTCCCACCTAGCCGCGTGACAGGTGGCATCCGTGAAGCAGTAGCGGTGCCCCTTCTCGTGCCACACGCTGCGTGCCGGCACCTCCGCCGCAAGCGCCGCCGCCGCCGGCCCCGCGCCGCGACCCATAACTGCCGCAAGCGCCGCCAACACCTCGGGCGCCGGCGGAGGCCCGTCGTGCAGCAGCGCCAGCACCAACAGCGGGCCGCGGTGGTACGGCAGCAGCTGAGCCCACTCGTTGGATCCCTGTACGACAGTACCGTACAATGCAAGAGAAGTGTCGTACCTTGCATAGTACGACAACACATAGACTGTTGAAGGCGGAGCAAGGGCATGCTGAGCACAAGAAGCAGGTTGCGTTCCTGCGGTATCCTTTTAAGGCTCGTGTTACAGTTCCCGTATCGTTGACCCTCTACTCGCTTGGAGGAATAACCCAAGCTAAGTGAAGAGAAGACACACCACTACTCCATGACGCGGAGGAGCAACTTACCCTGAGCCACACGCTCGTCAGCGGTAGAGGTCCCTCCAGAGGCAGCACACCCGCTGAGCCGCCGCCGCCACTGCCTGAGGAGTACATGGAAGGACGCAGGCGGGGCCGCAAGAAGGACGACAGAAACGGAGGCAGCGCCGAACCCACTCCGGAGACGCCGCCAACGCCGCCGCCAGCGGCAGCAGCAGCCGCGGCTCCTGCCGTCGACGATGAAGGTGTTGAGGCTGGCGGTGACGGCGACGACGACGACGGCCCGGCGGCAGCGGAAGAAGAGACGGGCAGCGTCGGCGTGCTGACGGAGAGTCCTGCCGCCGCCGCCAGCAGACTTGCGCCCGCTCCGAAACCGCTGAGAAACCCGGCGACGGTGCTGACGGCGCCGCTGGCAAGTGACGGCGCCGCTGGTACGACGCCGCCGCTGGACAGCCCTGAATTCGAGCTGGCGCCTCCGCCGCTGAGTCCTGTCGCCGCTGACGGCGGCAGCGGTGGCGGCGACGGCGGGGGCGGCGGCGAGGGAGCGGGGGGATGTATGCCGCCGCCGGCGCGCCACTGCAACGGGCTGAGGAGCGTGTCGAACGCCGGCTCCCCGGCGGCTGCACCGCTGGCGGGTCCGGCGCCTGCTAGGGCCAGAGCGGTAGCTGCGACTCCGGGTCGGGGCTGTCGTACACACGCGGAGAGGGCATGCGGAAAGGGCATGAGGGTGATGCATGAGGAGGGCATGAGGACGGCATACAGAAGGCTATTAGGAAGAAGGAAAAGGTGGTGCATGACAGAAACAGAACATGTACTGAGGTTGATATACAGGGCGTCAGCCCACGCGTGGAAGGTCGAAGGGGCATCACCCCACAGCATGCAAGCCCTGCTTGCCGCACACCCATGCCAGGGTGCCTCGTCTGCCCGCTGCACGCCTTCTATCCCCACCACTTTCAGCAGGCCGTGTCCTCACCCTTTGCGCCGCCCGTGCCGCCGGCGCCAGCGCCCTAGCTGCCAGCGTGGTGAGCGCCGCCGTGTCCTCGGGGCCCAGCGTGGATGCCAGCGGCATGCCGCCCCAGAGCACCATCACACCCCCGACCAGGCGGGTGCCGTAGAAGGAGGCAACCAGCAGCTGCTGGACCAGACACTGTACGGCTGCGGGAGGGGAGGGGCAGGGCAGGTGGGGGGCAACAGGGGCGTAGGGCAGGAGGACAGTCGGGTAGGTAGGATGTAAAAGATAACCTGTTGGAATGGCCCCGGCTTGCGCCCATCCTCGGTACAACCTGGCACCGTGCATCTGCCTTAGTTCCCCACCAGCATGCCCATGCATCTGCATGCAAGTCTAGGAGCCCATGCAACCCACCCAAGCAACCCCACAACTGCAGCCCCTACCCATGCACCCACCCAGGAACGCCGCATGCGAGGTGGTGAGCAGCGGCACCACCCCCGCCGAGTGCGGCCCCAACGGGTTGGCGAGCAGCGACCAGTGCCCACCCGCCTCGCGTGCCGCCGCCGCCTCGGGACGCAGCAGGCGGCTGCTCACCTCGTCGAGCAGGGGCTGCAGTACACGTCGTACGGCGAATCCGGTGGGGTCCTGCGGAACGGCAGCGCGAGCGTGTGTGGAAGGTGGGGTGTGGGGGACAAAGGGGGAAGCGCCACGGCATGATGAAGATGCGTGGGATGGCCAGATGGTATCTTGACTTCTCAAGGTTCAGTGGTCAGTGGTGCTGATTTCCCCACAGTGTACAAGGGGATTGGTTACCGGTACTGCGCTTTTGCTGGGCGCAATGCGGCCGTTCCCCGGGCTTCCTTAGGCGCACCTGTTCAAGCAGCATGGACATCCTGCCGTGCAGCAGTACGAATACATCGTAGGTGCTGGTCAGCAGGGCCTTGTAGGCGGCGTCCGTGCAGCTGGCGCCAGCCCAGGACTTGCGAGCGATCTAGCAGAGCACAGGTTCAGGTTGTGGGGCAGGTACATGGGTAGTGTTGCTACTTACGATGGCGCGATTGTACGAAGGGGAAGGGCGTTAAAGGGCATGCCAACGCAGGGGCGTGCCAGGGCGGTAGGTACATGTGGCAGTGTGGTGGCTGGGGGCCTATGTTAACTTGCCGTGGCTCTCCCAACCGAAGGACAGCATACCGTACTCCCTCCCGGCAACCGCCAAGCGGTCGGCGGAGCAGCTCTTTTCTCAAGAAAACGCCCATCCCCCCGCCCCCCTCTCGCTTCTGCCAGTTGCCCTGCGCTTCAAGAACCCTCCCTGCCGCCTCCGCTCACCACCAGCAGCCAGATGCTGGGCTCGCATTCGAACATGACCCACTTGTTGTGCTCCGCGACCATGGATTTGAAGCGGCAGTCATCCTAGGATGTACGGGTTCCGGGATTTCAGGGCCCGAGCAGCAGGAGGGTGAAACAGAATGACTGGATCAGGAATCCCAGGGACACCGTTTTCCGTAGGAGGACTGCACACCAGTCCATCGCCTCTACATGCAAACTTGGTGGCCTGTCCGAAAAAAGAGCTATGGCACCCTCCACAAACCTGGGTTAGAGTGTCAGCGAAGGAGGCAACCGCCTGCGCCAGGCCCACTATGGAGGTTCGGACATGGACGGGGGCGATGGTGGGGAAGAAGGACAACAGCTTCTCGTGCTCATCGCCCTCGCACTGCCCGCGTCGGGTGTCGAAGACAGCAAAGACTAGATTAGTGGTTTTGAAGAATGCAGCGACAGGGTTCGACGGTTGCTGTTGAGGAGTCGACATGGGATACCGCAAATGCTGCAGCGTTCGCTGCAGTTAAGGCGCGATCAGCTAAGCATTGTGGCGGGAGGTGCTAGTTATTGGAAATTGTTCCCCTATAGGTGTCAGTGGAGTAACAAGAAGCGTATACGGTCTGTTGATAGCGGTGTTGCAAAGAGCGCAGCAATGCGCCTAGTACATTTACTTAACGTATTGCATGAACCACTCTTTCAACGTTGTGGCTAGCTCACCTACTTTCCACGCCACGATGCCACCGATCCAAGTTGTACGAGAAAGGCCGAGTACAGCAGAAGCTTTGCGCTGTAAGCACGAGAGCGTTGCACATTTGAAGTAGTAAAGCGACATTGTGACTTCTATAAGTAAAACGGAGAAAGATGGCCGCCATTGAGCTCTTGGATAAAGCCATCGCGCTCGTCGACGGCCTGCTCGCGAACGCGAAGCCAGCAGCGCCGGCACCAGCAAAAGGTGCGCGATTTCTTGCCTTACCATCCCGGTGACTTTGCTTCTCCTTCCTAATTTCCTTGCCAAGCTAGGCTGCACCGCATCCGCCGCACGTCCAAGTACGGCATCCTCCCTCCCATTGCCCTCCCACCCACCCACCCGCAGCCCCAGCTCCGGCTCCTGCGCCTGAGGCGGCCCAGCCTGCTGCTGCCCCAGCGGCGCCTGCTCCCGCCGCAGCTGCTCCCAAGCCCGCAAAGGCGCCCAAGGCTCCCAAGGCACCCGCAGCATCAGCACCCACTGCCGCCGCGAATGGCGTCTCGGAGGAAGAGGCTCTGTTCAACCGCGTGCTCATAAAGGTAGCATAAAGCCGCTCCTTCTCTTAACATCGCTTTCTGTCCTGGACTTAACTCCATGTAGACTTAACCTGTCCTACCATGCACCTTCTAGAAACAACCCGGCTCGTAGCATGCTGTGTCGCTCACGCCTGCATATGGCTGCCTACTCGGGGCTTTCGGTCGGCCCAAAAGCGCGTCCACACTTACTCTCACTTTCCTATCTTATCTTTCCCGGCCCCGCTTCCTGCCGGTGTTCGCTGCTCCCCACAGGTGGCCCAGATCAAGTCCGTGGAGCTGCTGGCCAATAGCGAGAAGCTGTACAAGCTGCAAGTGGACCTAGGCAACGGGGAGACCCGACAGGTGCGAGCACGGGCTGGGACTGCGGCAGGAAGCGAACCTGTGAAGGGGGTTGTGCCTTGTGTGTACTGCAACCCGGCAAAAAGCGAGAGCCGAACTCACTCCTGAGCGCCGTAAGCCGCACATACGTTGCCGATAACGCAGCAAGGGCAGTTCTTACCTGTCTACCTTTCTTGAAGGGCCGCAGCTTCGCCAGAAGTACCAGCAGTGCCTGCCTTACACCCTGACACCGCGCACATTCCCCCCGACCACATTTTCCCCTCTCGCGCCAGGTGTGTGCTGGTCTGCGTCAGTTCCTCCCTGCCGAGGCGCTGCAGGGAGCGGTGGTGGCGGTGGTGGCCAACCTGAAGCCCGCCAAGCTGGCAGGGGAGGCCAGCGAGGCCATGGTGCTGGCAGCGGGTGAGGAAGAAGGGCAGGGAGGGACAAAACAACGAGCTGTATGACACGGGCAGGGAGGGAGTGGGTGCATGGAAGCGCATGGAAGTGAGGGATGGAGGACGTGGGAGTCGCACTTGCTGCACCATGTTCGGACCCTCCCTGTGTGCAACCTGGATCACCCGGCCTCTCTTCTGTCTCGCCCTCAGAGGTGGAGACGGACGGCAAGCTGCTGGTGCGGACACTCATCCCGCCAGGTGGGGCCTGTGGCTGATGAGGCAGTCTTCAGTACAGCTACGTTCTGGTCAGCGGCGGCGTGCCCTGCGGGTGGCGGTGGCCACATGTGCCCATAGGATTGTCGTGCTTGGGACCATGCAACACATGCAGCCGTGCAGCAGGCAGGGAGGCAGCCGGGGAATCCCGAGGTACTGATCTGCATGCAGTTTGAACCCGACCCGGACTCAAAGCACATCCTTGCTGTCGGCCAGACTGTACCCCAACCACAGTTTCTCTCTCTCTCTCCCATGTCATATATCCGATGTATGTCCTGTCGGGCGAACTTGCCGTATGTGTACTGCCTTGTGTGCTCCCCAGCGGGTGCTGCCATCGGCGACGTGGTGTACCTGGAGGGCGGCGCGCCCTCAGCCTCGCCCGACAAGGTGCTGAAGAGCGACCACTGGAAGAAGATCGGTGCGGGGCTCAAGGTGCAGGGAGGCAAGGCAACCTTCAACGGCAGGCCGCTGGTGACGGCAGCGGGGCCGGTAACACTGCCGTCGGAGATTACTGATGGCTGTGAGATTCACTGAGGAGAGGGAGGCCGGGAAGGAAGAAGAAAAACATGATTTGAAGGATAGGACGGCGGGCAGGGAGGGAGTGGTAGTTCTGTGGAAGGTGTGCTGGGGTGGGTGAGGTTGTCTTGGAAGCTGTGGTGATTGGAGTAGCTGCTTGCTGGGTAATGCTATGAAGTCGACGTCTGGATTCTGTTTGTAAGCGTACAGCAGGCCGAGACGCTTTACGGAAACGCTGGGTGTGAAGTGTACTGCCGTAGTTACGTACCAAGCCGGCATTGGCGGGCACCGCAACCTGTACGACGGATTCGCCCAATATGGCAGGTCTTCTGCCTTTCGACAACAGAAGACGGTATCTCGCTAATACGAAGACAAAGCTTTAGGGCGAAAAGCTAGAACTTGATGGTTAACAACATTAACAACATCGTAGCAATGACTTGTCAATCACCTTCTGGCACTGGCACGACAGCACTGACACGCCCCAGAAGTGCAATAGCTTAACAATCTATGGTTGTTTTATTAACCAACACCTATCGGCTTTAGCCGCTGCAATAGTGCCTTCCGCAAGTATACGCCTTACACTACTAGGGTAACGCCACAGATCGCCGCTTGCGGTTATGTTTTTTACGCAAGTTTTACTATATGGATGCTGTCGATCCCGCAATGTGCGGTGCCTCCTGCGAAGAGGACTTGCAGAGTCTGAGACAAGGCCACCTCTATGGTACCAAAGCCATACCAGCGGCCTTTGGTCTCCATCTACCTTGCTCCCTTACCCCGAGTCTGCAACATCATCGCCTCTAGCTCCAGCAGCTGCAATCAAAGAAGCCCCCCAGCAACGGGTGCCTCTGTGGTACCAATACCATACCAGCGGTCTTTTGCCTTCATTTTCGTTGCCCCCTCACCCTCAGTCCGTGTTGGCATCTCCCTTAGCGTCTGCATTTGCCATTAGAGAAGCCCTTCAGCAGCGCAGGCAAACCTCCACAGCCAGCAGCACTAGCAGCAGCAGCTTCCGTGGCAGCAAACAGGTCGCGCCTGAATCCTTACAGAGGCCAGCTAAGCGTGGCCATGGGGAGGCTGGCAGACACTCAGGGTCACAGTCGGGTCGCCAGGTCTCCAACCCCAGTAGTACAAGCAGCAGACAAACCAAACGTGTAGCAGGACACAGTGCAAAGGGCAGTGGCAGTGGCGGTGGGCAAACGGAATTACAGCGGGGGCGCCAGGCAGAAGGCAGGAACAGGGGACCAGGCTGCAGTAGTGGCGGCCATACCACTTTTTCCAACATTGCCAACTTGCCCACCCTCGTGGCTGCTGTCGACGAGAATGCGGCAGCCTTAGCGGCAGCTCGAGATGTGGTTAGGCTTCGAGCTGCATTCTCCACCCTTGCCAAGGTGTGAAGGTGTTGCCATGGTGTACACGTTTAAGCGTTAGGAACTACAACATGGGATAAGTGAGTCTATTGGATCACATGATTGACGCCGGTCCTCCCTTGCCGGTCCCCCCTTGTCCTCCCTTCTCTCCATCACCTTTTGCCCCGCAGCTCGGCTCCCGCCCTGATGCTGACACTCGGCTGCTGCCCCGCGCCCTCACCACCCTGGCAGCCGCCTACCTGCCACTGGTGCCGGGACTGAGGGACGCATTCTCGTGTGTGGGCCCGCTGTATGCCTGTGCCAAGCTGGGCTTCTGGGAGGGGCAGCTGGCGGCAGCACTGCTGGAGCGGCTGGGGCGGGATGGCGGGGAGCTGATGCAGCGGGCTAACGCACAGGATCACAGCAACCTGTGGTGGTCAGTATCAGTTGCTCCCAAGCACCTCATAGCTCTAGCTGGAGGAGCCCTGCAAGCAAGCTCTACATGCCTTGAGCAAATGCGGCTTTCAGAAATTGACTCCCAGGCTTGCTCCAACATCCTGCTGGCATGCGCCCGGTTGCAGCGCCGCCACGACCCCCTGCTGCACCACCTGACCGCCTGCCTGGTACAGCTGCCTGATGCCAATTGCCAGGACCTGTCCAACTCGGTTTATGCGCTGGGTGAGCTGGCTGAAGACTGCGGCCACAAGCCCCGGGAGCAGGACCTGCAGCGCCTGGGGGGTAGGGTGTTGGAGGGGCTGCAGCAGCAGCAGGGCAGCGGGCGTCAAGGCGGCAACCATGGCAACCATGAAAGCTTCACACCACAGGCCCTGTCCAACATGCTGCTGGGGTGTGCCAAGCTCGGCTTCCCGGACCCTTGCTTCCTTCTCCCCTTGGTGGCTGCACTTGTGCGCTGCAGCCAGCTGGCCAGAGAACAAGAGCTGGCCAACTCGTTGTATGCACTGGCTGTGATGGGGTGCACAGGACCCCAATACACCTCGAGTGTGAAACAGCTGTGTGCAGAGGTGCTGCACCGCCTGCACAGTCACCCTGATCAGTTCATTCCTCAGAATCTGTCCAACATCTTGTGGGCCCTGGAGCGGCTGCGGCCAGATGGCAAGGAGGCGCTAGTGCAGGCCCTGGCAGCCGAATGCAGAAGCCGCAAGTTCAATGGCTTCTTGCCTCAGCACTTCAGCAACACTGCCTGGGCGCTGGCCAAGATGGGTTACAGCGACCAGGCCTGGTACGAGGCAGTTGTCACAGCAGCCAGTGCCCCAGGCGCCATGCAAGGGGCAAGCACACAAAACTGGGCAAACCTGTGGTATGCCCTTGCATTGGTGCGGCACAGGCCTCCAGACTCCTTCATGGAGGCTGCGGCACGGGACGGACTTCCCTGCGCTAGTCCACAGGAGTGCGCCAACCTGCTGTGGTCCCTGGCCTCTCTGGGCCTGTACGATCAGCGGCTGGTGGATGTGCTGGGGGAGCGGCTGGGGGAGCGGCTGGGGCGGCAGCAGGGGGGCAAGGGAGGGAAGGGGCCCACCAATCAGGACCTGGCCAACAGCCTGTGGGCGCTTGCAGTGATGGGCCCTGACGTGCTGTCCCGCCACAGCGGACTGGTGGAGGGGTTTCTGAGGGAGGTGGTGCGGAGGTGGGAGCAGGAGGAGGGGTGTGAGGTCTTTGCACTGGAGAACTTGACCCAGCTGTGGCAGGTGCAACTACAGCTGCAGCACATGAGCAGGGACAGCGGCAGTGGCGGGGTCAGTCCATGTAAGGGTGCTAAGAAGCTGGAGTTCATCCTAGCTGGAGTTGCTGACGGGCAGGGCTCTCTGCTGCAGGCATTGCGACCTGCATCTGAGAAGGGGAGGCTGGAGGACCCCACCACCTCCAAGCTGCAGCAGGCTGTGGTCAGTGCCCTCAAGCAGCTGCAGTCAGCGGCTGGCCAGGACAGCCCCCTCAGCCCCCCTTCCAGCAGCGACCCCAGCAGCCCCATCCTGGCCATCCTCCCCGAGCACCCGGTGGAGGCGCTGTGCTGCCGGGTGGACGTGGTGGTGGAGCTGGCTAGAGGGAGGCGGGTGGCAGTGGAGGTGGACGGGCCATGGCACTTCCTGGCCAACCACCCGCACACACACACCAAGGATGGCTCCACCCTGCTGCGTGACAGGCAGTTGGAGCGGGTGTTTGGGGCGGAGAATGTGGTGTGCGTGCCGTACTGAGAGTGGATGAAGTTGAAAGGTCGGGAAAGCCGCATTGACTACTTGAGTCAGCTGCTTGGTGTGCATCGCTGAGGTAGCCGCTAGTTGCCCGATGCAGGTTGTCATGTGCTGAGCCTGTCTGATACTAAACTAAGCTATACATTATTGCGGGCCGTGACTATAGGCACAGCTTTACTTAGGGTGCAGGGCGCTGACAGCAGAAGCCTGACCTGCTGTGCGTAGCCCTGGACTTGTCATAGTTATCGAAGAACAATACCAGTAGATTTAACAGATGCTGTATTTTAAGAGGTGCATTCACGTGATGTCAAGGAACCTTGTGACGTGTGTAGCTGATCTTCTGCTGACTCCTCGTCACCAGTCACCCTGCCAGAGGCCTGTGCTAATGTTTGGTGCCTACGGTACTCGCTGGTGAACGCAATTGCAGGCAAGGCGTAGGAAAATGAATGTTACTCGCATGTCCGTAGTGTTGTTATAGCAGTAATAGTAACACGGAATTTTAGTTATGCCGGGCAAGCCCTGGCGGGTATCAAGGGGGTGAGGCAATGTGGGTATCCCCTGGATGCCAGTACCCCCACCTTCAGTGATGTGAGTTCGGCCTGGCTGTACGAGAATGCTGCGGTACTATGGTATTGATTAAACGACCATAACAACTGATCCCAAACCAGAAGGCAAGCAATGGAAAACGGTATTGGTCGCAGCATGTGACTGCTGTACGTAGTTAGCTTTTAATGAACGTAGTTATGTTGCAGCTCCGGGGTTGTTGGTTAGTATGCGTTATGTTCTTGATTCAGTATAACGAACCTTCACCCAGTCCCCGCGCCCAATGAGTAACAGAGTAAGGCCTGTCTTCCTGTCTGCCAGGTTGCTTCTATGACACTTACCGTGCAGTTTCAGAACCGCGACTGAACACTGAATGTTCCTCTGCGATAGTCATGTGGTCTGCTGCATTACAAGCGTGCACTTTGTTTGGATCTGGCATACCTCTATCAGCACCGGCGTGCACATGCTATGAAGGACTGGACAGCGGGAATGTCGAGAGTGGTGAAAGGTTGTGTAAGGCATGATAGAATGGGTGATGTTATCATGGTGAAGTGCTGAATGGGTGGAATGGCTGCTTGCTGGATGGCTGGGGAAAGCTTGAGATCTTACCACAACGCAGGGTTGGGTTTTATTGTAGGCTTACAGCAGGCTGAGACAATTTACCACAACTCAGAGAAAGTGTACTGCCGTAACTACGTACCAGGTCAGCGTTCGCGGGCACAGCAAACTGTACGACGAATTAGCCCATAACGCCCTTGCCACGGCTGCAGAGGGTATGACGCTGTAGTTTGAGGTGGAGCGGAAAGCTAGGATCTGTTACATGCATCATACGAATGGAGCTCAAAGATTGCTCAATGGAGCAATCCGGGTCCGCCTCCGAGTTCAGATGGGCCCGATGGACGAGCAGTACTATCTCCGGCAAAATCTTTCCAAAGCGCTTATTACTATCTTCTTTAACTAAACGTGAAAGAGGTTACGCTGATACTTTCATCACCCACGTTTTACTCAAATTCAGTGGTTACAGAACCTAGAACAAGTACAGCGAAATGTCCAAAATGAAGTCAATCGTTAGGCATTGCCAGTAGTTGATTGCAATTGAGTGGCAGAGTAGCTGTGTAGCCTGCTAATGCGGCATATATAGAGGAGACCCCCCCGATGGAAGCAATGTCCTTTATTCCACGAAGCATTTGTGATATTACTTATGTCCTACTTACAGAGCCTGTTGTAACGTGTATAATACGCTTTTTAGCTAGGGATTTGGTTGTCTATCTGTGATGAACGATCTAAGCAGGCCGTACCGCTCGTCCATCGGGCCCAACTGAACTCGCCCAGGCCTTAGGTGGACCCGAGCAATCCTGCTGCTGCTGCTGGCAACGGAGCGGCAGTACAGACAGCGGGAGCCGAGGAACTGTACTGAATGTAATACCTTGTAATGATTGCATACTGTACTGAATGCCCCAGTAGTGCGAAAGCCTAGAGGCCACTTATTACGTACATGCCTTACGGCTTATAGCTAACATCTACCGCCGCTTTTATGCCTTTCATGTTAGTTTCCAAATTAGCCCGACTTCCACCTGCATAACACCCAAACCTGTACAACGACTTCAATGGCAACCGTTGTCACTGTTAATTGAGCTAGGATGTTGTTGACGCGAGCTTTACTATCCGGATGCCGTCGATTCCGCAACGTCTTGCGAAGAGGACATGGAGAGTATGAGCTTAGGTCTTACCAATGGTACCAATACCATACCAGCGGCCTTAGGCCTCCAATTCCTGTGCCCCCTACACCTGAGTCGGTGTTGACAGCGCCCTTAGCGTCTGCACTTGCCATTAGAGAAGCTCTTCAGCAGTGCAGGCAAACCTCCACAGCCACCAGCAGCAGTAGCCAACGGGTCGCACCTGGATGCGGGCTCAGGGCAGCTGAAAGTAGCGGTGGCCATGAGGAGGCTGGCAGGCGCTTGGGACCACAGATCTCCGCCACCACCGCAAGCAGTGACAGCAGCAGCAGCAGAATGGTCACACCCGGACCAAGACTCGGGTCAGCTGGCAATGGCAGCGGCCTTGAGATGGAAGCGCAGGCAGGGGGCAGGGGCATGGGACCCGATCACAGTAAGGGCAACCTGACTGTTAACTGTCCTGACATCACCGACCTGCCCACCTTAGTCACCGTTATTGAGGACAAGCTGCCGGCCTGGGCTGCAGCTGGAGACATGGCCAGTCTTCGGGATGCCTTCCTCTCCCTTGCCAAGGTATGAAGGCGCTCCAGCTATGCTGTAATGGTGTAAATACTGCAATTGGGGTACCACATTTGTACGAACTGAGCAGCTCCTCCATGCTCACAGCTGTCCCTCCCTTGCCCCGCTGCCTCAAACACAGCTGGGCTCCCATGGCAATGCTGATACCCGGCTGCTGCCCCGCGCCCTCACCACCCTGGCAGCCGCCTACCTGCCACTGGTGCCGGGACTGAGGGACGCATTCTCGTGTGTGGGCCCGCTGTATGCCTGTGCCAAGCTGGGCTTCTGGGAGGGGCAGCTGGCGGCAGCACTGCTGGAGCGGCTGGGGCGGGATGGCGGGGAGCTGATGCAGCGGGCAGATGGGGAAGGGCACGGCAAACTGTGGTGGTCAGTGTCTACAGCACCTCAGGAGCTCATAGCTCTAGCAGGTGGAGCCCTGCACACAAGCGCTACCTGCCTGGAGCAAATGCGGCCTTCAGAACTCAGCTCGAAAGTCTGCTCCAACATCCTGCTGGCGTGTGCCCGGTTGCAGCGCCGCCACGACCCCCTGCTGCACCACCTGACCGCCTGCCTGGTACAGCTGCCTGACGCCGACCGACAAGCCCTGGCCAACTCGCTGTATGCGCTGGGTGAGCTGGCTGAGGGCTGCGGCCACAAGCCCCGGGAGCAGGACTTGGAGCGCCTGGGGGGTAGGGTACTCGAGCGAATGCAACAGCAGCAGGGCAGCGGGCGTCAAGATGGCAGCCATGGCGACCTGGAAAGCTTCAAGCCGCAAGAGCTGTCCAACATGCTGCTGGGGTGTGCCAAGCTCGGCTTCTCCAACCCCGACCTCCTCCACTCATTGACGGCTGCACTTGTATGCAGAAACCAGCGACTGAAGGAACAGGACCTGGCCAACACAATCCATGCGCTGGGCAAGTTAGCGAAGGACTGCGGCCACAAGCCCCGGGAGCAGGACCTGCAGCGCCTGGGCAGTAAAGTCCACAGGCGACTGAAGCGGCTTGATGACGGGCGTCAGGATGGCAGCCATGGCAACAGTATGTGCTTCACGCCACAGGCCCTGTCCAACATGCTGCTGGGGTGTGCCAAACTGGGCTTCTCCAACCCTGGCCTCCTCCACTCACTAACATTCGCACTTGTGTGCAGTGGCCACTTGGTTAAGGAACAAGCTTTAGCCAACTCTCTGTATGCGCTGGGCAAGTTAGCTGAGGACTGCGGCCATAGACCCCGGGAGCAAGACCTGCAGCGCCTGGGGGTTAGGGTACTCGAACTGCTGCAGCAGCACCAGAGCGGACATCAAGATGGCAACCTTGAAAGCTTCACACCAAAGGCCCTGTCCAACATGCTGCTGGGGTGTTCCCAGCTGGGCTTCTCCAACCCTGCCCTCATTACCCCAATGGCGGCTGCATTCGTACTCAGTGCTCAGTTGGCCAAGGAACGAGAGCTGGCTAACACGTTGTATGCACTAGCAATCATGAGGTGCATGGGACCTGACTACACCTCAAGTGTGAAGCAGCTGTATGCAGAGGTGCTGCACCGCCTGCACAATCACCCTGATCGGTTCGTTCCCCAGGAGCTGTCCAACATGCTGTGGGCTCTGGAGCGGCTGTGGACAGATGGCAAGGAGGCGCTATTGCAGGCCCTGGCAGCCGAGTGCAGGCAACACCAGTTTTCTGGCTTCAAGCCTCAGCACTTCAGCAACGCTGCCTGGGCCCTGGCCAAGATGGGTTACAGTGACCAGGCCTGGTATGAGGCAGTTGCCGCAGCAGCCAGTGCCCCAGGCGCCATGCAAGGGGCAAGCCCACAAAGCTGGGCAAACCTATGGTATGCCCTAGCGTTGGTGCGGCACAGGCCTCCAGACTCCTTCATGGAGGCTGCAGCAAGGGACGGGCTTCCCCGTGCTAGTTCCCACGACTGCGCCAACCTGCTGTGGTCCCTGGCCTCTCTGGGCCTGTACGATCAGCAGCTGGTGGATGTGCTGGGGGAGCGGCTGGGGGAGCTGCTGGGGGAGAAGGGAGGGAAGGGGCCCAATGTGCAAAGCCTTGCCAACAGCCTGTGGGCGCTTGCAGTGATGGGCCCTGACGTGCTGTCCCGCCACATCGGCCTGGTGGAGGGGCTGCTGAGGGAGGTGGTGCGGAGGTGGGAGCAGGAGGAGGGGGGTGCAGGCCACACACTGGAAGTACTGACTCAGCTGTGGCAGATGCAAATAGAGCTGCAGCACATGAGCAAGGACAGCGGTGGGGGCGGGCCACTTCAAGAGCTTAAGAAGCTGGAGATCATCCTAGCTGGGGCCACTTGTGAGCAGGGCTCCTTGCCCCGGGCTATTCAGGTTGCATCTGTGAAGGAGAGGCTGGACCTCACCACCTCCAAGCTGCGGCAGGCTGTGGTCCGTGTCCTCAAGCAGCTGCAGTCAACCGCTGGCCAGGACAGCCCCCTCAGCCCCCCTTCCAGCAGCGACCCCAGCAGCCCCATCCTGGCCATCCTCACCAGGTACCCGGTGGAGGCGCTGTGCTGCCGGGTTGATGTGGTGGTGGAGCTGGCGGGAGGGAGGCGGGTGGCAGTGGAGGTGGACGGGCCGCCATACTTCCTGGCCAACCACCCGCACAGGTACACCAAGACCGGCCGCACCCAGCTGCGGCACAGGCAGTTGGAGCGTGTGTTTGGGGCGGGGAATTTGGTGAGCGTCCCGTACTGGAAGTGGGACGAGTTGAAAGGTCGGGAAAGCCGCCGCATTGACTACTTGAGTCAGCTGCTTGGTGTGCATCGCTGAGGTGGCCGCTAGTTGCCCGATGCAGATTGTCATGTGCTGAACCTGTGTGAAACTCATCCGAGCAACTTAAGTATCCCATCGTGAGTCTTCGTGACTGTAGGCACTGCTTTGGTTTGTTACTGCTACTACCCTGGTGAGCTAGATGCACCGAGCGAGACGTGTATATTATTTGGCAGGTGTTGCAGGAGTCAGTACGAGTCACATTCAAGACTTACAGAATATGCAAAGAATGAAGACGCTGATAGCCTAAGGTTGGTGTCCTGCTGTTATTCCAGCTTATTCCTCGTCACCCTGTCAATCGCCTGTGTTAGGGTCTGGTCTCTACTTACATTGAAAGCTTTTGCAAGTGATGCGCAGAGTTTGCAGCATGCGTTACGCATATGCTCAGCAGTTATGTCATTGCTGCGTTGCTTTACTATAATGTTGCGGGCCACTGGTCGCTGTACGTGAGTGTTGAAGTTGGATTGTGCATCGGTTTGTTTCAGCCCCGGTGCAGTTGATCGGTAGGGCTAGCTGTCCTGCTTCAAGGTAGCGAGCCACCTCCATTCACCCGGTCCCATAACCCCCTTCAAAATGAGAAAGGCTGTCTGCCACTCTCCATCCCTCTAACGCTTACCACGCGTGCAATGGACAATAATGCGGTCTCGCAGACACGTAGTGAACACAGGCCAAAGCGCCTACGCGGCATTTGTAGCCAGCTATCTACATACGGCCCTAAGGCCTCCGAACCGTGGGTCTGTGAGCCCCTCACGCACCCAACATGAGTGGCCGCTGGTCGCATACCGTACGTGGGTACGTCACATCTTAACGATGCCAGTGGTATCATATGCATCCTCCTTTTACTAAAAATCCCCCGCCGCACATACTCTCCATAACGCTAAAGCCTGCTACTATAAGAAGCTAGAAGTCCTACTGAAAACGTTGTGAAGATTGTCCCTTCTCGAGTCTGAACTGAGCAAAACGTATCCATTGCATAACAGCAATGAACCCAAAATCCCTAGTCTTCAACCCTGCACTTCATTCCCTGCCTTTGCAGGATTACAACGTCCTGCCAAACTAGCCTGATGGAAAACGGGTCAACATCCTGCTGCCATTCCTGCCATAGACCGTCTGACACTACTTGACAAGTGTTATTAGGCTGGAGAGCGGCACAGCATTTCCCTGGCGGACATGCCAGGCAGCGTCTTACCCAATGCACTTAAAGAAGGACATACACCCAAGAGGCCGGCAAACCCTCATGCTACCAAATGCAGTCACGGCCCTGACGTGCGCGGACTTACCTATCCGCTGCACTCCTGCCAGGTGCCACGTATCCACCCTCCTACCCGCTACATGCAACCGACGCTACACCTACCAAACACGTTCTTACCCATGCATTCATGCCTGCGTTGTGACACTAGACACCCAGGCGGAAGCTGCCTACGAAGCATACAGCCCATTAAGCTGGGTACATTAGCCCTGCCGGTTGGCTCTAAACCTAAACCTAAGCCTAAACCTGCTCGCCCAGCTTGGCGTCCACCACGACCACCTTGGCCGTGTTGCACATCATGGTCTGCGCCCCCGCCATGGAGCCCGAGCCCGCCTGGTTGAGTTTGAACTCCACCCCTTCCAGGCTGAACGTCCACACCTGCGCGGCGGTACAGCATAGGTGTACCGCACAGGGCGGATGCAGGCCATAACTTCCCCAACTTGCATCGTGGATGTGTTGGCAGAGCCCATAGGCTTAAGAGTTTATGCGTGTGGTAGTGTGAGCAACGGTTTGCGATGTGGGTCATGTCATGCAGTGCCGTGCAGTGCAGATGGCAAGCCTGTGCTGTGGTGAATGGGTAGGGGAGGAGGGGTGCGTGGGCGACCCAAGCCCAGCACGCACGTTTTCGTAGTAGTGGTACGTCTTCATGTTCGCCTTCATAGTCGCCTTCCCAGTCACGAACTTCTTGATGGCTTCGGACATTGACTGCGGGAGGAGGGCGTGTGGCATTAGGGAGGATGCAGTGTTATTGCCAAGCGCTGACCTATGGGTCAGTTTTAGTATGTCGCCATGCCGCTATGGATTTGCTGATGTAAAGATGTTCCTTATAAAAGCTGGGTGCAAGACCACGTCACAAAACTCAGGTGCAGAACATTGACAAGCAGCAACCGCAGAGTTTTATTGTTACCGTGTCAAACTGCTTCAGCACCGCCAGCGCCAACTCCTCAGGTAGCTTGCCTTCTTCTGCCAGCTGCTCTATAGTCTCCATGAGGCTTTCCCCCACCGAAGTGTTTCGATAAATTTGGAACGACATTTGTAGGAACCCTCAGGACTGATCTAGCGCGAACCTTTCCTAACTAGAAGTATGGTTTATAAGCTTGTACGTGTGCCTCGTACTTTTAACAAGACAGGGCGACACGACCGGTGGTAACAGTAGGCTGGAGGGAGGTGAACAGATCGAGCACTTCAAGTCCTGTCAGGTACTTCTACGCCTGACACCCTAACGCACAAAGTCATAACACTAAGCGATATACCTTGGGATGAAAAGTAAGCGATTGATGCCGTACGGACCCTCACCTCACTAAACATTACGTCTTGCTACCGTGAATGAATGACTTCAAGTCAGACCAGGTGTGCTGCTGTGGTCTTCTGCCATCAAAAATGGCTGTCGCTCTCCGTGGTCTGCGCGCTTGCGCCCTGGGCCCCAAGGTGCATTAGGCGTGCGGCCCACTTTGTCCGCGGCCGCAATGTCCTCACAAAGTTTTCACGGTTTTTCATCTACATGTTATGCAGGCTCTGCGGCAGGTGTCAAACGTGCGCGTGGCACCGGCTCCGGTCCACGCCCCCGTCGTGCGCGTGCGCTCTGCCTCGACCACCGCGGAGGTCAGCTCATACACCATTGAGGAGAGGGTAAGCTACACTGGTAGTGCATTTCTTGGTTTTGCGTGGGATTTCGTCGCAGGCCATGTGCGGCGCTGATCATAGTAAACCTTCGAAAACCGATCGCAGGGCGCTAAGGATACCCTGGAGTACCGCATGTTCTTTAAGCAAGGAGGTAAGTGGAACGCGGCTATTAGAGTATTAGTCGCTAAGTTCAGTGTTGGTGGTGCTGGATGGAAGTGCCATCAGGCCTTAACGCCACCGTCACGCTGCACCCCGGATGCGTGATGCAGGCAAGGAGGTGTCATGCTGGCACGAGATCCCCCTGTATGCTGGCGATGGCCACCTGCACTACATCTGCGAAATCCCCAAGGAGACTTCTGCGAAGATGGAGGTTGCCACGGTGCGTTTCTCATCTGCATATGCCAATTAGGAGGTGTGGGGTTGGGTACAGCGGGGGTTCAGCGAGCAGCGGAGCTCATGTTGCATTTTCCCTTGTAGTAGGCCATGTCCGTACTCTCTTGTAGGGCTCCCAGAGGCTGGAATCTCCAATTGCACACCTGTTGTGATTTCTATGAAACCGTCGAAACCGGGGCTCGTTTCTCCGGCACAAGTGAGGCCTCAATACGTTATGCATATACCCGGCACTCTTTCCCGCATATCGACTGGAGAAAGCTCCCTGCCTGCGCCACATGGGCTGTCATCCAACCACGTGCCAAACAGCACAATCCGTCTCCCCTTTCCGCATCCTCCGACTCAACCGTCCCCTGCCCCTGAACCCCCAAAAACCTCCGCAGGACGAGCCCTGCACTCCCATCAAGCAGGACGTGAAGAAGGGCAAGCTCCGCTTCTACCCCTATAACATCAACTGGAACTACGGCATGCTGCCGCAGACCTGGGAGGACCCGGGCACCACCAACCCCGACCTGCAGGCCGCGGTGAGTGGCTACTGGCCAGATCTCGATGTGCACGGTGATTTGGGCCATATACTATGGTCCCCTCTGTCTTACATGTTGCAAATGTCCTGTTACAAATGTAGGACGAGTGACCGGCAAGCGCACCGCACCCATCAAAAAGCTGACACAGCGTTCTCCAAGTTGGCTGGCATGAGATCCCAATCCTCACACGTGTCCCATAACCGCATCCCCGCCATGTCGTTGCTTCCTTCCACGCAGGGTGACAACGACCCGGTTGACGTTGTCGAGATTGGCTCGGCCGCCGCCAAGCGCGGTGGCGTGTACAAGGTTAAGCCTGTCGGCGTTCTGGCCATGATTGATGACGGCGAGCTGGACTGGAAGGTGATTGCCATCTCGGCGAGCGACCCGAAGGCCCCCCTGGTCAACGACGTGGAGGATGTTGAGAAGTAAGTACCTGTAGAATTTGCATGTTGCAGATAGATAGATGCCAGGAGGTATGCACTCATCTTGGCAGGTAGTCTCCCGCCTCTCTAATGGTTTCGCGGTCCTTTCGCTCGCCGTCCTTTTGGGCAATATATGCGCTGGTGTAAAATAGGCGGGCTGCACGTGTGTCCACTGTTTCTTACCTTTCCTCTGCTTCCGTACCCCTTCATTCCCACGCAGGCACTTCCCCGGCGAGATCCAGAGGGTCCTGGAGTGGTTCCGTGACTACAAGATCCCCGATGGCAAGCCTGCCAACAAGTTCGGGTACGACAACAAGTGCATGAACAAGGAGTTCACCATGCATGTGATCCAGGAGACGCACGAGGCCTATGTCAAGCTCAAGTCGGGCGCCCGTGCCAACTCTGAGGAGCTTTCGCTCATCTAGGCCGCTACTGGGGGTGTACAGATGGATGGGCGTGGCGCGCCATGTAAATAAGGGAGCCGCGGCGACAGCGGCGTCATGTACGGATTATCGGGCTGAGCAACCCTCCTCGGCAACCCGTTATCTTGTGTAGCAGCGGTGTTTGTGTGTGCCCAGGTGTATACCCATGCAAGCTGCGACGGTCCTGAGGGTGCTCCAGTACCTTGCCGCTCTGCCGGCTCATGCTGTCATCAGCGCGCGGTAGAGGTTTTGTCGGCTGGTGCTGGTGATGCGAAGGAAAGACGATGGCGGCCCTGTGAAGGGCTGCGGCACATTGATATGACACAGCGCTCGTACAGCCGTCACAAGTGCTGTGCGGCGTGCCTCCGCGCTTGTAACTTTCCTTCCTGGCTATCGCTTAAACGGGGAGCCCTGTCGGTAGTGGTACGGGCGTTCTTATGTTGGGCGCATGTAGGCGATACAGGCAATCTTCTGTGGGCAAAGGGGTGCTGTGGGGTACCACGCGTGTGAATGGTGCCATAGATGGCTCGGGCTGCCACCAAACACATTGAAGAGCCTGTCAGAATGCAGATATGAAGCTGGGTGTGCCTAGGTTTGCCAGGCTGCAACTGTGAATGCCACGTTGACATGCTCTAAGTCCCAATCCTACCCTGTCACTTGCAGCAGAGCCACGCCCAGGAACTTTGGAAGGCATGAAGCTATGTTTAAAGTACATGTTGCACAGACACAGCGGCAATGCTTCATGGGGAGCTACCGTACACGCCTGACTAGCTAGGGACTCGGACACAGATGGGCGCCTACAGTGGTAGTCCTACATTAGTCTTGAAGTATTACGCGGTGTCATTTTTATGCGTTACAGGAATTCTTGTTAGTATTATCTACAAGAACCTCGCTTAGCTAGGAGCTGTCCTTTCTCTCCCCAGCAGCCGAACGTGTGCATTGTGCATAATGGCTGGAGGGAAGCTTAGAGACGTTTTGAAGATGCCTCTTCCAAGGCTTTAGCGCGGAAGAGGTTGTGAAGGCAATGAAGGTGCCATGGCCTTCTTGTCTACCTTCATGCTTCGGGCCCCGGTAAGACATTGGCGGACATGGGCTACAAGCAGCACCAATATAGCTGGTAATCGATCACCCTGCGGGTTACACTTGCAGGCCAGCTACGCCAGAGTGCGATGCATCGCACTCAAGCATTGGCAAATGCCATGGAACATCTTCTACAGTGCGGGGCGGTATCCTTAGTTTTCTCAGCGGGATTAGTGGCAGCAAAGGTGCGTCTTCAAAATTTGTCGACCCTCCCCTTGGCTCCTTTCCACCCTGTCCTCGAGGCCCGCGGTCATGAAAGTTTGGCTTTGCAGGAACATGGGAGTACACCTCGTCTGATGGCCCGAAGACGCGGATATCCGGGGCGAGGGCTCGAGTTGATGCGGACGTCGTGACATTGGCAACTGCCCGTTACCTGGAATTGTTCACCTCGAGCTCAAAATACGTGAGTATATGATACTGTATGGGTTGCTCATTGTCGTTTCTGCTATGTTTTAGGGATAATGGCTGTTGTTCTGTTGACTGTCGGTGACGGCGCCTTGCTTCTCCCGACTCCCTCTTCAATGATGCCCGCCTAACCTGTGACGTGCATGCGCTCCTCATTGTCGCAACCGCAGCACGATGAGCCCTCTGCGGTATTCTCCGACCTTCGTCGAGGACACGACAGTATCCGCTCGGTGCAGACGGTTTCCGATCGCCATGGCAGCCGCTCAAGCTTCTACAATGGCGCGAGCAGGGGTAGCCGGGAGGCGCCGAGGCAAGTGCATAACCCTTGCCACCAGCAGCCAGGTTCCCCACGCGCTCATGCGCCATGCACCACGCGTCAGTCTGCATCGTCGAGCCGGGGCGCCAACACGCAGCCTGAAGCCGTGGTGCCGCCGCCGCGTACCACATCTATCGAACTCACGCAGTCAAAGTTGCATGGAAGGCCTCTCCAGGACGCCCCTCACGCTCCTGCCGCACTGGGGTCCCTGAACCCCTTCCTCGCCAGGACGCGTGCCCTGGCGGACACGGGCCGCAGTCGCAGCGACCGCATCTCGCCTAGTGCTGCCGCATGCCTGCTTCCGGCGCCCTCAAGAAGGCACATATCCCGCGCGCACACCGCCCTTGCAGCCAGCAGCGGTCACTCGTCTGCCCTCAGTGCCAGCATGTCCATGGGCGAGCTATGTGGGGCCGCTGAGAAGTCGGTTGCATCCAGCACTTCCACCAATGCGGCGGCTGGAGCAGTTGCCGGAGTCCCCAAGTCTCCGTTGCGGCGGTCGTCTACTAGCTGCTGTAACCTTGCTGATGGCTACGCAGCCTCACGCCCTTCACGGCTCCACACGGAGAGCGGCGGAGACATGGCAGCATGCAGCAGCCTGGAGCGTGGGAATCGAGCAGCGGGCGTCACTTCGCAGGCCCCAAGACCTCGGAGGTCCCTGGCTTCCGGCCCCTGCGGTGCGGCCACGCGGGGATACCGACGCCCCAGCATTGTCTTTTCTCAAGACGGGGACATAACTGTCACTGGCTTGCCACCATCGTGCCTATCAGCGGGCAGGTCTCCCCGATCTCGCAGGGACTCATCTGCCTGTGGATCCGGCCATGTGCACGCGGCCAATGTTGCGGGCGCCTTGGACGTTTCGTCTCCCCTACGTGCTAGCGCAGGCCACTGCGGCGGCTTTGGCTCCTACACCCGGCGCTCCGTTGACGGAAGCGGCCGGGATCCCGGCGCGTCTCCGTCTTGTGGGCCGGGGCCAATACCCCCTGCTTTCCTGTTGAGCCACAGCAATGACAGCCGGGTTAACAACACCGACGGCGGCCGTTGTGCAGATTCCATGAACCTGATTGTCACGCTGAACCCCCTCCACAGCGCCGGACTGTTCACGGAGTCCTCGATCTTACGGAGCACTGAAGCTATGCATGCAGCTCTTGTGGTGAGGGGGAGCCAGTCACGGCACAGCGCGGAGAACCTTGCCGAGGAAGGAGCAGCAGAAGAGACGTCAGGCGGTGGTCACGTGACGAAGCAACTGCATCGGGTGCTGGAGCGACCGGACCTTCGCCATCAGCAACGCGACGCCAGGGCCCAGGCATTGGCAGCAGTCGACTCGTCAAGTGAGGGCCAGCGTTGCGACTGGGGCGGCAGCTCACGTTCCGGTCCCTACCGCTTCAGCAACTCCAGCCACCTGACGCACGGCAACACTTCCGGCCCTGCCACCGTGCTTACGGGCAATACAGCCTACATGTTGTCGAATAATCCCCTGGAGGCGCTGGGGCAAGCCTGCAGTCCCTTGCGTGCCGCCCAGAAGGCCGCGGTTCAGTCGGAAGACGTGAACGCGGCAAAGAGGCCGCTTGAACAGCACGTCGGCCTCAACAACGCTCAGGAGCCTGCAACTGGAAGCGCCACGGCGCGAGAAGCTGACAACGGCCCGGCGGCAGAGGGCCCTAACCCAGCGACGGATACGCTGTCACCTCTAAAGGGCGAGCGCTTGAACGGAGGCTGCACGGATCTTATGGACGGTAGCTTCGGCTGTCAGGGTTCAGGTCCGGGAGGGGGTCACCAATGCTCATTGCTGGCTGAAGAGGCTCGCGACGTGACCAGCGCCCTCAGCCGCCTGCAGGAGGCTTGCATGGCAGCAGTAGCGCAGGGTGACATGCGCAGTCAGCGCCTTTCCAGGCGCCTAACCACCCATTTGCCCACGCTGCAAATGCGGACGCCAGGACAGGCGCTTGGCCAGGGTGCTCGTGCGGGCCACGCCGCCAACATGCGGCCTAACAGCATTGGAACTGGCCCGGCGGCGGGTCGCATCATGGGTGCATTCGGAGACAGCATCGGCGATCCGCGTGGCGTAGCCGGGTTTGCAGGCGGGCAAGCGGGCAGCACCACCCTCGTGCGCGTGGGAGGCCTTAACGCGCACATGGCACTTTACGGCCCAACAGGCGGTGTGCGTACGGGTCCTGCCGCGCATGTGCCGCCGGCCCTGTCGTGCTGTCCAGAGGTTCCATGCAGCGAGGAGGCGCCGCCGGCTTCCAGCGCATGGGAGGATAGGGTGTGTGATGAGCATGACGACAGGGCTAGCGTGAACCACGGCATTGTGATGGATGGGCAGATGCTGGACAGGCTTAACTGCACCGGGGAGGAGAGCTTTGCGGTTGAGGATTTTGGCGGCGTGCGCCGGGAGCTCAGCGGGCCGGAAGCCGAGGCGGAGGCCTACCGCACGCGCATGTTGGATGTGCTGCTGTGTGGGGACTTCCTGCACGACACGCAGGAGCTCGCATCGCTGCCATGCAGCGACGATGATGACGATGTGGATGTGGAGTACCGGTATGGCGGTTTCGAGCTGGGTGGCGAGGAAGTGGACACCTCATACCGGCGCCAGGCTTCGTTTGTGGAGGCTGTGCGGAAGTGCAGCGCGCAGGCTCGGGTGGTGGGTGGTGCGCTTGTTAACACGGCAGGGTCTGAGACTGCGGCGCATGGTGCTCGTGCTGGACATGCCGCGGCTTCACCCGCGTATCGGGGGGCTCCCCGTTAAGCAAGTGTACGGGGCTCGGAGGCTAGAATGGTTACACACAAGCGGGAGACACACAGGGGCGTTGATTGTGGGTGTGGGCATTGCGTGCGTGCATGCACTTCGCTGCGGGCATTAGCTGTTTGCTGGCCGCGAGTAGGAGCATCATTGGTGATTGCAAGGGATGCTGGTTCATCTCTAGTCGTGATTAATGTTGTAGGGCCGTGCCTCTATTGGCTTACTCGAATACCTGACATCTACAATAACAGAGAGGCATGGAAGGGTGTCGGCCCATGCGCAGCTCACGTGTTGCCGAGGCTGCTTTGAGAAAAGAGCAAGGGCCCAAGGCCATGACCATTGATCCATGGTTGTGTATGGTTGTGAAGATGATGTTTTGGCCAATCATGTGGGGCTTCTGGCTCCTTACTTCATTCGTTGTATTGGTTTCTGCCGAGCGTGAAGTGCTAGGTGGACCAAGCATGCACCAGGTCACACCTCAAGTCTTGTTCCTGTTTGTGGTGCTTACACATGAGGGCGGCGTGCAACAGTGCAGTGGTACCGGTATTGGGTTGCACTTGCCGTTCAGTGTCTCGAAACTATACTAGGCGGTTGCATTGGCTTTAACATTAAACGAGCGAGCATTTGTACATCGAGTCTCTTGGCGGGTGGGGGCTTGCTGTATGGGCTTGCTATAGAGGCTGGTTCGGTTGGTTCTGACAACATCATCGATCCTGAAGGGACGGCGCTCGCGTGCTCCTTGACCCTTGACACACTCGTGATGTAACCGGTATAGAAGTTATGTAGTAGTAGGATGCGTTGTTGGCTGGTTGCAAGGTGCGGTGGAGCTCATGAGGTCCGCAAGCTCGCATCACATGGCTCCTGGTTCGGATGATTAAAGCAAAGCAAATGATGCGGAAATGTGAAGTATCATACGGGGAGCATGGGCATCAACTGGCATGGCAGGTGTCGGTGCCCGACCTCGTGTGATGGTAGGAGGCTATCTGCCCTAATCCGTGACCCTTGCAGCCGCTAGGCAACAAAAGCTTGAAATGATGCACAAGAGCGGTTGCTGTTGCAGTTGCTGTTGTGCTCTTTCTGCAGTACAAGCGCTGGCAATGAGTGTACGATAACGAACGGTGCTTACATGATTGGCCGTGTGACGCTGCAGTGGCTGTGTCCTCTCGGTCTTGCGCCCTTAGATATGTGTAAACGTGGCTTCAATTGCTCCTCGTCTGCTGCTGCCGTACCGCGAGACGCGCATGCTGTTGGCCACTGTTGGCGGGGTGGACTGACACTTGGTTTCAGTTGTTGGCAGGGGCGTGTCCGCTGCATTGGCACCGGGCATTTGAGTGGCTTGCTAGAGCGTGGCCATCTGATCGTAGGCGCTGGTGATGTGATCTATAGCTGGTTATTGTGGCGTTTAGGGTGCTGTAACCTGGGTATTGTGGATTTCCCGCCTGGTCCCGCCTATTGGTATAAAGGCGGATCCCCTTGAAGTGCTACTGAACTACTATTATTGACGGAGGGAATGCGCTGGTTGCAATGTTTTCCTTTTTTGTTTTGATGGTCGTGAAACCTCGTTGCTTGACCTCGTTGGCTAAGCAGGCGTGTAAGCAACAGCTCCATCTTGCTACAGAACATGGATAAGCTGTTGGCTATGTTGTGTGTATTCTGTTCTCCCCCATGGGTGGCTGTAAGTGTCGGGAGCGATGGGAAGCAACCTTCCAGACTGCTGTACCGGTAGTCGTCTCGTGTCTGTTTACACGCTAACGGATAGTGCAGTACGATCTAATTGCTGGATATGTAAAGTGAACTTGCCCATGTAAAGACAGCTGTAAGCGCTGCATGTTTCCTATATACCATGTAAACCTTGGGAGTCTGCTATGCAGCGCAGTCATTACCAGGTTCTGCCAGGGTAACCCTGGGGGTTAGGCCTTATGCGGCATCCCTAAGGACATGGCTCGCATCCCTAAGCGGAGACCCTCCACTAGGTTCCTGTCACAAAAACACGCCCACATGCAAGTACGTACTTTGTTCCCAACTTGCTAACCCAACTTGCTAACCAGTAACCACTATTCGTACGACACTCGTCGACCTTGCGCGCGGTGCTCCATTTGCATAAAACATTCATGCTTGGCTCTTACATATTTACGATCATGCGTATGAGACATCTACGGCGACGCAGGTTACCAACCACGGATGGACTCAGCTGGCTTGCTTTTATACAACTGAATTGAACGCCTTACAATTTTCAGCAACATATTTTATAGTGGTGCGTAATATGAGGTTCTTTATTGGGCATACACAGCAGCGTCGCTATTACCTCTAAGGACCGAATCTCGACCGCAAGCGGAGGCAGGAAATCTTATTAGTGCACAATGGTGAGCTGAGCTTGCTGTTTTTATTTATAAGACCGTTGTTGTTGCCCAAGGCTGCTTGCTTTCGTTTGGCTTCTGTTAGCCGTAACACCACAAACGCCATAAGCATTGAGGATATACACGCATTTATTGCTAAAGGAGCACAGTAAGGAATGGTGAGGACATGATAGAAGAGTCTTCGCATGCCAATGCCATGCGGTTTTGGCTTGCAGGCTGAAGCAGCAAACAGCGAGAACCTTGGAGGCCAGCCTGACATGGAACCAGCTCCAACGGAGCTGCCCCAAACTGAACAACCATCCACAGCCATGGGCTCCCCAGCGGCCGCTCCTCTACCTTCGCCCGCCCCAAGCCGACGCGAGTCCCAAGCAGCTGAGGGCAGCGCCCAGGAAGGACAGCTCCCGGCTGATGCCCTGGGTGACATTGACCAGGCCCCGTCCTCCAGCTCTCCAGAACCTCAGCAGCCAACCATTTCCCCTAGCCCAAGAGGACTCCTGCAAGAACCCGACCCAGCAGCAAGTCCCCCGGCTGCCAGCGAAACAGAAGCCTCCCAAGCAGCCCCCCAAGCAGCCCCCCAGGAAGCGCCCCAGGAATCCAGCAACCCAACCCCCCCGGCGCCCATCCAGCCGGACCCTTCCTCAGAAAGCGCCCAACCGGAGACCCTTGGGCAGCCACAGCCTGAACCCTCAGCAACACCTCCTCCACTGGACCCGCCCGGCCCTCCTCCGCTGTCTCTCAACCCGCCGAACCCTTCCCCACAAGCCGCCCGACCTAGCCCCTCTCCATCCCGCAGCCGCGCAAGCCCTCCTCCTCCACAGCTAAGCCAACCGGAGCCTGGGTCCAGCCAGCCGGGGCCCCCTTCCGCCCGCAAAGCCCCACAGTCGCAGCCATCGCCTTCAAAGCAATCCAAACCAGCGCCAGCATCCGCACGAAAATCACCAGAGAAGGCCCCATCCCGCGTCAAAACAAAGCTGCCCGGGGCCCCGTCGGCACGAGCCCTAGCAGCAGCCGCGGCCCCAGCAGCCCCAGCAGCAAAGTCTCAGCCCGCCGCGCCCTCTCCTGCACCCCCTGCGGTGGCTCCAGCGGCTCCCGCTGCACCCCCACCTGAAGCGCAGCCAGCGGCAGCACCGGCCCAAGCGGCCACCGCGGCAGAGTCCTCTTCCCAGCCAGGTTCATCGGAACGCAACCGCCTGCACGGCCTGCCCAGCCAGGGAGTTCCCCCTGCGGGTGACATGGCTGGTCCTCCGCAGTACGACGCAGGGGGGCAGGAGCAGATCGCGGAGTTGGCCGCGGGAGGTCTGGAGCAAGGATCAGGACTGGCGGAGTACCCTGTAGAGGGCGGAGGCGGGGAAGAGCTGCAAGCTCAGCAGCAGGAACAGCAGCAGCAGGGGTATCCGGGAGGGGAGGAGCAAGGGTACCCAGCGGACTACTCGTACGGCTATCAGCCGTACGAGTACAGCGGGGAGGATTTGGGCGGGCAGGAGCAGGACGACTTCTCAGCGAGGCCCTCTGCCGCGTACATAGGGGCCCCCGCGGCACCCATGGAGGAACCCAGCGATATTGGCGGAGGTGAGATGTACGACAGAGGGGCGTTCGACAGTAGAGCCGCTTACGCGCCGGCCGCCGCCGGTGCCGCTAACGCGGTCAGCGGAGCATCCTCGCCGCCCTCTGGCGGAGGCGGTTACGGGGGTGAAGGAGCGGTGGGGCGCTACAGCGAGGCTATAGCGGCTGGCGGCGTGGGTGGCGGAGCGGCAGCGGCAGTGGAGGCGGAGGCGGCGGCGTTGCTTGCAGAGGAGCGGGAGCGGCATATGCAGCAGTTGCAGATGGAGGCTCGCGCGAGGGAGGAGCTAGAGGACATGGTCCTGCGGATAGAGAAGCACTTCAAGGCGGAGCAGGCGGCTCGTAAGAAGGCGGAGGAGCTGCTGCAGGCAAGTGGGAGGGGTTGCTGTAGGCGGGCGGGCGTTGAGGAGGGAAGTGAAGAAGAGTGGGGGTTCAAGAGGATGCAAGAGAGCCGGACCTCGTCTTGGCCCCCACACTGTCCCGGCACGCCCTTGAAAACAACATCGTTCCCAACCTCCACCACCACCGCAACCTCCCTGCCACGCACCCTCGCTCCACTGCACCCACCAGGCTGCCATCGCTGCGGAGTTGGAGGCCAAGAACAAGCTGGAGGACGTGTTGAAGAAGCGGCGGGAGGAGCAGCGGCTGCTGGAGGAGGAGCGCAACGGCATCAAGCGGGTGCGTGCGTGCGGGACACGCACGAAGGCATGAGGATGGTTAAGCGGGACTGAGTTATCATCTCTTCCTCTCAGCCGTCAGGGTTGCCACTATCCATTTCCCAACGCGGTCCCATTCCTTTTCCACCCGCCTGCAGGAGCGCAACGCGCTTGAGAGCATGCGTCAGGACTTTGAGGCGGAGCTGCAAGCGGCCCGCAGCGAAGTGGCCAAGGCGCAGGAGGCGCTGGCGGCCAGCGAGGACCGCATCCGCTCCGCCGAGGCGGTGGACCGAGCGCGGCTGGAGTCGGAGTACCAGAACCGAATCGGGGAGCTGCAGCAGGAGATTGCGAGGCTGCGGGATGAGCTGGTGTACCGCACACATGTAGGTGGTGGGGGTGGGGTTGGGGGTGCTGCATGTGGGTGCGGTTTGGATGTTGGGTTGCGGGTACTCGTGTTCCAACTGTTGCCGCGCTAGGGTAGGGGCGGTTAGGTAGAGGGGAACCTTGGGAAGTTCGGGTAGGCGCTACCATGCGTCATGGTTCTTCTTTTTTGCAGGGTCAACCGAAAAGCCAATTACGCTGTGTCCGCGCCTCCGCTCCTCCCCACGCTCCGCCCCCGCAGCTCATGTCCTCTGAGATGACCCGCTGGCAGCAGCAGGCGCACCTCACCGCCAACGCCGTCATGGAGGCCAAGAACGAGGTCCTGGAGCGCAAACGCGAGCTGGACTGCACCAAAGAGAAGATGGACCGCCTGTTGGAGAAGCTCTATATAGGCCGCGAGCGCGGAATGGAGCTCAGCGGCGCCATAGCAGCGGCGCAGAGCTTTGCGCAGCATGCGGGGCCGCATGCGGGGCTGGCGTCGCTAGCGGGCTTCGTGCCGCCTGCCATGCTGATGGCGCAGGCGGGCATGCATGGCGGTCGGGGGGTGCTGCTGGGTGCGGCGGGGCTGCCGCAGCAGCCGGTCATGCTGGGTGGTGGTGGCCTGGCGGGCGCTGTAGGAGGACTTAGCAACATTCCCAAGCTGCCGCCGTTGAATGCACGAGCGGCGGGTGCGCCGGCGGGTACGGCATATGGCGAGGTGCAAGGGCAGATGCAGGGGCAGGGGCAGCCGCAGCAGCTGCCGCCGCAGCTGCAGATTCCGCAGCCACCGCAGCAGCCACCACAGCAGGCAGCGGGTGTAGGGTGGGTTAGCCCACAGGGCGGGCCAATGCCTGTCGTCATGGACGGCGGTGGCGGTGTTGGCGGTGGAATGATGATGATGGGCGGGCCTGGTTACATGTGCGCACCGCAGCAGCAGCAACAGCAGCAGCAGCTGCAGCCGGGAATGATGCCTGGCGGCTACATGATGATGCCAGGTGGGGGCGGCGCGTTATGCAACATGGGCATGGGAATGGGCATTGGGATGCCTCCCATGGGTGGGTTCGCTGGAGGGCTGCCTCCGAACGGAGCTGCCGGCAACAGCCCGGGCGGCAGGGTGAGTTCACGCGGGGATCGCAGCAGTCCAGCTGGTGGGGTTGAGCGAGGCGGAGGTGAGAAGCAGGGGCAGGGGCAGTCTAGGTTTGCTCAGCCGACGGAAGCAGCGATGGTACGGCAGGATGGCGGCAAGAAGAGCCGTATCGGCAACGCTGCTGCGAAGCCTGCGAAGAAGCCGTTGGACAGGTTTGAGGAGAGCAAGCGGGACGAAGCGCGGCTGGCTGCCATGGCCAAGCGCTGGGGGTGATGTACGGTAGTGGATCAGGCGGGGAGCGGGGAGCGCTATTGCAGGGAGGTGCCGTTGTGGTCTTGTTGGCCTCGTATGGTGAGGGAAGTAGGGGCTGTGGAAAGCTGTGAAACAGTAGCACTATTATTAACTGATGCAGGCATGATAATAACTTTTAATGCAGTGGTGGCGTAATGCAGGTCTTGACTATATAATAAAGGCAGGTGCAGCTGATTCCTATGCGATTGCTTATTTGCTTAGTTTTCCCGTACCTATACCCACGGATGTAGGATGCTTCTCGCCGAAGTGTGGGGTTCTAGGTGTCATGACGCGGTGTGACGTAACGCCTTTGCAACAGGGGGCCAATGTACTGAAGCAGTATTGGAAAGTGACTGACCTTACCCCACATTGTACTAGCATGAACACAAGACGATGGCTGGGAGTGCAATCTTGGATAAGTGTACTCTTGGATCACGCGTGCTGATCACGCGATCAACTCCTTGTTTAGCACGTGCCGCTGGGCATGCCCTGCGGTGACGTGGGCACCGTGACGGACCTCCTCGGGATTGTAGGTATACTGTTGTCTATTGCGCATCCTTATTTATGACACCTGTGCTTGTGACTGACGTTTAACTGATCCTGGTCGTGAGACGCGCAGCAGCCCCGTCCCCCATTGTAAGGAGTTAAGGACCATCAAGCTAGCCTCTTATACATCTTCCGCAACCCTGTTTCGATGTCACCTAGGACATGCTTGAATGCCAGGGTGTCCGCTGCAACAACATGGCTGTACCCTTCAAGCCCCTTATCTTACAGGAAGCGAGCCCCCGCTCCGGCCTTCAGCTTCCGGCCTTCAGCCCCTGTCGCAGTAACAAGAAGGCTTTGAAAGCGTTGCCATGTCCGCAGCATGCGACCGCACCCAGCAAGGCCCAGACACACCGCCTGTCAACAGCTCTTAACATATCCAAACCCCTATCGGATCAGGGCCACACGCCACTATGACTTTTGCACCATACATCCGCCCTCATACATTGATCGCAATGGCCTGCTGGCCCGGCTGCCCCTGCTTGGGCACGACACCCTTGACAGCAGCGCTAGACATCTGCACGGAGGAGGAGGTCCCCACCGCCTCCCCGCCGCTGCCGCCGGCTCCTCCCGAGCTGGAGGCGCCGGCGCCGCCACCGCTGGGTGTGGCCGCACTGCCGCTAGCTCCTCGCCCTCTCAACGTATCTGCGTGCCGCCCCGGGTGGGAGGTGGGCAAGGTGGAGGCAGAGGGGTACCCGGGGGGTGGGGCAGGCGGGCGGGGCATAGGGCCGGGCCATGGAAGGAGCTCACATGCAGAAAGGGAAGAGTACAGTATTAAAGGTATCATGCACGCGGAATGCAAATCATGGGGCCTAGAGGAAGAAAGAGGAATGCATCCAACCTCTCGTCATCTGTGCCCTAGCAGTAGTGCTATTGTTTTACATCCTTGGGCTTGCGAAACGCGGCTATGTTATGTAAAGACGCACGGGCGCGTCGCATGGCCATGCGTCATGAGCGGAAAGTGGGGCAAATGTACCTTTTTAACACGGTATGCAGTGCCGCAAAGGGCCGCAGCAAGCGGCTATCCCGGTAACGAGACGAGGCACCTATGGACGGCTGCAGCGGTAGCAACCAGGAAAGCAGCGACGCGGTAACCACGCCGGTCGCGGCTTGCAGCGGTGCGGGCGCGACGGGACCGGGAGAGAACTCACCTGGTAACATCGATGCAGGAGACAGGCGGAGAAGCGGAGACGGAGGCGAGTACGCGCAAGGAGGTGTTGTCACAAGGGCGCCGCAGGAGAGGGCAGGGATGGCGCAGCGCCGGGGCGAGGACAGGATGGTGGGAGGGCAGGAACGGGTGGAGGGGCAAGGGGAGAGAGAGCGGGGTCGTATCGGGACGGTGAGGATACAGACAGGCGCATACAGCCAAGATTACAACCCTTGCGCTTGTCAATCGCCAATGGCAGCAAGGGCCCCACGGTACGGATGCCTGCGCTCACCGAAAGACCTGGGATTCGCCCCCTCCCGAGTAATGCTGCGTGTGGCAACCCGGCTTACTTAGCGGTATGTCCTGCATCTCCCTCCGCAGGCACAGCCACTCCCCGAGGAGGGCCATCACGATGAGCCCGACCACGTTTGCAGCCCACCTAGGGCCGCCAAGCAGCAACATCGTTAGAATGGCCCAGTGAGACTTTATTAAGCAGCAGAGAAGCGGCAACAGGGTATTTAAGTGTGCTGTGGACGGTTCATGGCACCCACCATTCAAAGCGCGCGGGGAAGCCCTCGTACGACCAGCAGAAGCAAAAGTGGAAGATGAAACACGTGGAAGCAAAGTCCAGGCATTTCTTAGCCCGTTCGACCTACATGGGAGAGGTAAGAGGAGGTGTGTGGGTGAACGTGGAAGTTTCATGTGGATGCGTCGCGGGGAACGCCAATTGTGCGGGTTGCGGGTTGGGGGATAGCTCCGCGCCTGAACAGCTTCCAACACTTACTATCCAAACCAAGAAGACGGCGCCCAGCAATGACGTCAGCAGCAAAGAAACTATGCTAATCCACCCGGCGTAGGAGCCAACCGCATAAATCCGCCAGCTAAACAAATGGAGGATGGATAATCTACCCGCGTAGGACCCTGCGAGACAAAGCGGCACCTCAACTTGCTCTGAACAATAACACCATTGTCAGACGATAATGAACGGCTGACGCACCAAGAAATAGCCCCTGCCATAGGCCGAGGCTGAGGTAGAACAGGCATTGAAGTGTGACAATTTGCGCAACGATCAGCAAAGGGTCCCAGACCTGTTGAAGTCCGTGACATTGCATTTATTAATCTGCATAAGCTTGGAAAGTGAAGGGTTGCTTAACCTTACCGCCGCCCCATATAGCATTTTCCTTGCCCGGTGTGACTGAAAAAGATCAGACTATTCCTATAAATGCATCAAGCAATCTAGTGGAGCACAAGAACAAGAGGTAACTAGTGAGCTGTTGCACCGGTTGTTAGCAAATGAAAGCAAGCGCATAGAAGGCAAGGAGGTGTAAGGTGTTATTTGTTGTTGCTTTTATGAGGAAAAGGTAGGTTACAAAGGAGTTAAAAACCGGCGTATTTTGTGAAAGACCGCGCAATGACGCTGATGGCCGCCAGAAGCTTGCTAGCAGCAATGCATATGCACCCGTATACACCTGCCAGCTCGTAAATAATAACCATCGTACGCGACGCGGAGACTACTAGGTACAACATGGCCAACCGCTCCGCACCCAAGCATTCGCACACCCCCGGGTAATAAGCGACATGGACGATGCGTCGGTGCCGTGTACTTCAGTCCGCTCTACAAAGAGTTGGCCTATTACGTCTATGCAACTCGATAAAGGCACGACATGCGTTCTACGCTCAGCACGACCCTCGGTTCATGCTATGCATTAGGGCACATATATGAAGCACGAAGTTCATGCATGCAGACGTCCTATGTACACGGCGACGACCGCAGGATTGCCTGCAGCCTTCACTTCTTCGTCAGATCAGGTTCACGCGCAAGAGGCGCAATACAGAGTAATCGACTCGACCAGCAGTGCTGGTAACCGCCCATCCTTGACCTTTGTACTCCCCTCCTTGAGTTCCCGTGTCCTTCCCACGACCCCGGCTACCCGCGTCCCGGGGGGACACAGCAACACCCGCTTTGCCGACGCTGGCCCAACGGCCGAACCTCGAGCGTCCGCCAATGCCCCTAACGCCGGCTGTGTCCAATTTCCGACCACAGATGCAGCAGCCTTGCATTCAAACGAAATCTCCGTAGGTAGCCCATTCCCCGCTTCCCGCCCTCTCAACGCGTCAAAACCATCCGGGCAGTCAAATCGCAGAGGCAGTACCGCTATCGTACTATCACCGCCTGCACCAGTACCTTCAATAATACCTGCACCACTGCTGGCCCCATCTCCAGCAGCAGCAGTCCCACCCAAATACACAGTTCTGGGAGCTGCGGGCTCACCCAGTCGATTCACTAGCATAGCCGAGACGGAAGCGAAACTGTTGCTGGTTATGGACTCAGCGGCAGTTTGGTTGTCCCTCGTACCGCCGCTTTCCATCATTGTGGCAGGGGCATTGCTACTGGTAGCGTTTTGACCACTGCCACTCGCGCTGTTGCTGCTGCTGCCTGAACTACTAGTACCACTAGTAGTCTCGGCCTCAAGCACCAGTCGTCGCGTTGCACATCCCATTCTGCGATACACCCGCAAGTACCGGCGAGGCACTGGAGGTGTAGTGGGTGCGGAGTTGGGTGCAGGATTACCGGGGCTGTTGGGTGGTTGTTCAGGTGGCGGCGGCTGGGCTGGGGGTGGCTGTTGGGGTGGCTGCAATGGCGGCGCCGGCGCGGTCAGTGGTTGCTGTGGTGGCGGCGCGAGCGGCAACTCGGGCGGCGGAACCGATGGCTGCTGTGGCGGTTGCGGTTGTTCCAATGGCTGTGATGGTGGTGGCGTTACAGGTACTGATGGCTGCTGTGGGGGCGGTGTCACCGGCTGTTGTGGTGGCAGTGGCATCAGCGGTTGTTGCGGGGGCAGCAGCACCCCTTGCTGCTCCCGACTGCATGTAGTGTCACTGCTGCACTCCAGCGCTAGCGTCATGGCATCAGCGGTGTTGCCAGCCAGCAGTGCGGTGACGTGAAAGCGCTCCGGACAGAGTAGCAGCAGGAAGAGCCGCTCGGGGGAGGGTGTCTCGGGTGGGGCGGGCGGAAGGGCAGGAGGAGGTGGTGGCAAGGAGGAGGAGGAGGAGGAGGGGGGTGCGAGGGGAGGGGGGGTTGAGACGGGTGTGGAGGGAGCTGAGCCCAGTGTTCCAGCTGGGTGGTAGGTAAGGTTGCTGGGGGTGTAGGTGTCGGAGGAGAAGGGAGAGGAGGAGGGACCTGGAGGAGAGGGAGGTGCTGGTGGAGGCGGAGGAGGAGGGGTCGTGGGCGGAGGGGCGGTAGCGGAGGGGGCCTCGGGCGGGTTTGAGTTGCCTGTGGGGTAAGGGGAAAGAAGTTTAGTAAAAGTGAGAGGAGGATCGGTGCGGCAGGGGCCGGAACGAAGCGGGTCTTGGATGATGGCTTTGATGGATGTCGTATGATGGCGGGCTGGGTAGGTGAGCTAGGTGAAGATTTAGAAGGAGGATGGCATATGATCATTCAATGCAAGACAGTGCTGGGCTAGGCGGGGGCTCAGGGCAGCAACCCATGCGGGCTAGTTCCTTTGGGCCCTGTGAACGGCCTTCAGGATAGCGATTATAACTTAGGATTGGCAGCAAGCTAGGTTGACTGGACGACGGTCGCCCAACGCAGGCCACCATGTTCGGCTATTCATATGCCCATCGCCCCACCATTTTACGGCGATTCATGCCCATCACCCCACCATGAGACCCACCATCGGGTGGCTGGTCAAGCGGTGCCTGGTTTGCGGGCGGCTGTGGAGATGCTGGTGGTGGCGGAGGCCTCAGCTTATCTGTAAGGGGGGAAGTAGGGAGCAGGTACGTGGCATTGATGGCGTGTAGGCGTTGGGCTGTGTCGGTGCAAAGTCCTCAAAGGAGCACCGCAAGGTCAACCGCTTTGTGGTGCCAGGTTCAAGGTGAAAATGACACGCTCCGAAACCACCCCACGCCCTGCCGTACAGCCGACCCTGCCGTTCCACAGATGTTCGGACATGGCCCCTCAGCGAGTGCACAAACCCGTGGACCATCTCAGCCGTTCATTTCCCGTGACGATGGCGCCCATGACAATTTGGAAACCCATATTACGCAGCATAGCCCTAGCCCCTCGCTCGTGCCACATCGCAACCTAACAACCCAAGCATCTCCCGAACAACGCTCCCCACAGTGTCATGGCCCCGCTTTCTCATCACTCCGCTCGTCCGCTACCGGGCGCACCTCACCCTCACTCGCCGCCACGCATGCCACGGCCACCGGCGTTGCGCCCTCCTGACTGCTGCCACTGTCCCCTGCTCCTGCTCCCCCTGACGTTCCCGGTGCTGGCAGCGCCGGTTGCAGCAGCAGCAGGCAGTCAGCCAGGGAGGCCTCCCCGCCGGAGCAGCTCAGGCGCTCCAGCGGTAGCAGCGGGGCGAGACCCGTGGGCCAGGCGTAGCTGTAGGCGTCGACGGGCTGTACGGCTGCGTGATGACGGGGAGCATGTGTGGAGAGGTGGGGTTGCGCAGTCAGGGTGGTGGGTTCACAAGGCAGCAACGGAGGGGCAGGTGGCTGGAGAGGGCTAAGGAACTTAATACTTCAGGCTGCTCGCAGTGAAGCCATGGATCCAAAGACGGTGGCAACGCAGGGTGCCCAGGTAGCCCAAATGCGTAGCCCTCCCAAGGCGCCTTCCTCCTCAGGCGCCTCCTCCCCAGCGCTCACCTGCTTCCCGCAGCCCCATCGAGCGGCAGATCACTCCCGCGGTGGGCCCACTCAACGGCTGCAGGGCGGCCGGCAGCAGCGGCAGCCGCCACTCGCCACCCAGGAACAACTCCAGGATGCCGTCATAGCGCCCGCCGTAAAGCAGCCGTACAGCACCTTCGTGGACTGCCGTACAATGCAGAGTGTTGTGCAGCGGTTTGGTGCGAAGGAGGTCCAGGAGGGGTGTGGTGTGGGCAAAGTGGCGGAGAGCAGGGATGGTGGAATAGGATGCATTTAGTCCGTTTAAGGGCGCTGCTGCACACACGACCTCTTAAGAAGAAAATACGGAACTGAGGTGGTTACCAGTGCGCTAGCGTGATTATAAAAAATATCGCTCTGGGTAATGCATCCTGGCGCTATTAAACGCCTTTTGAGTATCCTAAGGATGCTGTTGAACACACACGCCTGGGGCTACTTCCAACAGCAGCCGCGCATGGGTGCGTCATCCCGCTCTTACCGGGCTCGCTAGGAGGTGGGTGCGGAGGCGGTGGCGGGCTGCCGCTACTGCTGTCGGAGTCATCAGGCGGAGCTGCCGCACCGGGTGGGGTTGCCTCCGACGGCGGTGGCGGCGGCAGCGCCCCTTCCACAGGAGGCAAGGGAGGGGCTGTTGGAGGAAGGTTGGGGGCAGCGGCAGGGCTGGGTTGGGGGCTCGGCAGGGGCTCCTCATTGTGTTGGGGTTCATTATTAGGGACGGGACTGGGCGGCTGCAGCGGCGGCGGCGAGGGCGGCCGCCGGAATGGCGGGCGGCCTCTTGAGGGGACTAACGGAGGCGAGGGATGTCCCACAGGGGCTGCGAGAGGGAGGGAGCAAGGGCGCCGGGGCATGGAACAGGGAGTTCAGTTGAGCCATGCTTGGGTTTGCAGGCTGTGCGTTCGGTGGGGGGCAAGCGAGCAAGGGTGTGTGCTATGACGCAAGGTCCCTTTAGCGGCCAGTCAAGCGGAAGTTTTTTGCTTGGAAGTCAGGGCTGCTGAGTCAGAGAGAGCAGAAGCATACTCGTTAGTTTGCTGAAAGGTGGGTTTCTTGGCAGCAACATCCTCTGTGAAAATGGTTAGCTGCACCAGCAGCAGCAGGTGCGTGTCCGTGTAAGTTGATCTGGCAGTTAGGACAGTGAGTAGTCGCGTTCCCGGTGATCCTTGGCTGCTGCATAGAGGCAAGACATATACCACAGCCTGCCTACCAAACGGTGCCGATGGGAATGCCGGGTAGGCAGGGTAGGCAGGCGGAGCGTACGAGGGAGGCGGCGAAACCGGAAATACCGGATAGGGAGGTGGTGGTGGAGTTATTGGATACGCAGGCAGTGGTGGCTGCGGAGGCACGTCTCCATAGCCCGGTCCGATGTAGAAAGGTGGTGGCGGCTGCGACGGCGGTGGTGGTGAGTAGTAGTAGCCAGGAGGCTGGTACATGGGTGTCGGTGGTGGGGAGTAATAGCCAGGATTGTAGTATCCAGGGGGCGGTGGTGGTGTATGGTAGTACCCCGGTGGTGGCGGGTGGTAGTAGCCGGGAGGAAGATACATGGGAGGTGGGGGTGGGTAGATGGGCAGTACTGGTGGCGACGGAGGCGGTGCGAGCGGAATCTCTGGAGGATCTCCCGGGATCTCATCCGGCGGCGGCGGTGGGGAACTGAAGTCGTACTCAGATGGAGGCGGGGCGTCTTGTGGTGCGAGGGGTGGTCGAGGAGGCGGAGGGGGTTTGGGACGTCTGGGAGGGGTGCGGGGCGGGGTGCCGGGCGGAGGCGGCGGCGAGGGGAAGAAGTCGCTGGGTGGGGACACCCAGTTGTCGTACGGGGGCGGAAGCGCGTCGGGGCCGGCTCCGTTGGGAGGGGTGGATGGAGTTAGGGTGCCTGTGCGGGTACGGGTGGGGGCAGGCGGGGAGCAGGGCTTAGGGTTTAGGGCTACCGGTACGTGCATGACGCCTGGTGGATGGATTGGTACGCGTTTGACGCACTCTGGTAAGCGCCCTTTCTTTCCTACCACCGCTCTATCCGCTGCTTCAGTGGCTGGCAGTCCGTGACGGCTGCGGCTGCACTTCCCACATGTGGGCGACCCTCCATGCAAAAACACAATCCCCTGCAGACATGCACCCAGCAGCCAGCCAACCAGCTCGCCACGTGCAACCACCCAGGCAGCAGACATCCCAGTACGTTCCTACTCGCGGCCAGTTTTCTTAACCACCCAGGCAGCCACCCACCCAGGCAGTCGATGGCCACCGTCTGCGTGTGCGGGTCGCAGTCCCCCACCAGTCCCCAGCCGTCGAAGCGACATGCGGTCAGGTAGCGCTCCAGACCGCTGCACATGATACCGCCTGGCGGGGAGGGACGGGGTGGCGCGGGGTGGGGTGGGGTGGGCCGGGGTGGCGCAGGACGGGTGGAGCAGCGGATTGTGGAGGCGAGCAAGCGGAGGGAGACGGGGCTAATGTGGGGCCGAATCGAACCGCACTGGCAGAGGAGGGAAAAGAGTGCACAGGGCGACGAGGCCGCAGTACAAGGTCCTGGAGGCGGACAGGGGCTCACCCAGCCCTAGCTGAACGAGGGGTGCAAGCCCCGGAGGAGTATACGTGCCCTCACAATGGGGACCATGGGTCCATGCACGCAGCATCCTCCCCCGCCCAATTAAGACCCAGACTCCGTGTTGCACACCCCTCTTCCTGCTTCATGTTAGATTTCTTCCTGCTTCATGTTAGATTTCTTCCTGCTTCATGTTAGGTTTCTTCCTGCTTCATGTTAGGTTCCTTCCTCTTCACCCTCACCTCCCCCCCGGCCCCAGCGTCCCACTGCGCACCCAGCATCACGGGCGCTGCCCCCGGAGGTCCGAACACGTCCGGCCGCACCACCGCCGCTGCCTCCAGCCGCTCCGTCCGGTTGAGCTGCCTGGGTGGGACAGGAGGAGGGGTTTTGGGAGGGATGGCACGGGTTTCTCGGAGGCGAGATCCAGAGAGCAGATCCAACCATGCAGGCGCCCACCCATCCACCACCCGCCCATGCATCCACGTGCCCATTCACCAGCCGCCCATGCAGGCGCCCACCCATTCACCACCCGTCCCGCCAGCCGCCCACCTGCACACCAGCTGCGTGTTCTCAGGCCGCCACCCGCGGTCTGCGGATTGCAGGTGTGAGGGGCAGGATCAGGAGGGTGACCCCAAGGTGTTGGAGGGCGGGGGGCAAGAGGCTTGAATTGGATGGGATCCGGGAGGCCGTGGGGACTTCATCTTCCGGCAATCACAGTACGTCCCGACTCGCGGCCAGTTATCTCAACACACATGCCGGTTTGCACTTGATTTTTGCGGGAGGCCGCATCGGGGCGAGGTTTCCCTGACTGGCCTCCTTAGCCAGCCTCACTCTCGCCTTCATTCCTCCATCCATCCGCAGGGGCTAGAACCAGACAACAAAGCCCTGCCCCATGACGTGACAGCAGCACCACCCACGCAGCACCCATGCAGCAACCCCTGCAGTTGAGGTCTCTCACCGCACACAGAGCCCCAGGCGCCCTCCGGGCTCAGGACCTCCAGGCGGCCCTGCCAGGGGGTCGGGCCGCCCGCTAGCCGGATGGGCTGCTCATCTGCAGATGATGGAAAGGAGGAGAAGGGCAAAGAGAAGGGCCCTTGCTGGTCATTGGTTGGTTACGTGAGATGCTCCCAAGAGGTGAAGTCCTGAAGTGGTTTCAGGAACGGTGATGTCAAGGCGAGATGCTCGAATTGCCACCGCTGGCATGCTCACCGTAGCATATGACTGAGGCGTCATCCGAATGCTCGCAGTCCGTAGGTCCCCAGGTGGCCGCTGCACACGCCGCTATGCTGCTCTCAGTGCCGGTGCAGCCCAGCCGCGAGACATGGATGGGTCCATCGCCAGCGCCAAAGTAGGCACCCCACTGCGCTCGGCCACCAGCAAAGCCCGATTGTCGGCATGCCACATTAGCATCACGGTCATCAAAGCCGTCGTCTGCAAATGGGGTAGTTTAGTTAGCTGGCCTGGGAAGGCGCTAATGGAACGTCATACGAATGCGCAATGTCAGACGAGGCGAAGTTTGTAGCCTTCAGGCAGCTTACCACAAACTGTTCCCCATGTTCCGTTGTATAAGACCTCCAGGCGGCCTTGGTTGCTGCCAGGTGATAGTCGTATGGCGTCGTTGCCTGTGCGAGCAGCACGTCGTCAACGTTTTAGGGCGGCACCAGCAAAGCAGGCCCGTGAGTGCAACACACCGTTTAGCCTTCTTCGCAGTTGGGACTCGACGCTTGTTGCAGCAGCTGGAGCTATACTGGTAGCTGCAAGCGCAAACCATACAGCTAGAGGTATTCGCCAGTCTATCATTCGTCAACGCGACTGAGTATAACACATAGTCTTAAATTCGTTAACGTTCGAGTCAGTGGGGCTGTTGCCGGCCGGACGCGGTCTGGAAGCTGGTCTAACTGGTACCGTAACAACGACGCGGGAAAAGGCAGTATATGTTTGTGCCTAACGCATGCTAAACGCAACATTCATCATAGGGATATATAAAGTCCAAAAGTTGGAGTAGAACAGCAAAACAGAATGCGATTCTGGTTGGCCATTTTATAGTATCACGACAGCCGTGCTGCGCGGACCGTGCTGCGCTTCCCGGGCACAAGACGAGCTTGTACGTTCGCCCAGCCTGCTTGCGCCTACATTCCAATCTTAAAAGGCTATATTTAGAGATGGGATCCAGTGTTGCTCATACTGCTTAAGACGACAAGTAAACCTCTGGCGCCGAGCTTGCAACCGCAACGCTTGTCCTCTCGGGCTATGCACTATCAGTAAAGCTTAAGATGTCTACCAAGAAGGTAATGATGTCATCACATGCCTTAGTGGCGTAGCGAAAGCTTTGGGTCGACTCACCATCTCGCATGACGTGCGAAACAACGCCGGGGCTACAAACGCGCTCTACAGAGAATCCAAATATTTGGTTTCCTAAGTTTTATTACACAGTTCCGCACCGATGACGACGACTCCCGCAACACCTGCCAGCGCTCCATCTCCCCTTCCGTCACAGCCCCTCCCCGGCCCCTTCCTTGTTCTCCGTTCCTCATCCTAACCACCGTCATTGACCCTCTAACCCTAATCGACTACTAACCAACTCCCTCATCTTGCTCCCCGCCTTCCTTCCACCCGGCAGGACCTCCTGCTCCTGCTGCTGGATGTGGGCGAGCACATGCGTCCCTACCTGCCGCTGCTGCACCGCTTGATATTTGACGTGCTCACATGCAAGGTGAAGCGGCGCGCGCCTACGCACACCAATCCTACTTGTTGTTGACTGTTGGGTAGCGGCGTACCCCCAGCCGCTTCAACCTTAATACAGATGCCGGTACCTCCCCTGCCTATCCCTATCCCTTCCTTCCCTGCCGCCCCTCCTCCCACAGCTAATCAGCAAACCCAACCACGAAGTCGCTGTCGTACTTTACGGCACCAAGGGTGAGTCCTCCGCTCGCAACATGGTGTGTTGCTCTGGTGTGTTCGAAGAGAAACGCAGCCCGACGCGGCCCATACAGAGCATCCAGTACTGCCTCATTCCGCTGCTGCTGCCGCCGCTGATGTTGCTTGAGTGACAACACGCGCAACCCGCTGCTACTGCCGCTGCTGCCACCGCTGCAGGCACCCGCCACGCGTTGTACGACGCAGCGGATCCGGACGGATCCTATCCGTACGTCACCGTACTGCGGCCGCTGCAGAACGTCGCATCGCACTTGGAGCTGCGACGATTCGCCTTCGCAGCAGACCCGCTGCCCTTGGAACAGCAACAGCAGGTGGAGGAGGCAGAGGAGCCGCATGACCCTGTCGCCGACGCTGAGGAACATGATGCCAGCACCGCCGCCACCGCCGCAGCAGCAGCAGAAGAGGAAGCCGAGGAGCTGCTAGCACGTTTGGAGGCGGCAGGTCTGACCTGCGGCGACGCTGCCTGCATGGTCCGTGCGCTGCGGCTGTTCGGGCCTGCGGGCCCCCGGGCGGACTGGGGTGATGGGCTGGTGGTGGGTCTAGACGTGCTGGCTAGTGCGTTGAAGGAGCGGTTCCAGCGAGGGCAGCCGGAGGCGGGCAAGCAGGGGGCTGTGAGGGCGGTGCTGGTGTCGAACATGCTGGCGGAGGTGAGAGGGGCAGGGTAGGGGAGGGTGGGGAGGAGAGGGGAAGGGGCAGGCAGGGCGGGAGGAGGGAGCATTAGGAGTGCAAGTATGGCCGATGCGGCAATCCCTCATAACTTGCTCATGCATACATGTCGTTCTCGCCAAAGACGCCCAACCTGACGCAACACAACCGTTTGCCACCTTTACCAACCTTGCTCTTCCTTTTTCTGCAACAGTCTGTGCCGTACGATGACGAGTTCCGTGCTGAGATGGCAGCCGTCTGCATCGACCGCAACATCCAGCTGGACGTGTTTTGCCTGGACCACTACCTGCCTCCAACCGCACAACCGCCACCACAACGAGGTGGCAAGTCCGGTAACAACAACACCAACAACGGAAGCAGTTTCAACAACGGCGGTAGCAAGGGCGGCAGCAGCAGCAAGGGTGCGGTGTACGACACGCTGTCGCTGTTGCCTCCGGAGCTAGCTGCCGTACGGCAACGCAACTTAGAGCAGCTGCACACCCTGAGGGCGGAGCTGGCGCCTGCGACCTTCAGGTGATGAGAGCGTCTAGTACGTAAATCCCTTCACTGAGGTGTTCCGGAATGTGTTGTTACTGGGACCGGGATGAGCGGATGACTGCGTTGCAAGCTGCTGCAGCCCCAATGACACAGCCCACATTGAGGCTTCTCCACCTCCTCCTAGCCCTCCTCGCGCGTACAAACCCATTAGGCTTCTCCACCTCTTCGTCGCCCTCCTAGCCCTCCTCGCGCGTACAAACCCATTGGTCCTGATCATCTTCTCTTCCTGCCCCTCTGTTGCCCCGCGCCGCCCCTCGTCCCAGGCACCTCCGCGAACCCGCCGAGCTGCTGAGTCTGTTCCGCGCCAAGGAGGTGATGCTGCAGGCCAGCAATGCGGTGTTCAGGTGGGCTGGGAGGTGCGGCAGGCGGGTTGGCGGGTTTGTCCTCTTGTTTTACCGGTATCACGTGAGGACTACGATCTCTAGAACTTCGGCATTGAGGAGCGAGGAGGCTGCTGCAGGAGGCTCCCCAGGATAGTGCTGAGTAGGGGCTCAGGAGGGGGCTCACGTCCCCGGTATCCTGCGGGGACTACCGTACCTAGGAGCGAGGGCGAGGCCGCTGCTCCCCAGGTTGGTGCTGTGGTGTTGAGTGGGCGTGTGCTTGCGCTGGTGCCCCTGTAGACTGAACCCTGGGTCGGCTGCTGGTGGCGAGGAGGAGGAGGTGTCGCAGGCGGCGCCTGGCATCACGCTTGGGGTGAGGTCTGTGGGTCTGGGTCGATGGTGATGCGCGTAATGCAGGGCTGCGGGTTCTGGCATGTTGGGTCATGGTGGCATACTGTTATCTTTTGTGCCTGCGGCCTGCTGCTGCTTTCCTTTTGCGTCTTCACTCTGCTGTTGCTCCCCGCCACCTCAGGTCAAGCTGTACAAGAAGGTCCGCAGGGCTCGAGTGGAGGAGTGGCGGTCTGTGCTGGAACAACCACCACCACCACCATCCGCTGCATCAGCCGCCGCCGCCGGAGGTAAGTGCGCGTGCGGGTTTGGGGCTCCACCGGCTCCTTCCCGTTGATCATGGTCTTTATGCGGTAGCTTCATCTCGCGTCCCTGAGCCATATCGTTCCCCATTCCTCTTGCTTCAACAGGCGCCGTGCACAGCAACGAAGCTGCCACCGGCGGGGATGACGGTGCCGGCGGCGGCGGCGGCCCTTCCACCTCCGCCGGCGCCGATCCAGCCTTCCTACGCGACCCGGGCTTCCTCCGAGACGTAGAGTACGAGGATCCCACCACGGGCGAAAAGTTCTCTCGCAAGGAGCTGGTAGCCAAGGGGTACCTGTACGGCAAGCAGGCCGTACCGATCCAGCGGTACCATTCGGAGTACGGCGGAGGAGTGGACGAGCAAATGCTTAAATTCCGGGAGAAGGACTTCAGTTTGCTGGGGTTTGTGGATGAACGCAATGTGCCGCATCACCGGCTGATCGATGTGAGGAGGAGAGGCCTGGGAGCTTGGAAGCTTGGGAGCTAGTGTAATGGAGGGGACAGCTTGGGGTTAGACATCCTTTACTGGCGATTTGGGCGCTTCGTACAAGCACAACAGGACGTTCACCCGCCCACTGGTTCCCCGTTCCCTTGTCGTCTTACTGTCGTATTGTCGTACCCGCAGGAGCCCTATGTCGTACTGGGCGACTCGCCCTCCTCCGCCGTAGCCATTGCCGCACTGGCGCTGGCACTGAACGACGCGAAGCAGGCCGGCAGTGAGTGTGGGAGGGGCGCTACGGTTTTGCTTCGTGTAGAATAGGCAGGGAGAAGCGCAGGGAAGGTACCGAGACCCTTTGCAGAATGGGACTTTACGTTAGTGGAGTGCTTGGTTCTGGTGGGGCGTGCCCTCTTGTGTGCCAGGCCCCGCCACCCCTGACCGGTTTCGGTTCCATCTGCCCCCCGCCCCGCCCCTCCGCTCCTTCCCCGCAGTCGTGCGCTTCCTGCTCCGGCGGGACGCCCCCCAGCTGGGCGCCCTCACGCCCCACCTCAGGTACGGCAGCAGACACCTCCGGTCCCCAGGTGTGCCAGCTGCCCCGGCAGCAAGAGTCTCCCCCACCTACTTCTGCTTTCTGCTTTAAATGCGACCCAAGCCTCTCTCACCAATACGCCCTCTCTCACCTCCCTATACGGTATCCTCCTCCTCTCTCCTTTTCCCTCACCCCACCTCGTCCCTCAATCTACCCACCTCCCCCACCTCCCTCTCAGCGACTCCGCCGATGTGCCCCACGCGCTGCTGCTCTCCCCGCTGCCCTTCGCCGAGGACATCCGCCCGCACGCCTTTGCAACCTTCCGCAACGAGGCCGAGGCGGCGGAGGTACGGCGGTTGCTGGCAGAGGCACGCGGCGAGCCCCTCCCACCAACACCACCCCCAGCCTCTACCTCCTCCTCCTCCGCTAACGGACAGCAGCAGCAGCCGCCGCTGCGTTACGAGAAGCTGCAACCCAGTGAGGAGCAGCAGGCGGCGGCGCTAGCACTGGTCCGCTCTCTAGACCTAGGGCCAGGCAGCCTCTCCTCCACCTTGCCATCTCATGGAGGAGGTGGTGGTGGTGGGGGCAGTGGGGCCGGTGGTGGTGGTGAGCCTCGGCCCGAGGCTCTGGTTCCTGAGCTCACTGCCAACCCGCACCTGCACCGCTGCTATGAGCTGGTGGCGTCACGGGCGCTGGACCCGGAGGCGCAGGTGGGGTGGGGGGTGCAGGGGTGGGGGGCAGGGCGGGTAGTTGTGAGGAAAAGACGGAAACGCATGTAGCAAGGCCCCACCATTTGGTGCGTGGGGCCGGGCGACAGGGCGAGTAGCGCAGGTTGGCGGCATGGCGGGAAGCATGAGTAGCCGTGAAGAGGGAGAAATAGAGGAAGCGATAGCGTAGCAAGGTCTTAGAAGGCTTAGGATGTGGTGTTTACCGTCTAGTGGTTTCACCCTCTAGCCTCTCACCGGCTGCATCCAACTGGCACCCTTCCGAACCCCCACCCCCATCTGCTATGTAACCTCCCCCATTCCCCGATCCCCCCCTCAACCCCCAACCCCACCAGCTGCCCCACCCCGATGATGACCCGCTGGTGGGTCTGGTGCTGCGGCCGCATGGGCGCTTCTGGCCGCCCGGGGCAACCGCGGCGCTGGGCAGGGCGGAGCAGCTGCTGCAGAGCAGGGGTGGGTGGCGGGGGTGCGGGGTGCGGGGATCAGATAGATACGATACCAAAACAGGCTGACTAGGTCAGGGAGTGGGCAAGGGGTATCATGCTAATAGGCGGGCGGGTCGCGGTGGGGCGGTGGGGCGGTGGGGCGGTGGGTAGGCTGATCAACCTCTGTCCATTGTCAATCGACTCGAACTCCACCTTGCATGTGGGTTCCTTGCATCATTCGCAGAGCGAGTCAAGGGCGAGGGCCCCGCCGCCAAGCGAGCACGTTTCGGGGAGCCGTCCGGTGCTGGTGCTGCTGGTGCTGCAGCCGAGGGACAGGAAGGGGCCGCCGCAGGCCCCAGCACGGATACAGACCGGCACCAGCAGCAGCAGCAGCTGGTGTCCGGTCGTGCGGTTGGTGCAGCAGCCGGGGGCGGCGGCAGCGGGGCGGTGCGGGTCAGCCGTGTTGGGGAGCTGAGTGCGGAGGCGGACTTTGCTGCCATGCTGGCACAGGACGCAGAGTGAGAACGGGGAGGGGGGGTTGGTGGTTGGGTTGGTGGTGGGGGATGGTACAGGACTGGGGTGGGGATTGGCTTGTGGGCGTTTCCTTGTGTGCTGTACTGTTCCTGCTGCGAACGAGACAGTTTGCTGACGCAACCCCGCGGCCAGCTTGCCCTGTCCCCTTGTCCGTGGTTCCTGAGGCGCGTTTACCTGACGCATCTGGTCTAAAAGATGCGCTGGTCACACCTTACTTGTGTGTGCGCTGCGCTGTGCGCCTTGCAGGTCCGCATCAGATGCCGCACGGCAGATGCAGGAGCTGATCCGGATGCTCGTGGATAAATCCATCGGATCTCAGCTGTACGACAAAGCACTCAAGGTGAGTATGAGGCGCCTGCGGACGGCTTTGATGTGATACCAACATGGGCTCTTTTTTGAAGCTGGTTGAAAGGCGGACGGATGCTAACGCCGCCCCGGTCCCCGCTTCCTTCTCGCGCTGCAGTGCGTGCACGCGCTGCGAAGAGGCTGTCTGGACATGGGCCGTGCGGGCGCCTTCAACTCCTTCCTGCGCGACCTTGTGACCTGGTAGGCAACAAGGAGCGCAAACAATTCCCGCTGGTGTGCCCCATAATGCCCTAACTCCTGAACAAGCGTGTTAATTGTAAAGGCCCTGAACGTGCCAAATCGACTGAGTCGTGTAACTATTAACTGCAATCCACAGCTGTTGACAAGGTGACATGCGTGTGCGACTGTCAATCAAACACAAAAACAACTATACAAGCACCTGTGCTCCCTGCATTGCCCCTTCCTCATCGAATGTCCCTGCGGGCAGGTGCAAGCAACGAGGCCGCGGCACCTTTGTGTCCATGCTGGCAACACAGCCTGTGGGGCTCATCACAACCGCCGACATGACGCAGGCTGCCGCTGCGAGCACGAGGACAAGGGCAGCAGCAACTGCAGCGGGGCCGCTGACGGCTGTTCCGTTCCAGGACGACGGAGGCGCGGTGGAGCCTGGGGCTGCTGAGTCGTTTTTGGAGCAGCAGACGCGGCCGGCGGCGGTGGAGGAGGAGGCGACGCTTCCAGCGGTGGTGATGGACGACGAATTCGAGGACATGGATTGAGGGAGGGTGAGAGAGAGGTGGACAAAGTGTTATGTAAGGTGCGAACTGGTGCAAGCAGTGGAGCTGTTGGGGAGTGGGGAAGTTGACCTGCCAACGGTTTCCTGCGGTTTGTTTTGTGGGAGGTAAACCTGGCAATGCATGCTGACAGGGTCCGTCCTGGGTGTAAGCGGGGCCGCCATGCGGTATACCGTAGGAGGTAAGGCGGCCTTGTTAGGTGGTGGTTGACGGGGCGTGGTTAGCGATGACGATGGGTCGTGGTTGACGGGGCGTGGTTAGCCACGTCGTCATCGTTCTGTTTGTACTGCATTCAGGGTGGCTGGTTGAATGCATGCCGTGTCGCTTCTTGGTAGTCTTCACAATGCCATTGCAGGAGCTGATGCTACGTATGCATGTATAAATTGGGTATCACGTTTCCCACAATACTGGCTTGCTCCCAATACATGTGACAGTCCCTGCAGTAGGCTTTTTCACATAAACGAGGCCTTCTTCACAAAAACGGCGATTGCTGCCGACCCATGGGTCATCTTTTCGCAACATTTAAAGAACCACCTTGGCATTCGACTTCACGTGCGTATATGTGTATGTGCTGCGTCCATGATAACAGCCGTAAGGGTCGTCAAAGCCTGTACGACAGTCACTGAACATGCATGTGTCCGTACACCACCACTACTAGTACAACCACCCGGCTAACCTGTCCTCCACAACACCACTCTCTCTAAGGATCCTTCCAGAATGACATAACGCTCCGAGTAAGCCTTACATCGCCTATCTGGGTTACCATATACGGTGTGCCCATCGGCTGTGGACAAATACAATTGACGGGAGGCACATGCATGGTTACTAAGCAAATACAACAGGGACGCGCTATGGACTATGCAACTCCTCGCATGCATGCATGTGTGCGTAGGATACCGGTATTGTAAAGAGGTTGCACTCTGTCCGGTTTCTGAGCCGTCATATGGTAGGATAGTAAGACTGCACGAGGACCCCAAACCACCGCCATGCCACCTCGGGGCATCCATGCCAAAGGGGGGCTGACCCTTCATAACGACCTCCCGTTAACAGCATGCCCGCCTATCGGATCCGTAGAGCCTTCACCTCAGCATCTGTCATCCGCAGGTTCCAGGCCTTCATGGCTATCTTAGCAAGGGTAGCGTCCTCCTCACTAAAGTTGCGCAATGTCAGCAGCTGCGCGCGAAGGCGCTGTAGCACATCAGGCGGCGGTTTGTAGCCTGGCATGGAAGAGAGGGCCAACATGGTCCACGTGAGCTCCTTGCACGTCCAGTTAGTGCCAAAGTCGTTCAACAGCCGATTGCACCACAGGTCGGTCTCCTCAGGGGTTGGCTGAAAGCCCAGCTGGCAGGCACGGCGGAGAACTATGGCGAAGTTGACTCGTCGGAGCTCCAGGGCGTACGGAACAGGCATCCCAAGAGCGGTGTCGTGAAGTTGCCGTAAAGTTTTGTACGGGAGGTGCAGCTTCAAGTTACAGGCACCAGACAAGATGAACTCCAGGGCTCTGCAAAACTCCCGCGTGTCCCTGGCGTTATGCGTGATCCGCGTGACTGCCTCGACCAGTTTGCCTTTTTGGCTGGCAGTTAGGGCAACTGCAGTATAACCCATGCCTGCCATGCTCTGCGCCAGTAGTTTAGGGTCCTCCCAGCTGTCCACATCCTCCAGCGACTTCCTTGCAATGGAGCCCAAAAGTTTCTTGTCCCAATGGTACGACACTTTGCTCAGGGCGTACCACACCATTGATATATTCACATCGGGCCAGCTCTCATTTTCATTCACAAGGCTCAACAGCACTTGCCCTGCAGCCTCTAAAAAATAGGCTCCGAGGGGATGTTTATCAAGGGCGAAGCTGGCCTTGGTCATGCCCCAGAGTGTGGAGCTCAGCTGTCGGAGCTGCATTTGGTGCACCAGGGCCAGCGTTTTGCCCATCATGCGCTTCCCCAGTGCGTTACATGCATCCTGCTGTCCATGGCCGCCGCTGCCATGGAGCTTCCCCAGCTGCATCCAGGCAGTTGCAACGTTGACGGGATTCAATTCAGCCTCATTGGCTGTGAAGAGGTCGCCAAGCTCAGCCACACTCTTGCACCGAAGGAGTTCCTTGCTGATAGACTTGTTGATGAGGGAGCCATCATCGTCCCCTACAGTGACGTTAGTCCATCCGCCGTTGGGTTCAAAACTGCGGCCGTCACTTCCGCCTGCCCTGCTGCCCCGCACAGCTTGCACTCGTACGTCAATCCTTGGCGGTTCTGCTGTTGGGGCCACCCGGGGTACCTGCGCCAGGTGGAGCTACGGGTTGGCGTGCACACGTACGCGAGCACGCAGCCTAGCGGTTTTCCCGCATCCTTGCCTTCACGTTGCAGGTGCGTAGCGAGCATGGCGCCCAAGGGCGATAAGGAAGCCGCGATAAGGATAGCGATGTCCCTCGAGGCTGAAAGTTCACCGACATCAATGTCAAGCGCCAAAGCAGCAGCAAGATAGAATAAATAGGCGCAGCGAGCCGGTGTTGCTGCTGTGCGCCTGTGATCCACGTCGAGTATATCTATCCTTGCATAGACGAACCGACACCAACCGTCGCAGAACTTATCTAACACAGACCCTTATACAGACAAAAAGGTAGCTCAATGATATATTTATTTTATGATTAGATCTCGCAAAGCGCCTGGACTGCCATGAGTGGTTGAAAGGATACGGTGAAGCGGTACACTACTCCTACCTCAATCCTCTTCTTGAGTCATTCGGACTCCCCTGTAATACTCGCATTCTCTTCAGTGGGATACAGCTGCTTAATGCATCATGGGATGTGGGCTCTGAGCGGGTGGGACGGTTATCTGGAATACTAAACCCCTGGCAACGCCTCAGCAGAAGATGCGGCAGGTGCAGCAATAAGGCGTGAAGGGCGGCCCTAACTTGTTACCTACGGGTTTTGGGGATCCAGTTGGCCGTTTATACCTCGTGCGCTCGTAACGCCGAGGACAGATGCTTAGGATGGGTCAATCGGCAACGTTTGTCCGTACTGTTACAACATGCTACAGCCATAACGCTGCGCCGCCCTGCCCCATGGTGCTGCGTATGTTATCCGCATGGCCAGCAGCCCTGCCATTGCACGGCCTGCAACTTGTTGCCTGTAACCGGCACGGTGCCGGGTGCACGGTCGACGGCTCTTGCGCTTAGATTCATCAGCCCGAATGCCGCCTCCCTGCAGCGTCAGTGCGGTAAAGATCTAGAGCCACTAGGACCTGTCCGGCACACATATTGAAGCACAACCGAGCACAAGAAGATAAAGTAACCACCCTGCAAAGTGAGCGAATGTACAGCCTTCCTGCCATTAAGCCGCCCACCTGACGCACGGCCCTGAACCTACAGCCTGAGAACCTTGATACATACTCCTACGCATGCTGCTGCCGCCAGCTCTACCCCTAACCTTCGTGCAGGCACAGCTAATACCTTGTGTGATACTTACTCCAGCATAATGAGTCATCACAGCCATAAGGTGTTCATTGTTCATGACCACCATGCGCAGCTCTGTACTACTGGTACGGATGGTTCCCCATCCGCAACAGCATTCCCCCATAAAGACATGCACCCATGCAGCTCTTACCAGACGTCTTCCTCACACCGGCACAGCGTGAATAAATATGAATACTACTATGCAAACCCAGTATGCGAATTCACAGTGACTTTGTAAATCAATTCCCTCCCATTCCCTGCTCCGCCTGAGCCCTCTCTTCAGGCACTACGTCGAGGGGTCCGCTGCGCAGCCCTCTGGGAAGAAAATGTTGGTCTTGCGGTAGAACGTCTCGCGCACAATGGGCTTCCGCCCGTGCTCCGGCTTGTGGTGGTCGTCTGGCGCCTGGAAGGCTAGCCCTGTCGTGGTCATCATCTCGCCCTGGTGGCGCTCCCGGGTCAGCATGGTGCGGTTCTTGGTGTCGCGGTGGGTCTTGCTGGCGCCCTCAAACGTGGGGTCTTCCTTCTCGTACACTTGGTCGTACGTGAACTGCAGAGACGGGAGGGATGGAGGAAGGAGGGAAAGGGAAGAGGAAAGGAGTTAACACGCGCACGTTAGAAGGGAAGCAGATATTGTCTAGGCAGGCGACGGCGAAGTGTCCATGTGCTAGGAAGAACAGGAAGTCCAGCGGACACAACGCAGTTGCAAGTCCTGTGGGTCAGACGGCCCCGCTACATCGGTTAGGCATATCGAACCATCTTGCCCTTGACCGCTGCCCTTGGCAGAATCAGGTGCCGCCCGCTCCCATACACTCCGCTTACCGTCTCCGGCCCATCCCTTCTCAACGTCGTCGGTACGGAGTCCAGCCCAGCCGCTTCCGCGAACATCTCGAGCGCCTTCTTGGCGTGCTGGTTCTCACCCTACGGACACAAGGGGAACATGACAGGACGTTGAGAAAAAGGACGCATGATGGAGCAGCATGGACGGCACGGGCGGACGCCCAGTCGAGTAGGGGAGTTCAACCTTGTATTCCGGAACTGTCGTGTGGCGTTGCATCCCGCCGGAGCGGTGTCACCGGCACGGGCGTACACTTCTCCTTAGCCGTCGGTGTTCACTACAGGTGCGTGCCAGGACAAAACCACCGGACAGCCCCAAGGCATGCCCCAACAGAAAGCTGCTGTCGAGAGTCGTAACAACCCCGCACGCTTCTACCCCCCCCCTGGGGCGCCGAGCCGCATAACCACTATCTAGAGTGCCCACCACCCTGTCATGCCGCTGAATTAGTATGTGCTGTGTTTCTTGCATACCTTCCACGACCTTTTACTCCCACCGCCCCAGACAACCTGGCCCCACTTACGCCTAGCTGCTCACGCCATTGCTCCGTGCGGATGGTGTTCGTAAACTCGTCACGTTTAGAAAAATCTGAGGTCAGGAAACCTCTCTTCTTCTCTGTCTGGACGTCCTTGTAACGGATACGGTCCACGTATGGGTCACCCTGCGAGAAGCCCGCGCATAAAACATGTTACTTATCCGTTGTACAGTGAATTTTTTGCGGGTCTTCGGAAAACGTTACTGACTGATGCAAGTAAGGAGTTGCACCACGGCACCTACCGAGCTAATCCAGTTATGCTTTTTCTCAAAATAGACGTCCACCGTCTTCCCATCTTTTGGCGGCATCGTGCTCAAATGCTTGCCTCCATAGGCGGAGCGCATGGGAATTTTCTTGCCATACTCTTCGGGCTTCCTGCAAACAATTTCGATATACGTTTGGAAAGATATAGGAAAAGGACATTTTGGGGATGAGTATTTCGGATAGGGCACGTTGCGTTAGACATGGCCACCTCGATATGCTCACCCTTCCGCTCCGATCGTAATGTAGCTAGTCTTGGAGAATACACCCTTGCATCCAGCCAGCAGAGCTGGCTCATCAAGCTTGTTGTTGTTCATGGTGACGTTGTGGAGGCGATGGAAAAATGGTCTTTAATACTCCAGTGGATAAGCCTAGATAATACTAAGTTGCAACGCATATGCAATCTGTGAAAGTGAGATAGCAAAATTGGGGCGCTGGTTGCCTTTATGCAAGTATGGCCCTCGAAGAACGTCGGAAATTTGGCGGAACGGGATACGGCAGTCGCCAGTCTCAATCACCCACACCCAATTGCCTGTATTAAAGGATAGCCATCTACGTTTTTTGGTTTCGTTCTTATAGGCTTGCCATCCCAAATTTATATTGCTAAGCCAAAGAAGTAAGGAGTAACTTGTCGGTCGGGACGTCCAAAACCCACGCGCGCCCTTTTTCCTGTATGGGATAACATGTTATATGGCGGAAGGGGTCGTGGCTTAGGCCATGGCCCAGTACCCTGCAAACAGAACTAGAGATTGCTAACCATGCAGAGCTCAGACGCGGCAGAGCAACCCAACCGGATCCAGGTCAGCTTGCTGAGAATCAGATAAGGAAAAGTAGCTTGGCGGAATGAAACTGACCGATTGGTTTATTCTCACGGACATACGTTAAACCAGCAGACTTTGACATCTGGGATGGCACTCGCAGGTGGTCGTGCGAGTGCGACCTGTGCAGCCCCACGAGCTGTCAGATGAGGTCGCTGTAACGTGCGCCCCGGATGCGCGGAGGCTTCAGGTAGAGGGCTAGGCGTGTGCACCCGTGTTGATGCTTCCACTGGACCGGCATGTGTAGTTGTGTTGCTGCTGGCTTGTCTGAGTGTCATTTCCCCTACCCGACCAGCTATGTGTGGGCAATCCAACTGGTTGCGCACTTCACCAACTCGCTGCGCTGACCCGTGGTTCCGCAGGTGCTTCTGCCTGACCGCCTGACAGGCACTGCGTCGCTGCCGGGGACCAACCGCAGTGGTGCACGGTCCTACGAATTTGATGCATGCCTCGCAGGAAACACCACACAGGTGGGGCGGGGAAGCAGCAGGTGAAGTGCGGATCAGCGCCCGCACCCAGGGTCGTATAGTTGCAGGATTGGGGTCCAGGGCTTCATGACTGAAGCTGCATGCCAGGTTCAAACTCGCCAGCAGAAACCACCAGCTGCGCTGCCTGCCCTACTCTTCCCTTCCTTCCCAGCCCCTCTCTTCCATATCACGGTTCCAACCCCACTCCCTTAACACATGCATTACGCACGCAGGAGGATTTGTTCGAGATCTGCGGGCTGCAGGAGCTGGTGGAGGCAGCCCTGGATGGCTACTGCGTCACCATATTCGCGTTCGGACAAACCGGTTCCGGCAAGACACACACCATCATCGGTCCCCGGCTCAGCAGGGGAGCCGCGGCAGCTGCCGCCGCCGCAGCAGCCGCCAACGGCACCCCCAGCAGCGGCACTCTCACCCGTCTGGGCAGCAGCACCAGCGCCCAAGCCGCCGACGGCGACATCCTCACCCTCCCCGCCGGCTTGGGTTCCCGCTCCGGAACCGGCACCGGCAGCGGCTCCACCCCCGCCTCTGCACGGCCCTCCAGCACCGGCACAGCCAACGCCAGCGGTCTGGGCCCGCCAGTTTCGACTCCGCCGCTTGCTTCCATAGGGCCCGGCAACAGCGCCGCAGCCGCAGGCGGTGTGCTCGTGGACCCCGAGGATGGCGTCCTGACCCGCTGCATTGCGGCGGCCTACCGCTCCATGGCAGCTCGGAGCGCCGCCGCGGGCACGGAGTTCAACGTGAGCGCGAGTGTGGTGGAGCTGTACAATGAGAACGTGACGGACCTCCTAGCGCTGGACAAGAACAAGACGCTGCAGGTGGGGTTGGGGAGTCGGCGTACGGTACACTTCAGGAGGATTAGCTGTTGGGTGTGAGGGCGGGTAGGGTGACGGGGACGCTCGGAACTGCGTAGCCTACACCATGGGACTGCAAACACATAAACCTACCATAACTCCTACAATTCATCCATGCTGGTGCTGTTGCCGCGCCACTCACACCATCCCGGGGTGATCTGCCCCATGTCCCTCCCGTCCGATGCCGTCCTGTGTGCTCGCGTCCCTCCTGCTGCAGGTGCGCAAGGACTCGCGCGACGGCTTCGCGGTGACGGGTCTGACGCAGGTGGCCTGCCCCACCGACACCGCCGCGGTGCGCTACCTGGTGCGGGCGCTGCAGTACCGCCACACGCGCAGCCACCGGCTCAACGAGTACAGCAGCCGCTCGCACTGCCTCATGACGTTTGTGTTTGCGTCGAGGGAGGGCGGGCCGGAGGGGCAGATGGGCGCCAAGGGCGGCATTCGAAGGTGGGTGAGGGGCAGGAAAAGGCGGGTAGAGGTTACGGTGGGTGGTAGGGTGGAGCAAGTTAACGGTCCGCGCTAAGCCCTTACTAGGTGTCCAGTACAGGGTATGTACCGGTGTTCCGCCAAACCTCTGTTGGGCTACGTCGCCTCATGTGTCACGTGCTCCTTATCCCCAACGTCCCTCCGGATCTCACAGGTACGGCAAGCTCTCCCTGGTGGATCTGGCCGGCAGCGAGCGGCTCAAGGACACGGGCAACACGGAGCGAGGGGCGGTGCGGGAGACAGGAGCCATCAACAAGAGCCTCTTCACACTGGGGCAGGTGAGCAGGAGGAGAAAGCCAGTGCTCCATGACTACCACTGTCACAAGCTCATCGATGCAGCCTAGGGCTGCATTGCCCCTCCTTCTGTCCTAGCCTACAGCCCAAGCTTGACCCCTCCTTTCTCCGCCACCCGTCCCTCCTTAACCCCCTCCCGCCAGGTCCTGGCGGCTCTCTCCGCCCGCAGCTCCGGAGCCGTCAGCACCTTTGTGCCATACCGCGACTCCAAGCTGACGCAGCTGCTGTGGGACGGTCTGCGCGGCAGCGGGCGGTGCCTGATGCTGGCCTGCCTGGGCCCCATGCGCGGCGCGGCGGAGGAGTCGCTCAACACGCTGCACTTCGCCACCATGGCCACTCGCATTAAGGCGGAGCCGGTGGTGCTGCTGGACCCGCAGGTGCGGCGGGGGTGGGGAGGGGTTGGCTCTTTAGCTGTGGTGGAGCTAGGGAGGGGGGCAGGGGACATATTACTGGCTGTAAAAGGGTCACATTAACGACTATATGACCCTGATCACGACCTGCCCGCATTTTCTCTCATCCCTCTGCTTCCCTGCTGATCCCCCACAGGACCAGCTGGTTCTCGACCTGCGCAAGGTCATCTCGCAGTTGCGTCAGGAGAACCGCCAGCTGGCCTCCGCGCTGCACCAGATGTCACAGGGCGCGGACCCCAATTCGGTGATCTGGACGCTGCCAGAGGCCCTGCGGGCGACCGCCGCGCAGCAAGCCGCAGCGGCGGCAGCAGGCGGCATGCTGACGACGCCGCCGGCGTTGGTTGGAACCATGGACGATTGGTCGCAGCAGCGACAGCCCACAGCGGGCTCGGACTCTACGATTACCACGGCGACGCCGGTGTCAGGAGTGTCGGCGGTGTACGGTAATGGCCTAGCGGCGCCCTCGCCGTCGGCTTCGCCTCAGCCGTTGCTACAGTCTGGGAACTCCAGCGCTCTTCGGGCATCGCAGGGGTCGTCGGTTATGGCGTACGGCGGCGGCGGGCCCGTACCACGTGGGAACGCCGTACGAATGTCGCCAGACCTTCCATCTTCCAACGGCACCTCAGCAGCAAGCAGTCCCGTAGCTACTAGAAGCAGATACAGCACGGGCTCCGGACCCGCTGCACTTGGCGGCGGCGTCGCGGGCCAGCGCCGCCGCCACTCCACCCTTAACACCTCGTACACCAACTCCCCTCAACGGACGCCGCCGCCGCCGTCGGCAGACGCCGTCCTGAACCGCCCTGCCGGCAGCAAGCTCAGCAGCGGCAGCGCCGCCAAGGCCTACTCCTCCCCACCGCGGGATAACATGCGCAAGTCTCGATCTGTCGGCCGCAACGTCGCTGGTCGCAACAGCTCAGCGCGGCCCTCCTACCTCACAGAAGACCCGGGGGCGCTGCTTTTCGGTTACAGCAATGCGCTGCCCGCGTCGCAGGGCTCCGCCGCCAGCAGCGGCGGCAGCGGCGGCGCGACATCGCTTCCTGCCGTACAACAGGGCGGTGGTATGCGGCGAGCCAACACCCTAGCGACGGGACCGCCGCCGCCTCCTGCCCTTTCCGAGTTTCCCGAGCTTGCTGCCATGGAGGCTGAGTTCCAGAACCTTATGGCACAAGGAGGAGGAGGAGGAGGCGGTGGTGCGATGCGTAATGGAAATATGGTTGCCGCCGCCGCTGCTGGCGCGGGTACTGCGGGTGCGGGTGCAGGCGATAGTGGGGCTGGTGAAGAGGAGGATGCGGGCCCCGCCCCTGACGTGCGGGCACTCAAGTGGGCGGAGCGCAACGCATGGTTCGGCACTGACTACGACATGACTGCGTTGGCATACCAGGTGCGTGGGATGCGGGCGGCACAGATGCTAGGGTGTTTCCAAACGTGGTTTTTGTGCGGGGCAGCAGGGCACTGGACATGCGGCACATGGGCGGGATAGCAATCTGTCCAGAGTAAGCTACATGTGGGATGCCCCTTTCCCCCGTGGCAGCATACCGGCAGCACCTCTTACGTCTTCCTAACCCTACCTTACTCCCCCTTGCTACCACCTTCTTCCTCCTCTTCCTCCTCCTCCTCCTCCTCCTCCTCCTCCTCGCCAGGTTCACGACCAGCTAGTAGACGTGGAGCACGTGGACCCCACCTCCGACCTGTACTACATGGAAATAGAGCGGCGTGTGGCTGCCAAGTTCCCGCAGCGCTGGGCCGCAGCCATGAAGGACCAGTTGCCAGGCGGCAGTGGCGCGGCCGCAGCAGCAGGCATTCGCCGAGCCGTACCCAGCCCGGCCCGGCAGATAGCGCCGGCTACCGGCAGCGGCCCTATTACCCCGGTTCCTGCAGCACCGCCGTCGCAGCAGCAGCAGGCGGTGGGAGCGGGGCTCAGGGTGAACTTGAAGGAGCCGTTGCCTCGCAGCGGGAGTCCGAGTGGTACGGCAGCAGCGTTGGCGCGTGCACGGCAACAAGGCGTGTCGTACGAGAGCGGCAGCAGTGCTCTGAGTGAGGGCGGGCTGACGGGTAGCCAACCGGCGACGCCGCTCTTAAGCTCGGGTAGCGCCACTGGCGCACCGGGGTCGCCAGCCATTGCTAGCGTCAATCCGTTTAACATTGGCGCGTTGCACTCGGCGGCGCCACCCAAGTCGACGCGTGTTGCGCCATTACCCGGCGGAGGTCCTGGCGTGGTGTTGATTGCGGGGGCGTCTGACCTTGGGTCGCGCGGGAGTGCAGGTGCGAGCATCGACGCCTTTGCGGATCCCAACGCGGCGGAACGGATACAGCGCGAGTATCAACGGCAGCGTGCGCTGGTCGTGGAGGAGTTGCGGAGGGCTAAGGAGGAGGCTGAGGCGGAACGGCAACGTATCTTGAATCGGATACAGCGCGCGGCAGGGGGAAGCAAATGGCGATGACGAGCTTGGCTAGGTTATGCTAGGTTGGAAATTTTGTAGGCAAGGCGAGTAAGTGAGGCTGGCGAGGTATGCTGCTAGCGCTGGGCGAAGTTCTTGTTATGCTAAGGACGATGAGGCGTATAAAGCATGGAGTTTTACTGCGTAGGAAGAAGCTGGATGTGTCTCGAGAAGTACAGACACACGGCAGCACGGCAGCCCAACTTCCGCTGGATCCAGCTGCGACATAACAGGGGAACAGGGGGCATATTGTGACTATGTTTTCTTCATGCATAATACTGCAGTGAGTTGAGGCTAAGTTTGCGGTCCTAGACAGCCTTCGTTGTGTGTTGCTGGTTACAAGTGAGACCAATGTCTATTTAGAACTATTCCTAGGACAGATATTGTTCACAATGACTCTCCACTATGCACCCACAACTCCAGAAGAAGAAGAACTTGCCTTGGCGTTGGCGTTGTCAGCTTCGCTGAGCTCGGCAGGTTCGTTGCTTTTGCAAGAGGGCCGCGGCTTTAGCAACTCACGGTTACCTACGATGTAACTGGCACTTTGCATACGTAAAGCTATTATGCTCGAAGCGCATTGGCCTGCTGTGGCCAGCGACATGAGTGCTGTCCATCTTACTGAGGTATCGCGTCGTGCAAAGCAGGACCGAGTCGCCCAAATGGCTCAAGCAGCCCAAGAAGAAACCAGCAAAGCGCCTCCAGCAGCATGGGTCAGCACCAGCATAACTCTGGTCCGCGCCCAGCAGCTGCCCCCACCCTTTCTCCGCTCCTCAACCCCGGAGTCACCTTCCCACCCATCCCACCAGCGCAAGCAGTCCTTAGACCGCCACCTCCACCTCACGCACCAACCACGTCTTCCCGACCACAGCAACCGCAACATACGCAGCACCATCCTTCCTCCACATCCTCGCCATTACTAAGCCATCCATCCTCCAGCCATCAACCCCACCGCCACGCTTCCTCCTCCTCCATCGTGCCCCCATCCGCTCCCAGATGGCCCCCTGGAGGCTCTCCTCCAATCTCCCCCAAAACCTCAATAGCAGCTCCCGTACCTGGCCCCACAGCCTACGCAGTGGGGCCAGGTGCCACCGCACACTCGGCTTCCTCGCACTCTGCACACGGCGCCAGCAGCAACTCCAGCGGCAGCGGCCCCACCGGGCGCAAGAAATGGCAGCTGCCGCCCCAGGCGCCGCCCCCGCCTCCTGCTCCGCTGCCCCCTATCAGCCGCAGCAAGAGCTCTGGAGGACCCAGCGGGCTGCTAGGCGCGTCAGGAAGCTGCGGCAGTAGCAGCAGCGGTGGCGGTGGCGCCAGCAGTAGCAGCGGCGGCAAGGGCAGCAGCAGCAGCGGTGGCGGTTACGGCGTAAACAGCAGCGGGCTAGCAGGGGCGACAGGAGCGGCAGGCTACAGCAGCAGCAACAACGCTGGTAGCGGCGCCGGGCGCAGCAGCGCTGCTCCCACTGCTTCCTCCTCCGCTGGTGGCTACAGCAGTAGCAGTGGCGGGTGCGGTGGTGGTGGCGGTGGTGGCCTTGTTGGCTGCAGCTCTACCGGCAGCAGTTATACAGGCGCGGGTGCTGGCACGGCTGGCCCTGCAGCAGCAGCAGTCCCTGTCCCAGCGGCCCAGCAGCAGCCCCAGCCCCCGCAGCAGCTGCACAGCGACCCCAACGCGTGTGCGGGCTGCGGTCGGGGCTTCGGGCTGTTCGGCGGCAGCTACATCACAGGCATGGGTCGCAAGTGGCACGCGGATTGCTTCAAGTAAGACATGGGCTTGTAGGGCGGGGGGGGGAATCATGATGCACTGACGAGGCAACTAACCAGCTGTATGACAAGGCTTCACGGTTGGGTGGGGGGGCGGGGATTGCTGAGGGGATAAGGGTACTGGCGCTGGTGGGCTTTGGGGTTGCATCACAGGAAGAACACGCTTCGTTCAAGCATTCCTCATCCTCCTTGACCACCGCACGACCCCACCCACATGACTTGTTGTTGACTCTCCCCCTCCCTCCCTCCCTCCCTCCCACCCACCCCAGGTGCGGCTTCTGCTCCCAGCCCATTAGCTCCGGCCCCGGTTCCTTCTCCTACCACATGCACCCCGGCGACCCCGCGCCCTACCACCCCGACTGCTACCGACATGTGCACCACCCGCTGTGCTGCGTGTGCGGCACCTACATCCCCGCGGACGCGGAGGGGCGCATCAGCTACCGCGAGAACGGCTTCTGGCGGGAGCGCTACTGTGGCAGCCACGCGGAAGGGCAGCTCACGAGGTGCTGCGCCTGCTCGCGGCTGCAGAAGAAGGGTGAGGAGGAAGGGAAGGAGGGGGGTCGAGTAGACCGAATCATAGAGTGGGAGGGAAATGGGGCGTCGCTGCGTCGGGAAGGGCCTCCAGCTGTTGTGCGCTGGGGGTCCCCTGCGGCCTACTGCCCGCTCGAGGAAGCGTGAACCGCACTTAGTTATAACCGCAGCCATGCCTTGTGTAACCAGCTTCCGCGGTCCTCATGTGCATCATGGCCCCTAACCTCGCCTCGCCCACCCATACACCCACACCTATATGTCCTGCAGGCCAGGAGTGGGCCCCGCTGCCGGACGGGCGGCCGCTGTGTCTGCAGTGCCTCTCCTCCGTACAGCTGGATACGGCGGACGCACAGCCGCTGTACGACCAGGTACTCGCGTTCTACCGGGACGAGATGAAACTGCCGCTGCCGTACAAGGTAGGGGGGTCAGGATAGACCTAACGACAGGAAGTCACGATTAGGGCAAGGACAGGGTAGGAGCAAGGAAAGGTAGGGGCAAGGACAAGGTAGGAGGAGGAATAGGCCCTGCCGTTGGCTTGTGAGCCTGGCTTGGCTTAGCCTGGCATGGTGGCGCTGGCGGCGCTGGTGAAGGGGTGTACGTGTTCCCGTTGCACTCTTGGCATATCCTGCCTGATCCTGCTGCTGTCCTTCGTCCTGCAGCCCCAACGCTTGCGCCTCATGGCACCTGTCTCGCAACCCCGTCCCGCTGTGCTCCCTTCCCTTCCTAAACTCATCGCGCCCCGCCTCCTTCCCTCCCTTCCCTCCCCCTCCGTCCCTCCCCCGCCAGCCTCCGCTGCTGCTGGTTGACGGCGCCACCCTGAACCAGCACGCCACTGCGGAGGGGCGCGACGACAGCGCGGAGGGACCCGTGTTCCACGTACGGGGGCTGTGTGTGGCGCAGGTGTACAGGTGGGGGCGGGTAGGGGGTGCAGGTGGGTAGGGGGGTGCACAGCTGTGGGTGGGGGTATGCCGGTGCATAGGTGTGGCGCAGGGGGGGCAGGGAGTCGGAAGGAGCCAGGGGACGGCACTCCTCTTCCGTCGGTGCTGCACCGCAATGCTTGTGAACTCTTGCAACCCAGCTCATCTGCTACTTCCACCCGCTTGCCTGCCCCCTCACTCCCCGCAGCCACATCCCCGCCATGCTCCGCGGCATGGGCGGCGCCGTACGCTCCGTCTCCACCGCCCTCTCCACCCTCACGCCCACCCCCTTGGAGCGGGAGGTCATCACGCGCTGCGAGGTCAAGGTGCTGCTGCTGCTGTTCGGGCTGCCGCGGCTGCTGACGGGCAGCATCATGGCGCATGAGCTCATGCACGCCTGGCTGCGCATGGGTGGGGTGCTGCGGCTGGAGGCCAAGGTGGAGGAGGGGCTGTGCCAGCTGTTGGCGTGCTTGTGGTTGGACAGGCAGCATGAGCTGCTGGCTGGGGTGAGTGGGCGGGTGGGGGAGCGGGTGTGGGGAGCGGAAAGGGAGAGGGAGGATGAGGAAATGGATGGAGTCGTCTTGGTGATACCCGAGGGCTGCCTATCAGGCCATTCACAATGAGCGGCAGCATGTACAAGAGGCATATGTGTTGATGAAACCGGCATGTGCAAACCGGCATGTGTTAACAGAACTGGCTGCATGTGCATGTCTGTGCATGTCCCACGCAGAATGAGGAGGAGCAGCGGCTGGCCAGCTTCTTCTCGTACCAGATCCGTACGGACACGAGTGAGGTGTACGGCGAGGGGTTCCGAGAGGCCATGGAGGCCTTCCAGACGTACGGCCTCACAGCCATGCTACGGAATGTGAAGCAGTACGGCCGTTTCACGCCGTCTTGATGAATACGTTGGACGACGCATGAGGCATGAGAAATTATGTGATGTCCATGTACGACATGTTAGTTACGACACACGTGTGAGGAGAGATGTGCTTTGGATGTGATGGCATTGTAGGGCAGAAGCAGCCAGGGCTGCAGCGTTTCATGCGTAAATTGAGGATGCATGCGGCATGGCAAAAGTTTTGGGTTATGCATTGGGGTTATCCAATTGTTGGTTATTACCCTGGCTGTTAGCCATGCTGTAGTTATGTTAGCGGCTTTCGCCCGCTTGCTTGCAGCTTTTTGGGGCGTGTCATTGTTGTCGCTAGAAGTGGCAGGGGCCGTCTTCAAGGCTTATGCAGGTTTCTAGACAAGCAGGCTGCACACAAGTGCAGGGTGTTGTTCCTAGCAGTAGCTCTAGCAAGGGGAGGATGTGTAAGTCATACGTCTAGGGCGATGTTCGGAGAGCGATGTTGCAGGGCTCGGCTGCTGGGTGGTTGGTATTATTATACGGCTTGTACGGGCTTCCGGGGTTACTGCTGTACACTATTAGGGCCGCACTATGGTGTGCTGTCCCTTTGAACTACCGGAGCCCATCCTTCCGCTGCTGGCGCATTCCTAGTACGGCATGTGGTTGCCGTCTCAGTGATTACCAATCTTTATGACAGAGGATGCATTGGGTACTTTGGAAGTTCAGCTGTTGTGCTGGGCTGTACTGACCACCTGGGGAGTCCCGTTGTCAGGGATTTCCTGACGGGCAGGTCAAATCCCCTGCGGAGGGTAGACCCCGCGTCAGTGCAATCCGGTGGGTATTGTGCAGCTTCACAGTTTAACACGTAGCAAGGCCAGACGGTGTTAACCTTACGGCGCATATGCAAGTGTTGCCTTCGCATGACATTAGGTTTGTACACTGATTCCACAGAATAGAGCGTCACTGCCTAGGGTGAAGCACAGGTGCGGCCAAAGCTCTCCTGAGCCACTTGGCCTGGTTACCCCTTGGGAGGATTCCACGCTTCCCCATCCGATAAGAATTTTTGTTCGGCACACACGATGCCGCGGCAAAGGAAAGGTTTTCTCAGGGCTTCCTCGCCTCGAATGTTATAGTCCATGGGGCCATGGCATGCTTCGGAGCGTTTACAAGATGCTATAAATCAGAACGGGGCTCGACTTAGATAGTCATATGAGGCGTCGCGTAAAGCGCAGTTATAGAAGGCTTGGGCAACGTCATAGTCCCCATTGAAGCCCTCGCGTAAGCATGTTGTCGTACAAAACAGGTGAAAACAGACGCGCAGTCCTGCCCTATCGCAATAGGAAGGCAACCTACCCGTTTGTAAGTTAGCGCGATCTTTGAATTAGCCTGGTTGGTACATAGCCTAACAAACATACCTCAGATCGCTCGGAGAGAATGGGGTCCAATGCGGGGGGCTTCGATTTTGACCTATGTAAGCGCAATGCTATGTTAGAGAACAAGGGCATGCAGTTGCCCAAGGCTTGGAAGACGGGAACAACAATTGCGGGGCTCGTTTTCAAGGTAGAGGAGTTGGCGGAGCCCACTATACCTCCTCGCAGCAAAAGTCTGACGTTCCTTCTGCTCAATACTAGGATGGAGTTGTCCTTGGAGCTGATACGCGATCGACAGCGGGGACAACGGTCGCGGACAAGAACTGCAGCAAGATCCACTTCATTACGCCAAACATCTATGCTTGCGGAGCTGGAACAGCAGCCGATCTAGAGCATGTAACAGGTAGCCTGCATTGCTGGTGATCTGTAGGTGAATGGCGCGTGTGCGAGGGTTGGCAACCTTTTCTTCTGCTCATCGCAGACATGGTGTCGGGTCAGCTGTCCCTTCACCGCTACGGGACGGGGCGGCAATCGCGCGTTATCACCGCGATGACGATGTTCAAGCAGCACCTGTTCAAGTGGGTCCCAGTGCTTTAGGCATACGCAGCAGCGCATACCAGGGGAAAGGGGACGGGGGAGCCCAACCGGGGAAGCGTGCCAGGCCGGAGGAGAACGTGACCACCACTGCAACTCAGCTTCCCGCATGCAAAGCGTACAGCGAGAACCTTGGTTTGGCATGCCACTGGCTCACTGCTAGGCATTTAAAGTCCTTTTAACACCCGCCCCTGAACGCCTGGGTGCTTGACATGGGCGGCCCTCCTTGACATGGGCGGCCCCCCGCTTCCCTGCTTCCGTTCATACGGTTAGTCCAATTCCTTCCGCTTCCTCTTTCCTCCCCTCTCCTCCCTCCCCCCAGGTACCAGGGCCACGTGGGCGCTGCGCTGGTGCTGGGGGGCTTCGACCTCAACGGACCCCACCTCTTCACGGTGCGGCGGGGCGGGGCAGGGCTGTGGTGAAAAAAAGAAATTCCAAAGTGTGGTATGATAATGATACAAGTTGCTGAGGGCTGTGGTGAGGGAGCGGCGGGGTGGAGGGGCAAAGGGAGCAGACAGGCACGGGGCGGCGGCGGCGGTGGTGGAGGAGGTGGCATGGGCGTAAGGGAGACGAGCGGGATAGGGACAGGGGTTTCGGAATTTCTAGCGGGGCCGAGGGGTGGTGCGAGCGGCTGGCTTTGGGGATTCAGAGGGCATGGAACGCAGAGGGCATGGCGGGTGGTCCAGGGGGCTACACATGCCAGGGCTCTGCACGAGTGCGAGACGGGAGGCGGTCGGAAGCTAGTAAGGCCGCAGCTGCCTCCTCCTAGCACGCTGCATGCAGCGCTGTGGAGGCGGTGGCAAGCGCGGATAGAGTCCACAGCTGGCACGCACGGCTGGCAGGACGCCAAATTATTTTATGCAGCACATCCACCTTACCCGCCTTACGCGCATGTCATTCGTCCTGCCCCTCCTTCATTTCCTGCTGGTTGCTCCGCTGCGGCTTTACCTCCCGCTGCCTTCCCCACCTCATCTCCCTTCACGCCCCCCAGATCTACCCGCACGGCTCCACCGACTCGCTTCCCTTCGCCACCATGGGTTCCGGCTCCGTGAACGCGATGGCCATGTTCGAGGCGTACTACCAGGAGGACATGGACCGCCAGCAGGCCATGGAGCTGGTGGCGCGCGCGATCAGGTGGGGGGGCGGGAGGGAGGGAGGGAAAGGGAGGGGGGAACGTTAAATGGGAAGGGAAGCAGTGGAATCCCAATCCATGGAGCTGGTGGCACGGGAGGTCAGGTGGGAGCAGGGACCTGACCGCCCCCTGGAGCCAATGTGTTGAAAGGCAAGAAATAATGGCAAGCTAGATGGCCGCAGGATCAGGTGGAAGGGGGAAGGTTCAATGAGGAGGGAGGCACTGGAGGCCCCCAATGCCATGTCCCATATCCCATTTACCCCTGGGGTGCTCCTCCCGCCCCTCCCGCCCCCCCCCCCCCCCGCAGGTCGGGTGTGATGAACGACCTGGGCTCCGGCTCTAACATCGACCTGTGCGTCATCACGCGCGAGGGCACCGAGTACCTGCGCAACTACGAGTACCTGCAGACGAAGACCTACAGCCGCAAGTTCCCAGTCAAGTACGCGCCGGGGACCGCAAGTGAGTGGGGTGGGGGGTTTGGGGGTTGGGAGCATGACGACGTGGTTTGTTTGGCGACATGATCATGGCTGGCTTGCACTGTATTGAGGCGGAAGCTGCCATACACGCGGCGTTCGGACCCGTTTCCCTGACACGCCCCTCCCCTGCCACATGCCCGCCCTCCTCCCCCCCCTTCAGGTCAGGGTCACTGTTTCCGCGGCTCAGTTTATCTAATCCCCCCCTTCCAGCTCGTCAGTTTTCCATATTTTTAGCCCATCCCCTGTGTCATGCCCTCCCCCCCCTGCCCCACTGCAGCCGTGCTCAAGCAGCGTGTGCTGTCGCTCAAGGACGTGCAGGTGATAGAGGGGGCGCCCGAGGAGATGGACGTGTCGTAAAGCGGGGGGTGGGGGTGTGTGGTAGGGTGGGCTGCTCCTAGGGGGGCATGGCATGGCGGCAGCCCGCGAGGGCGAGTGGAGGTGTTGGGCTCCTCACGTCCTTAGTCAGCCGTGACTTTGGTTGAAGGCTGGAAGCGGCCGGGGCCGGGGGAGCAATCCATGGAGGTTGAGCAGCGAAGCGTAGGTAAGGGCACTTGTCCTTAATTTTGAGGACACGGGGAGGGGCTGTGTTGCGTTGATGGGGGGTTGATGTGGCCGTCGGGGTTTATGGATGGGGGTTTACGTCCACATTGCAAGCGTATGGCCTGTGGCGTGTACCGGTATTAGGGGGGTCGTAGAGAGGGAGGAAGCATTCCTATTGTGCAAGGCATGGAGCAAGGAGGCGCGTGTGTAACAGGGGTAATGGGTATGAATCGCGCTTTACTCGGTGTGCGGATTTGGGAGTAGAGCTGTTGCAAGGACGTATGGTGTAGTCGAGCAACTGCAGTGCTGCATGTCCCGACATGTCGCTTGGCTCACAAGCTCTGTCTGCAGAGATAGATACTGGTAATCCGGCTATGTTCCTTCCCCCGAACGAACCTAACGGGAACAAGGTGAACGGCAACGTCGTGGCAAAGTGAGAGCTGGCAGTAGTGGAAACACAGCTGAATGTGTTTCACAGGACGGCTATTCCGTGCTAGGCACGACAGTGGGGGCGAACTGTGGCATGTAACACAACGAAACGTTATTTCGTTACTTTGCTACTGTGTTGATTGCATCAGCACACATGCAGTCGCCAAGAGGGCGTCCAGCAGCATCACAAGACCGCTGCATAATTTGCCTCGACAGTACGACACCAGTGCCCAACGTAAAGCCATGCTACAGCCCTCGTGAAGCGTGTCTTCATTCACGGTTTCAAACCAAACCAATGAACCGCAAGCAAGCAAGCAGAAGCGCTTTTTAGCCTCGGATTGACAGCCAACAAAGCAACAGCCAGCGTCCTGCTAAACCCAGCCTCCTTCCACACTCAAGGGAGCCATCCAGGCCCGAGCACTCGAGCAAAGACCAAGGGCAAGACTGCTCAGATTGCAGATACTTCGTCTTCGGCGAAACACTGTACAGCATCTCTGCAGCGCCCGCACAAAATAGGCCGCACATGCCTTGAACCAGCCCCGAAACCAGATTCTCTCCCACAAGCAGCCAGAGTAGAGCATGTTTGTCAGGGAACGAACCGAATAACAAGAGGCACTTGAGTTGTACTCCCGGCACGGTCTTGCAACCTTTGCCCCTGCTACACAAATTCCATCCTTGCTACGACGTTGCACCGAATCCATGTCCTCCCACAACCCATCTAGCTGCACGCTCCATTACCCTACAGCAGCGCCAAACACAACCCCTTCGCCGCCCCGCCCCCTTCCTCCCAAATACCCACCAGTGTTCCCTCTCTCCATCCATTCTCCTCCCACTCACTTCCTCCCCCACCCCTCCATCCATCCACCCCTCCATCCGCCTGCTTATTCCCCAGCCACAATGCCGAACCCAAACTTGTAGTTGCTGTGGAAGTGGTCCATCTCCGCGGACAGCACAAAGTTGATTCCGGGGCTGAAGCGCTCCTCGAGCAACGTAGTCATGACACCGTTGGTGTCCACCTTGCCACGCAGACGGCACTGCCGCAGGTTCACATCATAGCCCACGGTCGCGGTCGCGTCGCGGCCGCCCATGTGCCACAGGAAGTCCGCGGCTAGCGTCACCTTGTCGCCCACCTTGTGCGTGTACTGCATGTTGGCGATGCCGGTGGTGGCGACCTGGCATGTGGCCACGTGCTTGTCGCCTTGGTGGCGAAGGGCAAGGCCCATGCCGGACTTGGGCTGGCCAGGTAGGTAGAAGAACTCGCCTCCGGCTGAGAGCTTGGGGGTGAGGGACTGGAAGTAGTTGGCGCCGACGAAGCCGGGCGCGCCGAGCTTGAGCTGCGCGTTCCAGTCGCCGCCCTTGAAGTCCGAGTCGACCATGAGCTGGGACTGGTTGGGGTTGTTGGAGAGCTGGGTGTGCACCTTGAAGCTGAGCCAGTTGGTGAGGTCGTACTTGACGCGGCCCGACAGACGGCCGTCAGTGGCGATGCGGCCGAGCATGAGGAAGGTCTGGGACTCGTTCACGACCGTGGCGCCAAACTCATAGGTGCCGACCGGGGTCTTGATGATCTGCCGGCCACCCGTTTGGAGCTCCATGTTACCCATAAAAAGGTTGTGGGACAGGAAGAACTGCTGGTTGAGGGGCTTGTTGATTTCGAAACGCAGACCCTCGAACGTGTCAGGCTTGAGCGAAATGATGCCCTCGCGCTGGATGTCCTCATAGCGCACAGGCTGCGGGAGGTCCAGGTAGTTAGGCCGCTCCGACTCCTTAATCTCCTTGGCTAGTGCAGCTGCCGACGCCGCGAAAGAGAAGTTTGGCATAGGCGGCGGGGCGGTATCGCCGTCCGCTTTGCTGTGAACAAGTCCCATTGTGTCAACCTATGTATTCAACAGTGTGGGATGGCCTTTAGTTTACAAACTATACATGCCTATGGCGCAAACCAACTATGATCGAGGGCAACAAGTGGCCCGATACTACTTGCGTGACCTAGGTGGCCACAACAGCAATACAAATGAAAGACGCAAGCGCTAAGCACGCCTATTAGGGTGTTCCACTGTCCGCACTACCAAGGTACGGAACTTCGGAGCTTCCGCCAGTCGTTATCATGCCCACTCACTCTTGGGAGGCTTTACTCTTAGGTGGATGTGGTTGTTGGATGTACACAACCACACGGAGCGGTCGTAAATATGACACAGCAAGGATTCACCTCAGACTAAAGCCTGACAAAGCCACCTGGTTACGCGTATTTCATATCGCGCAAGTTCCAGTCGCGTAGTTGAGGATGTGTTGCAAAGCTACGTGGCTATGCTCTTCTGGGTCCCTCTTCGTGTTGGTGTATTAGCTGGCCTCCAATGAGCAAAGTTCCCAGGCTACACTCTTATCATTATCCTTAAATGTGTGCCCAACACAAAAACGTCGTCTGAAAGAGCACCGGCCTCAGTAACTCCCTAACATCCCTATATTCTAGGACGCGAGCCCCTAGCTCCGGAACCCAAGCTTGGAGGGACAAAATCCGGAAGAAACGCGTTGTAGCCGTTGTAGTAGCAATGAGAACACAGCTACGCCTGCATGCAACTCGTTCCTGCGCACCTAGGCCCTGGTGCATCTCTCGTCCCCAAAAGCCCGCTGCAACTTTGCCAAGGCTCCGTGCTTCCTTGCAAGCAACCGCGTCCCTGAGCGCCTCACCAAACATGTCCTCACCCTCAAAACCATTAGTTGTTGTAGGATCAGTGAATGCAGACCTCGTTCTCCCAATAGAGCGATTGCCGAAGCCAGGCGAGACGCTCGCGGCAGCATCCATTGAAACCGTCCCCGGTGGCAAGGGCGCCAACCAGGCTGCCGCAGCCGCTCGTGCAGGCTATCCCACCTTCTTCGTGGGGCAGTTCGGCAAGGACGATCCTAACGCCACCCTTCTCCGCGGCGCGCTGAATGGCTGTGGTGTTGACCTCACACATGCCCAAGACGTCGCCGGGCCCTGCGGCACTGCCCTTATCCTCCTCCAGTCCGGCGGCGAGAACTCCATTATCATCGTTGGAGGCGCCAACCAAGCCTCCTGGAGCCTCTCAGAACCCGTAAAGCAACTCCTAGCGACCGCGGGTGCCGTACTCTTACAACGCGAAATCCCCGAACAGGTCAACATCGAGGTCGCACGTCTTGCGCACACCGCCGGCGTCCCCGTCTTCCTAGACGCTGGCGGCGTGGAGGGCCCTATCTCTCCCGAGCTCCTGTCGTACCTTGCCGTACTGAGCCCCAACGAGACCGAGCTCGCAAGGCTGACAGGCATGCCTACAGACAGCGAGGACCAGGTTCTTGCAGCTGCTGGCAAGTTGCTTGACGCGGGGGTGAAGGCGGTGCTGGTGAAGTTGGGAGCCGAGGGCAGCCTGCTGCTGCCGGGGCGGGGCGAGGCGCCAGTACGGCAGCGGGCCTTCAAGGCGCCGGAGGTTGTGGATACGACAGGTGAGGACGGCGCGGCAGCGTAAGAGCAGAGGGTGGAGAGGACGGGGTGGGAAGAACGCCGTCGCATGTGCGCCTGTGCAACGTACTGCGGACCTCTCCGTCAGCAGTATGCTGTGTATGCCAGGTCTCCCTGACACCTCTCTCCTCCTCACGCCTTCCCCTCCCAAGGCGCTGGCGACTGCTTCACGGCCTGCTACGCAGTAGCGCTGCTGCAGGGCTGCCCACCGGCCGCGGCGCTGCGCTTCGCCTCTGCGGCCGCCTGCCTGTGTGTGCAGCGGCGGGGCGCCATGCCCTCGCTGCCGGCCCGTGAGGAGGTAGAGCTGCTGCTGGGGGCGGAGAAGGAGGAGTGAGGGAGGGTAGGAAGGGTAAAGCCGCAGCAGGAATGAGGGGGGGGAGGGAGGTGGCAGCAGGAGGAGGAGGAGCAGGTTAGGAGGAGGAAGGCAGGCTGGGCAGGGCTGGGCTGGACTACTGGCAGGGTGGAAGAGGCACGAGGCAGGTAGGGAGCGAGGCAGCGAGCTGAGGAGCAGGAGTAATGGCGAGCAGCAAACACCGTTTTGGGATCCAAACTAGGCAATAAGATGCACTGGGAGCTCGGGGCGACATGGTGCAGATGTCCTGACTGGTTCCTGGTTGTTACTCGCTGCGGTGGACCCATATCATATTTAAAAAGGGGGTGTCGTACTAAACATTTTTAAGGGTTAAGGAAGGGCTGGTAAGGTATGCAGGTTTGGGTTACGACTAACTGGCGTGCTGGTGATATGGTGTCAGGTCAAGGCAGGGCTGCGGTCTCATCTTAATACCGCAGCAAGTAGTGTCTCATTGGCCCAAGATTGCGTACGGGATTGGCTACCGGTATGGGAAGCACCTCTTGGTTTTCTTGCATTGTGTCGAAACTCCATTGTGTCAAAATTGTGTCGGCCATCCCACCTGCCGCACTGCTTTAGGAGTTGGCATGCATTAAAGGACAGCTCACTCCAGTCGGCACCCCGGTGTCATTCATTGGCGGACAGTCCAGCAACAGAGCGCGACAGCCCCTGCCCATTGGGCCCAAACCTCCAAAGCCCTGGACCCAAACCTCCAATCGAAGACGTGTTTCAACCTTGCATGCCACCTCCGTGCCACTTGCGCAACGTCACGTGTCTGCACTCCCTGCGGCACCCAGGACCCCTGAAAACACTGTGGCCGAACGCCAACAACAACCATGACAACTGCCACAACCAACCGAGCACATAGATGACCTAATCCTCCCATGCCCGAAGAGCACATGCACGGCCCGCAGACACAGCAACCCTTAAAATGTCTTGGTCCGAGCACCAAACGCCCCGGCATAAAACACTGGCAGCAATACCCTCAAAAGCCTCGAAGCCACTCTCCTTCGCTCTTCCCTCCCTACGCCCATGGGCCCGGAATCATTCAAAGCAATCTTTTACACTTCTGCACCTCACACTACTAACAATTGACGATAAGCCAGATAACTGCTAACAGCCAGCTGCGCTTACAGCTTCCTAGTAAGTTCTATCCTCATCCAGTGATTCTTCCAACCCCGGTCAGTTCCAACTCACAAGCCCTTACGTAATGACGTATGAGGCCTTCAATCCGCCAGTACCTTCCGAATCAGTGAATGGAGCCGTACCGTACAGTAAGAAAATGCAGAGAACAATGCGAATTTCATGGACAGGCCAGCACGTAAAATGCGGCTCCGGCTCATCCTTTCAATTCGCAGTCACTTCCCTCCCTGTCTTCAACACCGCCGACCCTCCCGGAGCAACGACTCCTCTCCGCTTGTCGTCTGGTTTGCCAATCACATCCAACACATTGCTTTACTAGCCAGCAGCGCTGGGCGCTGCAGGCTGGCTGGCAGGAGGCGACATGCCGCCTCCCGCTGCGGCTCCGGACGCAGAGCTTACCACCGACGCTAACAGCTGTGGCGCCCCCCGACTCCTCTCACTGCCACTGGGGCCGCTACCAGCTGCCCCTCCCGTTCCTGTTGTCCCCGCAGCCGCCGTCAACAGTGTGTCAGACCCGCTATCCTCCGGCTGGCTTGTGCTTGAAGCGCTAACACCCGCTTGCAGCGGTTTCATCCCACCAGCAGGCGCTGCTGACCCAGTGCCAGCAGCTGCCGCAGGTGCAGCATTTTTTAATCGTTCGTGGCTACGGCTGTCCATGTTCTGTACCTCCAGCTGAAGCAGCAAGGAGTTGCTGACCACAGCTAGGGAGGAGAAGCCCATGAGTGCGCCGCTGATGGAGGGAGTGAGGCAGATGCCGGCGGTTGGCAGCAACGCGCCGGCAGCCAGCGGCAGAGCAACCAGGTTGTAGCCGAACGCCCAGACCAGGTTCTGCTTAATCTTGGCGAGGGTGCGCTTGGAGAGATGTACGGCATCAGCTACCTGTCGTACAGTGATGAATAACGAACATGGCCGTTGTGGACAAACAGGATAGGGCAAGGGCGCAAAACACACACACGCCATGGGATTGTTATGAAGAAAGGGGGTTTAAAAAGCGCATACTCGCAGTGAATGATTGAGCTCCTGTTACGGTACGACTAGCTTACCTGCGACAGCTGATCCCGCATGAGTACCACCTGGGCCACCTCGGATGCCGCATCCACGCCGCCACCCATCGCAATGCCCACATCCGCCGACGCCAGCGCCGCCGTGTCATTGATGCCGTCTCCCACCATCGCCACCACACGTCCCCCCGCCCGTAACTCCTCCACAACCGCCTTCTTGCCTGCCGGCTTGACGTCGCCGTACACGTCAGCGGCGTCGATGCCCACCGCCGCCGCAACCTCCGCCGCCGCAGCGGCCTTGTCGCCGCTGAGCATGACGGTACGGATGCCGTCACGGTGCAGTCGCGCTACAGTTTCCCGCGCGTCCTGCCGTACAGCGTCGGCGACGTCGATGACACCAGCGACGGCGCCGTCGACGGCAACGTACACGCGGGTATGGCTGTTGCCGAGGCCCTGCACGCCGCCGCCAGCAGCGGCGGCGGATGCCGACGACGCTTGGAAGTCGAGATCCCCAGCGGCGGCGGCGCCGCCGCCGCTGTTACTGCCGTATCCCGCCGCTAACGCCGCCGCCGCCGCCGCCGTGTCCATTTTGGCGCCCTGGCGTTGAAGCCAGTCCAGTGTCCCGACAGCGACGCGTCTCCCCCCAACCATCGCCGCCACACCGCTGCCGGGCTCCTGTACGAACGAGCCCTCCGCCAGTGTCAACTCCAGCCGCGCAGCGGGCGACGGAGCCGTACAGCGCCCGCCGTCACCGCTCACCGCCTCCGCCGCCGCAGCCCCCGTCGGTTGCTGCTGCTGCCCTGGCGGCGACGACGACGTGTGCAGCTGCTCCGCCGCCGCTACCAGCGCCTTCGCCACCGGATGGCTCGTGTGCCGCTCCACCGCCGCCGCCAGCTGCAACAGCACATTCGCCGCGGCGGACGGACCACCTTCACCGCCGCCACCGTAGCTGCTGCTGCTGCCATCGCCATCACCAGCGCTACTGCTAGTACCACTACTACATCCGCCAGCATTTCTTACTTCGCAGCCGCCGCCTGCAAGCATCGCCTCCGCCGGCAGCAGCGCATGCACATGCGTCACCTGCGGCCGGCCCACCGTCAGCGTCCCCGTCTTGTCCAGTACCACGGTATCCACCCGGGACACGGATTCCAGCACATCGCCTCCGCGGATGAGCAGCCCCCGTCGGGCGCCCGCGCCGCTTCCCACTAGCACCGCCGTGGGGGTGGCCAGTCCTAATGCGCATGGGCAGGCGGTGACGAGCACGTTGGCGGCTAGCTGGGCTGAGAGCAGCAGCGCGGCGGCGGGGGAGGCGGCGGAGGCGGCGGCGGAGGTGGCTAGGACCTGGGGGTTGGGGTTGGGGTTGGAAAGATTGAAGGGGGTGGTGTAGAGGGTTTGGTGCTGGGACTTGGGAGTTTGGTAATTCACCCAACTGGGCAATTGCACACGCTTATGTAGCTGAACGCGCTCATTGCCATCATACACATCTTCCGACAATCCAGTAAGTTCCTACTAGCGGTCAGCCTTCGTAAAACACACGACGACACAACAACACAGCCACGCAGCACACCTGCGGGAATATCTTGGTCCCCAGGGTGGCCCAGAACACAAAGGTGGCGGCTGAGAGGCCCATCACGCCGAATGCGAAGCGCCCCGCCACCTGGTCAGCTAGACGCTGGATGGGCGCGGTGCGGGCCTGCGGGTGGGGGAAAGGAGGCAAAGAAAATGAAACCTCTCGACTCTCAATGCCCCGAAATCCAGATGCCGTCGGACCGGCGAAAGCATGGAGACACCTGTGTACGTCCACTCCCCTCACCGCACCTGCGCCACCTCCACCTCGTCTCCCGGATCCCCGCCCCCGGGCCCCACCCCCACCTGCGCCATCTCCACCTCGTCTCCCGGATCCCCGCCCCCGGGCCCCACCCCCACCTGCGCCATCTCCACCTCGTCTCCCGGATCCCCGCCCCCGGGCCCCACCCCCACCTGCGCCATCTCCACCATGCGCACGATGTCCGCGATGACGGTGGACTGCCCGCTGTGCTCCGCACGCACCGTCAGACAGCCGTCGCAGTTGACCGTGCCAGCCGTCACCGGGTCACCTGAGGGGGTGTAGGGGCGTAGGGTTGGCGGGCTAATCCGCTAAGGGCTGAATCATTATGAACATATACCGTAAGCCAAAAACTAAATCCTTTAAGGCTAGGGTTGTACGGGGACGAGCTGTATGACAAGGTACTTCTGCACCCCGCCCGCCCGCCTCCGGCCCGCCTCTCACCCTCCTGCTTGGTCACCGGCAGCGGCTCCCCAGTCAGCGCGCTCTCGTCCACCGCGCTGCGCCCGCCCACCACCCGCCCGTCCACTGGCAGGCGGTCGCCGGGCAGCACCGCAAGCAACTCGCCGGGGGAGACGGCCTCCGCGGGAACCTGCGCGCATGCGTGCAGGGTGTGGCAGGTGGGTTCCGCTGTTCACCAGAGCCCCCTGGAGCAGCCCGGCAGACGCCTCCTTAGCTGTGCAAGCTTGCTCACCTCCCGGAGACAACCTCGCGTCCCCCCTCATCCCAGCCCTCACCCCACCAGCTGGAAAGCTGCCTCTGGCTCCATCCGTGGCACCTCATTACCTTGGCACCTCAGCCATCAGCCCATATCAACTGGAGGACAACCTCGCGACCCCCCCTCAGCCCAGCCCCCCAGCCGTGTCACACAGCTCGTTAGTTGCCTCGTCGGTTTCCTTATTTTACCCACCTCTGCCAGCTTGCCGCCCCCCAGCACCAGTCGCGCCCGCGAGGGCAGCAGCTCCTGCAGCGCCGCCATGTCGGCACTGGCTCGCAGCTTGGCGCGCTCCTCCAGGGCGCGACCCGCCAGCACGAAACCTGGGGGGGAGGGGCAGGTGGAGGGGAGAGAGGGGGAGCAAATGAGTTTTCACATAGCAAGCGCTAACGGGTGAGGAAGACGGAAGGAGGGTGAAGCATGCCGGTGCTGGTACCACGGTGGGGAAGGTGAGGGAAGAATTGGGTGGAAATTGGCGACGATGGAAGGTGCTGGTGGAGGAAGCAGCAGCTAAGCAGGCACTTGGATGCCTTCCGCCTGGACCCTACCAGTCCGCACCCCTGCCTAGCATTCACTTCCAGCCCTTCTGCCTACCCTCCAAGGCACCTCTCCTAATTCCCCCTAACCTCTCCCAGCGCTTACCCAGTAGCATGGCGGGCTCCTCAAAGAACGTCCGCCACCCCAGACCCGGCAGCACCGCCGCCACGCAGCTCACGCCGAACGACGCGCCCGCACCCAACCCAACCAGCGTGTTCATGTCCGGCCGGCCCGCCACCAGCGCCCGCAGCCCCGAAACCATGATGTCCCGGCCGGGCCCCAGCATGGCTGCAGCCGACAGCGCTGCGTTCAGGGGTACGGAATGCAGCACGCAGTGTAGCCAGGGCGGGAAGGGTGAGGAGGGCAGGGCGTGGGCTAGGTGGCCCAGGCCGCAGACGGCAGCTAGGCCCCAGGCGAAGATGAGGTCGGTGGTGGCGGCACGCAGGCGAGCGACTTTGGCGGCGCGTTTGGCGGCGAGGGCGGCGGCGAGTGAAGAGGAGGAGGTGGAGGGGTCGCGGCGCTTGGAGGGGAAGCCGGCGGAGGAGAGGGCCTGGGGTGGGAAGGCGTGGGGGGTAAATGGAGGGGGTTGTTGGTCTAGGGGCCATAGCGACTAAGGAGTGGAGGAGACGGTAGTAGGTGAAGTAAGGAATGAGGTTGAGGGAGTACGGTATGTGGGCAGAGAGTTGGGTGAGGCTGGGTGCGACCTTTGGGGCTCGCAGTTTTGCGCTGGTTTGGGGAGTCTCTCGGCTCCCAGACGTGCATAATCTAGGCGCATGTGAGGCTGCCGTAACTGGTAAAGGTAACATGTAAGGGTTCGAGTTACAATCTTACAAACGTCAACAGACGTCAAACACCATCAGTCAGAGCTCATAATGGTGAGCTAGTAAGACGCTACACATCAAACAAAATGTCTTCTTCTTCTGTGCACTCCCCGCCACCGCCGACCAACAACACAACGGAGTCTCGCAAGCAGCGGCACGTACGGCGGGGTGCAGTACAGTACCCAGTAACCAACTTCTTTAACGGTTCGTGAAATATACATCCATGCCCTACGCCGAGGTCCCAAAACCTTCTAACACACCGGTAGTTGCTACTAACCCAGCCATCCTCGCCTTTGTGTGCTGTTTGGGGACTGTCCAGCCCCGCCCCTCAGTCGACAAGTCGGGTGGTTTTTAACTAATAAGATGGCGCCAAAAGTGTAACCCGTTGGGGTTGCTCAACAACAGTTGTTATCCCGCTATGTTACAGGATTGGACAGCCTGGAGGTCTAATCGCAATAATGATACGGCAAACACACAGCACTACTGCGATGAGCACGCCAAACAGCACGTGCTGCTTGCAGCACGGAAGTACTCGAACAGTGAAGTGCTGGCCTCTCCAAAGGCAGAGCTCAGACATTGCAGAGGCTCATGACCTCTCCTAGGTAAGGTGGTGTGCACGTAGATATATGTTTCAGCCCTTCTCGGGTTGCCAGGTTGGTGTGCTCCTCCACGTCCTTCCTAACCAGCCCACGCCGCAGCCTGGGTCTATCAACTGTCCTGGCAAACGGCCACCGCTTCCGCCGCACGGAGATTTGGGGACTTCTTAGGGCCGGATTCGACATTGGAAGCCCTCTTTGAGCAGCACCTACGCGGCAATTGTGCCACGGCGACAGCAGCAGCAGCAGCAGCGGCGGCAGCAGCAAAAGCAGGAGCAGGTTGTGTCGCTGTCTGGGAGGTGTGACACGCTACGTCCGCCGCCGCCCAAGTACCGAGTTGAAGGTGTTGGGGTTTTATTCTAAATTTATTCTTCTGTGCACGGTAAACTGCAGTATGGCTGCTTTGTCTTAAGAGCAGAAGGTAAGCAACACGCCCCCCAATGGACTTCAACCTTTTTGTCTTTCAGTGCTCACAGCTGGTCGAAAGCCTTATCCTTGCCGAAACCCCAAACTCGATCCACTGCACTTCAGCCCTGCCCACCTGCGCAAGCTTCTCCCCCATCGCCGCAACAGCTGCTCCGCTACCGCTGCCGCCGCTAGCTCCGGCATTAGCCCCAGCAGTAGCGGCAGTAGCACCCGCGGCGGCAGCTGCTGCTACTGCCGCTAACCGCATGGCTCCTGCACCACTGCCGCCACCGCTGCTGCTGCTGCCTCGGGGCACTAGCACCCGCACCAGGGCTGTTTCCGTGGCTAGGTTGACGGAAGCGCTGGTGACGCCGGGCTGTGACTCCAGGATCTTCTTGACATGGCCCACGCAACCGCCGCATTTCATACCTGCAGCGGGAGTGTGATTCAGCAGCCGAGGTCAGGGGTTCAGCCTAGACTGCCTTGGGAGGGTTATGCGAATTGAGGTTAGGTGGGCATGATGCGGGAGTTACGTGGATAACGGTGTGTGCTGGCATGGGCTTACCTCCTACGTCCAGAAGCACGACTTCCTCGACCAAGTCGCTTGCCTCGGCCACATCGCCCAATATACTTGCAGAGCCGCGCGCGGGAGTTGAGTGACCATCGCCTCCGCCTCCACCGCCGCCTCCGAAACCACCGAGGCCACCGCCCGCGCCATAACCGCCACCTACACTTGCGTTTGCGGCTTGGCTTGCCGCGGCGCAAAACTGCAATGTCGTTGTAGCGACCGTCGCACGGAAAAGCTTCCAGGCCCATGCAGTATGCGGCGAATTGCTCTGGTTGTTAGCGCTAGTTCCTGGACTGGATGCAGCGACTGGGAGCACAACTGGTCTGCATCGTCTTGGCTGGCGAGTCGCCAATGGGCGCGCGTTACTCTGGCGCTGTGCGACAGGCACCATCTTTGTTATTATAGGTACATGTGCGTTACTTATTGCTGGTTAAGCGACTGCAGACCTTGACGCAAAGCTTAACAAACTCATCAAATGGCAAAGCGTAGAACCTAGGATCTTGACCGAGAATGTAGTATGCCAGTGATTTGTCTGTGCTTGCATTCGGCTGTAAACCGAAGGCGCGCTCGGGATAGGGATCAAGGTGTTGGTTCCGGAGCCTGCGTTGTGGATGCGTTAAAGTGCTCGCGAGACAGTTGGTTCTCAGGTGTTTTTCGAACACAGTTGCTGTTTTCAATTGTGTTAAACGCTTCCTCGCGATGGATCGCTAGTGTCGCACGCCTGCCGTTAAGCTTGCTTGCAAAGCCACAACTGATTTATCATACGCAAATTTGTCACGTAACGTCTGTACCCTTTAATGACATGCAAAGTGTAGTTCTCTGCTGTATGTTTCATGATCAACTTATGCAATGCGCGTTGGCAAGATACGAGAGAAGCGCCATTGCAATGTTACAACCAGCCCCCGCAAAGCTGCGGCAACCAAAATGGTGCAGCAATATGCAAACAACGCCTGCGAAATCGTCGTCCAGTTGCAAGTCGAGCCCCTCTCCCTTCGCCCATTGCCCCTCGTCGGCTGCTATGTTGGCTGTTGCACACCTTGCGCAGCACCAGCTGCCCCGTTTCCCGGCTACTATTCCCCCTTCCCAGCGCCTTCAAGCCAGCTCCAACTGGCACCCCACAGCAACCGCATTACTTCTTCACGGACCTGCATTGGGACAATGAGGCAAGAAAATTGCCGAGGTTAAACAGCAGGCCAAAGACTACGGCCGCAGCTCCAGCTCAGAACGGCATGCCTTGGCCTTAATGTGCTTCTCCGGTAGTCAAGATCCTTCAATCCACAGCTCGTCACACTACGTACAGATCCAGGTGAGTCCCGGACGACCTAGCTGCGCAGCAGCTGGTGGTTGAAACCCGACAACCCCGACAACCCCCTGCCAGTAACGACCGGAAGGCCGCCCGCCAAACGAAAGCCCTGCTCACCTGAAGCCGCCAAACTGGCTGAAGTACGACTGCGTGCCATCCTTGGTGTCCAGATCCGTGCCGAAGCGCGCCGAGGGGTTCTCCAGCTCGATACCCTGGGTACAATAGACACGCCGCAGCCGTTAGGACTCGGTCGCTATGATTACGTAGAGCCGCAACGCAGGAGATCCTGAACATAATACCATTCCCTATCCTTTTCCATGTCATAATGCCGTACAAGGTACAACAGCCTTTAGACTCCTCGCCTCCCAGCCGCCCCGTACGCAGCTGCACCCCACCTGCACGGGTGTGAAGGCCAGCGAGGAGGACAGCCCCGACGTGGCGCCGCTGCTGCCGTACATGCGCGCCTTGAACTTCTTCTGCTGCTTGGCGCTCAGCTTCTGCTTCTGCTGCGAGGCCACGATGCGCAGCCGCCCGCTGCCCTCCTTGCCCAGCACACCCAGACCAATCGTCTGCGGGCGAGAGGGGAGGGAGGTAAGCAGGGGGAAGTCATTTTTACCCTGTTCACCCCCACAACCCCATGCAGCCCTCCCTGCCTCTCCCTCCACCCCGCCGCCCACCACCAACCGGCCCACCCCAACCCGCCCACTCCCTCCGTGCATGCACTGTTGCACTCACATCGTCTCCGTCCACAAACTCCTCCTCCGCCTCATTAAACATCATGCGGTTGGCGGCCTTGCGCATGTCCGTCAGCCCGTACCGCTCCTTCATCTTGCGCAGCCGCCGACCGCCGCGGCGCTTCTTGGCCTGCAGCGGTAGGGGGGTCAACAAAGGAGGCCGCGTGAGGTGGAGAGGGAGAAGGGATGAGCGGCAGACAGAGAGGACTTGGAATTGACTAGGGCGCAACCGGGTTTCTTAGGAAAACCAAAAACTACAGAGGACCGAGCTCAGCCCAAGGCAGGCACAGAAGCACTGCACCCAAACAACAGTGTGGCCCACCCCAACGCCCAACCTCTGCGTCTGGAATGGGTAGGGGTTTGATCTGCTTGGCCGGCGGCGGCTCCTGCCACTTCTCGATCTTACGGATCACCTCCGCCTTCATCTCAGCACCGTAGACCCCCTGCACGAACACATCGGTAGACAACGCCAGTTGGTACCGGTATACAAATGCAAAAGGGTACCGGTATCGCAGGGCCCCCATCCCCCAGTCGTTACCGGCAGCTCCAGTCCTCGCAACCTCCTCCCTAAGCCCCCTGTCTCTTTCCCCTTCCCCAAGCATCCTAACCCCATCTGTCTCCTTCCGCTGCACTCTCTACGACTCTTCCTCCCCTCCTAACCCCTTTGCCCTCCCCTTCCCGCACCGTGGGGTCCTCGCCGTACGCGTCCTTTCGCGCCAGCAGCGTGCTCTTGGCCGCTATGAGCCGCGCCGCCTTGCTCCGCAGCGAGGGCGGCGTCTGCGCCATGATGGCACAGCCGCTGATGAAGCCCTGGTGCGGCTGCGCGGTGGTGGAGCTGAAGCCGGCAAGCGTCTTGCGCTTGGCGCCCAGAACCTAAATGTACAAATAAATGGAATGGATATGGATATGGATACGGATAAGAAAATGGAAAGAATATGGAAAAGGGAGGGGTAATGCGTATAGGGGTTCATGGCAATGGCAGGCAGGCGGGAAGGATGGTGGCGGGAGGCAAGTAGGCAGCATGGAGGGCTTGCTATGCTTGGCGTGCATGTATGCTTGCGCAATGCATGTGTACCTGAGCGGGCAGCAGCTGCAGCAGCGCCCGCCCCACCCCCGCCCCCCACCTGCACCTATACAACAACTACAATTATATGCTAATTCTACTATCCAGCCTAATGCGGATTCTGTTTCCAAATTACCCCCACCTGCACGTTGCATGCGGGCATGCGAGACAGCGCCAGCAGCCCGCCCGCCACACCCATCAGCTTGGCGGCGATCTCGGTGCCCACCACCGCGGACAGGTTGGGCGCCACCTGCGTCATCTTGCTCTCCACGAACTGCAGGACCTGGGGGAAGGGAAGGGAGGGAGGGAGGAGCAGGGAGGGATGCGGAGGGGGGGGTAGAGGAGATGGATATTCCGCACTGGGCGATGGGGGCGGCCGGGGCAACATGCAGCGGCAGGCGGCAGCAGCGGACCATGGAAGGACGTCAGCAAGGTGTTAGGGTGGCCGCAATGCAAGGTACCGGCCCAGCCCCCACCGTGCGCTTGTCCTCGTCCAGCTGCACCGCCATGTCGCAGCCCGCCATCACCCGACCCAGCGCCTCGTCGTCCAGCGGCTTGCCTGCAGGGGCAGCCAAGGCGGGATTAGGCAGCGTGACCCGCGTGGAAACACTTGCCAGGGAGAGAGGGAAGGCGCCGGGAGGGAATGTGGAGGGCGGAGGACAGACGTTATCTTCCGTGGCACGCCATCATCTTCCAGTCCGGTCTTCCCATGATCACGGCCAGTGTTCCGCCGCGGCTCCGTGTTCCGAGGTTCAGTGCCAACAGGGTGCCCCACCTGACGTGGTGGTTGCTGTCACGGTTACCACCATGACAGTGGCGGCCGGCAGCATGTCGTCCAGCGGCACCAGCGTGAGGTCCATCTCGTTGCCAATGCGCTGCACCACACGCGCGTAGTCCAGCGGGTGGTGCACCTGCGGGGCAGGGAGGGGAGAGGTGGGAAGAGGGGAGGAGGGCCCAGCGGTCCCAGCGCAAACCCCCGATGACTTGACCGGTCCCAGTCCGTCATGCACGGTTCATTGCCATTTGCTCCCGCCTCTCCCTCACTCCTGGCACGTCCCCAGCGCCCCGCTGCCAACATGGCGCCGTACATGACCACCAGTCCCCTGCACTGCATCCCCACTGCGCCTACCAGAGTCACAACGTACCAGGGACTCTAGCTCGGGGAACTTGGGTCGGTATTTGTCGCGGATGAAGTTGTGTACGACAGCGATTTCGTTGTCGATGTCAACCGCCAGTCGGTTGCACTCCACCAGCAGCCTGTGTTGGGAGGCGAGGAGGAGGAAGAGGAGGACGGGGGAGCAGCGAGCGGCCGTTGAAGCAACGGGTGTGTGTAGTTGAGTAGAAACAAGAGCAAGCAGTTGGGATAGGTTCGCATGTGAACCGCGAGTATAGTCAAAACAGAGGCAAAGCAGAGATTAACAAACCAACGGGTGTGTGTGTGTGTTGTGCAAAGTTCAGGGTCTGTGTGGAGCCAGGGGGACAAGCGCTTCACGGCGCCCTATCAACACAGACCGTGATGTCTCCTTCCCCAAACACATCAAACCATGCCCCGCCAAGTCCTTCGGCGGCCCGAAGGCAGGACGTGAAAGGCCCGCACAACGCCGCGTCCCTGGACAGCAGGCAGCTTGCCATGCTGTAGGGTGCGCAGGGGCGGGGCACATGCTGTACATCCAAGTAGGTGGCCCCCAGGCGCCCCTAGAGGCTGTACATCCAGGTTGGCTCCCCGGCGCTGCTGTGGTCACTGCGCTTACTTGTAGGTGGGGTCCTCCTCCAGGGGCCCCGCTGTTCGCCGCTCCTCTCCTGCTCCTGCGGGGGCGTCTGCGGATGTGGAGGCGCCCTCCAGCGCGGCACGTACCCGCTGCAGGAGGAGGCCAGGAGGAGGGGGCATGACGGGGATCGGTCATGAGACACTCTGAGCACAACAGGGCAGACGCAGATATAGCCGTTCCCCCACCGGATGCCCTCATGCGCACCCCTGCCTTCGTGCACACAAGGCACACCACCCCTCCCTACAAGTTCAACCCGCCATGCATCTCGCTCCCCTGCCGCCAGCCGTATCCCCACCTGCAGTACGTCTTTGTAGCGGTGCTCGCTGGTAAGCTTTGCCACCGCCGACAGGTCATCAAAGTTCAACGCCTCGATGTCATCCATCTGTTGACAACGAAAGAGGAGCAGTGGGCAGCGTGATTTGCTTGTAATGGAAAAGCGAGTGCAGCGGGACACAGGTAACTGGGCAGTTGATGTACGGCAAAGGTAGAAAGCCTGGACGTGCTTCACCGCTTAAGTGGCGTGTTGTCGCGTCGCATGACTGGGGAAGGGTTTGGGAGCGAACAGGCAAGGCAGGAAGACCAGGTCCGGCTAGAGGAAGTAAGGGGATGGAGAGGGACGGAGAGCTACCAAGAACCAAGTGGGTAGCCCACGAGAGGAGGCCGGATGCGGCGGCAACCATCCATGCCATAGAGGACGCCTCACCCCATCATCCGCCTCCTCCTCTGGCTCCTCCGACTCCTGCTCCGGCTCATCCTCAGACAGATCCTCCAGATCCGCCAGGAAACTCTCCGCTAGGGTTGCCATTCTACTAAATTAGCCCGTCGACTGGGCCGACAGGCCGAGCGAGGTACCAGCTTTCAGCTCAATAACCGTATGCTTGTATTTATTTACAGCGTGTATGGATTAGTGTCAGCGTGTTGTTCGTAAGCGCAAACAACGTTATGTAACAAAATCTATGGCACACTATCCTCTAGTATCGACGAAGAAATATAGCTGGACACGACAGAAATATGCTGGAAAGTATGAATGCTCCGTTGGGCCGGTGGCTTAGTTGCCAGGCTTCAATGCGCAAGACTTAACCGTACTCATGTTACTGATGCTAGCCACTGGCGCTACCTCGTCTTCAACAAGTAAACTTAATTTCATAAACGTGATCCACTTATATGTAAAGCTGCCAGCAACTCAAGCGTGTTGAATCCTGGCTGTCTGTTGTAGACTGATTGACACCACGGTCCGAAGATGAAATTTCAGGCGGTCTCTGGGCCCCTTGTCATAGTATTATGCATCTTTTCATTCCTCTTTGGACGCTTCACTCAACAGGGCTCGCAGCTGCCGGAGCCCCAGGCCGTGACGGTGGGTGGACTGTCAACGCTCCAGTCGCTTAAGTGTCACTCTGAGCGTCCGTTCTCCTTCATGACGTGGCGTTGGCCTGTACTTGCCAAAGAGCCTTTAAAGAAGTCCCCAAATGTTTCCCTTACTTGACCTGTACAGCTCGCTGGCACTGCCCGGAAGTTAGGCTCCGCGGACTCCTCCATAGCCTCCATCCACACACAGCAGCAGACCGCCGCGGTGTCACCCGTTGCGCTCCTGCCCCAGCCTAAGGTCAGCATCAACCCTCTCGACCCCGCCCAGCTGCAAAACTGGGTCCTCGACAGCACTGGACTCCTCAACGTGCGGCCCCCTTTGCCAGCCGCGGAGTCAGGCTCCGATGTGACGTACATCATTCCCTTCCAGGTGGGCTTGGCTGCCTCCTGCAAACCCTGCTGTTGTACAGTTGAGGCCTAGCATGCTACCAACGCTTAATTTCCGCACGCTGACGGGATTAACCCGCAAGCCGGCACAACGTATGATACAAGGCGGGCCCTGTCCACCGCTTTGGTGCCTCAGGGCCCCATGGCGTTAACAGCGGGCTGCCTCTGGCTCCCGATGACGCACAACCATGCAAGACTTGCCTCGCCTCCATGACGCCCCTTCTCTGCCGCTACCCTCTCTTCACCCTTCTTACTTTCCCACCACCCAAACCTCCCTCAGTTAGTTAGTTGTTTCCTCTTTTCCCACCCGCCCCAGATTCTGTCATGGTACCCCCGCATCGTGGTATTCCCCGGCTTCATCGACAAGGCCCGCTGCGACTACATCATCAAGCTCGCATCCAAGCTCATGTACCCCTCAGGCCTGGCGTACAGGTGGGATGGGCGCCGCGCCGCTGCATGCTGGGGTCAGGCCCTGCCCCAGGGGAACGGTGTTTGAACTGCAGGAGTCGGGATATGGAATTGGGACTCCGTTGCCCCACTTTTCATTCTGTTTCCCTCCTCGCCCCCTCCCCCCCACAGGCCAGGTGAGGCGGTGGACGCCAGCCAGCAGACGCGCACCAGCACCGGCACCTTCCTGTCCTCCGGCATGGACCCGGAGGGCGTGCTGGCGTGGGCGGAGCAGCGCATCGCCGCAGCCACACTGCTGCCCGCGGACAACGGAGAGGTGGGGTGGGGGAGGCTGAGTGGGGAGCGCGGAGGAGCCCGCTTCGGAGCTTAGGAGGGCTTTGCTTCGCATCTGGAGGACTCCCAGCTGCTTTGCAGACTGTGTATGTATACATGGGCTCTTGTTGTGTCTTCAGTCGGGTGGTACGGATACCGCACCGGTGCATCTCCACGTGAGTCTCTTCGGAGGTCTATCGCCTCTTCCCCAACCCTCCTTCCTCCTCCCTCCCAACGCACGCCTCCCAACGCACCTACTTACCTCCCCCCACCCGCACTGCTGCGCACCCTGCACGCCGCCTGCAGGCCTTCAACGTGCTGCACTACCAGAACAGCCAGCACTACGACTCGCACATGGACACCTTCGACCCCAAGGACTTTGGCCCGCAGCCCAGCCAGCGCATCGCCACCGTGCTGCTCTACCTCAGCGAGCCGGAGGAGGGCGGGGAGACGGTGTTCAAGCGGGAGGGAGTGGACGGTGAGAGGGAGGGGGCCAGAGAGGCAGTATACGGGTACCCTTTTGCAAACCCGCTAGTTAGGGAGGCATGGTGCGGGGATGGGTTAGGAAAAGGAGACGCCACTCTGCCTAAGCCCCGCAGTCGCCCTCTTTTTTGCCCGCCTTGGTTTCCTTCCTGCTCTGCTGCGCCCTGCCCTTGACTTCCCGACCCTGTTTTGCTCCTTGCTCCTGCCTCGCAGGCGCCGATCGGCCCATCCAGGATTGGCGCAACTGCGACGACGGCTCCTTCAAGTACAAGCCGCGGCTGGGCGATGCGGTGCTGTTCTGGAGCGTGCTGCCCAACGGCGAGATCGACCCGCATGCACTGCACGGCAGCTGCCCCGTCAAGAAGGGCGAGAAGTGGGCAGCGACCAAGTGGATTCGGTCGCGTGGGGCGCAGGGGTACTAGGGGTAGGGCAGGGACACGAACGAGGCGTGTAAATGGCGCTGGGTGCTTTACTGGTTGTGGGCTTGTGGCATTGTTGGTGCGTGGACTTGGAGGCCGGGGAGAGGCACATGGACAACGTATGTGTACGCATGGAGGAGGAAGACTACTCCTTCCCTGTTAGTGCGCTGGCGTGGGCGTCAGGGCGGCAGGGACAGGGCATTACCGGTGGTGTGTTGCCTAAATGGCTAATGAAAGGGCGTGAAGGCAGGAGCTTGCGCGTGATTGCAGGTTAAGGAGACTGACCGCGCGTAGGAACGTATCGTGATTTCCGGAATTATGTTGAAGGAAGACTGGTTGCGAAAGTATGTATTTGTGTCGATGTGATGTCCCGGGCTATCTAATCACAGCAAGACGTGTAGGAGTGGGGCGCGCACGGCAGCAGAAGGGCAGCGTGTCGATTTGGGAAGGGTACGAACGGCAGCTGGCGGTGGGGTCACGGATGCCGTCAGTTTGCACACTCTCCTTCATCATAGTGATGGTGGTTTTATTGTAGTGGTAGTGGTTTGACACTTTCACGGCCCTGTTGGGTGAGGTGAAGCCTTGAGGGTAGGATCGGGGGCTACCTCCTCCTGCTCCTAACCCATTGTCCATATGCGTACGGTTTCCCGCTCCAGCTGCGATGGTGGTCCGCTTGACTTCCGTCCTAGTGCCCCGAGGTGGCGCCCAATGAGTATCCTGATGACGTGGAGGGGCTAGGTCAGGCGCTCGTGGTGTTTCATGGTGGCGGCTGTCACGAATTCGAGGTTGCCAAGATGATAATGATGATATACAGCTTGATGCTCCTAAGGGCATTTGATCTTTTTTGCCTAGTCGTATTCGAAGTTGGCCTACTAGGGTCTTGCCAATGCAAGAGATGCCCCAGGTGGTTTTCGCAGCTGTGGGATTGAATGGCCTGGTCGGAACCTTTAGGGCCTTTTTGAGCCTTTTCTCTTCTGCTGCCCGTCGATTGAAGCTGATTGAAAAGCACACATTCAGTAAATACCCGGTGCTTGACCTGGTAATTGGCATTGCTAAGAGGGAACTCGGGCAAGGGGGCGCATCCTGTGTTTGGGGATCAGTATGAGTAAGTGTCGCGCATAGATCTCCCTTTAGCCATTACGAAACTGCTCGACAAGTGTCCCGCCGTTCTAATACGCAATGTTTTGTTGCAGGGTAGCGGACTGGGGGCCCAATGTCAACGTTGCATGCGGACTTACGCCTCGTTTAATGTCACTTGAGCATAGTATTTTCAATATTAGAATCTTCTTACGTCCGATCTACCTTGCCTAAACTACCAGCAGCAGAGTATAGGGGAAAAAGGGATGGTCAGAGTATAGGGGCGCTGTACCGGATGGTCACGGTATCGTACGGACGTACCTACAGTATGCAGTAAGCGGGCGGGCTGGTTACATGTCTGTGTCCGTCTATTGTTCCGTAAGACGTACCTTTCTATCACTTCTTGTCACCAGTCATGGTTTGTGGCATTCAGCCAGGACGGTGTAGATAATGTTGGCCCCCAGAGGGCTACTAGGACGTTACATGAATACCTGGAAGTGGATTGCAATCTATCCATTGCTCTTTGCTTGCTTGGTTTTCAAGATAGTTGACGCGGGCACTAACGAAAGCTTAACGTTCACTCTTGCGAGCGAGGATGGCTTTTACTACCCGGTTCTCGAGAGGTACTTGGATACTTCCAATTACTCGCGCATTGTATGGAGCGCTCAAGAGCTGCGTTCGCTTCCCCTCTTCAATGCCACAACAAAAAGCATACCAGTGACCAGTACATACTCTGTTATTAGTGGCTCCTTTTTCAGCATTTTCTTAACAGATCAAGTCCAGCTATGGAAAGGGGAGAATGATACTATTACTACTCCTGCATGGTTTGACGTCCGCGATGGTACGCTCTCCCAAAGGTTTAGCTTTCACTAACCATTGAGGTGGCCTTCGTCACGTTCGATGCCGAAGCCTACATGTAGATGAATTTCGCTGGCCGTCCGCGCAGTAATACACATCGTCTGCCCCATGCAGGCGGCGAGTTGCTACTTGTTGGATTCTCCCTAAACTGGTCTCCACAGGTTGGAGCACAGTTTAAGACATCCACCCTTATGCAGCTGCTGTACGCGCGCCTTAGTCTCTACGTCAGGTTGTCCGGAAGCGGCAAGTTGCAGCTGCTGCGTACAACCATTGAGGGCTTAACATGCGACGGCCTGGAGAGGTTGAACGACAACCTCACAATTCTGGCGAGCCATCCCAACTTGACACAATGGGTCCAGCCTGTTATGCGGGTACGACAGGGCCAGGCGCAACCGGTCCGTTTGGCAGGGTGTTAGGAGCCTGGGGGCGACCAATCCGTTGGTTTCAGGGCCAACGGGCCCTGCTGGGGTCAGGAAACAGGCACGTAAGGAACCATGCGCTAGGACGGGGCTAACGGCCAAAGGGCATAGTGCATACTGCTGGTACAGGCATGCCAACATGCACGGCAACACTATCAAGCTGCCGTCCTAGCTCCAATGCGTCGACCCTATGCGTGACTGTTGCTTTCTGAGGGATTTTGATGCTGTTGCCGCCTTGGGTGTTGCAGCTGACGCTGCACATGTTTGCTTGCGCCCTGTTTCTCCCCTGGCACTCCCCAGTACACCTTTCCCTACCTCTTTATCAAGTACGGCAGGCTGGGGCCGATCTGGGTCGAAGTAAGTACCACTACAGACATTGCACTACTCCAGTCTGTCCACCTAGCTGGCATGCACGACCTTACAGGTGTGCAAACCGGCTGCCTCAAAAGAGCTGCCCCATTAAGGTCACGGTTGCTGCAGTCCCTCCGTCCAGCTCCTATGGCCCTGCTGTTTGTTCCTTCACCCCAAGCTTCATCTCGCCATGCACAACACCGTTCGGGTGTCCCTTTGCCGGCTGGCCTGCTGATGTAGTGTCGCATCTGCCTCCCCTGCGGTGCTCTGCCTGCCCTGCAGGACCTCACAGTGACGTGCGCGGCGAACGCGGACCTCAGCCCCGCGGCATGTCCTCCGGCTGTGCCCAACGTGTACAACGTCAGCAGCCAGGAGGACATCCTCACTGCTCTTCAGGCGGTGGGAGCCACAAACGTGCGCACCTGCGTTACCCAGCGCACCATTCTTCACCTCGTCTCAGATATCACCCTTAATCCCTATACCTGGCCTTGGGAGTCCCTGGGCGTGTACATTACCTCAAACGTCACGTTTGAGGGGCAACTCGGCGCAAACACCGTGCTGGACTTTGGACTGGGGCTGAACCTGTTCAAACTGCGCGCAGCTGCATACGTACAGATCCGAAACCTGGTGATAGCGAACCTACCGCTTGCGCCCGCGTCAGGCTACGCGGTCCCCATGTGGGCCTTCCAGTACGTTCGGTGAGTACCTTGGGTTGCTACTGCTACCCCTTGGGTCTCACACAGGGGTCACGGTAAGCGTTTCCCCACGGCCCAGTTTACCTAATGACCCTTGTTGAGCCATGCTGTTCGACTTGTGACGCTGTTCTGCGCATGCGGCTGCTCCTGCAGGCGGCTGGTACCCGTGGACGAGGGCCGCGTGCACCTTGTGAACACGAAGGCCGTCATCACTCCGGACGAGTTCGTACAGGTGCAGTACTGGTCGTACATCATCGGCAGTCCCACGCGCATCATTGCTGCGCTGGGTGGCTGGCAGAGGCTGATCCAGAACATCACGACGGTAAGTCTGGCCCGGCAATAGTCCTGGTGGTCAAATGGGTAGCAAAGCGAGTGCTGGCTGGGGGCCTGGGGTGTTGCAAATGTGAAGGGGTTTGGGCCTTCGCGTCTGCCGAGCGAAAGCATGCTGTCGGGGCATTAGGCGTTTCCGTGGCTTTGCAGGCACGGGCATATGCCTAACAGCCAAGGGCCTAAGTGTGGGAGATGAGGGCGTTTGCGTTGTCCGCGTTCCCTTTTTAGGTGTCATTCGGAGTGGCATTCCTAATGTACCTGTTCCTCCGTCTACTACCTGTTGCCTAAGGAGAGCGGTGTCCCTCGGCCCGCCCCACACCCACAGGGAGTGTCCGATTCAGACTCTGTTACGTTTTTGAGGCTATGCGCCATGGGTATAACCGGGGAGAACCTGAGCCTGACGACCCATGCGGACAATGTACAGTCGATGCGCAATGAAACGGGCGTCATGCAGATCATTGACCTCATCAAGAGTGAACCGCCGTTCGTTGTTGCGCCCTACACAGCTGCGCAATTGAGGCGACTCGTGTGTGCCCCAGACTACCTACTCACACGCTTTGCGGAGCAGGACGGCATGACAAATGGCAACAGCACGCCTATCGTGTTGCTCCTTCAAAACAACATAACCCTAGACCGCGCAGTATGGCCAGCGGCAGGGTGCAAAGTGCAGCGTAAAGTTACGATTCAGGGGAAACCCTTTGCGGATATCTGGCTGGATTTCGGCGGTGGTTCATCCTTCTTCTCAGCAGTCGGTAACGGGCGTTTGGGCTTTAAGTATCTCACACTTCGGAACGAGAGCTGGCTCGCGGGTTACAATGCAACCGTGGCGACAACGGTGTCGCCATTGACTTTCATGCAGCTTGGTCTGTGGCCGGTTTCATTTGACAGGTAGGCCTGCTGAGGACATGTGCGTGGGCCGCAGGTACCTGCTCAAATTGGGTTTACCACGGGTTGTGCTACTCATTTCTTTTCTGGAGTAGATGCAATGTTTGTGCCGTTCTACAACCCCGTCCTGGTTACAGTCCATGCACAGGGGCTTGTAGCCATGCAGGTTGTCCCCTAAATCAGTCCTACATCTGTCGTGGTCATTCCTATCTCCCCAGAACAGGAGCCATTCTGCTTTCTTACTCCATATTCTTACCGTCTCTTTCTGCAGAACGTCCTTGACCCGTGTGCAAGTGACGTCCGTCACGTTGCTCATCTCCCGGCCTGAGCTTGATGTGTTGCTGGCTTGCGCGAACACGTACGCAACAAACAGCTCCGAAGTGAGCACAAACACGGCAGTGCTGGATGTCCTGAAGCCGGAGACGTGTGCCCAGCTGTTCCCATCCGACACTGTGGTAGGTGAACGGTGGATACATGTCGTTGCAGGTGTTTCACATATGCCCTTTCATTCCAGCCTCCAGCTTTGCAAGTACAAGTGATTTTGCCATGCATGTGCGTCGAAAAGGAATGATTTGATTGCTTCCATCACACATATGGCAAATGTTTGCAGTGTCTTTCTGGCACCCATTGTCCTCCATGCACACACTTGAAGCCCCGCTCTTGCCCGCGTGCCGTGCTCCAGTGGGCCAACACTAGCGGAGAGGCCGTCGGCATCCAGGTGTCTAGCATGCACCTCAGTGCTTTTGATGCAACTGATTTGCTGTTGAGCGTGGACCCATGGGTCACAAGACCTGACCTGCTGCAGATGTTGGCGGGTAGGTCGAGTAGGCGTGTCTAAACTTCATATTCCTAATGCATGTACAGTTGCATCAGTGCCATGGCGGCAAGTGCCGTACTCGGAATCAATCTCTTCTCAATCAATGTGCCAATCTCTGCTCAGAACACCGCTCACGGCTTGCCTCATACCCTCTGTAACCCTTCAGCGTCCCCAAGCGCCCACTCTGCCACCAGCGGAAAGCACTCGGGTGCCAATGGAAAGGCCGCCATTGGCGGGGCAATCGGTGGGGCCGCTGTCTGCTTGCTGCTCGCCCTTGGAGCTGTGTTGTACTGTACCCATCGCCACCGTCGCCTTCACAAGCATGAGGAACAGCTTCGTGGATTGCAAGCCAAGCAGACCACCCATCTTCTGGAGCTCAGCAAAACCAATCCGCTGGCACAGGTGATTCTTGACCACCTGGCAGGGAAGGACCCAGGGGTCGCCCATCTGGTGCTGAGCAGCGATGCAAAAGGCGGCAGCAGTGAGTGTGGCCAAGGTGTGTTGTATACACCTTTCACAGCTGCTGGTGCTCAGGGCCAGGTTGTGAAGAGCACCTGTGGAGACTGTAGCACTGGTGGCGGAGAAGCCACGACGAGTGGTGCAGCGGTTGGTAACACCACGTCACGGACAACACCGCCTGATGCCCAGATGAGCGTTGCTGCTACGGACTTGGTGGAGCTGTTCAAGCACTTGACCATTTTGGGGCTGGGAAACATGGCTGCTAAAGCTGGCGGCAGCGTTGTGAGGAACTCCATGGGCTCCGACGGCTGCAGAGTTGAAGTCACTCCACAGCGATCCTCAGACGACTTGGATGGCAGCAATCCGAATGGTGTAGTGACGATTGCAGTGAAGCCGGAACACATGAGTGGTGATGGCGACAAAGAAGCACCTGGAGGCGACAGGAGCACGCAGGAAGGGACGTCGTCTGGCCTGCTGGGCTTCTTACGAGTCATGGGGCGGAGGCTGTGGTGCTCCTCGAGTGCCAGCTCACCACTGCCAACCGCAGCAAGCCTTGGACATGGTGGCACTGATGCACAGGTCACCAGGGGGCATGACATCGAGCCTCAAGGTGCCAGCGACGGGGCCCGCGCTGAAAGCGCCGGCGAAGGTGCTAAACACCCTGTGGACAGGGATGGCTGTGCCGCTGATGCAGGCAAGAAAGCTAGCAGCGACAGGCCAGCTCGCTGCGAGGGTGAAGGTGCTGACAAAGCTCACAGCCGCGGGTCCTCACACGGTGCCAGCCGTGACATGGAGGGTGCAGATGTCAAAGCTGCAGCAGGGAAGGATACAGCAGTCACTGCTGCTGTGCCAACACTGCCTCAGGGCTTGCAGGAGCACGTGACACAGAGCCCAGTGTTGGAGGAGCTGCTGAGGCTGAGCGTGGATCTGGCGGGGGAGGTAGGTGGTGGGGTCACCTGTGGCCATCTATCTTATGGACAGAAACACGGGGGTTCTGACAGCAACTTGCTGGAGCCCAGGATGCCATAGATTGGGGTTGACAGCCTTCATGTACCACTATCCACTGCTCTTGTATTGCTCACTATGTATTGACACTGCTGCTCATCTTCCTCGTGTTGGCCCTGTGTCAATACTCCTGCTCCCAGATCGATGATAACCAGCTGATTGTGACGGAGGTGGTGGCCTGCGGCGGTTTTGGCACTGTGTACAAGGGCATGTGGCACAACCTGCCTGTGGCGGTGAAGGTCGTATTGTTCTCAACGGCCTCTGTGAACCGCCGAATAGCTCTCCAGGTGGGCAGGCCGGTGTACGTTTTTTGCTCTGCCTGGGCTGAACAAGTTGCATGTCTCATCCAATGGAAAGCATGCACCTAGACCACGTATAATAGGTACCGCTATGTTCCCAAACGTCTGGGTGTCTGGGCTCCCCTACCTGCTGTATGCAGGAGGCTGCCCTGTCCAAATCCATCAGTCACCCCAACATCATTGCCACGTACGCTGTGGACGTGAAGCCCATGACGGTGCTGCGCTGTGAAGGCAGCACCTGTCCCAACACCAGCAGCGGCTGCACCGCAGAGGGCAAGACCAAGAGCCTTGCAGAGATCCAGGTGCGGTCTGCTAGCTAGTTGTGATGGTACTGGAGTCTTAATAGCTTGCAAACTACCATGACACTAAGGACCATGGTGCATAGAGCATTCAAAACAGACACATGCCACAGACTCCCCCAACGCCTCATCAATACGTGACCTGACTACTTCACTCTTTTAGGGGTTTAATACGGTCTCCTGACATGTCTCCACCTCCACAAGCTGCAGCTCACACACGGGTGTCATGATGCAACTGATGAGCCATGTGCGCATGTGTGTTCCATCGCCCTTACTTGGCTTTCCTGCCGTAGGAATGGCGGCTGTACATCATCCAGGAGTTTGCGGATGGAGGCACACTGCGTCGGATGCTGGACAGGGGGGCTTTCCACGACCTGGCCACCGGCCTGCCGCGCCTGGTGAGGGGGACGGTGTCTAGGACGAGGGGCCGAGAAGGCTGTTTTGGGTAGTCAGGGCAACTTGTTGGCGGCAATTCAATTGTTTAGGTACTGGACATGCACTGAAGAGTGAGAATGGGTGCATAGCTTGCATAGAAGATGTCAATGTTGGTTGGGGTAGTCTGGTAGACCCTTCGTTCTTGCACAGGTAGGCCGGGCATCTCACGATCCCGTGACCAATCCCCGCACCTTTTCTGTGTGGCAGGATATGCTACTGGATGTGGCTCAAGGGGTGGCTGCGGCTCTGGCGCACCTGCACTGCAAGAACGTGGTGCATGGAGATCTCAATCCCAAGGTTGGTTGTCCTGGCAGGCCCGCGCCTGGCCTGAGGCCTGCCTGAAAATCACTGGTGGCAGGTGTTCCACAGAGCCGTTCAACACCGATGTGCCATTTCACTACCGTACATTGTACATTTAATTCGTGTGTTAAGGAAACTGGCAGACACCAACCACCGTTGCAGTGTAGGTCTTTTCCTCGAAACCCTGACGAACCCCGTTCACTCCCCTCCTCTTGCAGAACGTCCTCCTCAAGAAAGTCCCTGCGGCGCTCGCTGCCCGAGCCTCTGCCGCAGGCTGGGGACGGCCCGGCGGCTTCCCTGCCAACTACCCCGGCCAACCGCGTCCCAGCAACCAGCACCCGCAGCATCCACAGCACCAAGCAGCCGCTGCACTCGCTGCCGCCTCCTGCTACGGCAGTTACCCTCTCGCCGGGTGCTGCGGCTTTGCAGTCAAGGTTGCTGACTTTGGGCTGAGTGTGAAGATGGAGCACAGCCATATGAGCGGCATGCGGCAAGGAACCCCGTTTTATGCATCTCCGGTGCGTTACATGGTTGGTGCTTCTATGGCATTTGTCTGCAAACAAGATGCTCGCTTTTGGCTTGCCGCTGCGGTTGCCTGAGAGTTGGGTCTGGCGTCGTTGAACAACAGCAGCGGGTGGTGGAATCCACTCCAGCACTGCCGTAACACAACACGCTGGTTTACCGTGCCGTGTCCGGTTGCACTTGTTCTCCTTGCTGCTGCTCAGGAGCTAGCGCAACAGGGCATCATGTCGCGCGCTGCCGACACGTACGCGTTTGGCGTGCTGCTGTGGGAGCTGTACTGGGGGCGGCCGGTGAGTCCAGCAGCAGCGCATTGTGGTGCTGGCAACTAATTAGGCCGCCTTCACGAGTGTCACCACACATACAGGCGTGTCATTCTTTTGGGCAGCTCTGAGCTGAGCCTCGCACCCTTTGCCCCTGTAGTTCCACAATGAGCCTTTTGAGCCCTCACCGACTCCTTTCTGCATGCGCCCGTTGCCACCTGTTGCTGACACCCGTGCCGGTCCACCTTTGCCCTCACCCCGTATGCCCGCACCTTCCTCCACCTCCCCCAGATCTGGGTGCCCGACTCCTGGGCGGCCTGCGGCTATGTGCAGCACCAGGACTTCCCGCTGCTGCCGCCCGACTGCCCCACCGACTACGCGGCGCTCACTGCCGCCTGCCTGCAGGCCAACCACCTGCGGCGACCTGGCTTTGAGGAGGTGATGGCGCGGCTGGGCAACCTGGCGCAACAGCTGGTAAGGAAGGAGGGAGCAGGGAGGGGTTGATGTGGAGATGTAAAGGACTAATGGTAACGGTGTATGGCCGGGTGAGGAAAGAGGCACGAAGGCTTGGAAAAGGGGGTTGCTGGCAGGCCAAAGGTGCATTCGGTGCATGCATAACAATGCACGGCTCGAGATGGGACGCTGTCCAGTTGTTGCGGACGTATGTAGGTGTGCAGTGCAGCTCCGAGTTTGGTGTCCCCAGCGCGAGATCTGACCTGACCCTGATGCCCTGCCCGCTGCTGCGCAGATTGCGGCGTCCCTACCCATTGGCAACGCGGTCCCCGCCAGACCCTCGATGGTGCCCATGCCTGCAACGCCGCACGTGTCGCAGCCGATGGCCCAGATGCCGCCAGCAATGCTGCGACCCACGGGTCAGGAGGCCATGGCACAAGGCGGCCAGGACCGGCCAGGGGCAGCAGCCCATGCGGTTACTGCCGCTGCCATCAATTCTGCACAGGTGGAGGCGGCAGGGGCTGCGGGGCAGGTGCCAGTGCTCTCGCCGCCGTTGCCACAACCCAAGGAGACTAAACCCAATCCCTTATGATGCCGCAAACTTCGATACAGGAGGAACTGTGTGATAGTAGCTCCCACAAAAGGCGAATAGCGGTCTAGTTGGGATGTCCTTACTTATGACCTTTCTGCCAGTTACAAATTGTGCTTAAGTTGGGTTGTATTTAAATTACTTAATAGATTCTAATTGGCAACCATTACAGGTGATCCAGGGAACCGCATATACGCGACTTAGGACATGAGTGCCGGGGTTTGACGGCTGTTTTCTTTTTGAGTGTGTGAAGGGCTGTATGGAAGCGTAGCCCAGTGCCGTACCCTTACAGTGGCTACCGTGTTGCAGTGCGGAGGTGTGTCTTAGTCGTATTATCGCGCGTGTTAATATGTCCCTTTCTGGATTTGACAGATGCGTTTGCTGTGGCTGGGCGGCACCGCTTATCGAACATTGTCGGGGTTCTGGTGCCTGTCGGCTAGGCGCTTACGAAGGGTTCGGCGCCATGACATGCGCCTAAGGGACACAATGAAACACAATGATGCTTTGTCGTATGGTTTGTGGTTGGTTTGTTACTAAATGGGTAAACGTCGCAGTGCCGTTGAAGTACCGTTTCACATAATCAATGCGTAATGTGTGCGTATGTGGTATAGCATATGGGTCAACCCGAAAAAAAGTACTCGGAATGTGTACATCGCAGGGAAGACAACATCTTCCGTTAAGGGTTCAGAACACCCCGTTGCTGACAATTCCTGTTGTTACTTTCCGTTGGCGAGTGTTCCTTGACCCATTCTTGGCGGGTTTCATACCACATGATACTACACGAAGTTGAGTGCGTTGATAGGACTAAGTACCGTACGTGCATGTGGGCTTGTGCGTTATGTTCCCTGGACCTCGAAACTGAAAGGTGCCTTGCCTGGATTTGTAATATGAAAATGGGCCACAAACTTACAGCTTGTGTGGTAGTGTCCGCTGCTCGCGGCGGTCTTTTGTGCATATCCCCTGGCGCGGTACCTGCCACTCAAGCAGGATGTGCTGGGTACCGCGGTACGGACGAGGATGCGGAAGCAGCCATGGGCGATGAGAATGTATCTCCATGGTTCTGTGACTGGTTGCGCCCGTAAGCAAACGTTAATGTAGTACAGCCTTGCGCCGCATGGCCAACCTCCAGGATACCAGAGGATACACCCGCAACTGCAACTGCTATTTTTGTTGCATGCAACATGGCTACTGCACGCAACACCTGCCAGCAAACATTTTGGCTCAAAAGGAAAGCAGTGACAGCCGTCGGTGCCGCTGCACAGCAGGGCATTTGCCGTAGGGCCCAGTCAAGCTGTTGCCGTACCTTGCATAGAGCTGACCATGCATCGGACCATGGTCGGCGGGTGCCAGGTCGGCGGGTGCTAGGTCGGCGGGTGCCAGGTCGGCGGGTGCCAGGTCGGCGGGTGCCAGGTCGCGGCGGGTGCCAGGTCGCGGGGGGTGCCAGGTCGGCGGGTGCCAGGTCGCGGCGGGTGCCAGGTCGGCGGGTGCTAGGTCGCGGCGGGTGCTAGGTCGCGGCGGGTGCTAGGTCGCGGCGGGTGCTAGGTCGCGGCGGGTGCTAGGTCGGCGGGTGCCAGGTCGGCGGGTGCCAAGTCGGCGGGTGCCAGGTCGGCGGGTGCCAGGTCGGCGGGTGCGAGGTCGGCAGGTGCGAGGTCGGCGGGTGCCAGGTCGGCGGGTGCCAGGTCGGTGGGTGCCAGGTCGGCGGGTGCCAGGTCGGTGGGTGCCAGGTCGGTGGGTGCCAGGTCGGCGGGTGCTAGGTCGGCGGGTGCTAGGTCGGCGGGTGCCAGGTCGGCGGGTGCTAGGTCGGCGGGTGCTAGGTCGGCGGGTGCTAGGTCGGCGGGTGCTAGGTCGGCGGGTGCTAGGTCGGCGGGTGCTAGGTCGGCGGGTGCCAGGTCGGCGGGTGCCAGGTCGGCGGGTGCTAGGTCGGCTGGTGCTAGGTCGGCGGGTGCCAGGTCGGCGGGTGCCGGGTCGGCGGGTGCCGGGTCGGCGGGTGCCGGGTCGGCGGGTGCCAGGTCGGCGGGTGCCAGGTCGGCGGGTGCTAGGTCGGCGGGTGCTAGGTCGGCGGGTGCCAGATCGGCGGGTGCCAGGTCGGCGGGTGCCAGGTCGCGGCGGGTGCCAGGTCGCGGCGGGTGCCAGGTCGCGGCGGGTGCCAGGTCGCGGCGGTTGCCAGGTCGGCGGGTGCCAGGTCGCGGCGGGTGCCAGGTCGGCGGGTGCTAGGTCGCGGCGGGTGCTAGGTCGCGGCGGGTGCTAGGTCGCGGCGGGTGCTAGGTCGCGGCGGGTGCTAGGTCGCGGCGGGTGCTAGGTCGCGGCGGGTGCTAGGTCGGCGGGTGCTAGGTCGGCGGGTGCTAGGTCAGCGGGTGCCGGGTCGGCGGGTGCCAGGTCGGCGGGTGCCGGGTCGGCGGGTGCCAGGTCGGCGGGTGCCAGGTCGCGGCGGGTGCCAGGTCGGCGGGTGCCAGGTCGCGGCGGGTGCCGGGTCGGCGGGTGCCGGGTCGGCGGGTGCCGGGTCGGCGGGTGCCAGGTCGCGGCGGGTGCCGGGTCGGCGGGTGCCGGGTCGGCGGGTGCCAGGTCGCGGCGGGTGCCGGGTCGGCGGGTGCCGGGTCGGCGGGTGCCAGGTCGTGGCGGGTGCCAGGTCGCGGCGGGTGCCAGGTCGCGGCGGGTGCCCGGTCGCGGCGGGTGCCCGGTCGCGGCGGGTGCCCGGTCGCGGCGGGTGCCCGGTCGCGGCGGGTGCCCGGTCGCGGCGGGTGCCCGGTCGCGGCGGGTGCCCGGTCGCGGCGGGTGCCCGGGCGGCGGGTGCTGGGTCGGCGGGTGCTGGGTCGGCGGGTGCTAGGTCGGCGGGTGCCGGGTCGGCGGGTGCCGGGTCGGCGGGTGCCGGGTCGGCGGGTGCCGGGTCGGCGGGTGCCAGGTCGGCGGGTGCCGGGTCGGCGGGTGCCGGGTCGGCGGGTGCCGGGTCGCGGTGGGTGCCGGGTCGGCGGGTGCCGGGTCGGAGGGTGCCAGGTCGGCGGGTTCCAGGTCGCGGCGGGTGCCAGGTCGTGGCGGGTGCCAGGTCGCGGCGGGTGCTAGGTCGCGGCGGGTGCTAGGTCGCGGCGGGTGCTAGGTCGCGGCGGGTGCTAGGTCGGTGGGTGCTAGGTCGGCGGGTGCTAGGTCGGCGGGTGCTAGGTCGGCGGGTGCTAGGTCGGCGGGTGCCAGGTCGGCGGGTGCTAGGTCGGCGGGTGCCAGGTCGGCGGGCGCTAGGACGGCGGGTGCTAGGACGGCGGGTGCTAGGTCGGTGGGTGCTAGGTTGGTGGGTGCTAGGTCGGCGGGTGCTAGGTCGGTGGGTGCTAGGTCGGTGGGTGCTAGGTCGGCGGGAGCTAGGTCGGCGGGTGCCAGGTCGGCGGGTGCCAGGTCGGCGGGTGCCAGGTCGGCGGGTGCCAGGTCGGCGGGTGCTAGGTCGGCGGGTGCTAGGTCGGCGGGTGCTAGGTCGGCGGGTGCTAGGTCGGCGGGTGTTAGGTCGGCGGGTGCTAGGTCGGCGGGTGCTAGGTCGGCGGGTGCCAGGTCGGCGGGTGCCAGGTCGGCGGGTGCTAGGTCGGTGGGTGCCAGGTCGGTGGGTGCCAGGTCGGCGGGTGCTAGGTCGGCGGGTGCTAGGTCGGCGGGTGCCAGGTCGGCGGGTGCTAGGTCGGCGGGTGCTAGGTCGGCGGGTGCTAGGTCGGCGGGTGCCAGGTCGGCGGGTGCTAGGTCGGCGGGTGCCAGGTCGGCGGGTGCTAGGTCGGCGGGTGCCAGGTCGGCGGGTGCTAGGTCGGCGGGTGCTAGGTCGGCGGGTGCCAGGTCGGCGGGTGCCAGGTCGGCGGGTGCTAGGTCGGTGGGTGCCAGGTCGGTGGGTGCCAGGTCGGCGGGTGCTAGGTCGGCGGGTGCTAGGTCGGCGGGTGCCAGGTCGGCGGGTGCTAGGTCGGCGGGTGCTAGGTCGGCGGGTGCTAGGTCGGCGGGTGCTAGGACGGCGGGTGCTAGGTCGGTGGGTGCTAGGTCGGTGGGTGCTAGGTCGGCGGGTGCTAGGTCGGCGGGTGCTAGGTCGGCGGGTGCTAGGTCGGCGGGTGCCAGGTCGGCGGGTGCTAGGTCGGTGGGTGCCAGGTCGGCGGGTGCTAGGTCGGCGGGTGCCAGGTCGGTGGGTGCTAGGTCGGCGGGTGCCAGGTCGGCGGGTGCCAGGTCGGCGGGTGCTAGGTCGGCGGGTGCCAGGTCGGCGGGTGCTAGGTCGGCGGGTGCCAGGTCGGCGGGTGCCAGGTCGGCGGGTGCCAGGTCGGCGGGTGCCAGGTCGGCGGGTGCTAGGTCGGCGGGTGCCAGGTCGGCGGGTGCTAGGTCGGCGGGTGCTAGGTCGGCGGGTGCGAGGTCGGCGGGTGCTAGGTCGGCGGGTGCTAGGTTGGCGGGTGCGAGGTCGGCGGGTGCCAGGTCGGCGGGTGCTAGGTCGGCGGGTGCTAGGTCGGCGGGTGCCAGGTCGGCGGGTGCCAGGTCGGCGGGTGCCAGGTAGGCGGATGCCAGGTCGGCGGGTGCCAGGTCGGCGGGTGCTAGGTCGGCGGGTGCTAGGTCGGCGGGTGCTAGGTCGGCGGGTGCTAGGTCGGTGGGTGCTAGGTCGGCGGGTGCTAGGTCGGCGGGTGCCAGGTCGGCGGGTGCTAGGTCGGTGGGTGCCAGGTCGGTGGGTGCCAGGTCGGCGGGTGCCAGGTCGGCGGGTGCTAGGTCGGCGGGTGCCAGGTCGGCGGGTGCTAGGTCGGTGGGTGCTAGGTCGGTGGGTGCTAGGTCGGTGGGTGCTAGGTCGGTGGGTGCTAGGTCGGCGGGTGCTAGGTCGGCGGGTGCTAGGTCGGCGGGTGCTAGGTCGGCGGGTGCTAGGTCGGCGGGTGCTAGGTCGGCGGGTGCCAGGTCGGCGGGTGCCAGGTCGGCGGGTGCTAGGTCGGCGGGTGCTAGGTCGGCGGGTGCTAGGTCGGCGGGTGCTAGGTCGGGGGGTGCTAGGTCGGGGGGTGCTAGGTCGGCGGGTGCCAGGTCGGCGGGTGCTAGGTCGGGGGGTGCTAGGTCGGGGGGTGCTAGGTCGGCGGGTGCCAGGTCGGCGGGTGCTAGGTCGGCGGGTGCCAGGTCGGCGGGTGCCAGGTCGGCGGGTGCCAGGTCGGCGGGTGCTAGGTCGGCGGGTGCTAGGTCGGCGGGTGCTAGGTCGGCGGGTGCCAGGTCGGCGGGTGCCAGGTCGGCGGGTGCCAGGTAGGCGGATGCCAGGTCGGCGGATGCCAGGTCGGCGGGTGCTAGGTCGGCGGGTGCTAGGTCGGCGGGTGCTAGGTCGGCGGGTGCTAGGTCGGCGGGTGCTAGGTCGGCGGGTGCTAGGTCGGCGGGTGCTAGGTCGGCGGGTGCTAGGCCGGCGGGTGCATGGTCTGCGGGTGCCAGGTCGGCGGGTGCCAGGTCGGCGGGTGCGAGGTCGGCGGGTGCCAGGTCGGCGGGTGCCAGGTCGGCGGGTGCCAGGTCGGCGGGTGCTAGGTCGGCGGGTGCTAGGTCGGCGGGTGCTAGGTCGGCGGGTGCCAGGTCGGCGGGTGCTAGGTCGGCGGGTGCTAGGTCGGTGGGTGCTAGGTCGGCGGGTGCCAGGTCGGCGGGTGCTAGGTCGGCGGGTGCCAGGTCGGCGGGTGCTAGGTCGGCGGGTGCTAGGTCGGCGGGTGCTAGGTCGGCGGGTGCTAGGTCGGCGGGTGCCAGGTCGGCGGGTGCTAGGTCGGCGGGTGCCAGGTCGGCGGGTGCCAGGTCGGCGGGTGCCAGGTCGGCGGGTGCCAGGTCGGCGGGTGCCAGGTCGGCGGGTGCTAGGTCGGCGGGAGCCAGGTCGGCGGGTGCTAGGTCGACGGGCGCTAGGACGGCGGGTGCTAGGACGGCGGGTGCTAGGTCCGTGGGTGCTAGGTCGGTGGGTGCTAGGT